CCACACGTTTTACTCCCTTCTTTGCCAATTTTGGCTACAACCCGCGCTGGACCGATGAGCTGCGAAGCTCTGACGTTACCGTTCCCGACGCAGTCCGCGTCGCTACCTCCCTCCTCGATATCCACTACCAATGCTCCCACAACATATCTCTCGCAAACAAAACGTATGCTGCGGCATATAACCAAAAACATAGGGAAGGTCCCGTGTTCGAAGTCGGCGATCTTGTATTGCTATCGATGGAGAACATGAAGACAACCCGTCCCACCAAAAAGCTCGACTACCGAAATGATGGTCCCTTCCGGGTCCTGACCAAAATTTCGGATTACGCATACCAGCTGGATATTCCTCCATCCTGGCAGCGTTTTGACATCTTCCCGGTGTCGCTTCTACGCCCTTACACTCCTCCTCATTTCCCCCTCCAATCTTCCACCCCTTCTTCCCCCACCCCTCCAGCTCTTGACCACGATGAGAGCATCCCCTCCTATCGCATCGCCCAATTCCTGAACTCTCGAAACAACTCCGAAACTGGCAAACTCGAGTATCTTGTCGAATGGGATGGTCTCGAAGGCACTGCCGAACAAGTCTCTTGGCAGCCTCCCTCCGATCTGTCCTCAGACCCTCGATTTGCTCAAGCCAAAGAAGAATTCCATCTTCTGAACCCTACCAAACCCTCTACCGATACCACTCCTCGCCCAAAGCTCAACCGAGCCAAACCAAAAACCACCTCCTCTGCTCCGCAGGACGATTTCTCGCCTGCTACTATTTCCCAAATATCTCATCCTATCTCTTCCCACCCTACTTCTTCCCCTACCACTTTACCCACCCCAAATCCTATCCGCCCAAAACAACCACCAAACTGGAAAGGCTGGAAACTCGTCCCCGACGAACCTTCCCCTTCCTCTTCCCTCCCCTACGACGGTCCTACTTCTCGCAGTGGCCGCCCTCTTCGCCGCAAATTCATTCATGACTAAAAGCGCCATCATTCAACATTATCCCTACCTCTATCACTCCTCTTCCCTCCCCCACTCAACAGCAAACACACTCTTTACCCACGCTCTTTCCCCACACTCTTTATCGTTACACCCTTGGTCTCTTGTCCGCCATCTACTGGCCCCACAAGAGTCTTGAGCGCTGTAGCGCTGATGGACAATTGCTGGATAGCATGATGGAAAATAGGAACGGAATGGAACGTTAGATAGGACACATTGGACGACAGTATATAGGCTGAGGAAAAAGATCGTACCGGCAAAATATATAGGTGAGCACCAACACAGTCTGCGCTGAATCTCGTCAACAGTTCCTCCGTCACTCTATGGGTCACTATATCACCAACCTGGCAATATTGAATGTTCTCTCTCTACTTCGCTCTCTCTTCCGTATATCCTGCACCCCCACCAATTCATCACCACCAATAAAGCTCGCAGGGACGCTCGCTGTGGGGAACGGGCCGACTGTCACGTGGCTGTTGCCACTTGACCAAAGTAACGAACCAAACACCCGAACCTCCACCTCCGACGTCCGCGTCAACCCCACATCTTGCCACCATCTGGCTATAACATCCATCCGTTCTACCTCCACGGCCGAGCTGCGCCAGCACCGCCTTCGAGCTCTATGCTTGCTAAGCCTTTGCGGGCAATAACGGAAATACGCGGAGATAGAGAGAGCAAACCCATTCCACCACTTTCGAGAACATTCTTTCGCCACCAGGTTCGCCGATGTAGTTGATTCTAGAGGTTTCGACGGAGGACATGATGAGTAAGCAGGCTTGAGGTGCCAGGGTATATAAGGACGTGTCTCCATAGCAGTAGATACTCCGTCGTTCCACTATTGTTGTCTTCTCTAGTACACACTCTCTCTCTCACTCAACACTCTCGCACAAACGCTATCTTCCTTCGGCATTGGTCTGGCCACTCACTTCGAGTTCTCAGACCATTTCGTCTCTACACCTCGGCGACCTCTGAAGGCATAGCCTAAGGAAGGTAGCCCCCTGACATCACTAAAACCTTTCTGACCTGCCGTCCTCTTTCCCTTTTTTCCGGTCGACCTAATTCCTGTACTTTCTGTTCGGCCACGATGGATGCAAGAACGACATGCAGTGGTAGAAATATGTATCACGTTTAAAATCGGCCGATGTCGCAGCAGGCACCGAGAAAACGTCCGTCTTCCCTCTCACCATCATGCTTTTCTCTCAAAAAATTGTACTTTTTGGACGAAGTCGATTGGTTGGAACCGTTGGACTGATGGTTTTGGTGGGCCAGCCTATTGAGAGATGGTTAATTGCCAGTTCGCGAGGCTGGCCACGTCAGCCTCATCAGCGGGGGCCCTGGAAAGTGGGGAAAGTCTGGATGCCTGCGTCGATTGGAGATCCGGAGAAGCGGAAACTTGACTGTGCCGGGTCAGAATAGGCGCCCAACCGTCAGGACTATTTATGGACATGGTGATTTGCTTGCACTTCCAGATGGAGTACATATATACAAGTTGACAGTTGGCGCCCAACATCTAACACCGACTACCGACCACCAACTACCGACGTCGACGTCGACGTCGAGTCAGACGGGTCACTCTTCACGGAGAAGGAGAGCGGGGATACTCCACTTCACATGATGCATCGAGAAACATCCATGGTTTGAGACCGTCGGCACAACGTCCGCGGCCCGGAAATGCCTACGTATCCCGTTCCCTCCAATCACATCCTCATCGACATCGCCAACAGCGTATCATCATGTCCAGCACTCTAGACGGCGATACCAAGCCAGTGCTTTTAACCACTACAATCTTGCTCGAGGGCAGTCTTCCCTCTTTGAGTAGCACCATCGGCACAGCCGATTGCGAACGAACGGATGGGTTATCGTGGCAGAAACGGGTGGACCCACCTCTTATCCAATACCGCACCTTCAGCCGCATCTCTTGGCCTGACGAAGAATCAGGCAGAGAAAGATTGACGATGTGATGGCTGCATATATGGGAACCGTCTCCCGGGAGTGCGCACAGCGGCAAGTTGAGTCCGCAGATCTATTCATTGTACCACTTTGGGAAGACCCGGTGGCAAGGTTACACTCAACTCGCTCTTTTACACAAAACTGACTGGCTCTCTGAGAGCATGAGCGACGTGTATGCCGCAGGGGGCGAATGGCCATTTACTTATCGCATTTACTCTAACGTGAATGATTTTTTGGATGCCGGGGGTGAGCTGCTTCATCCGAATGACCAGCCCTTGGATACTTCCGAGTATGCAGATAGACTGGAGCGTGCTGTGACGAGTGCCAAGGGTGTGGATGAACTAGAAGCTGCGTTTCCAGACACCATCAAGCTGACCTTTACTACCGACGTCAGTAAGCCCACAAGTTTGGAGACATGGTCTTCGTAGAGCAGCAAGAGAGGAATCTGGAATTGAGAAGCTGGTAGAGTCATGGAGGGTGTTGCCTCCCGAAGGAGGAATCGTAAGCCAGATCACGGAAGATTCTCCTGACTGGATCAAGAAAAGTAAAAGCGCGCATGAGTCCTTCAACCCGTCTATCATTGAGGCGAATGAAGCTTCATTTAACCCAGGGAACACCGTCCAGCTGGGGCCACAAACGACCCCGGGAGAGTTTGTCACAAAAACCGGGCGCCTCGAGCATCGCCTATTTGAGCAGGCAGCGCAGGTGTCTTCAATCCACAGCCGGGGGCATGCAACAAATGATAGCGCAGAGGCTGTCATGTAGGACATCCGGTTGAAGCTGTTTGGCTCGAACATCCCATGTTTGATGTTGTCAATGGAAAACCCGCAAAAGAGAAGAGACGGTTCTACCCTCAACGGCTTTTGGAGTATGAGAACTCTATTGAAGACGGTCTCTTGAAGCTGCAGGACAAAGGCGAAGAAGCAGATGACGAATTCGAATCTGGAACGAGGGAATGGGGACACTGGGCGTAGCGATTACGAAACCTTTCCGAGGTGTGGATACTAGTGATGATGCACGGGAGCGCTTTGTTCGGTTTCCGTACAACATGAGTCAAGTACAGATGAAATGTGAAGGCTTCTTCAAGCCAGCATGATCAGCTTGGACGAATGTTCTCTGCGTTCGAACCGGGAGGGCCGGAAGAGCCCAAGTAGCAAAGAGAGCTCCCGAGCATTGTTACTGTGTCTAGCGGCACATATTTCGGTACTTCTCCCCATGACAACAACGAGTAGCCATGGGTCCGGTCATGACTGGCCAATTCCATCCTTTTCGAGATTATGGCAGTGTCTCGTACTTGTACAAGTGCATACAACGATATGCCCTTTCCCCATATCTCACCGCCATCTAGAAACTACGCCTCATAATCCTCATCCCACTCCTCTCCCTCCGCATCTTCATCCTCCTCCACCCACTGCTCACCCTCCGCATCCTCATCCTCCCCCTCCGCATCCTCATCATACCCATACACCTCACTCTGATACATCCCACCAGCGCCAGCTCCAAAATCCGAGTTGTGCGTGGGATAGTTGACTTGAGTGAATGCGAGAGCCGAAGGGTCGTGGGGGGCCGAGAACTGCGCGCCTTGGGGCGTGTCATCGTCGAAGAGGAGAGCCGGGTCGATGGGGATATCGTTCCCACCCGCCAACGGCAACTCGTCCACATCCATCGCCTCCTGCCCATCCATCACCACCCCATTCGGTACACCCATCCGCTCGACACCCTTCCCACTCTCATCCCCAAGCATCTCCGCCACCGAGGTCTTGGAATCCCGGCTCCTCAGAGCCCTCTGCGGCGTCTCGGCCACATCGCTCTTTCTCTTCCGCAATGACCTTGTCGGCGGGGCCACCAAAGGAGTTTGGACGGTGGGGGTGTCGGGGAAGGCTTGGCGAGCGTGAGACCGGTGATGAGGAGTCATAGGAGCGACACGGATGACAGGTGGGGGCGGTACAAGCCGAGGAGCAAACCGTACAATAGCATCCTCAACCTCCTCTCCCTCTTGCTCCTCTTCTTCATCCTCACCCTCCCCATCATTCCCCTTCTCCGACTGCCTCGCCACAATAAACGGATGATACTTCAACCTCTCCGGCTCCAGCTTCAAGTGCCCCTTCTTCTTCTGCCTCTCCAGTACTTCCTGGATATGTGGCATGTCCACGAGTATCTCGTACTTTTTCGGAATCTTGACGATTTCTTCCGTATGGCCGTGATCGTCTTCGGGCTCGACTGAAGCAGCGGGGTCGCCCTTGCGCCGTACGGGTGGTCTTCCTCTGCCGCGTCGAGCTGAGGAAGATAGAAGGGGCGTGGGAAGAGGAGCAGAATCGAGGATGTTGATCATGTTTTCAGAGAGGAGGGTGGTGTAGATGTCTTCGATGGTCATGCTCGTGCCTTTGCTTATCTCTGCCGCAAAAGTCAGTATGCTACGGGCTACATGATAGGGAAGACTGACCTTTGAGAGTCAGCTTGGCAGGATCAGACGTTTGAGCAAGGTATTTGAACACGGATATGCGCCAGTATGACTTGTACGATACGGCGCCAAGGCCTGAAAGAGGTTTCTCCGGAGAGCCCACGCGTCCTTCCTTCTTTGACAGCGAGTAGCCTATGCCTGATCAGCGATGTTATAAGCCAGAGACTCACTACTCACTGAAATCAATCAAAAGCTGCCCCCAACCCTTCCTTTGCCTCACTGGCAACGTCATGATACAACTAACATTATTATCCCTGCTCCTCTTCTCCTTTGAGAAATACCCCACAAACCGCGCTCCCAGCTCATCCATCTCTGTCATCACATAGAAGAGGAAAGGCTCGACGTCGTAGTACAGGGTTTTGTGATCGAGAAACATTTTGGCGAGGAGGCAGAGGTTTTGGCAGTATATCTTGTTTTTGCGACCGTCGACTTCGAAGACGGAGATGGTTGAGGATCGATATATTTCGTCGCCTGGGGGATGTCGAGCTTTGCATTTGAGCTAGTTCTCATCAGTCATCAAATCACGATGATGAAGGTTTTGAAGTGACTTACCCGATGCCGCGTAGATGCAAAACCACTTTTCATATACTTCAAACAAAACTCGCACAACCACAGCCTCCCATCTGGCACATACGCATACTCTTCCGGATACGGCGCCGAGTACCAAGTATCGATATCAAACGTCCCAAACCGGATTGTCTTGATCTTATCCAGATTCGTACCCCCTGTCCATGGACTTGCCGTCGGAGGACCCGGTGTAGAAGGACCTGGGGTCGAGGGAAAGGGGAAAGCATCGGGGAGGGATTGTTGGAGGAGTCTGTCGCGGAGTGGACGAGCGGGAGGAGCTTTGGCAGGGGTGAACTTGCCACCCGTGGCTGGAGGAGGCGTTGCCATAGGTGACCCGGGAACGACAGAATTGCCCCGCTGTGGCATTGGCCCGCCCATCTTGAACTCGGCTTCCTTCCTCGCCTTCTCATATCTCTCTGTATCATCTGCCTGAGGCTTTGTTCTCGACGTATCGGCGTCCTCGCCCGTGATGATCCCTCCATAAGGCACCTTTTCTTCCTCCGTCTCTTCCTCCACCGGCCGTTTGGCAGATGGTACTCGAAGTCGAACGATCATGGGCGTCGCGCGTTCTTCAGTCGGTGCTCGATGATTCGGGTTTGGGATCTTGACCTTGATCCGACTATCTGCAAACACCGCCTGATCATCTTTGAGGGGCTTCTTCTGTTTCGGAGGCCGGCCCCTGGGACGTGGGGCGGAGGGTGTAGATATTGGTGTTGGCCGCGCTGCCCCAGCTTTGGACGGGTTCGGTATCTTCTTTTTGTGGGACCGGGGAAGGGCTGTGGGGATGGGGGGAGACGAGCATTTGGGGCAATGCCATAAAGCTGATAGAGGTGATAAGCGATACGCGTCGACGCGTTTGTGTAAACAACAGAACATACCATTGGGAGGTTGTGCCAGCGGTCTTGAATCTTTCGTCAGTACGTCCACATGCATACTAGAGCACTCACGGATTCAGACAGTATCCATGGTATCCACGGTCACAAGAGTCGCAGAATAACAGCTGTGCCTGCACCCATTAGTCATATCCAGACCGTCGCGTATTGCACTCACAACATCGCCCTCAGTACGGCACTCTTCGCACGTCTTGCAGTCTTGACAGTGCCAGTCATACATCATGACCCTCTTGACCAGCGTGGAAGTCGCCATGCCGAGGCAGCTGGGGTGCCCGCTCCGCCCGCAACTGGAGCAGGTGATCATGCGCTCCTGGCGGCCCTCGGGGTTGACGGCGTCGGTCCCGTTGCAGAAAGAGCAGGCGGCCTCCCTGGGGAGAATCCTGAACGATGTCGAGGCCATGCTGGGCGGTGCCGGGGGGTGTTGGAGAGATATTCATGAGCAGTATCATCAGGTGCCCGCCTGCACTTGACGCTGGGACGGGATCAAATTCTCGCGCCCAACCACTCTCCTCTTCGTTTCATCACCGCGATTTTCAGATCCTGTCTATATCACTTCCCGAATTCAAAATCCACCCCCATCCACCATGTCTGTCCGAAAAGAACCCCCATCGGGCCCCGGTATGGCCCTCTCGAAGCGCGCAAGAGTAGAGGACGAGGCGGACGAGGGAAGCATGGTCATGACGGTCGCTTCTTCAGGCGAAGGGCAGCGGAAAAACGCCCTGATAAGGAGTGTCAAGAGAACAAGTGGGCTGGAGGCGCCTATCGTGTCTCTGTCAGGGGCTCATGGTGTAAGCGGATCATTCGGAACGAGAGAGCGGCAGGGCGAGGAGAATAGCTCGCGATAGATCCAGCAATCTGAAATGGCAGCTGACAATTTCGCAGGGAGAGCTGACGGCTTGTGTATTTGATCCTTCAGGAGAGACTCTGGCAGCTTGCTCTGTCGACAGAAGTATCTGTAAGTCCTCTTAATCAACAAGGACAAGGATAAGACCAGTGCTGACATCGACATGTTCAGCGCTCTGGAAGACCTATCCTCCACACACAAACTACGGCATCCTCCCCAACGTCCACAAAACTCCCATCCTCGATATTGCCTACTCTCTAGACTCCGAAACCCTCTACTCCGTGAGTCCTGCTCTCTCTTTCGCAGATTTCAGCTAATGTCAATAGGGCGCCGCCGATGGTATCCTCATATGGACCGACCTCCGCACCGGCGAACGCCTCTCCCGCCTCTCCGCCCACTACGGCCCCCTCAACTCCCTCTCCGTCACCATCTCCGGCGGGCGCGAGCTCGTCCTCTCCGGCGGAGACGACGGTATCGCCCGCGTCTGGGATTTCAGCCTCGACGTCAAAGACCCCGTCGCCGAATTCGACGACGGACGCGACTGCCCCGTGACTGCCGTCGCATGGAGCTCGGACGGGAACCAGGCGTTTGTGGGCGGGGTGGATAATGAGATCAAAGTATGGGACTTGCGCACTTGCACCATCCTCTACACCCTCCGCGGGCATACCGACACTATCGCCTCCCTCTCCCTCTCGCCCAACGGGCACTACCTCGCATCATACTCCCTCGACTCTGTGCTCATCATATACGACGTCCGCCCCTTCTGCCAAGACCCCACCAGGGTGTACAGGACCCTCTCGGGCGCGCCGGCGGGCTTTGAGCAGGCGTTGATTAGGGTGGCGTGGACGAGGCATGATGGGGGGCAGAAGATTGCGGTGGGGGGAGGGGATAGGACGGTCACGGTGTGGGAGGTGGAGACGGGGAAGATTGTTTACAAGTTGCCGGGGCATAAGGGGACGGTGACGGGCGTGGCTTTCCACCCAAAGTGAGTTGTGTTTCGCCTCTTCGCGGTTTCGCGTCTTGCTTTTTCTTTGCTTGATCAACCTGGTAAGAGCGATTGCTGACAAATCCAAAAGAGAACCAATCATCCTAACAGGATCAAAAGACACAAACATGCTCCTCGGTGAACTCGACGCTCAAGACTTTTCATAGAAGGAAGGGTTGTATCTTTGTAGATCTCTTTTTCAGCCGCAACCTTTTCAAGCTAGCCTAATATAAAAGTACAAGCAGGAGGGTTCATGCATGTGTATGGTGAAGACTAGGTCCGAGAGGGAAAGAATGGAACACTGGTGGCCGCAGAGTGGAGCGATATATAGCACCACAGCACCGCAACTACCATTCGCTCACTTACTTCTGTACCAAACAAATGGACCAGTCCCCCGTCCCAGACAGCATCAATCCCATACCAATCACGCACAATGTCCAACGAGACCCAAGATGGTATCAGATCAGAGCTCATCGTCACAAAAGCCTTGCTCCAGGGCTCATTTCCCGTTCTAAGCTCTACGGGTGCAAGCGAAGGTGGTCAGAACTATGGACCATTCTTGGAAAGAGGGGCAAGCTCCCCTGTCATTGAAACTCGCTATACATGCCGAAGCTTTGATAATGAAGGAAACACGATGGAGTCGGTGCCGCCGAAGAGAAAGCAGCGATGGATGAGTTTGCGCACTCGGCTGAAAGTGTGATTCGGTACATGCCAGATCAGCAGTCTACTTGGGACGAGCAGCCAGAATGGGGGGAGCCATATGGCTCTTTCGCACTTTACACTTCTCAAAGCCAGAAAAATCAGCTTGGCCAGCTTTCCGACATCATGCAGCGCGTGTACGCTACGGAGGAAGACAAACCTCCATTCACTTATCGTGTCCACTCATCTGTGGAAGACTATCTGGAGGATGGGGGTGAAATGCGTGGGCCGGAAGATCGACCGAGTCTCTGGGATCACTATAAAGAAAGGCTGGAGAGGGAGTTTGATAGTTCGAGATACCTGGACAAATTGTGCGAAGAATCGCCGGGTACGGTCAAGATTGTTTTCACCACCAGGCTGACGAGAACCGTCCCTTCTTCCTCTTCTGGTGGGGATGACCCGAGGACGTCGGGCTGGAAGGTGCTAGATCCCGAATTCAGTGTCTCGCGCAAAGTCATGGATGACTGTCCTAGAGCAATCCGGGAAGATAAAGAGGCGCCAGCAGTGTACAAGCGATCAATCTACAGACAGATCGAATCTTTGGTCCACAACCACAACAGTGGAAGCTACTTCGAGCTAGGCGACGATACAACGGTGAAGGAATTTTAAGATGATACCAGAAGGTACGAACAACATCTGTACCTCTGTGGAGCAGATATAGCGTCTAACTGTTGGAGTTGGAGTTCAGTACGTAGAGTGACGCGCGAGGTTACGTAAGGTGACGGAACTATTCTAGACGAAATTGTTGGCTGGCGGTACTTTCTTCCATAGCTGGTGTACAGATCTGCTTCTTCATCTTACCAGGTGTTGAAGTGCTAAAGACTGTATACCAGGTACGTAATGCATTCATCTTACCAGGTGTTGAAGTGCTAAAGACTGTATACCAGTCTTCGACACTAACGCAGTGTCTTTTTCTTCGGCTCCTGAACAAGTCAACACTACGGACGCAGAATCGCGAGATGCGATGCCGGCCGAAGACGAGGTGTCAGAAGATACACAACAGGCTGTAGATGGACATCTTGGGAAGGCTGCGTGGGTTAGCCCTACCATGTATGCTGTTTTGGAGGGACGGCCGTCCGAAGACAGACTGTCGTATTCGAAAAAGATATCAGAGTACGAGAGTACCATTGCGGAGGGTCTTGCCACGATGCGGGGGACGGTTGTCAGCAGGAGGGCACCAAATAGCGAAAATGAGGAGGCTCAATCCAAAGAGGATACATGGGGCACGTGTCACGCCTGGGGAGTGCCCTTGACGTGCTGAAGAGAGTTTTGTAGTAAGGGGCAAAAACCTTTTCGTTATTGTCGCATATGAAGATATGAAAAAGACTCTGATAGGTGTAACAACGGAGAGCACGGTCCACAAACACACAACTAATCTATTGGATGAACTAATTACACAGATGACTCCTTTAACCATGACAGCCCGTGGCTGCATTGATGAGATGGTGGCTTCCACAGGAGGGCGGTGGTATATAGAGTGAAGAAGAGGTGGTATTGTTCCAGATTGATCGAGATGTAAACATCACTGAGAGCCCAAGTCGGCTAAGATTCAATGGCGATACGTATAGGCATGTAGCATGATACATTCGATGCTTTCGTAGGGGATACACTTTGGCTATGCAAAACAAATGACGGCGATCACCGCATAGACAAAAAAGGGAATGAAGCAAGAGCAAAAAGATGAGGTCCTACTGGGGATCGAACCCAGATTACAAGAATTGTGATATCCGAGGGGTTGTATCAGAATCTTGTGTACTAACCATTATACGATAGAACCTTTGATGGTAATTTGACTTTTGTTACACTTCCATACCGTATTTTTGACTAGAGTACTGAACGCAAGATGGACGGAAGGCACTTCATGGCTATGGTATATATAATGAAAGTGAAAGACGGATCTTGGTCAGTCATTCAGGTACGCTCTAGTGGGCATCCGTGGTCCATTCGCAGCCTGGATTGTGAATATCATCGATGCTCTGGTCGGATACGAGACGAGTACACCCGAGACCAGATTACATATTTCGTTCAATGTACAAGCGTAAGAGTGGAGGTAAGACATGAAGACCTGGGAATCGAACATGTGAAGAAGCGGCCCTCTACTCCCAATTCTCCTTGATAATTTCCTCGATGTCGCTCCAAAGCGCCTCCGGTTCGGCCAACGCAGCGAAATGACCGCCCTGTTAAACAGTCAACAAGATCCTTTCCAGATGATATTAGGAATAGACTTACAGCGTCGTATTTCTTATAAATAGTAGACAAGATTGAGAGAGCTTTTCAGCGCTTGCTGGGATGGCAAGGACAACTCGTACGGGAAAACGCTGTATCCCGTGGGGGTCTTTTGGAACTGCGTCTCCGCGCTGGGAAGATGTCGATCGATACCAAAAGACTAGAAAGCAGTCAGCCTCCTCGCCTTTCCCTTCAATTGAGAATTACTCATGTATCGGTAATGATAGATAGAAGAAGAAAAACTATGCGTAAACCAGTACAGACTCATAAACCTCAACAACACCTCTTCGCTAAAAGACAGAGTGGGACAAGCGTCGTACTTTTCGCCGATGCACGCAAGGAGCGAGAGCTGGTTGGTGGATACGGTGATACCGATGGTGGATGGCCGAGTACCCTGTTCGAGGGCGTAGCCGAAGGTTTGAAGAGGGAGCAGGGGGTCGAAAGCCTTATCGGTGGGTTTCTTGGACTCGGTAGACCCGGAGGCACTTGCGAGTGACAAACGGAAGTTGAGGTGGATGACTACCTGATCCGTGAGCCTCGCCATACCTCCCGACAAAGATGGAAAAGACTCACGCTTACACTCATTGGGGTACATCCCTAAAGCATTCGTGACGAAACTGCCCACATCACCACCTTGGGCCATATATCCACCGCCAAAGCCGAGACCCTTCATTAGATTGTTGAGAACGAAGGCGACATCTTGGACGCTGAAAGGGCCTTCGAGAGGAGGGGACGAGAAGGCATAGCCAAGGAGATATGGGACAATAATATGATAGCTTTCAAAGTCGTCAGTGTCAACCGTTGTGGCGAGAGGGTGACCACTTACGGAAGCGTCTCGGGAGTGTACTGCTTCTTCACCAAATCCAAGATACCATAAAACTCCAAGAAGCTCCCAGGCCAGCCATGAGTCAAAATGATTGGAATAGCACCTTACTTTCTCGAGAAGAGCGCAGCAAATTGAATCTTGAGATCCTTGCCGTCTTTGGCCTTGGAGATGGAGATGAATTGAGGGTGGGAGTTGATGTACTCTTCCTGCTTTCGCCTTTTGCCAGACATCAGTACGATCCCCAATGGATCCTCAAGCCATTGGAGAAGACGAAGCCCACCAATCCAATCAAACTCGGACCACGCATCCCTGAGCTTCCTAAGACGAACCGTTGTCATTCCGAATTTGTTCTCTCTGTTCGCATTGACGCTCTCATAGGTCTCCCTCGGGATGCGGGAAAGACGAAGAAGAGTCTTGCTCATCGATATCGGATTCTGGGACTGCCAGGTGGAAGGGTTCGACGGAAAGAATCGGAGTGGTGGGAAAGATAGAATAGGACATGTTGTATTGCAATTGCGCTTGGAGGTTTAAACACAAGATAGAGAGAAACAGGCGGCCAGTCGCTTTGCGTCTTCCTATCTGAAGTGTCGACGCTAATAGCAGAGCCGCTTATATAAAAGGCTACACAGCCCATGCCAAACCGCAAGTTGTCACTTGGTCACTGCACAGCATGCGCCATTGACCGAGATCTGACCGAGGAATGTATATCCATTTGAATTCACAGCAGAATGAGGTGAGTAAGCGCGAGCGGCCTTGATAGTGGGGTCTTACAATATAGGCACCCGCTTCGGAGACCTCAGAGGTCGTCCACCTCCTACTGACATATCTTCTTGAAGACTACTCTAGCCAAAAGGTAAGGATATCGGCCGTTTGCTCTATCGAAGCGCTAACCCAAGTCGAGCCCGCAGAATCCTCGGCGCCTAATGTCTGGTGGGCTGACCTTTGAAGTACAAGGCAGAATCTTGAGACGTGTGCATGTGGCCTCAGCAGACAGCCTAGAGGAGGTGGCCTAGGCATCTGAAGCTTGCATACGCTATAGAACAGGACAGCGAAAGTCGATGCTATGATCGCCCTCCTCGGTCAGCACCGTTGTTGCTGATGATACGCAGCATCATTGTTGTCTCATATCCCCTTGATAAACGGCATCAAGTTGTCAATGTTGACCGGAGGAGAAACCTAGCCTTTGACATGATTCTACTTCGTGAGGCCTCTATGGGGGCTTCGAGATCGAGCTCGTTCAATACTCCTCTCTCGATTGAACTATATTATCGCATCAAATCTGCCCAGACAGCTGCTTCCCTGCCTCCATCCTCGTCCAGTTTCATGTACGCTTCACTTCAATGTAGAGCTTGGATAGATCCGGTAAGCTTGCACAGCATCGGACCTGTCAATAGGGCGCTGATTGAGCGAAGAGAGTGTTGAGAGAGTAGGTAAGATTTCGACTTGAAGGCTGCTTGAAGGACGCGCGGAGAAGGCCGCCATAGGGCACCGGGCCCCGAGCCGAGAGGACGTGTTTTGACTGTTTTGACCATTTTGAACCAGAGATACTCGCCAAAAAGCAATCGAACGCCATGTACTGGCCTACCGCCACCACCCGCCTCGTCTCCACCCCCATCCCCCTCCACTCCCCCCTCTCCCACGCAGAACCCAATCGCAAGGGCAACTTCTTTGCCACGCTCACTGCCGACTCTCTCGCGGTCTGGGATGTCAGGGTGCGCACTTTGACAGCATACGGGGCACTCTACTGACGATTCACAGCCCACAGTCATGCAGGCAGCGGTAGTGAGATCAAAGTCCAGTATCAATCGATTCGGCAGCAACAGCGATGTTTTCTGGACACATGATGGACGAGGTCTGATCATAACGGCAAGTGCATCATGCAGTATCGAGTATTACTGACCATATACACAGACAGACAGCCATCACCTGCTCTTCTACCATCTCGTCCCTTCCTCTCGCCCCTCGTATGACTTTGCTGGGCCTTCCACGCCCGGCCCAGGCGAAGGAGACGTCGTCATGGGCTGGCAACTGACCTACCTCGGTACCGCCTTTGTCATGGGCGGCTGTCAGTCCATCCTATGCCAATCCCACAACCTCCTCATCACTCTGCGTCACCCTCCCTCCATCCTCTCTGTTCCCTGGCCAGTCCCAAGTCAGCTCCTCACTCCGCCAAACTCCCACTTCCCTCCGCCGCCTCTGGACGCCGCTACCGAAGCGCAGATTGAGTGCGATGTTTGGGATCTGTCGGCTGGGAAGGAGTGGCTAGTAGGGGAAAAACCTGCGGTGCCGACCAAGATGACGTCGATGAAGACCCATGGCATGCCCGTGGTGCATACAATGCTGTCAGCGGATGGACGGGGATATGTGGTGTACTTGGCAAGCCACCTGCTGCAGGCGTGTACGAGCGACGCTCAGCGGACTCAGCTTTTGACAGGGCCGAAATATGTCGGAAGTCTGATACACCCAGTACCGCAGAAGATCGAGCCGCTCGAGGGAGATATGGACAAGGCTATGGAGGTTGCCCTGAATTCACGGTTCGGCTTGGTTGCTATCGGCTTGGAGAGCGGCAAGGTCAATCTCGTCTCAATCCCATCGTGGCTCAACCCTCCCAGGCTATCACACACTCTCGACTTTCGGCGGTCTGCCAATCTAAGTAAGTTGCGACATTCAGGATGACTGGGCTGATCCCTCGCAGAGTCATCTCCTGGACAAGTCACAAGCTTGGCGTGGACGGGAGACGGGTACTGTTTGGCTGTTGGTTATGAACACGGATGGGCAGCTTGGAGTATGGGTGGGAGATTGGGGGGCTGGGGACATCGTGACGAGGAAGCTTCTCAATCTCAAGATCCGGGTGTTCTCAGCTTGGTACGTCCCTCCACCTCATCCTTCCTGGTGCTAACCACCTGTAGTTCTGGATACCCGGAAACCTTGAGCTCTTCGTACTCCGCCCACATGAATCCTCACCACAGCTCGAAATCATCCCATTCGCCAAGAGCGCTACGACCAACCAGCCTTCGCCGGACAATACTCGATATGCGTTCCTGCAAATGGATGACAGCGTGATGGTCTACCGGGGAGCGGACCAGCCTGACATGAGCGTCATCAACCCCGAATCAGATGTCTGGCAAAGCATCAAAGTGAGTCTCCCTAATCAATCATCGGACTAGCTGACCCAAATCCAGATCCCAGCAGCATACATCTCCACCAACTGGCCCATCCGCTACGCCTCCATATCATCAGACGGCAAGCTCATCGCCGTAGCCGGCCGCCGCGGGCTCACCCACTACTCTGCCTCTTCCGGCCGCTGGAAGCTCTTCCAAAACGAACGCGAGGAACAGCAGTTTACAGTCCGCGGTGGGCTTCTCTGGTTTCACCACGTCCTCATCGCAGCCGTCGATGCCGACAAGACCCACCAGATCCGGCTTTATTCAAGAGACTTGGGGCTGAATGAGGTTTTGCATTCGCAGACCCTTCTCGCCCCAATACTGGTCATGACCCTGCTTGATAATTCGTTGTTGGTGTATACGGCGGATAATATGTTGTTCCATTTCTTGATACTGCCGACCAACTCTAGTATCAAGCTGCATCTGTGCGGGAGTATCAGTTTTAGGGGTATTTTGCAAGTGCCTAGTCGAGTGAGGGCATTATCATGGTTGATCCCGGAAGCGCAGAAAAGTGAGCTTTCCCAACGTTGACTTGGAGGTGTTGTAGCTAATACTTGTGATAGCGCTGGGCGACCCTGCAGATGATCTCATCGTAGCTACAATCATCTTCCTAGTCGACGGCAAGCTCGTCCTTCTCCGTCCCCGCCGCGTATGCCCCCACCCCTCTTCCCCTCCCCAAACCTCTCAAGCTGATACGGTATACAGGCGCGCACCGACGAAGTCCGATATGACCTTCAAATCCTCGCCGACCGTATCGAAGCCTACTGGACCCACCTCCACGGCGTGGGCACGCTTGAAAACTCGCTCTGGGGGTACGACGGCCTCAACATGCGGGTCTGGCTGGACGCTTTGACGATAGAAGCGACTACGGTGAATGATGTTTCGGACGCTTATGAGAGTGTGGAAGAGAGTGTGAAAGTGAGGTTGGACTTTTATCCGCTTTGTAAGTATCCCCTCTTGTCAAACGGGGGTTTGGCTGATGGGAATAGCGATCTTGATGGACAAAGGTATCATCATCGGGGTCGACTATGAAACGTCCACCCGTACGTTGCCCTTCCCGATATACAAAATCTCCACCGGCACACACCTCTTCCTCCCCAAATTCCTCCGCTACCACCTCTCCTCCTCCCCACCCTCCCTCAGCCAAGCCCTCACCCTCGCCCAGCATTACCAACACCTCGTCTACTTTGCCCATTCCCTCGAAGTCTTACTCCACTCTGTCCTCGAGGACGAACACCCAAAAGACCATGAAATCCTGCCGACCGTCGTCACTTTCTTGGACTACTTTCCTTCGGCGCTGGATGTGATTGTAAGATGCGCGAGAAAGACGGAGATTGAGAGGTGGCCGGGGCTTTTTGAGCTTGTGGGAAAGCCGAGGGATCTGTTTGAGCTGTGCTTGACCGAGGGGAAGATGAGGACGGCGGCGAGTTATCTGCTGGTCTTGCACAACCTGGAAGAGCTCGATGATGTCGACGTGCGTTCCATTTCATTGCTTTGGTCAATTAGCTGATGTTGAACAGGACACGATCCGATTATTGAAGCAAGCCATAGAGGCCAAGGAATTCCACGTAAGTCCCTCTCATGATATACCACCCGTTCTCAGCTCACCTATACATTCTTAGCTTTGTAAAGAACTCCTTCGATTCCTCCATTCTATCGACGAATCTGGTACCGCCCTCCGTACTGCCATCGCGCGCGTAGGCATCATCGACGGGTCCATGCTCGACGTTGACGGAGACAGTCCGATGCCGACGACACCTAGTATCGTGCTCTTGAGTGCTACGCCCACGGACGTTCAGGTCAATGGTCTGTGATGTATGATAGTCCTGTAGTCGATTATGGTTGTATCATGTACGATATGTTAAGCCTTGCTACTTCCGGGCGCTATTCTCAGCAACATTTGTACAACGACTGCTAAAGCTGGAAAAGGTGAACAGTGAACCTCTACATAGCGTTTGCCTACTTTTGTCCCCTTCGGCCTTGCCTTGGTTGGAAACGATGTAACTACGCGTAACTACGGTATACAAAGAAAAAGAAAAAGAAAAGTCGCGTCAACCCTGCGTCAACCGTATCCATCTCCATCTCCAACTCTTTCCATCTCCATCCCCCATTCGCCATCATAAACAGAAATATTTACTCATTCGCGATCATAAACAGAAAGATTTACTTTTCCAAATTGATCCAGCAGCGCAAGATCTGTGTGAAACGTCAGGCATCACCCGAGAGTGAATGGGACGATGAGCTGAGGGTGGTTGAGATGCTGATTGCGCAAGGTGGGCCACCACCATCCGAGCTCCCATCTCAAGAAATACCTCAATCATCAACCAAGTAAACATTAAATGCAGATGACCAACTACAAAACCAATCTAAACAGAATGCCAGACCTGACCTTGGAAGGGTGTACACCTCACTTTCACCGGCGTCGAGAACAAGGTGCGCCATCATTGCCCATTGTCCCAGGCTGGTGGATTTTGCTTGTAAACTTGACTGGTTTTCATACCCACAGATATACTTGATGGGTCTCGCAAAAGAGCTAGGAGCCATTACAGAATAAAGCACTGACTAAATCCGTGACCCACGTTGTGGCTGTTACCTGCTAATCCGCCAAATGCCATGTAAGTCGAGTCGAAGCCGGCCGACTCTCGAGAATGTTTCAATGATCCAATCTGATGGAAGATGGTAGTATGCCGTCGAGCATCGAATACCAGTGATGACTCCCATGTGAATTGAAGATGCTCATGCTGCATTGGCTGAACGCCGACGAGTATGACTTTGGGGAGATGCAGGAGGTGCACAGGATTTCTGCCGTTTGAAGGGTTGAGGATAGAATGAATAGTGTTGCTGGTCCGATGGATAAAGTCAGAGACCTGTGTTACGTATCACCATGAATCTGACATGCTTGGCGTATGCGACTCGTGATACAATGCATTATATTGCTAGTAAACGACGCGCTCCGCTACAACTCGTCAGCTAAGCCAAATCAATCAAGAAACAACTCACACTCATGCGTACTAACCCCCCTATCCACCTTATTCGAGAAAATCTTCTTGTAAACAAACCTCTGATCATACTCTCTCATCACCTCCGCCGACAAAATCATCCTATCTTTCACCAACTGCGAAAACGCCTGTTCCAGATGCGCCAAGAGGAAAGTCGTGGAGAGGTGCAAGACAGGCGTGAGGAGGGGGTTGATGGGCGTAAGCAGGTGGGTGAGGATAGGTGCTGTGGGGGGGTAGGCGGAGAAGAAGGCGAGGCAGAAGGGGGGAGGGTCCCAGACGCGGAGGGATTGGACGGTGTGGCCCGAGGCGCCGATGTCTTTTAGGGAGGGGCCGGTGGTGGGTTTGCCGAAAGCAGATAGGATTGCGTGGCTGGGCAATGTTTAGCGAGTGCGATATTTTGGAGATGCGGCTTACAAGGTAAACTTGACAAGGTATAGCAGGGCTCTGCCAGTGAGTTTGAGAAGTTTGGGGAACCAGGGCTCTTTGAGTTCTGCTTTGAAGACGTTGTCTTCCTCGTCGTCCGACTGGGGCTTGGCTTTGGGAGCGGGTACAGGGGAGGCGTGCGGCGAGTGGACGGGTGCTTCGGTGGGCTACATGGCGTCAGATCTGCGCAATACAAGGTGGATACACTCACATTACGAAGCAGCATGTCGTAGGTACGGAAACGAGTGAAGAGATACAAGGCATTCCCAAGAGCAAGCGCCATCAACAGGGCAACAAGGAAGAACCTCTGCTTGCTGATCAGCGAACCGTCGCAGGCTCAGCTACCACTCACAGTTGAGACGCCCAATAATCCCGTCTTTCCTGCATTTTCCACATCATGCCACCGACTCGATACTGCGCTCTGACTCCTTCCTGATTGCAGCACACTGCCATAGTCGTCCTTGGCCGTAAAGAGAGGTGCTACCAGAAGGTAGTGCAAGACGTGGACGCCGAGGGCAATGGGGTTTGCGAGGTGAGGCTCGGGGAGGACATCTAGCACAGAGGCGGGGGTGTGGAACAAAAACGTGTCGACGACCTTCTGAGGAAACCCGATGATCCTACAGCACGTCAGCCCTGGCCGTCCATTTCAAGTGGGAAACATACCTCTCATGCAACGGCTTCCGTCTCACAAACCGCTTCTTCTTCCCACTCTGCTCCATCGGCGTCCTCCTCATCTCTTCCTCCGCCCTCCTCGCCGCTTTCGCACTAGCAGCCATGTCAAACGGTATACTCGCACTCTTACTCATACTCTGCGGTGGCGTCGCGAGCGCGTGGGGCGAGTAATGGATCTTTGGTGTATGTGGAGAGCTGGTGGAGAAGCCGGCATTGCGATAGCGGGGTGTGGACTGGGTTGATTTGGAGGGCGTGCCCTTTGATGGGGTGGAGTCGCGGTCGGGCCATGGGCGGGGAGAAGCTGGAGAGGGTGGGTCTTCTGGTTTGATGCTAGATTTTCCCAGCTTGGATGGGGCGTGGGCGAAGGCGGGAAGGCTCTTTCTGGTAGAGCGGGCGAGGGGAGACTGCGACATGGCGGCCGATTGGGTGACAATGCAGTGGTAGGACACGACACAGGAGAAGAGAATTCGCTGAAATCAAAATCAAAAGTATGGATACCCGTTCTTTACGGGTTCCAACTGATGTGTTTGGCTGTCAAACATGAAAGGTTCTATCGTATAATGGTTAGTACACAAGATTCTGATTCAAATCTTCGGATATCACAATTCTTGTAATCTGGGTTCGATCCCCAGTAGGACCTCATCTTTTTGCTCTTGCTTCGATTTTTTTCTCGGGTATGATACTGTATGCATCATGGGGTACACCAAAGCTAACACTTCCAAAGCTACCCGGGCCAGGGAAGACTGAAGCCGGGTAAAGAATTGGAAGAGGGACCGATTTTCTACGGGTACGGCCGTCCCAAGTCTCAAGGTAAGAATCACAACACGCAGAGTGGAGGCGCGTCATCTTGGTCGACGATGATTGCATTTCCTTTCTTTTTCCAGTCTCTTCTCACCACAGCTCAGAATGGTGAGTCAATCCAGGATGTAAACTCTCGCTGACAGCATGCAGTCCAACTTCCTAGACCTCCCCACCAAGACCGCCACCCCCCAACCCACGTTCGCCAAACACCTCCTAGACTACATCTCCACCCACTTCCGAGACGCCCATCCCGAAGCCTTCAAACAAGATGTCGACATTCTCGTATCCATGAGGCGAGACTGGGTGGAGGCCAAGTCGGAGGCCCACCCCGAGGTGGTGAAGGCGTACATGCGGTATCACGCCCAATTAGCATTCCTTGCCACCAAATTTCCCTCCGACATTGGTCTTCAATTCGCCTACTTTTTGCCCTTTCCTCCAACCTTCTCCCTCAGCCCCGACTCTCCCATATCGCTATCATCCCTCACATATGAGCGCGCATCGGTCCTTTTCAATACCGCCGCCTTGTACGCCTCTATGGCCGCTTCGGAACGACGAGCCGAGGCAGAGAGTATCAAGAGGGCGATCGGATATCTCACGTCCGCTGCTGGTGTGCTCGAGTATCTCATCAAGAATGTCTTGCCAACTCTCAAGTCTGAGGTCTCATCTCCCCAAGCAGCTGGGTATGACATGACGGAGTCGTTCCTTGGCGCTGTGAAGGAGTTTGTTCTGGCGGAGGCGCAAGAGTGTTATTGGCAACAAGCTGTATTGGGTAGGTCGTTTCGCCTGATCGCGGGATGATGCTGACATGGTGCAGCCGGAAGCTACAAGAACGGCTTGATAGCCAAGCTATCCATGAAGGTCTCAGAATACTACAAAGCCGCTCTAAGCTCTATGAACGCTGCCGAGTACCCTTCTGCCGCCTTCTTCCCCGCCGTACGTCCACCCCACAGTAGGATATCGCTCTCCTACTGACATCCATAAGACTTGGGTAGCGCACATCACCACGAAACAGATGCATTTTGAAGCTGCAGCCCAATTCCGACTGAGTCAAGATGATCTGGAGAAGAGCCGGTATGGAGAGGAGATTGCTCGGTTGAGAGTGGCGGAAAGTCTGGCGAAGAAGGGGCTTGACGCTGCTAAGAGAGGTGTGACTGATTCAGTCACAACAGACCTGAAAGTACGTTCCCAACCACCCATTGATCCAATATCTGCATTGACGCTTCTCAGCAACTCCAAGCTACCGTCAAATCCTCCCTCGAACGAGCTGTACGCGACAACGACCTCGTCTACGTCTCCCCCATCCCTCCCGCCAACCAGCTCGCCCCCGTCAATGGCGTCGGCATGGTCAAGGTCAACATCCCCACAGAGGTTGCCGAGCCTGTAGCGTGGTTGATGGGTGGGCAAGCTGGTATGGAGCCGCTTTTCAGCGCTTTGGTGCCTTATGGCGTGCACCTTGCTCTCAGTAAGTCTACATCTCACCTCTCACCTCTCACTTAAGGGATGTTCCTGATGCCGCTTAGGTATCTATGACGACCGCAAAGATACACTCGTCCGCTCGCTCGATGGCAAACGCGAAGAACTCGACGGTCTCGCAGCCAGCACCCTCCAATCCCTCAACCTTCCCGGCTCCATCCAAGCTCTCGAACGCCCCGTCGGGCTGCCCCCCTCCCTCCTCAAGAAAGCCGAAGAAGTCGAATCCTCCGGCGGCACCGACCGTATCCGCGGCTTGCTCGATCAAGTGCAGCGTATCGCCCGGTCGAATACGCAGGCGCTGAATGATGCGATGGATATTCTGGACCAGGAGGCGACGGAGGAAGAGACGGTGTTGGAGCGACAGCCGGAGATGAAGGGGACGAGGATGCCGTCGCATGTGGCGAATCAGCAGTTGATTGGGATGGCGGCGCAGTATGAGGCGACGATCAAGCAGGCGGCGGGGAGCGATGCGACTGTGAGGACAAAATGGGAAGAGTGGGCGAGGCTTATTGGGCTGCTTGCTGGTGGTGAAGTGAGACTTTTTCTTGTCGTTTGATGAGGATGTAAGCTGATGGGTGTAGGATACGATAAACGACTATGTCCCGTCCACTGGCGCCGCCTCTGGCTCTCTTCCACCTTCCGTCCGCCCCCTCCGAGCATCCCTTGAACAACTCGACGACCAGATATCCCACCGAGCGCGTATCCTCAACGAAGCCAAACGCATCTCTGCCGCCGACGACATCCGGCCACAGGTGTTGCAAGAAGCTACTAAGCTGACACATGGAGGTACGGGTGATGTCAAGACGGAGTGGTTTGAGGATATCTTCCATAAGGCGCTAGACAAATATGAGGGGCTGAGGAGGGAGATAGATGAGGAGGCTGAAAAGCAGGACGAGCTCTTGAATCAAATCAGGGTGCGTACCTCTACTCTGGAGAGCCATTGCTGACCGGGTGTAGACTCAAAACGAAGAGTTCCTCTCTCAACGCAAGGATGACCCCATCGTCAAGGAACGCGAGCGGCGGTTGCAGGATATGGATCTGGCGTATTGGAAGTGGCGAGAGATTGTGGACAATGCTGAAGAGGGCATCAAGTTTTACAACAGCTTTGCCGAGATGTTGGGTCAGTTCAAGGCTACTTGCACGCAGTTCTTGAATTCGAGAAGGCAAGACATCAAGTAAGTATCTCTTACATGGCTGAGCTACGCTGACATACTACAGCCAAATCACTGCCCAGCTGCAGAATATCCACGTTACCCAGTCTGAACCCCAACACCAGCCCTCTCCTGAACCAGCCTACATCGCCCCTCCTGCCACCCAAGTCCACCCCTCCGCCTCACCTTCCCCAGCGCACTACCAATCCCCTCCCCCTCCTGCCCCTGCCCCCGCCCCGCGCCTTCCATCCCCACCCCGCACATTCCTCGCCCACCCTTCGTCCAGTAACTGGGAATCCGCCGAGTTCCTGCCTCCCCCACCGCCCCCTCCAATCTTGCGATCTGGCGGTGTACAGTCGCAGCCTAAGGTGGCTCCTCAGGCGGCTACGCCGAGGAGGGTCACTAGGGCGAGTGCAGCTGCGGGGAATCATGAGGCGACGGAGAGGAACAAGTATAGCTCTGGGACGCCGAGAAGAAAGGGTGGTGGTGTTGTTTAAGGACAGGATACGTATGCATGATTGTTTGGCAAAGTATCATGCTGTCATATGAATAAGGTATCTATCAACACTCTTCGTCTGCTTCTGGTATACCCCGCTCAGAAGGATGGATTCCGAGATACTGATTCTTATCAACTGTGGCTAACGCCTCTTCTACCTGTTTTTTCAAGAACGCCTTACGCTTCGCCTCTCGTTCAGTCTCTTCCGATGATGGAGTGCACGACTCTTCCTCCGGACTAGTAGAGGCTGCGTCCCTTTCGGCCCTGTCCTCCGTCTCGAGGCCCGTACTGCCAGATCGAGTCCTAGTCGGTGTAGCTCGAGAAGACTCGGTGGCTAGGGTACCCCGCTGAATAATTGGGGGGCTCGTGCAAGCTGTCATGCTCTCGTACGCATAGCCTACGGTGGGTGATCTTGAGAAAGACAAGGGTGAACGGGGTGATAGTAGCGAAGGAGTGGTGGGAGAGCTGTCGGCGTTGGTAGATCTGCTTGAACGGCCGATGGAGAGACGGCGAGGGAACGCTGGTAGTTTTCGTCTAGAGAAGAGAGAGGGCGAAGCATCAGAGGTGGTTGATGACATGGCAGCAGAGAGTGTTTTTCGGCGTTGTATTGATGGATCCGTCAGGCGGTGCGCTTTTTAGGGTGAGGTCGCCGAACAAAACGTTGGTCTCTTATACCTTTACGTGTAACAATCTCGTTATCTTCCCCCAAGCTGGTAGATCGATGGCATGGCTCCGGATATCATGGACTGGAAGACCAAAGAGCAGGCGCAAACCTTTGGCCGGCCTCGTCCCGCTTAAAGGATCCTCGACGGCCCTTTATCAACACCGCTGCTTTATACTCAGGTCGGATCCTTTTTGTGACTGGCGATAGGCGATGATGCGAGTTTGGAGGGCGCAGTACTCACGTCGAAGGCATGTCGGCATCCGATGTCAACACATCGACTACTCTCATGATCTAGCCTTCGAGGCGCGCTTGGTCATCACTTCGCGCGCCGACACATCATCATACCGCTGCATGAACAAGCGCAGCCTGGCTACTTGGTCTGACTCGTAGAATTCATATCCACATTGAGCAACAAGTGATAGATTCATGTATCATCTATGAAACCACAAAGAAATGAAGAGAGGAGTAGGTGGAAATTATCGAACGTGAGATGTGTTCGGACAAAACCGTGTCACGGCTTGTGTGAGGATCATCAGTCACTTTGCTGTGCGTCAAGGGAGTGCCAATATGCGGGGTGAGTTACAGCACTTTAAATTCTGACTTCAGTTGAAAACATGAGAAAGGATCAAGTGCAGGGCAATTTGGACGTATCGCCTCTCGAAAGCGGCGATCAAATATTCACTTTGGTCTCGTATGTCATCCATCCTCTTGGAACATCATGCAAAGTGGTATTGTAGTGGCTGCATCATATTTTGTTTCTCATCCTCTAATATATCCCGCTTTCCAACAGTACCAACAACGCACAATGCCCAACTCTCAACAGAATGAGATCACATCAGAGCTCGTCATCACAAAGATCTTGCTCGAGGGTTCTTTACCTGCTCTAAGCTGTGCAGCTCCAGGAATTCTGGTGAACCGTATTGGTCGTTTTTGAAAAGGCGAGTAGATCCACCCATCATCGAGACTCGATACTCTCTCCGCAGCTTTCGGGGCGAGGGGGAAGGTGAACGTGGAGAAATGGTACCCGTGCCACCTGAGGTTGAAGCAGTGGTGAACGAGTTTCTGAGCTTGGCAGATCGTATCTCTCAGCACTTACGACCCCAGATCACCGAGCCTTCGGTGGCGCAGTGGGGAGATCCGGCGGAGAAGTACCGAGAACATACTCGACAAGTTCATATCAGCGAACTTGACCTACTCTCCGACGTCATAGAGTATACAGTGCAAGAATCGCGGCCATTCACTTATCGAGTCCATTCGACGGTGAAAGACTTTTTGGATGACGGGGGCACTCTGCTTGGTCCTCATGATCGACCGATGGATCAGATGGAGTACGAAGACAAGCTGGAGCGTGCGATAGCGAGTGCGGAGGGTGTAGACGGGTCATGTGCCGAATTACCTGGCACTATCAAGCCAGTACATCAGCCTGAGGCCGTCCTCTTCGGGGCGAGGCCGTCGGGTACTGCTATATATTGGCTCAGGCTTCAGGAAGCTCATGTGAAGGATCATCGCCATGCGTTATACATGAATGGATTGATTGATCCATTGTGTACAGAGCGTGAGTTGCCTTCGGAACCAGAGCCTGTTGTATAACGTTCACATTCTCATGGCCGGCTCTAAAGGCTCATCGGTGGTATAGCACGAAAGGACAGCCCTTTACGTTCTCACATCAATTTCACAAATGAAAAAATGACAGTGCTGAACAATCGGGGCGTATCGCCACTCGAAAGCGGTGTTCGACTACATAAAGTATGGCTGTCCGTGTCCTCTCGTCGTCATGATGATATTGCTCTACGCGACCAAAAAGTGCTTCTCGAATACTTCCTCGTCCTTCCCAAATTCCAAAGATTACTACTCGACTCCTGTCCCCGGTAATAGAACCAACTGAAAAATCAGCTCATAATGTCCGGCCCTCAAGAGTACGGCATCAGATCAGAGCTCATGGCCACAAAAATCTTGCTCGAGGGTTCTCTCCCCGCTCTAAGCTCCACAGGCGCCAACGATCGTGGTGAAAACTACGGACCCTTTCTGCAAAGACGGGTCGATCAGCCCATCATCGAGTCACGCTTCACTCTCCGTAGCTTTCGAGATGAGGGGATAGGCGGAGGTGAGACTGCTGTGCCCGTACCGCTTGAAGTTGAAAGAGCCGCGGACGAGTATGTGAGCTCGGTTGGGGCTTGCATTGAGCCCTTGCAGTCTACATTAGTCGACGCCTCGATGTTACGATGGGGCGATGCAGCTGAAAAGTACCAAGAGTATAACCGACAAGCTCATATCAACCAGCTTACCCTTCTTTCTGACGTCATGCACGGCGTGTATACCAGTACGGGGAGCGTTAGGCCTTTTGCTTATCGCGTCCACTACTGTGAACAGCTTCTTGGATGATGGGGGTAATCTGAATGGTCCAGACGATCGACCGATGGATCCAATGGAATACGAGGATAAGCTGGAGCGTGCAGTAGCGAGTGCGAAGGGTGTAGACGAGTTGTGCTGTGAATCAGCAGGCACCATCAAGCTAGCTTTCACCACCGGTATCAATCAACCCACGAGGCTAGCGCGATCCCTTCCTTCTTCTGCAGGCGGGCATGGCGGAGGGGTGAATGGGTGGAATGTCTCCAGTCCCCAAGCCAGTGTCTCGTGCCTAGTCATGGACGATTGTCCCGAATGGATCCACAAGAACAAGAGCGCGCAAATATCGTACAGCAGAGCGTTCTTTTCGGCCCTCAATGCTGCGGTCCCCCATGAGCAGACGTTCCGACTTGGGAGAATGACAACAGCAGAAGACTTTATGGTGGACACCAATACTTACGAGCACGGTCTGTTCCGACAAGCAGCGTACAAGACTGTGGACGAGGTGTCTTTTTTGAATGACGAGGGGAATTCAGAAGAGAACAGTCAACTTGTGGATGGACATCTGGTAAAGGCTGCATGGGTTGATGCTTCCATGTTCAATGTTCTATCTGGAAGTCCACTCATAAATCGACAATGGTATTTTAGAACTCGCTCGGAGTATAAGAGATCCATCGAGGAGGGTCTGGATATTATGCGAAGGGAGGTCGAAGGGACTGGAGCGAGTGATACGGATCAGTCTGGAAAGTCAATATGGGGTACCTGGACTGAGCTCTAGTAGGCCTCTTTGGTAGCAGCAGGTTCTAGTACAGGTACATACAGGGTGGTGAACGACGAATGTGACTGAAGTTTCCGAATGACCCTTCCTCCAGCTTGTTGGACTTGTACTCACGTTCCCTCCTGGCAAAGTGAATTTCAAGAAGGCCGTTGGACATGCGTATGTACCTATCAGACAGCCACCGTAAGAATACAGGGCAGAGTCAGCAATTGGCCTTCTTTGGAGAGACTTTGGAATCTGCAGGACTCGCTCGCTGGATATTCGACGCGTCGCCCAGGCACGATTCTCATGAAATCGACGCGACTGATCCTCTTCCTCTTTCATTTCCCATCTCACAACGACATGGCGATGGGCCAGTGGACGCCCACAGAAGACCCTTCGACTCTTCTCAACCCCCCACAGACAGCTCCACCTGCCATCCCCAGTGTCAAACCTGCCCCCAAGAGAAAAGCATCCGCCCCCAAAGCTTCCTCGTCCAAAACCATTCTACCATCGAAATCTATGCCGCCCCCGCGAGCTCCCCCAAGACATACTATCATCGGTGACCTCAATGGCGACTACTATCCCTCGGCGGGGCAGCAAGCTGAAGGAAGCGGTAGCAGCATCGCATCGGGATCTCGGACAAACGGACTGTCTGCTTATCAAGCAGCAAAGCAGAAACAAGCAGAGGACGGGGAATGGAGTGACGGAGAAGACTCTTATGGGTGTGGGTTTGACGGGGATCTGGAGATTATGGTGAATGGTGTTCCAAGAGGGCAGAGGCTTGCCCAAGGTGCGTCCAAGCCCTATCTTCTCAATAGTCTCGGACTGACCCGGATTTCCCAGATTCCTGGGCAGTGATGGCACAAGTCTTGCAAAATCAACCCCCCTCATCCGCTACAACGCTCCAGATACGAACCGATGCCGAACGGTACTACCAAGCCCTCGTCCAAATATCCAAAAACCCAGGGCCGCACCAGGAGCACCCCTGGGGCGACAGGATGCACCGGCTGTTGATGTTTTACACTTATGTGTCGGACGTGGGGGACAAGATTGTTTGTGCGAGGGCGTGTAATTCTCTAGGGAGCGACTTTTCTACAAGAGGGCTGAGGGAGCTGTTGGGTGATGCTGAGTACTTTGAGACGACTGGAAGTTTGATCAGAGATCCATGATGTGAGTCATCTACGATCCATGCAGAGCAGTGAGCTCATCTTCATCTAGCGCCGCGATACGATGCGATGTATTCACGAAATTATGTACTGGGTATTTGAGATGCAGCCGTAGCCAGAGCTTCATTATCTGCATGTATATCTACTTGTTCCCTTTGATCTCCCCTTCCCCATCCTACAGCTCATCATGCGCATGTCCCTCATGACCATGCCCATGGTTATGCCCAACTCCACCCGCCGCATGATCATGCCTATAATCCTCAAACGTCTTTCCCTCCGCCTCCAGATCCCTCTTAATCTGCCCCGCATGCTTTCTCACCAAACTCTCTGCCGCCCTCCTCGCACTCAGCGCCTGCTCGACAGCCGCATCCTTGTACTCTCCAGGTGATTCAGGGGAGGGCGTAGCGCCGAGGGCGGAAGATGCTGATCGGGTAGCAGAGTGAAGAGAAACGGAGGCTTCGCTCTGGAGCGAAGAGAGGATAGACGAACCGGTGGCGAGCGCTTCGGCAGCAGTCGATGATCCTTCAGAAGCCACCGACGCGAGATAGCTGGAAGCAGAAGAAGCCAGCGGCGTAGGCGTAGAAACCACACCCAACGCCTCTTGAATACCGGTGTAGATCCTAGCAGCCTGCTCCGTCACAGCATCCGCAGCATCAACAACGCCTTCACTAGCAGCATTGTAGAGCGACTCGGCGTGCTCTCCGGGAGTCTCGGGTGTGGGCGTACCGCCAGCAGCCCTCACAACGCTCCTTGTAGCATCATGCACATTCTCGCCCGCCACAGAGTACACCGACGCAGCGCCCTGCTGAACAACACCCGCAATAGACTCGAGATACTCTTCAGCAGATTCGGGAGTCGGCTGGGCACCCGCAGCGCTCAAAGCCGATCGGGTAGCAGAATGCACTGACGCGCTCGCATCGCTGGCGAGGACTGACGCGGAAGAAGCATAGTCTGAAGCGATAGACGCCGCCTGGTCGGTCGCGGCGTGATAAGCAGACTCGACGTGCTCCGCAGGCGAATCGGGCGAAGGTGTTCCTCCAACAGCCTTCACAGCAGCTTTAGACGCGTCCCGAGCTTGCTTGCCAGCGGCACTAACGACCCCCTGCGACGCAGAGCTAGCAGCAGCAACGACCGACTCGTAGCTCTCCCCAATAGATTCCGGAGTGGGCGTAGCGCCAACAGCCCTAGAAGCTGATCTTGTCGCCTCGTGGGCAGCACCAGCAGCCCCAACAGCAAGCGCCTCAAGACCCTCACTAGCGGCCTTGTAAACGCTCTCAAGATGTTCCTTGGGAGATTCCGGCGAAGCAGTACCGCCAGCAGCACGGATAGCGCTCTTGGTAGCAGCATCCAAGCTCTTACTCGCCTGCGCCAAAACATCCGCCGCAGCAAGGCTCACAGCGCCATACGCGCTCTCGGCATACTCCCTAGGCGACTCGGGGGAAGGTGTACCACCAGCAGCCTTGTACGCTGATCTTGTCGCTTCGTGTACGCTCTGGCTAGCGGCGGAAAGGATTGACTCGGCGCTGGACTGGGCTTGGGCGGCGTAGCCGGCGGTAGGCGTAGGGGAGGCTGCAGAGAGAGCAGAGAGGACTTGTTCTTTACCCTTGCCAATGACCCCGCCAGCACCAGCGATCCCGGCAGCAGCAGCTCCAGCACCCTCAACAACCGGTAAGATGCTAGCCTTTCCAGGTTCAGGCTTCTTCTCCTTGATATTCTTGGCGTTTTCCTTCTTGGCAGCCTCAACCTCTTCCCTAGCTTCAATCCTGTCCACCGCGGTTCTCTTCAAGATCCCAAGCCTGGTCCTGAAACCCTCGTGGATGTCGCTGAGTTCAGTACGCAGCTCGGCGAAAGGTTTGAAAGTGGTGGGTTCTTCGTGGAGGGCAATGTACTTGTCTTTCCAGGCGGAAGCGAGTTTGCGGATCTCGTGATACTTGTCCCAGTCCTTGACAGTAATATCGTCCACCCAAGACATCTACCCCCAAGTCAGCTATACCTCCCCTCAAACAATAGAAGAAGACTCACATGCTCAGCAAGCTTGACATACTCGGCTCCCAAAAGCGTATCGAGCACATCAAACTGCCCCTTCACAATCGGCTTTGCCTCCCCATGCACCCTGTTCTTCACCAGATCCAACCTAGCCTTGATCTTGTCCAAACTCTTGCCGACCCTCTCATCCGCCTTATCGCTCGAGTCCTTCACTTGCTCCCGCGTAAGAGTAGGCGATTGGGTGTATAGTCGGTCAAGACCCTTGAGGACGTATTCGATTTCCTTGTCGACCTCGGAACGCATGTTTGTCGCGAATTCGGGGATGGTGCGTTGGACCACGCCGTCATTGTGTTCTTTGAGCTGTACAATACATGAGCATACAGCGTGTCTTATAAAAGCGAGCCGCTTCAATTTACCTCCTTCTTGACTTGCTTTTCGCTCGTCTTGCCCTGCTCGTCGACCTTGGCGCGGAAAGTCTTAATAGCGTCGTTCATAGTCGCCCGGTCCCAGCGCTTGTTGTCCTCTGCGACAACCTTGGCCTCGGGTACTTCCACCTTCTTGGACTTCTCCTCAACCTTGGGCTTCTTCGCCTCAGCCTTCACAATCTTCTCCCCCTTCTTCGGCTTGATCTCACCCAGCTTCAAATCTCCCGTACTACCCTTCTTGGCCTTTTGCACATCCGTAAAATAATCATCCAGCCCACCCCTCGTCTCAGCCGCCGTCAAGCCGCTGGTAGGGAGCCAGTCCGCAAGCATCTTCAAAAACGTCTTGGGCTCTTTCGTCGGGGGGAAGACGGATTGATAAGCGGGCTGGACGTAGGGGGTATGGATGTGTTTGTTGTAGAGGGCGTAGTAGGGAGCAGCGACGGCGGCGGCAGTCTTGAGATGCGGGCCGACGTGGGGTTCGAGGTGCGTACGGTATTGGGCGCAAGCTTGACTAACTCATCATCAGCTTCAGTCAACAATCAAGATGAAAGACTCACGCCTTGACGACCCTCCAAGCTGCATCAATCTGCGCAAAAGCAATCTCCGCCGCCTTGACAGCCCTAGGTCCAAGTACCTGCGTCGCGATCCTCCTAGCCTCCTCTCCAGCTCGGATAGCATGCGGCCGACTCCACTTGTACGCCTCGAATCCCTTCTGTGACCCCACCTTGTACCCCTGTTGGGCGTACCTACTAGCATGCCCGGTGTAAGGGTGGCTAGCAGCGTACTGGTACGTACCGTACGCGTTGGCTCCCGCCTGCGATGCGTAAGCCCGGGCAGAGGCCAGATGGGGCGCAGTGAGCGCCGAAATGCGGGTAGTATAAGGGTCGACGAAAGTGTGGTATCGTGCTTTCAAGTATGGGATGTGAGGCTCGACGAATGTGAGGTAGAATCGTCGGATACCGCGCTGGATCCGGGTGACGACGGGCTTGACGGGACCGTTCCAGACTTTGACACCAACGCGTTGCGCCTGGGCGGAGGCGGGTTCGACATAGTTGACATAAGGGGAGGAGGTGATGAGCTTTGCTTGCAGGTCGTCCAGCACGGGGTAGACGTAAGGCTGGAGGACTTCGGCGTTGTAGACGTTGGCGGGATAACAGAGGATGGGGTGCGATTGGTGTTCGGGGTAACCAAGCGGGGAAAGCAGGTACTTGTTCACTGCCGAAGTCCCCGGAGGAGGACAGAGGACCGTGGAAGCGAGGGAGATGATGATGAGGAAGGGGATGGTGCTGAGGAGGGAGACAAAGCCCCAGGGATGACGCCGCACCTTGGCGACAGTCCTGGTCTGTAATGTCTTTGCGACGGCGGTAGCTTTGGTGCCGGCGACGACGGCCTTGTCCTTGGCGGTGGGGGGTTTGGAGGCTACCGTGGGACCATTCTGAATGACCTGTCAGTCATAGTCCCAGCTCTGCCCGGGCAACGTACATAAAACTTTGGGCTGGACTGCGCGTTGACGTTCTGCTGGCTTGATTTTCTGAAGGGCGAGGGGACCTGGCCGCCCAGTGGGGGCGGGCCCGATGTTTTTGACTTGGGCTTGGACATCGCTACCCTGTTGGCGCTGCAATGGGATGAAAGAGATGGAGAGATGAAAATGAAAGAGAGGATGATGCTCCAAAGTCCATGCGTCATAGCTAATGTGGGGGGGCGCGAAGAAAAGTGTCAGCTAACAGCGTGGAATTTGGTTCCAACGAACACGTCAGCTACCGTATAGATTATATGTCTCTAATTGTCTCCACTTCTCAAGTATCCATGCCTATACGTCGTGGTACATGCTTCTCCTTTCAATCATCTGGTATAAAATTCCCCCGCTTGTTCAAATGGTGGACTTCGCGGTTCGTGACTTGCTCAAACACCAGGCGCTCTCTCTCTCCTCTCCACGGATCAGGTCCACAGATTCGTAACCACACAGTTCTCTCTGTGCAGCACCGCTAGTAGATCTGCTGCCATAAAGGCAAGTAGCGGGACATACATCATCGACTAAAAGGTCGTATTGTTGCGCGACAGGTTGAACGACGTGGGTTCGATCTGGGTCCCGTATTGCGGCCTAAACAATCTCTGCAAGTATATGTGGCAGTGAGTGTGATCTTCTCCTAGCCCTTGATATACCAAAGAGTTTTACTTGCTTTGAGTGGCAGCGAACTCGTCTCGGTCAAATCGAAGGTGCCACAAGCAGCGTCTTTCTTGGGATTGACGAACTCGCGCTTTCTTGGGATTGACGGACTTGCGGCTCCTTGACGTCCTTACCATCACCCCATACATAATTCCTCTCTTTTCGCCTCTTTTGTCTTTCCCCTGCCCATCTCCCACACTTCCGTGCATTTATTATTATCGAATCTGCCATGAAGATAAGCCCACGCCCAATTGAGTTATCTCGTGCCTTGTGCCTCATTCCCGCGCTAAGAAACGTGCGTGATCCTCAGCCTTCCAGTGGTCCTTTCTGTTTTCGACATTTCACCAAAAAAAATTGAGAAATGGCTGTCTCTACTTCCTCTCCACATAATATATTGGCAGCACTACAACAAGTTTTACTGTATTCGCCATCAGGTTAATCAAACCTCGCCGCGCGGCCGACATAATCCACCGCCAAGAATCTCTTTCTATCATTCCCAACAGGCAACGAAATAAGAAAGAAAGTCGCGTGGGCATGGGCAGTCACCCTACTCCCTAGCTTCAGACCGTCCACCAACCCTTGAGGCCCCACCTACACCTCACCTACACCACCGAGCGAGTCCTGGTCATCATGAAGTACGGCAAAGAGTTCCAACAGCTCCTCAACGAGTCCGACTTTCCTGAAGAATGGAAATCCTCCGCTATCGAATATCGCCAAGTACGTCTCTCCATCTCCCCACCCCCTCTTCACTCATGTATTGTTTCAAGAGCTGACATGAAAGGCAGTTGAAGAAGGTCATCAAAGACGTAGTAGCCGAGCTCACTTCTATGGGTCTCTCGCCTGACGTCCTGCACAAACTGCTTATTACTGAAGATACGGAAGGCAAGTCTCTTATCGCCTCGCATACCCCCATGGTGTCGGACGGGGGTGGTGGTGGAGGGTTAACGGGGGAAGAAGGGGGAGGAGGAGAGGAGGATGTGATAGAGTTTGAGTTTGAGAGTGAGGAAGGGAGCCCGGTGGTGCTGCGTTCTGGTTCTGTCGACCTTCCTCCTCCCCCGCATCACCAGCCTGTCGAAGTCATTGTCCATCCCGTCACAGAACAACAAAATCTAGATGACGACGAACAGTCTGTCGAATCTCTTCATCCCCATCATCACCGCAAATTCCGACTGCGTCTCTTATCAGAAACATCCCAAACACCGAAGGAGGATGGCGCCTCAGTCAGACCTTTGAGTGTGACGGATATCATCTCGGCCCAAGAGCATACCTCAAATCTCTCGTTGGAGGATGTGCATCATAGGGGCAGAGGGTCCGAGCTCTCAGCGAGAGTACATGGGAAGAGAAAAGTCGTGAAAAAGGCTGTTAGTGATGGACATGGGGGTGTCAAGGCGGAGTATGTCCTTACAGGTGAGCTTTGTCTTGTGTGATTTGAGAGTGGGAGTGGAGCTGATGAATCGGCAGGTGATCCCCAACATCCCATCCCCCAACTCCGACTCCATCTCGACACATCCATCTCCCCATCACGCTCCCACTCTCACTCTCCTTCACCCGCGCCATCTTCTTTTGAATCAGAGACTGAACCTGAAATTGAGACGGAGACAGAGACAGAAGATGAGAATGGTGGGGAAGAAGCCTTCGACCTCGCCATGAAGACTCCTCGGGCTTTCAACAAAGTCACAAACCCAACTTTACCGTCGAGCCCGCACCTGAGCCGTATCAAAGGCGCCCGATCACCCATTTGGGCTATTGCGAGCTCTGGAGTGAGTGAGGGGATGAGCGACTTTTCGATCGGCGAAGCCGCCGTGGAAGAGATTCCCAACCCTCTTCCAGATCCTCCATCCCCAAACTTTTCGGCAATGTTCGAGCCTGCCTCGGCATCAACGACAGAACGCAAATTCATAATCCCCCTCGCCTCGGACCTCGCCTTCTTCTCCCTCCTCACCACCGCCCTCACTTCCCTCTCCTTGTTCCACGCCAGACAACAAACGCTCTTCCAACAATCCGTCGAGCGCTTATGCGCTATGATATCAAAGTCTATCTCGCCTCAGGGAAGTAGTCTTGAAGTACTCCCGACGCCTTTGACGCCAAGCGGGAGTAATATGAGCGACACCGTACCCCGCCTGCACGCTTCGACATCAGCAAAAGCATCAAAGAAAGATCTCTATGCATGGAGAGAGATATTCTCTCTATGGATCGAATCGCAGATATTCGAATCTACCGCCGAACGTGATCGCGGGGAACGTACCATCGAGCAAGCAGAGAGCAGGCTCCAGAAGTTTGCTGCGGAGGTCGTCAAACGTGGGCTGGGAGACCGACGGACGATGAAGGGGAAGAAAGTAAAGGAAGCTTGGGAAGAGTTTTTGAGGTTGAATATGTTGTTGCTGGACCTCAAAAGGTTCCAGACTGCGAATATCAAAGCAGCTCAAAAGTACTCCCCATCTTCCTCTCTAGAGGGGACCGTACTGACTCGGTTGTAGGATCTTGAAAAAGCACGACAAACGCACAGCCCTAACGGCCTCAATCGGCTTCCAATCCTTCGTCCGTTCCACCCTCACCGCCCACTCCCAAATCGACAAAGACGGCCACATCTCCACCTGGACATTCTACAACACCTCCCTCCCCCACGTCCTCCTCTCCAGCCTCACCTCCACCCTCCTGCCCATCCTCCCCAGCTTGGACGATTATGTGTGCTTGATCTGTACTTCTATTGCGTTCAAGCCGATTAGGCTGGGGTGTGGGCATTTGTTTTGTGTGAGGTGTTTGGTGAAGTTGCAGAAGGCTGGGAAGGGGGAGTGCCCGCTTTGTAGGAAGGATGTGGTGCTGCTGGCTGATAAGTGTGAGTCTTTCGTTCCGCTTGAGGTCAATAAATAGTTGGCTGACATGCCTTCTAGCGAGCTTGGATCTCACAATCATGCAGTATGTCTAGCCTATGATCTGTGCATACCCACGCTGACATCAACCTAGCTTCATGAAACAATGGTTCCCCAAGGAGGTCAAAGAGAAACAGAAAGAGAATGACGCAGAAGTGGTCAACGAGCGCGCACTAGAGACGGGTTTAGACACAAGATGTTCTATCATGTAAAAGGGTGGGAGCGACTGGTGTTGTTGTTTTGTTATGTTTGGGCCTCAGGTGCATATAATGCATTGGCTGATCTTGGCTCTATGACATATCAGAACGTCATCAAAGGGGTGAGGGAAGAGTGGAAGGCGAAGCGGCAGGAACGCGTATGAGGGTGAACTCTGAAAGGAGACTTGCCGACTGTCCTTTCTGTCTTGACCTTGGCTTGGAGTCAGTGTGATGCCCGATCTCGCTGGGAATTGCCAGTAAGTCTATAAGTATCGTCAACACAACGACCCGCCTTCCCAACACCCCTTCCCTCCCTTCCCTTTCACAACCTTCCACCACATACCCAAATCTTCATCACAATGCTCGCCATTCTCCCCTTCTTCGCCCTCCTCCTCCCAGCTCTCGCCGTCCCCACTCCCAACAACATCCCCGGCAACTCCACCATCGCTCCTCCTCGCCTTGCTCGTAACAATGTCCCCGGAAACTCCACTGTCGCGCCACCCCGTTTTACTCGCAACAACGTCCCCGGGAATTCCACTGTCGCCCCTCCTCGCGCGCGCAACAACGTCCCCGGCAACTCCACCACCGCCCCTCCCCGTCTCCTCTCCAGATCCTCCGACAATACCGACGCCACGTCTGCCATCATCAAAATCAACGTCCCCGCCTACACTTCCATGCTCCCCGATCCTTCCAACGCTTCTGCTGACGATGTTGCTTTAGCCGGTCCCGGGACTATCGGGATCCAAGTATGGGAGGGCGATGTGGTAGAGTATGAGTGGAAGATACAGGAGAAGGCGGTGGAGGATGATGGGGAGGCTGTAGATGCTTGGAGTTTACAGGTCAGTACAAAGCTGCTGTTGGCAGTTGAGCGTTGAGCTGATTCTGGTTAGTGCAACCTTACTCTCAATGATACTCTCAAATCGGATGCCACATTCGTCTTTTCCCTCAGTGCTGATGCTCCCTATCTGTCGGGCGACTTGGAGAAGGAAGTGCGCTTTGTATGCGCTGATGTGCAGTGCGTGAAAGATGGTGGCTGCGCTGATGACAGCTACGATCCTTCCTTTGACTCTGTAAGTTTCCGGCCCACAAGATCGCCAGTGGGGTATAAGCTAATGACTGTGAAGTCTACAAGCCCCGAGTAAACGTCTCGTAGTGACCGACTGTATGGACATGAAGCCCTTCCGAGCCAGCGGGAGTCCCAAACAGTTTTCTGAGGTAAATCCGTAGATCCTATGTCATCTCTTGGGTAAATGTTACAACATACTGCTATTCCCTTGATGTACAACTGCTCGTCGTCCCAGACAGTCGCCTATCTCCACTCATCTGCCAATCCCACATCCACCATCCCTCTCATGCACGGCCATACAAGCCATATCACAGCTCCATTCCAAGCATCTCGGGCACTTGTACGCCCCCACATAGCCGCAAGAAGAACATATCCGTCGGGGTGGAGTGTTTGGTGGGGGAGCTACAGCTGAGATATAGGGTGGGATCGGTTCGGCTGGCTATGTCACGCAAAGTCAGACGCGATATTGACGACACCAGACATGCGTACCAGCTCATCCAGCCAGTCATTCAGCGATTTTTTGTTGTACAAAATCCTTCTGACATTGGCTGTCTGCTTCTTCTTCGGGGGTTGGTTCACTTGCGCCAGTCCAGCAGCTTGCACATTGCCGGGGACGAAAGAGGATGCGGGAATATCGGTCGGATTCGTCCTCTTGCGTGAGTGTCAGCATGGTGTCCCATTCAGCGCTTTCAGTATGCACATACCTCTAATTCTTCAAGCCTTTTGTTCAGTCTTCTTGTTTGGAATTCTGTGAGAGCATCCGTTTGGCGATATGCCGAGGGTGCTGTCTGAGAGGTTTGGGCTGCCTGCTGCCGAGCTGAAAGTAGTGATCAGTAGCAACCATGATTAGAAGTGGTATGCTTACGCTGATTTCTCCGTACTGCCATGTGTAGATGCTGGCGACGGGGAAAGAGTGAAAGTTCAAGTTGTTTCCAGCTTGTACAGTCGTGTAGGCAAAAAAGTGGTGACGTGACAGTAACATTTGCTTCCGTCAAGGATGAGTACGTAATCATTTCCGGGTTGTTGAATTGTTGTTGTTGTTGAATTGAACAATGCCCGTTGGCTACCAACAACATCACCGAAACGCGGGCTCATAAATCTGGGATTGGGTGGGTTTGAAAACCCTAATCAAGGCCTCAAGGCCTTGAAAACCCCCTTATGCATTATTGAAAACTTGAGAAGGTTTACCGGGGCTTGGATGCATTAAACAGGTCTTGAAAACCATTGCCAAGGTGCCGCTGGTATCGCTGGCTCACGCACCCCTCGATACATGGCACAGCAGACGGCTGTAGCAAGCCTGGAAGCTGTCGAGATTCTTTGTTCTGCATTACTGATTGTACATCATATTCTACCCTCACCCGAACATCTAATGGCCCAGGACCCCGTAATGACCTCCAAACCTCGCCTCCAACCGGGACCACATCCTTCGCCTCTTCTCTTTCTCCTTCTCCTCTCGGTCTTGCTTCTGCTTCCGCCTCTCCCTTCTCTTCCTCTTCCTCGTGTGAGACTCCGTTTTTACAAGGTTACGGGGAGGCGGGTTGGGTGGGATGGGCGAGCCGTCGTTGTCCATCATGGGTCCATCGTCATAATCATTGCTGACTTTTTTGTCCAGGGCGCGATAGAGCTGTTTGACACTAACTTGCCCAAACACGGAAGGATCGAACCCGGCACAAGACAGGACAGTGAAGAGGTCTTTCACGGATTGTTGGGAGAGGTGGCGAGCGTTGCTTTGCACCCAGTTCATGACTGAGATATAAGAAGGGTCTTTTAGAAAGTCGGGTCTATGGGAAAGGGCTCAGCGACAGTACGACGTGCGGACGAGTGACGCTGGGCCTACTCACCTGTTGTCATGACCATCTTCTACCTGGTTTCGACTGTCCGCTTCGCCACGTTCGTCCGTCTCACCTCTCGCCGACTTGGGGACCAGGGGAGAAGTGAAGTGTACGCGGTCGGAGATAAGGTACATGGAAGACGTATCCTGCAACGAGTCGCCAGATCTCAGGGGGCTGCGCAAGAGGGTTGGAGAGTTGGTTGGTGTGCGGGAGGAGTGTGGTGATCAAGCCTGCTCTGAGATGACAGCTGAAGTTATCACCAAGTGCAATCGAAGGTTGAGTCCAAGTAGTGAAGAGGGATACGCAGTTGTGTTTGGATGAGGTCTTGGAAGGAGCAGCAGAGGCTAAAGAAGAGAGTCAGAGAGTTTTTGTTGAAGTCTCTGTCCCAACACCCAGTCTTTCTTATATACATGAATGAGTGACGAGACGATAGACGGAGCGACTAGTACTTGACACGACTACGGCACGAAGCGAATAGAGGTACAAGTCGACCAGCGAAGCGTACGAAAAGGCTAAATACAATAAGAAAGAGGAGACGGGTGGAAGAAGGTAAGGGTATCGAATATGGGCGTGTCGATGTGCGTCGGACGGAAGAGAACGAGAACGAGTAACCGACGGCTGACGTTATCGAGTACGTAAACAAGGCGCCGGCCCGTGATTTGCTTCCGCCGCTCGTCCCTCTCGGTCAGCTACGGATAGACGTCTTGATCCCTTATCCCTCCTTCCTCTTTCCATCTCCATCTTCTTCTCGCTGTAACAACACCATTTCCCCCCGGACCAGCCTCAGAGAATCTGAGACAAAGGCCCAGGACGATCCAAAATCCTTTGTTACCCGGACTAGAGCACTGCGTGCGTCTCCCACCCGGCCGGGCGCGTAATCGACCCTTCCCACCCGGACGTGACGCCTCTCCGCCTCTCTCCCTCAGACTTCGGCCCATCCGTCTACCCTCCCCACCCACTCGCCTCTGAATTCCAACTTGAAGCAGTAAGAACGAAGAAGAAAACAAGCCGACATGTCGTTAAACCACCATATCCCTAAAAAGATCTCCCTAAAGCCAAAGGCGCATCATGGTTTCCAATTTGTGCTCTGGCTCTTGGGCTTGTTGTTGCCCCCTCTAGGTATGTCTCTTCATCCCTCTTATCTCGTTTTAATTTTCCGTGGCGCGTATGAGGGTCGATGGTGGACGGAGGAAAGCGGGGACTCGGTAATCCGCCTGCGAAGTGGCCTATGGATTAAGGAGCTGATGAATGGGGCTTTCAGCTGTGGCTGTGCGATTCGGTATAGGAGTCGACTTCTTTATCAATGTCTTCTTGTGTATCTGTGGCTGTAAGTTCTCGCTCTCTATCGCTTTGAGTATGAAGTAGATCTGACGGCGATACAGATATCCCTTGTCACATCCACAAGTAAGCTTCGTCTCTCCTTCACCAATGGATCAGCTTGAAACGAAGGATGGGAATGAAGACGGGAGATTGGAGGCTGACGATATTGTAGCTTTTACATTCAAAACATCCGAAACAACCAGAACCGCGCCCGAACCCCCAAATGGGCTATCAAAGTACGCCCTTCCCCTTCCCCTTCCCTTTTCCAAAAGCCATCTAACACCCCACCCCAGTACGGTCTCGTAGACAACTCCAACAACGAACGCCGCGCCCAAAAGAACCTCTGGGCCAAACGCTTCGAAGAACGCAACAACCACTCCACCCTCACCGACCAAGAGCTCGAAGCCGGCGAAGAAGGGCCAAACTATGATCCGTATGCGGAGAGTCCTGCGGAGGTTGAGAGGAGGAGGAATGAGGGGCTTTGGAGTGCTGAGGATGAGGAGTATTATAATGCTGGTGAGTTCTGAAGCAGGGAGAGGAAAGGGAAAGGGGAGGGAAAGAGGGAAGGGAAGAGGGCTGACAAGCGATGTGACAGACCGAGCGCCGAACCAAAAGTCTTGGCACTACCCCGCCAACTTTGAAGGTACCGTCGGCGATGGCAGGTCGTACAAACGTAAAGGAAAGTCTTCTGGCTCTTCCGGTGGCGACCGATGGCAAGTAAGTCCCCATCTCCCCTCCCCTCCCCTTCTTCTTACCCAGCTCGTCCCTATTACCCATCTGACAATGAGCTTTAGCGCGCCGCTCGCCGTTCCTCCGTCTCAAGCTCTACCAACACCTACCCCCCCACCGCCGCCACCGAAGACGACATCCCCGAATGGGGCCGCGACTACGGATCCAAAGGCCGTAAATCTGGCAAGAAGCAGCAAAAAGCAGCGGCGAAGAAGAATGGCGGTGAGAATGAGTGGGCGAGGAACCCCGAGTTCAATTATTCGAATGAAAGGGCCGGGGCTGGGTACAGCAATGGGGCTGGGGGTGGAGGAGGAAGGAGGAGGGGGGATAGTGGTGCGAGCGCAGGGAGGGGAGGGGGAGGGAAGTCGAATGGGAATGCGGCTGCGGCCCCGAGTGGGAATGGGGATCCTAATTGGGACCACCAGTTCTAGGTCTGGTCTGGAGAAGGAGCAGGAGAAGGATAAAGATAAGGGGCGAGCGCGTCCAGTATGGTTGTTGTTTTTCGGTTCGCGTGTTTCTGCGAGTCACGTTTTGACGGTTTTGGCTAGTTTAGGATTCTAGGATATTGAGGATTTCATGTATACCCCGAGCGCTTGAGCAGAGCTTTCAACTTTCAATCAACGGGCCCTTAGGGTCATACTGTCCATGCCGCTGTATTGTTGGTAACTATGCATTGCGCATGCTATCTGCAAAAGTAAGAATGTACCGCGAGGATGAGATGAAGTGGTACAGAGAAGCAAAAAGCAAAAAGGAAGTGGGAACTGGGGGTTGATCCCAGGACCAATAGATATTTGCGATTAGACAATTGCAATCTACTACTCTACCACTGAGCTACTCCCACTTTGCTTTCAAACTTGATGTGAAGCAATATAAGACGTTGAGCAGCCCGCCTTACTGGCACTTATGTATCCGCTTCTTCCTTGGTATATACAGGATGTACATGTCCTGAGTTTGGTCAAGTCATGGAGACGATCGAGCAAGAAGGCGAGCTTTCTTGTGTTGCAAATCAGCCCAACGTATATATCAGCGACTGGAGAAGCCATATGTCCGCACCCATACCTTAACTGTAGCTGACCAGCTTTCTGTCCTCTACCCGAGAAATATCCTGCCCAGCTATGAGTTGCCCCGGACGAGCCCCAGACGGGAGATGCCTCAACATCTCGCCTATTAAGCGGGGATAACGTTGACGGTGCCTAAGACGGTGGATAAAATTGGGCTCCAGACTTGTCGATGCGGTTCTCCACTTGCATCCAACGACCCAGCACATCGTGTCCCACACCACGCCCAGCCCACCCATCCCGTCCAACCCACCACGCAGCGCGTCCAGGCCACCACAACACGCCCCACAACACACCCAGCTCGCTCCAACGCGCCTCCGAGGTGACTCACCGCGTGCCAGCGAGCAAATCGCGGATCTCCCATTTTCTCATCCCTTTTCCTTGCTGTTCACTGCCTGCCTGGTGTCTTGAAGCGTGATATCCGCCCACTGCGTTGACCGCGTGTATAGGCGCATCTCTCAAAAACCTTCGGACCGCTTTCAGATACATACCCGCCCGCGACGCTCGACGACCCATCTCCAAATGTCTCCATCGATCTCTCTCTCCCCCTCCAATGCTGCCCCCCAACCCATGTTTCCCCGGTCACAAGCTCCTCGGCCGACACATACCCACTCGTCCCCTGCGCTGAATATCATTAGCAACAAATCTTCTCCCGCCGGGCCTGCGGGCGGCCCAACCGTCAGGCGTGCTCCCAGTGCGCCTGCCGCAGCTGTGGGCGACAGGGTGACGGGGGTTTCGGAAAAGCTCGTATCACTAGCAACAAGCTCTGGATCAAGCAGCGTTGAAGAGGCGACCGGGAAACCATCGTCCACCTCCCCGCTGGCAGTGTTCAACCAGCCCCTCCTACCTTCCGCTCCGATCCCAGAACCCATAACGGGCCTCCCCAAACGCCGTCCCAGCACTTCTTCCTCTCACGCTGCGTCGCGTTTACCATCGCGTTCGCATACGCCTGCTATACATAACGGCGGAGAGACGGATACGGCCGATGGAAAGCCGACACCGCAGACGGGCGCGAGTAGGATGGCGGCTGCTGCGAAGCGTGGTTTGGACGGGGAGGTTGGAGGGGAAGAGGTGGCTGATCTTTATGAAGAAGGACATCCCTTGAGCGAAAAGTGCTTGCGTGAAAAGTATGTCCTACTAAACCGACATGAGAGGTCGCTGACGATGTCGCAGAGATTATAAATCCCTAACAGTATTCGACCATCCCTTCCACATCCCAAACCGCTTCAACCTCCTCCGCTCCCTCGGTAAAGGCGCCTACGGCCTCGTCATCAACGTCCAAGACACCTACACCGACACCACTCTCGCCGTCAAATGCATCACCCGCGTCTTTGACAAGGTCATACTAGCAAAGAGGGCTTTGAGGGAGATCACGCTGTTGCGGCATTTTTGGGGGCATGAGAACTTGACGGGGCTTGTGGATTTGGATCATGTGTGGGATGGGTATAATGAGATTTATCTCTACATGGAGGTACGTCCACCCTTCTTACGCACTTGACCAAACTGATTGGAGGTCAGCCGATGGAAGCAGACCTCCACCAAATCATCCGCTCCGACCAAACCCTCACCCCCGCCCACTCCCAATACTTCACCTACCAGCTCCTCCGCGGCATGGCCTACATCCATTCCGCCAACGTCATACACCGCGACCTCAAACCGGGGAATCTGCTGGTGAATGGGGATTGTGAATTGAAGATTTGTGATTTTGGGCTGGCGAGGGGTTTTAGGGCTGTTGATGGGGAGGAAGGGCAGGAGGATGGGAAGATGACTGAATGTGAGTTAGCGGTTTGGGGAGTGGGAGGGAAAAGCTGATGTATGTAGATGTGGCTACGAGATGGTATAGAGCGCCTGAGATCATGCTCTCCAACAAGAGATATACCACAGCCAGTACGTCATATCCCCATCATATGCCGAAAGCATTATTGACGAGAACAGTCGATGTCTGGTCGATAGGCTGTATCATCGCCGAACTCCTCGGCAGGCAACCAATCTTCCGAGGTGACAGGTCAGTCCTCTTTATCCCTTCACGAATTCATCCACCAGCTAACGCGAGGGTAATAGCTATGTCGAACAGCTCACACTCATCTTCCAAACCCTCGGTACCCCCGAAGACGAAACGCTCGAAAAGCTCGCTGGTGAAAAGGCATGCGCGTTCGTGAGATCTCTGCCTCATTACGAGCCCAAGGACTTGAGGGATCGATACCCTGATGCCGAGGATGATGGTACGTCACTCCCTACAATAAATTCGTGGTTGCAAGCTGACTCGAGGCTAGCTATCGACTTGACGAAGAAACTGCTCCAGTTCGACCACCACCTCCGTCCCACCGTTGCCGACGCCCTCAAACACCCCTACGTCGCCAAGTACCACGATCCCTCGGACGAACCTCCTTGCGAGATATTCACAAAATGGGAAGAAGTGGAGGGGCTGAAGACGATTGAAGAGCTCAGGGAAGCTATCAGTCGAGAGATCAGGGAGATCCGAGAGGAAGTTAGAGCGATTGTGGAAGAGGAGGAAGATGGGGAGGAGGAGATGATGGTGTATGATGATGGGAAGGTGTTCTTTGAGACGCCTGATATGTTGGCTGCGCCAACGCTCGAATCGTCTGATCCGTCAGACCCTGTCACATCGTCGACAAACATCATCACACCCTCCACCCCTCCCACCGCCACCGCCACCGCCAACGCCACCGCCCCGCCTTCCCAATCCCCCAAATCAATCCCCTTCCCCGTACATCCTCGTTCATCAAGCCACTCTGTATCTTCCTCCCGTGCTTCCTCCGCCCCCCGAACAAGAGAACACTCGCCCTCTACGCCGCATACTGCGCTATTAGAAGAAAGCTTTGGCGCGCCATACGGCAGGGTGTCTAGGCGGTCGTCTACCCATTCTTTGGGCGGTGGTAGGCGCCCCGGAAGCCTCTTCTTCCATCCTTTCGGAAGCGGCATGACACCCATGTCATCTATCGTCCCCTCCCACCCTTCTACACCTTCCACCGCTACGGCGTTTAACCAAAACCAAGAACCAGAGACGGCGAGAGACACGAGCTTGGAGAGCCGGGATCGGAGGCCGTCGGGACATTGGAGGAGCCGGTCGAGGGCGGCGAGTCAGGTTGGGGGATCGTTGGTGCTCGACAGACTTGCTGCCCTTGACGTCAAAGACCACCACGATCCCTCTAAGCGTGCTGATGGGGCGGCGGGAGGACAGGGTAGGGTAGGGTTGGGGATTGGAGGGGATGCCGAAGTACCGCCGATGACGGTCTCGCCGAGCGATGCGCCTCCTAGTGCCCCGCCCAAGGCTTTTGGGTTGATTTAGAATTCTTAGAGACCGACTTTCTGTTGGTATACTTAGATGGTGGCGCGGGGACTAGGCTTTGAGGCGTATGTTGTGGGGAGAGGGGTGATCATTTGAGATTTTGTATGGGGTAGCATCTTTAGATCGCTGATGTCTTCTTGTCTTCTTGTATGCATTTGTTGGTATCTGTGCGGTCTCCGTGCATTGCATCTATATGGGAACATAACACATCATTCATATCATAGCACACCATCAACATATACTTTTTTCCAAGAAGGTCGTCACAAGATACTCTAGCTTCTTTCATTTCAATTTGGTATCAATATAATATTCGTTACACTAGCACATGTCAAAGGATATAGAATAAAAGAAATTGGAAACAGGAGGATAATATCTATATACAACGGAGGTGTGGCAAAGATGATGGAATGGAAAAAAATATCTCCGTGTATATTGATTTGTTGGATGACGGATTTGATGCTGTCGGATGAATGAATGTACTTTGGTGAGGTACTGTATGAGAAAAGAAGAGAGAAAAAGAGAGAGTCTATGTTATGTCTATGTCAAATCAAATCAAGGGCAGGCAAAGCACCGGCTACAGAAAGAATCCCAAAAGAAAACTACCACACCCAGAGCCCAGCTCTTTACTGATACCGTCTCGCCTCTGCCCACGCCCTCTCCTCATCATCATACCCGTCCGCATCCCTCGAGTACCTATACGAAGGACTCTCCGTATCCACCTGCCCATACCCGCCCGATGATCTCGGATAACTACCATTCGCAGCTTGAGCGTAAGCGTCTGCTGCTGAGGCGGAGGTGGGGGATGTTGGGGAGTGGTATTGCGATACCGGCGATGTGGGGGAGTACGGCTCGGAGGTGTACTGCTTTCCGGAAGGGTAGGAGGATGGGCGGTAGTTGTGACCAGGATAAGGCGGGTCGATGGGTGTGTGGAGCTCGCTGCTAGAGCTTCCTGAGCCGCTACCAGAATGGTCCGTCGCCCGTCGGCCTGCACCGGCCAACCCAGCCCCAGCTCCAACCCCAGCGCCATAACCATTCAAAGACGCTCGACTCCTCGCGGCCGCATCGGACGACACAAAGTCATGGGCGTCCATCTCTTTCATGATGGGAGCCGGGACGGACGAGTTTGAGGAGGTGGGGGAGAAGCGCTCGACTTCGAGGCCGTCTTCGATCCGGGTAGTGTCCTTGCGCCAGAGGTACCCGTAGCCTGTCGTCCCATCAGCTTCGAACGACAAGAGGAAGGTAGAAGACTCACCGATGTTCCAGAGGAACCCAAAGAAGAGGATGACGACGGGAATACCAGTAAACACGATGATCACAAACCCAATGACCGCCCTCGGGATCGGCCTAACCCCCACACTCGGGATGAACGCCACCAACAGCCCAAAGGAGATCATTCTACACATACTCAAGAACCCGCCGAGCCAATCGCCCTTCTTGTCCTTGTGCGGTCGCGTAATCATCATGGCCACAAAGACGATAGCCTCCACCACGATATTGCCAATGACCTGCGCCCAAGCGTTCGCGGGCCCAAAAGCGATAAACCCCGCTCGGGCAATCATGGCAAGCACAAACGGCGCAAACCAGAACCAATTATACTTGGCCCTATACTGCCTGTAAAGCACGCCCAAAGAGTGGAAATATCGGTACGAGACGTAGATCGGGTTGACTTGGGGGTTGAGCTGGGAGGTGGTGCGAGATCGGCGGAGGGTGAGGAGGAAGGCGGCGAGGAGGGGGAGGAAGCAGAGGAGGATGCCGAATACGGCAAAGAAGATGGCGAGACCAGAGTCGCCTATGTGGAATTGCCAGAAAGCAAAGATGAAGATGGGGAAAAAGGCGATCATGCACTGTGGTGGGGTTAGCGGGCGATCTCTGCGGATGGGAGGAGGCGTACGAGTCGGAGAGCGTTTCCGATACAGAATGGCCACCACATCTTTCTCAGCCTCGGCGCCCAGTACATGCCCTTTCGCCCATGGCCCATCTTTTCAAACAATATCACAAAGCCAAAGAGGACCGCATGGAACGCGATGAAAATTGCAATCAACGCCAAAAAGGCAAACCATACCGTGCTGTAGGCGTTGGCTTCGGGAATGTTGATAGTGTTGGTGTAGACGGGAAGTCCAGTGTTGAGGTCTGTAGTGGCATTCTGCGCAAGGGCCGAAGCGATCTGGACACGCTTTGACAAGTGGTGCGCCTCCAAATCCCGTTTCGAGATGGAGTTGGCAGCCACAAAAGTGTTGAAAGACTCGGTCGACGACCCAATGTCGTTGACGTTGGCATACACATTGTATGGCGAAAACTTGCGGTTGATATACTGCACGTCCGAGTACGCTTCCGAGTCCATCGTACCACCCGTCTTGGCGCGCATCTTGTTGATGCTGCTCTGCATATTGCTCGAGTGGAACAGCCCCAGCGCCCAGGAAAAGTTTTGCACAAACGCCGAGTAGGATAGCGAGTAATTCAGGTGTAGCAGACCTGTCGCAGCGGCGGTTTGGAATATGAATAGAATGTCGAACCAGCGGTACTGTATCGGTGACGGGCTTGTTGCAGAAGCGGTATGCGCTAGTGCCACGAGGAAGGCAACGAGGGTGAAGATGGCGGTGGCCCAGACGACAGCGCGCTGCTTGGTAGTCTTGCCGTTGGCGAGGGTAGCCTGGAGGCAAGCGGCGACTTCGCCATTTTCGACTCGAAGGAGCTCGACGCGGGCATAGGCTTCGAGATTGGGGACGGAGAAACCGATGGATGGGATGTCCTGGGTGTATCTGGATGGGATAGGGTACGTGCCGTAACCTTCGGGACGGTCAGCTTTTGACTCTGCATAGCATTGGACTCTGAGCCGGGTTAATATTGGACCCGGTGGGTCGCTGATAAATCACTGGCCAGAGCGACAAGGAGAAAGAAGGATCGAGGAATACACCCAGAGCAATGCAGAGGTCCCAAGAAGGAGAGAGACCTACCAGAAAAATTGACCTGGGGCAGAGGACAAGCGACACCCGATAACAAATCACAAATCTCCAGCGTCTGGTTCACCACCTCGATCCCAAACGCATTCACATACAAATTCGCCGACACGTTCAGGTTCGACTCGACCGATGCGAGGGAAAAGCTGAAAGTGACCGATTGGTTACTGCGGTGGTAGGTGATTCCAAACTCGTCGACGATGACGGCCTTGGCCTCGGCGCAATATGTGACCGCGTCGGTGTAGAGGGTGTCGGCCGCGAGGGCTCGGAGGGGGGCGAAGGTGAGGAGGGCAGTGATGAAGTGGACGATGGATGATATACGCATGATGGATGATACTGAAAGCACAGGTGAGCTTGGCCCCCTTATAGACGACTCGGACAATGGCGACGCACTAGGCTGAATGTGTTTCACGCACAATAGAAAACGCGCGCGCAGTACACGTTTGATGGGAGGGTACGATCAACGTTCTCCGTCGTCTATGCACTGGCTAAGCACTGGGTGGCGAGGCAGGAAGAGATGCAGAAGAGAAAGACGTCGTCAATCTCCCGGCCGAACGGGTCAGGCTCGGTGAAAGATCTGCTCTATTAGCGATGGTGCTGTGAGGTCGGTGGGAGGCTGCTTTCGTTCCTTTTGTCGCCGAGGGCCTTCTGTCGGAGTCGCCGCTGGGTCAAGGACACTGCCTTGGTCGTGAGAGAATGACAAATGAAGGAGAAAAGAGAGAAAGATACGAAAGAGGATGATTTGAATCTTGGGAACGATACGGCACTAAGGTTTTCAGGGATCTCTTGGACTGTCTCTCTTCTAGCTCTTGGTGGAGTCACCTTTCCATCTACCAAACGAGCCTTGGCGATGCGCCCATGCATCATCACTCTTGGGATCTCACTCGTGCAGGGGGTATGTTAGCATCGATCATACCGCTCCACCCATGCGCTGCAAAAGCTGCCTCAGCATCATGCCGTCTTTACGTCACAGCAGACGCCGTACAAGTCCAGGCCAGCCACTTCTGGCCGAGGTGTTTGCTCATACACACCATGCATCACCTCACTCAACATGTCCAAGAAGCATGGAGTGGTGCATCGAGGGTCTATCCGACTGCTCGCTACTGAGAGTACAGCGGTACAACGGCAGCCATATATAGCGCGATATCACAGCATGTCTGCTCAGTTCACAGCCTACCTCCGAGCTAGAGCCGTTCCTCCAGTGACCAAACGCCCCTCCTCATCGCTGTTGCCTGCTTCATCTTTCCATCTTGGAGATCCATCATCTGGCAGCGTGCATTGGCTGGGGAGCATTCAAATGTCCTTCACTTCCAACAAATACTCCAAGAGGAGCATGAAGATTGAAATGGCAAGGAGGAGGAGGGTTGATTAGAGTTGATCGACAGGCACTTCCTTGTCTCTCAACCCTTTGCACCCGCTCCCCGCTCTTCCCCCGTCAACTTCTTTTCTCTTTTCTTTCGCTTTTTTTCAAGACCATGCACAAGGCCGAAGCGCTCTTGCATAAGAACCCATTGGGCTCCCACAATATCGGTGCATTGTGATCGATGAGGATGCGAGTATATACTACAAGAGTACGACGACGAAGGACGACGAAGAAGACATCATGGATGCCCTGCTTTTGGTTATGGAGGTTCCACATCCACACGAGGCAGGAGGAGAAACTGAGGTGTGCGTGGGAAAGAAGATGGGTTGAGCGGCCGATTCATTAAACTGAAGCTCGATGTGAGCTGACCTCATGATCTGTGATCACGTGCCGCCACTCTCAGTATGACCAGAAACACTATATATGTAGAGTGCGAGTACAGCATGAAGTTTGAACAAGCTCTGCACATATAAGAACTATCCTTCCCCAGGCTTCCTCCTGCGAGGTACAGACATATTCAGCCAGAGAACTGTTTCTCGACTCGGCTTCTATACGTTCTCTTTCGTTTGCCACCGCCACCTGCCCCTTCCTATAAAGGCTTGCGCGATCACAGAAAAACAAAAACTACAGTAGAGGAGGAAAGCGGGATGGGGCACCGAGAAGGGGTGGGTCTATACGTCACTATGCATGAATGGAGATTTCTGGATCATTCGAAGTCTTATCCGCAACTATCTTCTCTTCCCTCTCCTTCTCTCTTCATCCTCGACTCCCTTACCACTTCGCACCTCTCGCCTCTCACCAACCCTCCTCAGCCCCCCCCCGCGAGAATTCGCCAAAACGCTACAAAGAAGAGATAAGCCAATCCCCAGGGGGAATGGCGGATTATGCTGATAGGGATAAAAAAGGATGGTCGGAGGGAGCTGGGGGATAGGGAATTTGAAGGTCATTGGGCAAGGGAAAGGAGGAAGGGGGAGGGGAATGGGAGATTAGGCGAGGGCAGGGGTGGGTGGGGGAGCTTGTTCGGGTACTGTTCATAGACCATCATCAGCACACATCACAAAAGCCTCACTATCCAACCATTCCGTCTTCCGCCCAAGACTACTCTCAGAGAAGTCGAGGACAGAGGATGGAAGATGGAAGATGGGAGAAGGGAAGACGTACATTGCATCTGAGGAATAGGCTGCGCAAACATCCTGTTCATCAAAACACCGACACCTACAACACATATTAGCGCTGTCTTTGAGAGAAGGGGAGGATGATGGGGGACGTACCTTCAAAGACACCGAGCAGGATACCACATCCGACAGCACCTCCCAACGCGGCTTTCGGTCCAGCTAGGAATCGTCTGTCAGCTCCATACCTTCATGCTCTCTCCCTCTCCCTCTCTTTCTTCCCTCATACACAAGCTGAGCAGAAGCACACTCACATCGGATAGCCAAACTCCCACCCGTCAAGAACCCCGCCATGATAGCATTCCACGGATCCTCCTTCTGCCTATACCCCTTCACCGCACAGTCGAATGTCGAAAAGAGACCACCCCAGACACCAAAGTTTCCACCGAGCACGGGGGCACGGGCTTTGATGGCGGAGAGAGAGCCAGGGAGACGTTCGCCCTGTTTAGTTTTATAGGTCCGTCATTGATTCAGAGTGGGAGAGTGGTGGGGATGGGCGGTGGAGGAAAGGAAAAGGAAAGGGGAGAGCGGAAGTTAGTGAGAGATAGAACAAGTTTGGGAGTGACGCACTCGAGGAGAATTTCTAGCACCCTTGATACCGTGCCAAATACCACCACCAATAGCACCCATCGCGAACGCTCCTCCGAAATCGTTCAAAATGACATAGGGGCTATCATCTTCCGTCAGCTTTGTTCATCATTCCACGGTCTTTGTATCCTCATCAGATTGAGAGGGTGGGGTGGAGGGGTGGAAAAAGGAAGCGTACCAGGGGTCTCGGCCGTGGTCTGCAGTGGACATGACGAATCGGTTTTCAGAATTAAAAAAAGTTGACGAGTCGGAGTTGTTGTATCTCTTTCGATGGCGCTACTGGGCAAATGAATATCCTCTTCAAGCTCGGCAATGTTCCGATGGGTCCAGGACAGTCGGGTCCAGGAAGGGGTGTAGGCGAAGAGTCGAGCAAACTGGAGGCGAAAGAGAAAATGGCCGAAGCTTGTGCAGTTGAGGAAATTAGATCCCGCTCCGTTTCTTATTAAGGCTTAGTTATTTTTTCCCTATGATCTCTTGCAACAACAAATCTCTATCACGGCTGCATCCATCTCCCAACCCTCAGACGTATCAAGACCAGAAGAAGAACACTACAGACATTATGGCGGAATCGACGAATATCATCTTTGACGATAGGTTCACCGTAGACGTCCGTCCCCTCCCCCTTCTTCACCCCCCTTACACCTGCAACATAACTGACGCAAGACCATTAGACGGTAGACAAAGACGGCAAGAAGTTTGACCGCGTCTCCCGTATAACCGCCACCTCCCACAACCACTCCATGGCGCTCACCCTCGACCTCGCTGTCGAGCTCTACCCCTTGCTCTCTGGCGAGACTTTTACGCTTTCTCTTGCTAGGAGCTTGGAACCGGAAGAAGACGAGGAAGCTGAGGGAGAAGAAGAAGGGGGGGAGGTGAAGAAGATCAAGAGAGAGTTGTGGAGGAGGGAGAGTCAGGGGTTGGGGGATGATTATGACTATGTCATGTATGGCAAGGTGTGTTCCCATTTCCATGTAGAGTGATGGGTTTGGCTGACGGCAAGGTAGATCTACAAGTTTGACGATTCAGCTCAAGGCGATGCTCAAACGTGGGTCAACTCTCTATATGAAAAGGGGAGAGCTGACTGAAAGCAGTACGGCGTACTTTTCTTTTGGCGGTCTGTTGATGGCTCTGCGGGGTTCTTACCGCCATCTCGCAAGCGTCGTTGTAGGAGAGAACGTATACCTGCTTCTCCGAAAGTAGTCTGCTCCGTTTCTTGACCCTGACATGTAAAATCACTAGACAACATATATCTGCATAATCTTTCCAACGGCCCTTTTCATACCGCAAAAGAGATAGAAAAGCGTCTACTGATCCTTCCTCTCCTTGCCCATCTTTTCGCGCGGGATGATGTTGAGCATCATAGGCGGCACCTGGATCCCCACCAACTGCGTAATTGCAAACGCCAAAAGCGGGATGAAGATCCCAAACGTAATCAGCAGCGCCGTGATGATGGGCGTGGTCAGGATCTGTACCCTGTCGAGTAAGGGCGCGGTCTTGGGAGGGATGGTGCTGTTGCGGGAGGTTGAGGTGGGGGTGGAGGGGGCGGTTTGAGATTCAGAGTAGGTGTAGGAGGAGGAGGGGTTGGAGGGGAAGGGGTATTCTTGGCGTTTGGTGTGGGTGGGAGGGGAGCCGGTTAGGATGATGAGCGCTGCGCTTGGGATTTCGGTCCATGGCACGACTACCTTCATCAGCTTCTAAAACCTTATGGGTGCTTGATAAACTCACCTTCTCCCTCCTTGATCCAAAGATCAACCACCTGCCTACCCCCATCCAACTCTTCAAGCGAACCGACCACCTCCGCCTCACACGCGCTCGCCCAATCTTCCAGCCCACCCGACAATCCCCGGCGGGAAGGCCCCTTCAAGTACGGGATGTGCAGGTGCGCGTCGGAGGGGGTGTTGTAGGCGTCGAGCTTGGAGTGATGCAGCTTTCGACACGAGGTCAGCGAGCGAGCGAGGGATGGAGGGAGACAAAGGAAAGTTGCGCACCTTGTCAACGTGTACGACTACAGCATTGTCCCATGCGCACCCGAGGTATTTCAAGCCCTTGTATACAGCTTCGCCTTCTACCAACGCTTTGCCACCTGCGAGCGCCTGCTGCCATGCCGAATCCCTACAACTCGTCAGCTTGTCCCCCCCAGCTCAGACACGACTCACTCGTTGTCATTCCACACCAAGAACGGGGCTGTATCCCTCATCCCCCACGCCGGGAGGGCAAGCATAGCCAGAGCCAGGACTGAACGCATCTTGATATAGTCTTATGGAGAAACGGTAAACTGCCAGCGATGATAGGGATGATGCTGCCTGTCCGGACACTGGCGGTGGGCGGACAGCGGAAGCAAAAAAACGCCGATGGTAATACCGCATGCGGCGACTCTCTCTCTATTTGTCTCCCGCTTCCACTCTCCTCTATCATTCCAACACCCAGCCATGTCCCCAGAGTCTACCCCCGTCCCCTCCTCAGATCACCCACCCCCCTCCAAGGGCAGCAAGGGAGGTCCCAAGGGCAAGAAGGCCGCCCAGGGGGTCGAGGTGCACAAGTTTAAGGTTGGGGATATCGTACTTGCCCGTTTGAGGGGGTACCCGCCTTGGCGTGAGTCATTGGAGTTTTGGGATGGTGGTTGAGAGGAAGTGGTGTGATGGGAATGAGAGCTGACGCGTTTGGGTAGCTGCTAGAGTGAGTTCTTGGTCTGAACGCGTCGCGCCGGCGCGTGCATCTCTACATCTCTGGTCTTTTGAGAGCATCTGGTCATCTCGCTCTTGAAGGTGTAATCAACCGCACGGAGGTTATCCAATGTGGAGACTGCCAAGCTGTCCATCACTGCGCTGTCGGAGGAAGAACGCTTCATCCCACCAGCCGCGCGTGACTCCAATCTCCTCCCTACGCCTTGGAAGATGAGCTCGTAAGCCCCGACTGGACGCTAACACCTACAACAGATCGCCAACCCCGAAACTCTGCCCCGCAACGTACTGAAGCAGAGACCAGGCAAAAGCCCCGCCATCTTCTGCACCCAATTCTTCCCCGCCGGTGACTTGTACGTCCCCCGCCCCTCCCCCTCCCTATGCCACCACCCAAGCTAATGTACTGGCAGCGCCTGGCTCGCAAGCAAAGATATCAAACCCCTCCCCTCCTCCGACATAACCTCCTTCCTCTCCCAAACCCACCGCAAATCCGCCGGCGCCCTCCGCGTAGCCTATTCTACAGCGCAAGATCCTTCCGAATGGGATGAACAGCAAGATGCCGCGCGCCGCCAGGGGGAGGCGGAGGAGGAGGAAGTCGATGAGTTGGAAGATGAAGAGGAGGAGAAGGTGAAGGGGGGAAAGAGGAAGAGGAAGGAGGAGAAGGAGGTTGCGGGTGGGAAGAAGGCGGTGGGGAAGAAGGGGAAGAAGGAGGAGGAGCCGAAGAGCAAGAAGGCGAAGGCGGCGCCGACGAAGGGGAAGGTGGAGCAGAAGGAAGAGGCGGAGAAGAAGAAGAAGGGGGAGGATCCTGTTAGCTTAAAGGTCAAAGGATGGAGGCATTTGTTGCAAAAGGCGTTCTTGGGAGAGAGTATGCCGAGTGCCGAGGTGCGTCTTTTGGGCTGAGTGTACATGAGAAAGCTGATGACGGATAAGTCGATCCACTCGTTTGATGAGACGTTCCGGGAGATTGAAAACTACGAGCAAATGACAATCGAGGCCCTTCAGTTCTCCAAGATCGGCAAAGGTGCGTCCCATCCACCACCCCCAAACTTGTGACCTTTGACAAAGCTGACCAGCGAACTACAGTCATGCGCAAGATGGTAGCTCTAAAAAATATTCCCAAGAACGACAAGTACAAATTCACCGACCGCGCCGGCGCTCTGATGAACAAATGGCAGTCATACATCGACATCTCCAACCCCCCCGCTTCTGGTGCTGCTTCCCAGTCGCCGGTATCTAAGAAGGCTGGGAAGGAGGATAAGCCTGTTTCGAAGAAGGCTGAGGAGGAGAAGGAGGAGGATGTGAATGGGGAGAAGAAGGAAGAGGAGACGAAGGAGTCTACTCCTGCACCTGAGCCGACTTCTGCCTCCGAACCTGCGCCATCATCCCCCGCACCCGCACCCGCAGCTCCCTCAACAGAAGACTCCGCCCCCGCTCCCGCCGCCGAGCCCACTTCCGAGCCTGTAGCTGAGGCTGCAGCCGAACCCACCAAGGCCGCCGCCCCCGAGCCCGTAGCCGAGTCTGCTGTGGAGACTACCACCACCACTGAGGAGGACAAGCCTAATGGGGAGGATGTGCCCGCTGAGGAGGCTATGCAGGTGGACGCTTAAGTGTCTTCATTTGTTGTTGTGGTATGAGGAGGCGAGGAGGCGAGGACAATGGGGCAGGCGTAGAAACGTTGAAGAGGCACGAGGCCTTGGTGTAACTGATTCCTTTTCTTCTTTCGCAAAAAGTAAACAAACCTCTTCCTTTTATTCCACCTAAACTTTTAGTCATCTTTTCGTTCCATTATTCTCTTTCTTTCACCAAAGTGATTTCATTAGTCCACTAGTATGGGGATCTGTTTGCTTCACAAAGTATATCTTCTCAATTTTTGGAAGCTCTTTTGACAAACACAAGAAGAATGTACAACGTTCCTGTTGCTGTTTTGGGTGGTTGGATTCCCGTCATTTACTTGGAAAGAGTATCGTGCGTAATCACAGTCATGTCTGTATGGTACCGATGTCAAATACCAGAAGGATGCCACATTATGTCTCAAACTCGACATCATTGCGGGCCATATCTTGGCGATCAACAGCCATCCCATATTCCTCCATGATATTGACTGGTATCCCACCCAACAAGACACGATCGAATATAGATGCCAGCATGGATTTCGCGTCAGCGCGTCGTACATAGGCCGTAGCAACATGACCGCACCCACGGGGCTCCCCGCTTCGAACGTTTTTCCCTGAGGGGTGACATCATGCGTGCTGGTGGGTGTCGCCGTTGAAGCGGCTCTGGACGAACTGCCCAAAAATAGATATGAGCGGACCGGACTTCATCCGGCAGACGTCAGCTTTACCAGAAGAGGAAAGAAGCACAACCACTTCTTCCCCTCGGACGCTCGGAAGGCCGGAGATCCCCGCCATTTCTCCTCTTTGGGCGAGACGCTGCAGCGGGTCTGCTTAATATAGTTTTATCCGATTCCACCGATCCACAAAATGACATCAGTAGACCATGCCACCATCCTCCTGCCCGTAATAATAAATAATCCTCCTCTTGATCCTTGCCTTGCCCCCTCCTCTATACAGTACATACGTTTGACATATACAGTTCAGAGGGTCGAGCCTGCTGAGCGTAGCCTAGACATACACAGATATACACCCATATACGGACCGCCGTCATAAAGTAGTCGTCCGCAGTCATGGGTCTGACTAATCGCAAGAACAAGAAGAACGACCCCGAAGCTGGGGATCCCGACGCTGAAGCCAAGAAACAAGAGGAAGACACCAAGAAGAGTACGCCCACCATCCCGCTCTTACCTGTATACTAACCTCGGCTTGCAGAGTATCAAGGGGAGGAATACGATGTACTCTTGAAATTCGTCACCGACCAAGCCGACAGGCTCAAGCACAAGGGGGATGATGAGGGTGAAGATGAGGAAGATGCAAAGTATGTGCGCAAGTGGTATACCCCTTGGAAGAAGACCAAGGTGGAGACCCAGGGCAAAAAGGTGCGTCAGCTTCTTCCACCGAGTGACCATCACTGACTGAGAACCAGGTGCCTTCCGAATGGCTCGATACCGACAGGCAGAAAGGTCTCTCTGCCAACGAAATTGAAGAGCGCCGAAAGCATTCTGGATACAACGAGCTCGAATCGTACGCCTCCCTTCTTCTCTTGCACACGTTGCTAATGAAAAAGCCAGCCCGAGCGAGAACCAGTTTGTCAAATTCGTCTCCTACTTTCGCGGTCCTATCCTCTATGTCATGGAACTCGCCGTCATCCTCGCCGCCGGTCTTCAAGATTGGATTGATTTCGGTGTCATTATTGGTATCCTCTTTCTCAACGCTGCTGTCGGATGGTATCAAGAAAAGTGAGTCTACCCCTCATTCTCCTTCCTGCTTCCGGTCGCCCAAAAGCATGCTCAAGGGGGTGATCTTGATACCTCGTTCCATCCAACTTTCTCTCTCCCCGCCCGCGAGTGACAACACCACCACCCCTCCACCTTCTACTCTCGTAGACAAACAACCGCTGACGTAATACGTACCTTAGACAAGCTGGCGATATCGTCGCGCAGCTGAAAGCTGGTATTGCCATGAAGACCACAGTCATCCGGGATGGGAATGAACAAGAAATCGAAGCTAGGGAGCTCGTGCCGGGCGATGTGTTGGTGCTGGAGGAAGGACAGACTATCGCTGCTGATGCCAAGGTGAGTGAGGTCTTGGTGACAGGGGAAGAGAGGCTGATTGTTTGGTTCAGATTATAGGCGATTATGAAGATAAGGATGGGTCCAAGGTACGTCCCTACCTCTTCTTCAGACCACCCGCTGATGTATTTACAGTCCAAGCAAGTGCTTGATCGCCTGGAAAAGTCGAAACAAGGCCACAAAGACGGCGACGAATCCGACGACGACGACGACGACGGGCCCGACAAGGGCCCTTCCCTCATCTCTGTGGACCAGTCTGCCATCACGGGTGAATCCCTCGCGGTCGACAAGTACATCGGCGACGTCGTCAACTATACTTGTGGTGTTAAGCGGGGGAAAGCCTATGGCGTGGTGACTGTGAGCGCAAAGGGCAGTTTCGTAGGTCGAACGGCGGCGCTGGTCAGTGGGTCGAATGAGAAGGGGCATTTCCAGATCGTGCTCGGTGGCATCGGTACTACGTAAGTCCTCCGCTCTCTTTTGAAGTTCAAGCTGATGAGGAATAGTCTACTGGTGATGGTGATTGCATTCATCTTTTGCGTCTGGATCGGTGGCTTCTTCCGCGGTACCAGCATCGCCCAACCAAAAGACAACAACCTCCTCGTCTACGCCCTCGTCTTCTTCATCATCGGTGTCCCCGTCGGTCTGCCCGTCGTGACCACCACCACCCTCGCCGTTGGTGCCGCCTACCTCGCCCGACGCAAAGCCATCGTCCAAAAGCTGACCGCCATCGAGTCGCTCGCCGGTGTCGACATTTTGTGTTCCGACAAGACGGGTACACTGACAGCCAACAAGCTGTCATTGAACGAACCCTATGTCGCACCGGATGTGGATCCTAATTGGTTCATGACCGTCGCCGTCCTCGCGTCGTCGCACAACGTCCTCGGTCTGGACCCTATCGACAAAGTCACCGTCATCGGCTTGAAAGACTTTCCGAAAGCCCAAGAGATGCTCAAGGGCGGCTGGAAAACCCACAAATTCACCCCCTTCGACCCCGTCTCCAAGCGAATCACCGCCGAAGTCGAGAAAGACGGTAAACGCTTCACCTGTGCCAAAGGTGCCCCCAACGCTATTCTCAAATTGCAAAAATTTGATCCCAGGACGGTAGGAGCGTATAGGGCCCAGGCGCAGGCGTTTGCGACGAGAGGGTTTAGGAGTTTGGGGGTGGCGGTCAAAGAGGAGGGCAAGGAGTGGGAGCTGCTGGGAATGTTGTGTATGTTTGACCCGCCGAGGAGCGATACCGCCAAGACTATTGGTGAAGCGTGAGTTCATTTCATCTCTATAGTGGCCCGAACTGATAGGGAGATAGGCATGACCTCGGTATATCCGTCAAGATGCTCACGGGCGACGCAGTCGCGATCGCCAAAGAAACATGCAAACAGCTCGGCCTCAAGACCAACGTGTACGACTCTGAAAAGCTCATCGGCGGTGGTATGACCGGGTCCGACATTCGCGACTTTGTTGAAGCCGCCGATGGTTTTGCCGAAGTCTTTCCCGAGCACAAATACCAGGTTGTGCAGCTCTTGCAAGAAAGGGGGCATTTGACGGCTATGACGGGTGATGGTGTCAATGATGCCCCGAGTTTGAAAAAGGCGTAAGTCGTTACACTTCTGTAATGGTTGGAGCTGATGGGAGTAGAGATTGTGGGATTGCTGTGGAGGGTGCGAGTGATGCTGCGCGTACAGCTGCCGACGTCGTCTTTCTCGACGAAGGTCTGTCTACCATCATCACCGCCATCAAAGTCGCTCGTCAAATCTTTCACCGTATGAAAGCATACATCATCTACCGGTACGCTCCTTCCACCAGCTATGCGTGCACCACTGACACTCGGCACAGTATCGCCCTCTGTGTCCACCTCGAAGTCTACCTCCTGCTCACCATCCTCATCAAGAACGAAACCATCCGCGTCGACCTCGTCGTCTTCCTCGCCATCTTTGCCGACGTAGCCACCATCGCCATCGCCTACGACCGCGCCCCTTACGCACACCAGCCCGTCGAATGGCAGCTCCCAAAAGTATGGATCATCTCCACCGTCATGGGCTTGCTGTTGGCGGCGGGGACGTGGATTGTGAGGGGGACGTTGTATTTGGAGAATGGAGGGATCATCCAGAATTTCGGGTCGGTGCAGGAGATTATCTTTTTGGAGGTTGCTTTGACGGAGAGCTGGGTTATTTGTATGCCTCCCTTTTCCTTCCCCTCTCTCCGTTTCACTAACGTCGAGCAGTCATCACCCGCCTGGCCCAAGAACCCGGTACCCCCAACGTATTCCCATCCTTCCAACTCATCGCCGCCGTCATCGGCGTCGACATCCTCGCCACCATGTTTGCCCTCTTTGGCTGGGTGTCGGGCGATGGGGATGAGCACAGTGGATGGATCGATATCGTGACGGTGGTCAAGATCTGGTGTTACTCATTCGGTGTTGTGATTATCGTCCTCCTCGTCTGTGAGTCTTCCCTTCTGCCCGTCTGAACCCGTTGGTCCAAGCCCGGGCTAATGAAGATTATATAGATCTCATTCTGAATTCACTCCGATGGCTCGACAACATAGGCCGCGCCAAACGGTCCAAGAAGAATGAGAAACTAGAAAACTTTTTGACCGACCTCCAACGGCTTACCATCGTGCACGAATCCGACCACACGGGCGGGTCATACTACCGCTTTGCTTCGAAAAAGGATGATGGGGATGGGGATTCGAAGGATAAAGATAAGGAGAAGAAGGATAAGGAGAAGAAGAAGGGTGGGGATGGGGATGGGAGCGGGGAGAAGAATGAGAATAGGAATGGAAATGGGGACAAGAAGGAGAAACCGAAAGAGAAAGAAGTGAGCTTCAAAGAAGAAGAAGGCGAGAGATCCGGGCCCGACGCCGGCTCGACCGACAAAGGCGCCCTAGGTGGCGACAAGGGTATGAGCGACAAGGCCGGTAAAGGGCACGAAGCTGCGCAAGTGCATGATAAGGGGAGGGAAGAAGTGCAGCCGGACGGTAAACAGGTCCAGCCTAAGCCTCAGCACCAGACCCAGGCCCAACCCCACGGGCAGATACAGCAGCCAGAGCTCGGGGCTAGGGTTGGGGGAGGGGGAGGGGATGATCAGAGTAGTGATGGGACGCGGGTTGATCCTTGACTACAGACTGAACGATGGGCTGTATCGTATTTGTAGATACGCCAAGAGCTGTAAAGCTGTACATATGGTTTGTTGATTTGTTTGTTTGTCTGTTATACGTTGGAAAGCATCTTGTAGCGTAAAGAAATCGTGTGGCATATATATAATGGCGAGAAGTCAAGCGTAAAACATGCAGTTAAATATACCAATCTTGATCGTGAGACCACGGAAGAAGGGATAGGTGATGTTGAGCTTTGATTACATATGGCCAGCCGTCAATGCGTCTCCTCTTCTCATCGTCGTTGCGCGTGTCCAGTTAGGTCACACTCCTGGGTCTCCTCACCAAGCTGAGAATGTCATGATAATCATCCAAGGTAGTCACCAAAAAAGCATCACGATGCTCAAGGTATTACGATCTCTTTATCGCTCGATCTTGCGGAAGGATCGAAACTTCTGTGAATCAATCGTCGGCCTCGTCGTCGAAAGCTCTACATATCCCGGTTCGTGGGGCCTCGACAGATCATGTACTACACTGTACTGCAGAACATACTCACAAGATGGTGGGTAGAGATCGAGTATATACGTATCATGTTCTCATGGGTATAAGCAGAAGAGAAAGAAAGAGGCGGAAATGGCCGACGGGCGGGATATTCGAGTAACCGGCTCTGCCTACACGCTTCATACCACCACGCAAAGCAGCACCCACTCCATGCATAGAGTATGCCTGTGATTTGTCCAGCACTCACACGGTACATACAGCATAATTTACTACCTTGTATGCATCCCTTTGTATGCGAGGCCATAAAGAGTGGCGGTGGAGGCAGCGGGATGACATCACAGCTCCCTTCCTATGTTGCTCCACGGAGCCAGCTGATCGAATGATGTGCGCTGATACGTCACCCCCCGGGGAGAGTATATATACCTGCCCACTATCAGTATCTATCCTGTTCCCATCAACTACACACACTACAACTGCAAAGATGTCCTCTTCCCTCCCTCCCCGCGACCCCGCCGTACGTCCACCACCCTCCCGTCACCCATTTCCAGGCAGCCTGCTGACCAACTTGGTAACAGATCGAGAAGCCTCAGAGCGGGCTCTCCCACGGCGCCAACTTGGAACAAGCCACCCGCAAAGTCAACCGGTTCGCTAAACGCGACCCTGCCTTGTACCCTTTGAGTATCATCGTGACTGGTGTTTTGGGCGTTGCTGGGTATTTCTTGTAAGTTCCCCCCTCCCCCCTCCCCTCTCCCCTCCTACCATCTTCCGAGTGGGGTTACTTGAGGCAGGGCGAAGCTGACTCCGGGGGTAGCTTTACAAAGTCAACAGAGCCCGAGCCGCAGAGGAAGTTGATGGCCAGCGGGATGGTGCAGCCTTGGGACAATGCGAGTCAGCACGAGACCCATCCTTCTTCGGTGGCGCAGTTCAAGTACCGATACAAGACTCGGGAGGGGCACTATGAGGATGCTCATCCTACTTTGAACCAGACTGTCGAGCACGTAAGTCCCTCTTCCTTCAGAGTTGAGGAAGAGGCTGATGGGAGGTATAGTTGAAGGAGCACAATGCGCACAAGTACCGTACTGCCTAAGTCTGCCTCAAGATCTTGGAGCGAGGTCTGGTGATATAGTTTGTCCGGTCAGCATTGAGTCGATATCAATTGTACAAGTAGAGCAATAGTCAGAAGTTCAGCTGAGCCAAAGAGCTAGCATTCATGTATCGTTATAAGCCAATCATCTGGGAGCCGTGACAGAGATGAGTTTTGTGTGAGACATGGTGGGGCTTGGGGTCCACACGAAGTTTGTTGGCGGAGCTGCTTTCATACCGGTCTATGGCATTAGAGACTCATAATAGGGATACTATTTTGCTCACGGTTTATACTCGTGTGCTGTCAGACGAGCAGGCTGGATGGACTAGCAAGGGAAACTGGCATATCATGGGTTCATCGGCCTCGATGAACGGCTTGACAGACATCGGCGAGCTCGACCGTGTCCTTGCCAGTCTATTTTATGGTTACAATATCCTCTATCGCTCCCCTCTGCAGCAGATACCAGCTCGCCCTTCTATACTGCGTTGTCACATGCCAGCCTGGCCCAGGACCAGCCCAGTTGTCGAGCGCGTCAGGGAAACGATTACAAAACGCGTCCCCGATTCCTAATCGCGCCACGGGAGGATTAGAAATCCAAGTGTAATGATGTGAAACAGCGTCTGTGCTGAGCGTTGCCGTCCTCTCATCTCTTTCTTCATCCTCCTCTCATCGACCTTTTCTTTCTAGTCGGCTGGTATCGACGCCCCTCCCCCCACCCCCCTGCCTCCCGGTGAAAGCATACCCCCATGCTCAACGCCCAGAACCACCAACAAGGCCCAGGCCGCACTTCCCCCATGCCCCCCGTCCCCCAAGTCGCACAGCCCAACATCGGCCAGCCCGGCTCCGTCCGCCCCATCCCATCCTCCTCCTCCCCCTCCGACCCTTCCTCCGCTCTCGCCCAATCCCAGTCGTCCGACAAAGGCCCCGACTATGTCTATTTCGAACGCAAGCCCACCCAGTTCAGCGAGTCTGTGCAAGGCAAAGCGATGGGCGCGAAGATGAAATTGGAGCTGTTTTACAAGGAAGCGGTGGAAGGTGTGGTGGGTAGGAAGGAGAGGAGGACGGTGCTGGAGAAACAGTTGGCGAGTGATGCGTTGACGCCGGATTCGCTCAAGGCTAGGCAGCTTATCAACCTGGGTCGACGGGAGAGCAAGTGAGTCTCCTCAGCATTCGTTTCAGGTCGGGGTCCGGGCGCGAAGCTGATGGGGACGGTGCAGCTACCTCCGCCTCCGCCGTACTCGTATTGGCCTGGACGATTTCCGTACAGTCAAAGTCATCGGCAAGGGCGCTTTCGGTGAAGTCAGGCTCGTGCAAAAGGCCGACACCGGGCGTATCTATGCTATGAAGACTTTGAAGAAGAATGAAATGTTTAAAAAGGACCAGGTGCGCTTTTCCTCCTCCTCCTCTTGACTCTGGTGTGAAGGGAAGAAAGCTGATGAGGGGATAGCTTGCGCATGTGAGAGCCGAAAGAGATGTGTTGGCAGAGAGCAACTCGCCCTGGGTCGTGCAGCTCTACTACTCCTTCCAAGACACCCAGTTCCTCTACCTCGTCATGGAATTCCTCCCTGGTGGTGATCTCATGACCATGTGCGTCCTCTCTCTCTCTACACTCTGACACGTTTAGGTGCTGGTGCTGATAAAGTGAATAGGTTGATCAAGTATGATACGTTCTCGGAAGATGTGACCAAGTTTTATATGGCCGAGTGTATTTTGGCTATTGAGGCTGTTCATAACCTCGGCTTCATCCACCGGTACGTCCCCTCTCCCCTCCTTCCCTCCCCCCTCCCTTCTCTCCCTAATATAAAGCATAGCGACATCAAACCCGACAACATCCTCATCGACTCTCTCGGCCACATCAAACTATCCGACTTTGGTCTCTCCACCGGGTTCCACAAACAACACGATTCCGCCTACTACCAGCGCCTCCTCGGGGGTGCTGATGTTTCTGGCTCTTCCGGGAATGGGGGAAACAGGCAGAGCCAGGTGCCGACGGGGGCGGGGGCGAGAAATAGTGTTATGGTGAATGCTATCAATTTGACAATGACGAGTAAGCAGGATATCGCTACTTGGAAGGCGAATAGGAGGAAATTGGCGTATTCGACTGTGGGCACGCCAGACTATGTAAGTTTTTTCCTTTCTCCCAAAAGAGTGGAAGGGGATGAGGCTGATGGGATGGGGGACTGTGTAGATTTCGCCAGAAATCTTTTTGCAGCAGGGTTATGGAAAGGAATGCGATTGGTGGTCTTTGGGCGCCATCATGTTTGAGTGTCTTGTCGGTAAGTCCATTTGTCTTTGTCTCTAGATTTCTTGGCCGGGGAGCTGATCATGGGGACAAAAGGGTATCCTCCATTCTGTTCCGAAAACGCGCACGATGTGTACAAAAAGATTATCGACTGGAAGAATTATCTCTATTTCCCCGATGACGTCCATCTCTCGCGCGAAGCGGAAGACCTCATTCGACGGTAAGCCCTCTCCTCTCACCCTCCCCTCCCCTCCCCTCCCCTCCCCTCCTTCTCCCGGCCCCCACTAATCGTATACTTAGCATGCTCTGCGAATCCGACCGCCGCTACACGGTCGAACAGCTCAAAGCCCACCCCTTCTTCTACGGCGTCGACTGGGCGAGTATCAGGGATATCGACGCGCCCTTTGTGCCTCACCTCAGGTCGATTACGGATACGTCCTACTTTCCGACGGACGAGCTGGACCAGGTGCCGGAGGCTGCTGCTGCGACAGGAGGGGAAGGAGGGGATGCGAAGAAGGATTTGGCGTTTTTGGGGTATACCTTTAGGAGGTATGAGATGCTTTAGATGGGCGAGTATGGCGTGGAGCGTGAAGGATGGAGGGATGGAGGTTGGAGGGATGAAGAATTTGTGGTCTTTCTTTTGGCGTGAATTTTGTAGATTGCAAACTATACACATGATGGAAAGATGTTTCTGCATGTTATCAGAAAAATGGCATTGAGGATTGCAATTGGAGGTGTCTCAGGCCGAGGGATGTGAGACCGAGGATATATGCGACTGGAGAGCAGAGACGACTCTCATGTTCGGGGATCCGACGCGGCGACTGAACTTGACAATTCAAACTTGGCTGCTTGTATACCCCTCAGGATGGGAGCTGATGGATAAGGGGGCAGGCCTTATATCGCTATCAAGTAAGCCTCCGCAGCGATGAGCAGACTTTGCCTTGAGAAAGGCAAGACCATCCCTGGAGGTTCCATCGTGCTCACCGCTTCTGGTACGCACTGTTGCCTCCTCCTCTCTTCCGCCATGGAAAGGTCTGACGTGATGATTGCAGTGGGAGGTCTCAAAGCCAACGCCGGCCCCATCCCATACTTTGCTGCCAAAGCGTCCGTCATCTCCATGGCACAAACTTCGGCATTTGCTTTGAAGGGCACGAATATTCGGGTGAATGCTATCTGTCCTGAATTCATTGACGTGAGTATCTCCTTCCCATTTCTCTCCGCGTGTACTGGATGAAACTGATCTGTATGATAGACAGATATGACGAAAGAACTGACAGAAAGCGCAAGAGCTAACAACATGGATGAGGGCACCATGCTCAACCCTACCCTCCGAAGAGGCCTTGGGATGGAAGTTGCACATACAGCGCTCTTTCTCGTTTCTGGCAAGTCTCCGTCTAATACTATGACAGAGAGTGAAAGAGCTGATAATATTGGAAAGATGACTCGTCTTATATTAATGGGCAAGCCATCCCCGTCGATGGTGGGTTTAGCGTTGGAGCGCCGTTCGTTCGAGACAAGATGTAGAACAGCATACACGCTGTGTTGGGATCGGGTTCTTTCTATGGGTGCTATTATGATAACAATTGGATCAAGATGATCTATACGAGTCACACAACTATCTGGGAATATATGCAGCCGTCGCGGCTTCGCAAGGATGATTTTTGGCCGGATGGTGGTGTGGACAGACGCGCGGACGAGCGAGCGACAACGCGTCGTTGATGAACGGGCAGGTGGCCTCTTTTCTGGACTACTTTTTTTTTCATACTTGCTGTGCCTCGAAACTTTGTGATACTGCATTGATGTACTGTTCAACAGCTTTCATCTGCAGAGTGCAAGATCGGCGCAGAGTGTGGCTGCTGATGAGAGGTTTGCTGACGATAGCGTCGTTGAACGCGCGTTGCCATGTTGGATGTCGATCATTTGCACACACGCCTAATTGCGACAACCATACATCCCGGCTGAAAACTTCTTCCTCGTTCTCGCCCACCATCACCCACCTCCCCTTCAACCCACGAGTCTCTCGCCATCACAGGTTCCATCACGTCCTCGCCCCTGCGCTTCACGACACTGTGGTAGCAAGTCATGTCCATCTCCTTATAGGCGAAAACGCTGACCACCGAAGGCCAGCCTACCGATCTTCTTCTACGACGAGCCCATCCTGTCGCAAGATCTCAATCTCGAGATAGTGGCGATCGCCCTGTATCGACAAGCCTTCCCCGAGATCTCGACAATGTCGGAACTTCGACAGACTGTGCAACGCACGGCACGGCACTGTCGAGACCAAGGCTTGGGGATGCTCCAGATCTCATCCAAGGATGACATTCTCCCCGAGCCTTTTTTGATTGACTCCTCGTCCACTCCGGGAGATCAGCAACACGCATCAGCTTTCTCGTACAGGGTGGCGTCAGAACAATTGGTATCTCTCGGGTTGAGAGCTGGATATCTCGGTACGAGAAGACGATCCAAGTGTGCTACTTCTGACGTGTTGCCCAGGTCCGATCACCGCCTATTGCTTCCGGTACAACTTCGCCAATGTAATCGGAGGGGCAGCGGACGATAGTTCTCTGGCCACGTCGTTCGGCCACACGGTCTACAGCTCGGCTAGGGTGAGCTATTCACTGTATCGTCATCTGATCTTTCTCACCTTGATACGTCAGTTACGCCATTACACCGCCAACATGCCATTGTACGACCCGGTGTTGCCCAGATCCAGTGACCGCATATTGCTTCCGATACAATTTTGGGAATGTTATTGAAGTAGAACACTTGGATCGTCTTCTCGTACCTAGATATCCAGCTCTCAACCCGAGAGATACCAATTGTTCTGACGCCACCCTGTACGAGAAAGCTGATGCGTGTTGCTGATCTCCCGGAGTGGACGAGGAGTCAATCAAAAAAGGCTCGGGGAGAATGTCGTCCTTGGATGAGATCTGGAGCATCCCCAAGCCTTGGTCTCGACAGTGCCGTGCCGTGCGTTGCACAGTCTGTCGAAGTTCCGACATCGTCGAGATCTCGGGGAAGGCTTGTCGATACAGGGCGATCGCCACTATCTCGAGGTTGAGATCCTGCGACAGGATGGGCTCGTCGTAGAAGAAGATCGGTAGGCTGGCCTTCGGTGGTCAGCATTTTCGCCTCTGCAGCGATGAGCCAGCTCTGCCCGGCGAAAGGCAAGACCATCCCCGGAGGCACGAGCGTCCTCACCGCCTCTGGTACCCCTCAACCTTGTTGCCGTGGAGCGTAATTGTGACTGATATCGTGATTGTTGTAATTGCAGGCCCTTAACGCAATGGCGGCACCATCGCCAACTCTGCCGCCAAGGCCTCTGTAATCTTGAAGGCACAAACTTTGGCATTGGCTTTGACCGGGCAAAATATACGCGTGAATGCCAATCTGCCCTGGCTTGATCGACGTGAGTATATCCCTTTTGCTTTGAACCGACTGTCCTTGAAGAGTGAGCACATAGGGGAAAAAATCTGATTTTGGCAGTAGACAAGCGTGGCCAAAGACAAGGCGGAAACGGAAACCGCTCCCACCATAACAAGGCTGACGAAAGCCGATCCTAAACCCCACTCTCCGTAGTGGTCTCGCCATGGAAGCTGCTCATGCATCGCTCTTCCTCATCTCTGGCAAGTATCTCGCTGCGGGCATGCGAATGTATTACGACTGACTGCACGGGTGTGGACAGACGACGCGATGGGAAGGCTATTCCCGTCGACGGTGCCCTTTTCCCCATACTCGTTGTATTTCCAGAGTCGGTGGAATTAGTAACTGTACAATGGCTTTGGTTAGTTGGATGAAAGAATGTAAACTCCTATGGCAAGAATATGTGCCCGCTTCAAGATGTACAGATCGCATCTCATGTTTGTACTCGCTTCAAGAGAAGACGTCATGTTGCAGACCAAAGTGGTACAAAACGTATGCATGATGTGAGAGATATGTAAGGGACACGAATGGATGATGGAAAAAGAGAATGAGCCCTGAAAACACCGACCGCCTAATGGAACTGCTTCTTGCGCTTGTCGATGGCCGCACGAAGCCTGATCTGCTTGTCCCGCAAAGACGCCTTCTTCTTCTGCATGACCTTGTCGGAGCTACAATCCCATCAGCCTCTCATCACCCAAAGACAAAAGAAAGAAGCAACCCACTGGACAGCCATCATCAACGGCTTATTCTTCGCCTTCTCCTTATTCGTCGAACTGCTCGGCGCATCCTTCTTCTTCTTCCCCTTCATACTCCCATACTTTTCTCTCCCTTCACGTCCCTTCTGGATACTCTCCATCCTCTCCTCCCACGTCGCTTTCGCCTTCTTCCTCGGACCGAGAATGTCCGCATCGGTGAGGAAGCGGTCCGACTCGTCCGTGTCGACGTGTCTTTTAGAGGCTTCGAGGGCAGCGAGCTTGCGCTTGGCGGCGGAGCCGCCCCCGGAGGCGGCGAGGTCTTTGGCGGCTTTGAGACGGAGTTCGTTGAGGAGCGCAAAGTCGGCGGGGGTGAGGATCTTTTGTTGCGCCAAGAGCGAAAGTTTCTTTGTCGCTTGCGAGACCTCTGTCGGCGCCACCGACGCCCCATCATCCATCTCTTCATCCTCTCCCTCTCCCTCATCCTCACTCTCCTCCTCCCCCTCCTTCTTCTTCAGCCCCTTGCGCTGCAACCGCTTCTTTTCCCTCTTCTCCCTCTTGTCCCTCTTCCGATCCGTCTCATCCTCCGAATCACTGATATCCAAATCCTCATCCCCACTACTCACGCTCTGCCAGCCAGACGAATCGGAATCGTCATCGCTCTCGGCGTCCCACTTGTCCCACCCTGCTTCGTCGGCTTCGTCCACTACATCTTGCATGTCCACATCAGAGCCTGCGAGGGAATCTTCGTCGCCGGCGGCTTTGCGTTGTTGGCGGAGGTGGGCTTCGAGGAGCTCGATACCTTCGATACCGGAGGGTGTCTCGGCGGTGTGGCCGTAGGCAAGGACTTGGTTCCCGATAAGACCCATTGCCGCTGCTTTTCCCTAACCCCCCTCATCAGCTTTTCGGCCCGATCAAAAAGAGAAGGGAAATAGACTTACGCGTTCACGCCTCTTGAGCATGCCCGGGTTGACTTCTCTGAACAACTGCAAGAGACCTCTCGAGGCGGTGACGACACCTTTATCCTTACTCTTCCTGTATTCAATAAGATCTCCGAGGAGATCCTCTTCCATCCCCCAAGGCTGCCGCCTACAAACCTCCCTGATCGCATTCAACCCCGCCGCAATCACCTCGGCCCCCACACCCGGGTGCACAAACTCGCCCGCAATCTTTTTGATCGCTGGCGTGAGGACATCTGGGGGGGTGAGGTCGTGTACGGATTGGGCGAGGGAGACGAGGATGAGCGTGACTTGGAGTTGGTGGTAGGTGAGGTATTTGATGATGTAGGAGTAGAAGCCGAGGATGCAGAGTTTGTGGGAGCCCATGACGCGGGAGAGGAGCTGCATGATGAGGATTTTGTGGTCGAGAGAGTAGATCTTGTCTGTCAAAACGAGTTAATGAGGTGTACGAGAGAGACTGTAAAGAACGAACCGTGTTTGTGCAGGTTGTCGTAGAGTTTCTCGCCGAATGTCTGAGGGTCGTGCAAAAGCTCCAAAGCGGGAAAGTTGGGCGTGACACCAGCCATGTCGACCTTCTTCTTCCTGATCCTGTTCTCCTCCTTCTTCAACCCCTCCAACTGCGTCACCTTCTTCCTATTCTTATGCCCCACCTGCGCCCTGTGCTCCATCTTTCTTACATCCCTCCTGGCATCCGCCACGTCCGGCTCGTCGTCCGAGTCGTCTTCATCCTCATTCTCGGACCCTAGGAAAAAGTGCATCGCCGCGGATTGCACCTTTGTATTCGGGTGGAACGTCGCAAGCGCCACAATCGACACCGTCTTTGCGTCTTTCCAAATCCCCTTCCTCCAAAGTTCCTTCACCATCATGACAGCCCACATCGCCTCCCCGCCCTTCTCCCGCCCGGCCTTCCCCTTGTTCCGCCCCTTGTCACCGACGACCTCGGCGCCCATGCCCGACTCGATCATGCCGAAGAGGAGGGATTGGACGACACGGTTCAGGCGGTGGTTTTTGGTTTTCAGGTTGGATGTTTTAATGTCGGTGAGGATTGTGTGGCGGATCATGCCGCGGAGGTTTGAGGGGACTGTGGGGAGCAGGGGGAGGAGCGTTTGGAGCAGCCTTTCGAAAAAAGAGTCAGCTGCGGACTAAGAAGGATAAAGAGGGGCGTACTGGATGGAATCAATAATCTCCTTATTCCTCATCATGACCAGATTCTTCACCGCCGTCCGCCTCAGATCCCCGCCCACCGCCGCACTCCCGCTCTCCCCGCCCAACAACAGCCCACGCAACTGTGCCGGCAGATCCTTCGTATCCTCGGGATAACACTGCGATACCTGGCAGCAAAAGGTGATGAGGTCGGCAAAGAGGTCGTTGGACTTGTCGTTGTTGGTAGATGAGGAGGGGGTGTTGGAGGAGAGGGTGTGGAGGCGGAGGAGGGAGAGGTAGTGGTTGTGCTGTGTGAGGAACTCTTCGCGGTAGCCCTCGGGGTCGCGCTTGATGAGGTTCTGGAGCTGGGGGAGGTTTGAGGTGAGGAGGATTCCCCTCGAAGCGCGCGACTTGGGCATCCTGGTGGTGGAGAGAGAATGTCGTCCATCTTTCAAAATTTCAGAAATGTAAATACTGCAGCCAGGGGGTTACGTAACATCATCTTGTTGTATGCGTATAATACATATCCATAAACCAACTAATATGCCAGATATCCACTTTCTTTGCCCCTCTCCATGCCCCTCCACGGGTCCAAACAAAAGGCCATTCGGTGAAAAAAAAAAAAGGTCTAAAGGCAACCATGAATTAAAGCCTACGATGTACGAATTCATAGACAACAAACACACACACAATACTCGTATTAAGAATCAAAGAATGAGAAAAGGGGGAAAGAGAAGGGGAAGGGGAAGGGGAAGGGAAGGGAAGGGGACAGTGGGTATATATCAAATGCTAAACTGCTTTTTGCTTTTTGGACAAGTAGTCAAGTCCGAGAAAACGACGACCAAAAACGTGTCATTGATGTTTTTTTGAGGGGATGACTGTGAAGGAAAAAGGGGAGAGATCGTATGCAGGAAAATGAATACTATGCTACTGCTGTCAGAGAACAAGGAAAGAGATGGGAAAGGGAAAGGAGGAAGGAAAAGTCTGTACACGTTTCTTGGACGCTGGGTGTGGTAAGATGTTGGGTTGGGAGAACGGGAGGGCTGGAGTACTCTTCTATCCCCACCCTTACACCTTACACCCTTACACCTTACACCCTCCCATCAAGAACCCCCCTAACATCGTCCACCCCCGCCAAATCCGCCAAAAACGGCACCAAATCCGTCAATTCACTATCATGCGGATCACTAAACCACGTCGAGACCGGTACCGCATTGTTCGGGTGGAAAATGTACGACGCGGGCGAGTTGTCGATGATGATGGAGGTGTGGATGTCGCGCCCGAGCTGGGAGAGGTCTTTGACGTAGTTGCCTTTGTGGTTGTAGCAGGATTCGCGGAAGAGGCGGTGGGCTACGAGGCCGGTGGGGTCGAGCATGTCGAGCACTGGGTCGGCGTACTAAAAAGTCAAGTCAAGTTCAGCGTGGGGCCTCCTCAACGGTAGGAATGGGGACGCACTTTGGAGAGACTGGCGGTAAAGACGACAACCTCATAATACTTTGCCATCTCGGTCAAGAACCGGTCCACGCCCGGCCGCTTGATGACATAGACATTATGCACCTGGCTCTCAATCTCGACAGGGACGATATAGTCTGCCGCGGGGAGTTGCTGGTTTTCGCCCTTCAGCACGAGTAATCAATATGTCATAATGCACATCAAAGGAATTGAGGGGGACATACCTTGAAGCTGGAGTGGAGGAGGGTTTCGTCCAGGTCGAGGACGAGACATTTCCGGCCGCGGTGTTTGACTGCGAGGGGAGGTAATAAGGGGCAAGGTGTGCCGTGCTATGAAACCATCAGCAAGTGCTCGAGCCCTGCCCTGGGAGGTGTTGACGCACCTCATCAGTAGGGATCCCCATCCCACCCTGTTCAATCAACCGATCCTCCTCATCATCATAATCCAAATACTCCTCTCCACCCACATCATCCCTCTCCCCCGTGCCTGTGGTATCATCGACAACATCCGTATTGCTGATATCCGAGTATCCCCCGCTGGTCGTCGTTTGCTCGGCAGTGTTGGCGCCGAGGTCCGGGTTGGATTCGCGGTGGGATACTTGGCGGGAGGGGGTACCGAGGAGGGAGGAGCCGCTGCCGGGGGGTTGGACGGCGGAACTTGTCAGTCCGGCGGTCTGGTGGTCTGTCAGCGTTCATTTTTCTTTGAATGTTTTTGAACGCGGTACTGACCTCGTCTTCTGGGAGAGTATGCGGTTCGGTAGGGGGTACGATCACTTCTTTATCCTTCCCGTCCCCTCCTACCAACGTCGCACCCGTCCCCTCCGTCTGATGCCCCTTACCCGCGGTAGGGGCTACGTCCTTCTTGTTGTTGACGTCCGGCGCGCCGTTGGCGACGGGCTGGGACCCTGCGCTCGTCGCCGCATCCACCTTGGCCTTCTGCCCCCCAGCTTCAGCTTCAGCGGCTGCCGTCTTGGTCTTACTCGGCCCACCAGCAGCAGAAGAAGAAGGCGCCCTGGGCTCATCTTCAAACTCTTCCGCCGACAAACATCCAAAGGAAAGTAAGAGGCCGGCGATACCCTTCCGCTTGCGTTTCTTCTTCTGGCCTGCGGTGGTGTTTGGGGGTTGCTTGGATGCGGGTGGGGCGGGCTTGGTGGATGGGGAGGGGGTGGGCTTGGAAGTGGCAGTGGAAGTGGGGGCAGGGGATGGTTTGGATGATGAAGCTGAAGCTGCAGCGGCTGTAGGCGCAGGGCCCTTGCTCTGTGGCATACCCTCGCTGTTCTCTGCCGTCTTGGCGGTAGTCGGGGACGGCTCGAGGGGTTGTTGTGGATGTGGAGAGGCAGATGGAGGAGGAGATGGGGAATCGAGCGGGGACTTGGGCGTGGGCGTGGGCGTGTCGGTGTCTGCCCCGTTGGGTGATGGAAGGACCGTGCGCTCGTCGCTGCCCTCGGGTGTCTCGGGCTGGGGCGGGGGGGCGGCGGGGGCGGGGATGGGCGGGGCGAGGGATGGCATGGAGGAGGGGAGATGGAGAGGAGATGAAGAAGTGCTCAGTAGTCAGTGGGCCTCGCGTCTCAGGGAAGGGGAATTGCCGCAAGGGGTAATTTCGCGAGTGTAAACAACCAAAGAGGCGCGATAACACTGCTTCTTAGCCTTTACTTGGTGCTCCAGCTGTTGGAGCAGGTGGCAGAAGGAGAATAGAGTAGAGCATAGTAGGCAAGAGTAGAATATACATTCCACAAAACAGGGTTATCGACCACACGCCCATATGTATCACAGGAGGAGAGAAAAACTTTGTAAGTTATTCACAGGGGTTAGACAGGCGCAATGTACGGTATGAGTATATGGGTATACAAGAAAAAGACAATGGTGGTGAAAAGTGCACCATGGAAGACAAGACACGATTAAAGACAACTTTGTACTCGAGCACAGTCCGAGGACTGGAAGATGGACTTGAGTTGGAAGACTTAGATCTTGTTCCGGACATACGGCACACCGGCGCTAAGCCCGCCGTCGACGGGGATGGCTTGGCCGTTCACGTACGACGAGTCGTCTAATTCAAGTTATCAGCTTTTTGCCTTTTGCTCCTTGCTCCTTGCCCCTTGCCCCTAAAGCAGATTAGGAGGGAGGAGGAGCGAAGGGAGAGAGAGAGAGAGAATGGGGGGCTCACCAGAAACGAGAAACAACGCCGTATGCGCCACTTCAAACCCAAGCCCCTGGCGCAAGGTCGGGTTGAGCACGCCGATCCTGTTGGTGGTTTGGTTGGCTTTGGCTAGTTCGAATAGGCTTTTGGTCATATTCGTCTGTTTACCCCCACGATTGTCAGCCCTTTTCAAGAACATACCAAAGACAAGAAGACAAGAAGACAGGACGGGAGGAGGGAGAAGAGGGGGACGCACCTCAATCAACCCAGGACAGACAGCATTCACCCGTATATTCAAGCCCGTAAAAGCGAAAGCAGAGGTCTGGGCCATGGAGATGACGGCGGCTTTGGCGGCAGAGTATGGGATGGGGCCTGCGTTGGCTTTGAGCCCTGCCACTGTTCACCAAGCTGTCAGTTGGGTCTTGTGGAGGGGGGGGGGGGGGGGGGGGGGGGGGGGCGTACCGGAAGCGGTGAGGACGATAGACCCGCCAGGGATGGTCTTGCCTTTTTCAGGACAAAGCTTGGACATGGCGCCCGCAGCATACTTGATCGCTACAAACGCTCTTCCCATCCACCATCAGCACGCCACATCCCCGGACCACGGTGAAAAGGCTCACCCCAGCGCATTAATCCGCATAACCTCGTCAAACTCTGCCTCCTCCACAGCTTCCACCGGCCTGATAAAACTCATCAAACTCCCATTCTTCCCCGCCTCAAACTTTGCAATCTGCGACACGCCAGCATTCGCAAAGAAAAAGTCGAACCGGCCTTCCTCGGACAGAGCTTGGTTGATTAAAGAAGAGATGGCGGTGGGGTCGGCGGCGTCGGCTTGGAGGAATGTAAATTTGGTGCGAGGGTAGGTGGTCGTTAGGGAGGAGAGGAGGGAGGGGATGGGGGTGGAGGTGTAGTCGATTAGGTAGATGTGTGCGGCGCCTGGTCATCCATCAGTTGTTTGGTACACACCCTATATGTACAATGTGGACCCACCTTCACGAGCAAAGAGCTTTGCAGCAGCCGTCTACACCCCACCACTGCATCAGCTCCCCTTCCCCTTTCCAAGATGTCAGCAGCCACTCACGCCAATACCACTCTCAGGCCCAACACCCGTAATAGCCCCCACTTTCCCCTCCAATTTCCCCGAGCCGCCCTCAGGGATATGGTCGGCCCTGGAACGGACGGCGTCGAGGACGTGGGCACGGAGGTGGATGGCTTCGGCGGATTGGGCTGCGAGGGCGGCTTTTTTCTGCTCGTGCGCGAGAGCAGGGGGAGGGCAGGGAGAGGAGGGGGTGATGGGGAGAGGGGTGAATGCGTCGTGGTCAGTACTCTGTGCGAGGGGATACTCTATGGGGCGGGTGGATGGCATGGTGGTGGATGGGCAAGGGACGTACGGCTGCTCTGTCTGACATGGGGTGGATGAAAGGAGATGTAGATGAAAGGAGAGATGAGATGTGGATGAGAGATGGGATAGAAATGATGGATACACAATCACTGTCTGTCAGCCGGATCGAGCGCATAGCCGGCGACTGATTACGTACGCCCGACGGTCTTGCATCCCAATATTAGCATGAGGCAAGCATGAGGGTGTTCACTGACTCGATCCAGCGGTATATATAGAGGGGACGATATGCCCAGTCATGACCCGTGCACGCAAGACGAGAGCCCAGAGAGTACGTAGCACGTATAGGGTATAGACGAACCAAACAAGACGAAGCACAGTTCCGATGACATCACTCGCCGGGCTGACCTGTCCACGTTTTCTGAAGAATCTGTCTGACTACTACTGTCTTTGGCTTGTCTGTCAAAACTGCCTCTCTTATCCAGGGGTCCCATCCAAAGAGGTAAGGACCATGCTACGCTCCCTAGCCCGCCGGACGCTCGCCCCTCGCCAAGCCCTCCACACCGTTGTCCGGCCTGCCCCCTCCAATCTACGCCCCTTTCGTACCCTCAGAATCAGAACGTTACCCAGATCACCTCTTATTCCCCAATCTAGACAATTCCATCCCTCCCCAAGAAGAGATGATATACTCTTCGTCTCTCTCCCGGCTCTCAAAGGCGCTTTGCTGAATATCACGCGGTTCAGCTTGTTGTTCTTTCCTTTCATCATCCGATATAAGTGAGTCCTTCTCATACCCGTCTCATCATCTGCTGATGGAATTGAATAGGATATGGAGGAAATACAAAAGACTGTCCATCTTGTTTCTCCAAATACCCGTATGTCTTTGTCAAGCACCCAGGAAGAAGAAGGGGAAAGCTGATGGGTGATGTAGATATTCGCAGTGTGCGTGATCCTAGCTATAGGGCTGGACCAAAGTCCAAGGACTGGGCGATGGAGGCTGCTGTTGATGGGGGAGCATGAGGAGATGGCATGGTCTCGACGCAAGTACGCTCCCTTCAGTCCCCTCCCCTTCTCGCGCCAAGCTGATACAGAGGGCACAAAGACAAAAAGACATTCTGAAACAAGACGGCCCCAACGTCCTGCCGCCCTCCAACCCCCTCTCCCAAAAAGTGTCCCGCATAACCGCACGGCTCATCACCGGCCTAGAAGAACAGGACCGGCATATAGTGTGCGGGGCGAATTGGCCGCCGGCGTCGCAGGAGTTGTCGAGGGTCATGTCGCAAAGGGAAGCCATGCTTTCTGTGGGAGAAGGAGGGGGGGATCGGTGGTATGAGCCGAGCGGGACGGCGAAGAGTGGGTATTTACCGTATAGACCGGAGAGTAGGAATCCGTTGAAAAAGGTCGAGAGTGGGGATTGGAGGTTGTATGTCATCGACTCTGTGCGTTCCCCTCTTCCCTCTTCCTTCCTTCTTCTTCATGTGGATGAGATTCGGAGGTGGACTAACAGATAACGGGGGAAATAGCCAGATATAAACGCCTTCGCCCTCCCCAGCAAAGACATATTCGTCTACACCGGCCTCCTCCACACCCTCCCCCCCGACGACGATACCATCCTCGCCGCCAGCATCGCGCACGAAATCTCGCACGTCATCCAACGGCACAGCGTCGAAAATTTGGGGTTTATGAATATTGCTACGGTTCTGTTTGATGTGGTGAGGGGGTTTACTTTTGCTTTTACTATTTCGTTTCCTTTGTAGGTCTCTCCATCATCATCTATTCATTTGAAGCGTGTGGGAGAGTGAAGGAAGTGGGAATGGAGCTGATGGGTTATGGGGTAGTATAACAGATTCAGCGGGGATGTTTATCAACTATATCAATACCGTGTTGACGGAACGCGCTTATTCGAGGAAATTGGAGATGGAAGCCGATGCTGTTGGTCTTCAAGTACGTCCTTCTCCCTTCTCCCTCCTCCTCCCTCCCTCCCCTTCCCCAACCCCACCCTCCTGCTCCTGATAAGGTACTGACGGTACATAAGATAATGGCCTCAGCAGGCTACAACCCCCGCGCAGCCCAGGATCTCTGGCAACTCATGCGCTGCGTCGAAGAAGATGCCGCCGCTAGTGGACAGATGGGGAGTATGGAGAATAGGTTTTCGATGTTGAGGACGCATCCGACTAGTGATGTTAGGCATGAGGTATGTCCTTTTTTCTCTTCTTTTTTGTTTCAAGCGGGGAGGATGGGGATAGGGTAGGGATGAGGGTAAGGGCTGATGATGGATGGAATAGGCGTTGGAGAAGGATATGCCAGGGGCAATGAAATTGTATAGAGAGTATTTGAAGAAGAATGGACTTGCTAGGGTGAAGGAGGGTGTGCCAGAGCAGAAGAAGGAGGGTGAGCGTGAAGAAGTGCCGGATGGTATTGAGAGTGTAGCATAGATATTGTATTGAGTAGACTGTATCGTATACTTGAAATTATATGGATATGTGCATAGTGAGACCGGCGATCATTTGACAAGCAATGCATTGCAGACAGTTGATGTACAACGCGAGATTCTATTGTAGCACCCTCATAAACCTAAACACCTTTTCTGATGAATCTACCGTTCTTTACAATCTACTTATCTGCCGGTATACTTCTTTTCGAGGTAACGAGCAGGGATGTATATGAGCCCGACCACGACGAAACCGATCTCGAACGCAATATCACCACTACACAGCCGAATTAGCGTAAAACATGTTGAAACAGATGAATGACTCACGTTCCCTCAATCTTCCTGGCAAGCCACCCAGTCCACCACGTCTGTGCCATCCCAGCAGCTACCAAGGGAATCCCACAAGCCGCCGCCACAAACGCCGCTATCCCGATCGGCAGCCTCCCCACTTTATCCCAAATCTCCACCGGATACGTCACCCTGCTCACTGGCGTCCTGAAGAGGAGCGGCTCGAGCAGGGTGGGGGGCACGTAGAGCGCCGTCCAGTAGGAGAGGACGGAAGTAAAGTTTTCGAGCGCGGTGTAGAATTTGGAGGCGCCGACGATAGCGATGGGGAGGTATATCGCCGAGACGACCAATGCCAGAAAGTAGCGCGGGACGCGGAAAAGCCAGGGGATGGCGACTTGGCCGCTCAACCCCGCGCTATAGATCGTGGGCGCAGTGTTGGCGACAACGCTGAGGCAGAAGAGGATCATGACGAAGCGCGATCCGCCGTTGCCATTGCCCATGATGGCGAAGATGAGGTTGGGCACGCCGAGGGAGGAGGCGGAGGACCATTCGGGGATGGAGTATGCTGCGAGCTGGCAGGCGGCGCCGAGGAGCTGGACGAGGACCATGGGGGTGAAGAGGCCAATGTAGAGGAAGAGGAAGAGTTTCCAGCGGGGAGTATGGGCGGGGAGGTTGGTGGTCTGTATCGTGTTAGTGATGGAGAGATAAGGGAGATGTTGGCTTACAAAGTCACTGGCGAGAGAGGTATAGCTGATGGTGAAACCGATCTGACTCGCTGCGTACCCTAGAACCCCGCTGGTGGTCACGCCAGTAGCAGCCATTGCAGCTTCGGCAGTGACATAGTGGAACTTGTCGCCGACGACACCGGCGAGGGCGATAAAGACGATGATCATGATGGGAAATGAGGTGAGAGAGACAATGTGCAGCGCTTTCAGCCCCACGAATGAGAGCTGCGAGAGTTAGTCGAGTCATGCATGGATGGATATTACTTACGATAAGCGCAATCAAAGCGGCAATGACGATTCCTACATCGACGCTCATGTTGGAGCTTGATGCGAGGGATAAGCACTGTCCGGCGAGGATAGCGGTCAGAGCCATGAACCCGATCATGGTCGCGCAGTTTAGCAAGCCAAAGACCAGCGCCAGGCCATAGCTAATCATCGTCAGCAAAGCTTTTCTAATCGCAAAATCACTCACCCCAAGCCGTATCTCGCCTGAACCATCTGCCTCATACCCGTCTTGGGACCATTGGTGCCGCAATACGCCACCGACAGCGCCGATCCAGCCGTAAAGAAGACGATGCAGAAGACACATGTCTTCCAATCCAGGCCAAACAGAGAAGGCCCGATCACACCTTCCGAGAAGGAGAGAATGTTGGTATTCCATGCAGCCCAGAGCGTGCTTTGGGGGAGATACGACCAGATATTGAGCTCGTCTCGATCCTGTCTTGGTGTCAGCAAGATCCTCATCGACCGTATCCACTCACATGTTCAGGTCTTGGCTCAATGCCTCGCTCTTCCACACCATGCTCCACCAAGATATCCATTGTCCTCTTGGCCATCCCCACGACGCCTCCTTGCTCTGGTCGCCGCCTTCGTGTCCCCGATTCCTCATCGTACCTTGGAGGATTATAGTCGAGCGTATCGAGTGGCGCCTTCGAGCGATCTTTGAGCTCGTACGAGCCTTCCAGCACGTGGGCGGGTTGCTTGAGCGACATCTTGCTGATATATTCGCAGTCCCGGGATGAGTCTTCTTTTCACCTTTCGAAATGCCTTCGCGAGATTTTTTGACGGTCTTTATCTCGGACTCGCCGACTGGAACGTGGGCCACCACGGTCGTGTGCCTGCGCCGATCTCCGCCGCGTCATCGGGGTTTGTTTTCGTAGAAGCCATCGCGAACGTTTCTTATCGTCCTTTGTCTTTGCATTTCTCTTTTCTTTTCACCACAGAGCACCCGACGTCCATATCCACTTCCCGCAGAACGTTCTCAAAGTCAGGCATGCGGGCACAAGCCTGCTTATAATAATCATGAAATTCGGCAGGTAAGTCGGTAAACCCAATACAGTCACAGAATGGCTCATGAGACTTTCTCCAGGTATCTCCAAGAGAACCTCACTCCCGAGTGGAAGCGAGCGTATATCGACTATCGAGCATGCAAGAAATCCATCAAGGTTATTGCCGCCCGTATGGGCCATATCCAAGAGGAGGGCGAAGGCGATCAAGGCGACAGCTCGGGGCCAGATGACGATTATGGCCCGTCCGCGCCTCCTAAAAAGACGCCAGAGATTATCAAGGGGCCGCACGGAGGATCAGGATCTCTCAAAATTAGAATGAATACTACGAGTACTCCTCAGTTGGGCAGAAATACAGTGGGTCCAGAAATACACTTGTGATTGTCGGCTGATCAATTTACAGTCCCGTCCGTCCCCATCGCTCGGTCGATCACCGCATTATGGCTCAACCGACGATTCGCATCATGTCCAATCTCCCTGCTTTCCCCAATCACTATCAAACATCCCTCCCCCGCTTGATCTAGGCGCGCCGGGCGTCGAAGACGACTATGTTCCCGCTTCCCCTGGTGTCCCGCCACGTCTTACAGTCACCACCGATCAAAAAGAACGCGATCATGCTCATCGAAAAGGCGTAGCCTTCAGTCCCACACAAGAGGAGATCGCTGGACAACGGATAGATGAGGTCGCCGAGGCGTCTGAAACTTCCCCGGCAAGCGACGAGAGCGCGAGAAAGGACGATGCGGCGGAACCGTTGACGAGACGGCCGGCGGATCTGATATTGAAGAGCGACAAGTCTGCTCCTAGTCCCAGGATGATTGGGAAGAGTCCCAAGGCGCTGTTCACGCCGAGGTTGTCCAGTATCAGGGCGGAGAGTGCACGAGGGAAGAGCCCTGGGAGTCAGCCGAGAAGTCTTCGTAAGTAGTCGGAAGAAAGGAGTGCCACTCTGACGCAAGACAGGATCCATGACCCTCCCCTCCCCTGCCCTCAGCCAGATGCGTCCTCCTGGAGCCACAACCCCCGTCAAGCCAATCGACACTTTCGAAGACCTCTACGACCGCTGTGAAAAAGACGAAAAAGCATTCTTCGACCTTCTCCAACGCGAGCTCGACAAGGTGGAAAAGTTTTACGTCGCGAGAGAATCAGAAGCCATCAAGCGCGCTCATGATCTAAGGATACAATTGCGAGAGCTGGCAGAGCATCGGAAGCTGTATCACGAGCTCTACCCCGAAGGCATGCCGGAGTGGGAAGTGCGCGTTGGGCGTATACTCCCTACTGGTGCGCAACCCAGGGCTCCAGCGCTCAGCAAGATCCGTAATCGCATCAAGTATGCTTTTGAGGATCGCGAGTCCCTTGCGGTGCCCGATAGCAAGGCAAACGGTGCCAAGACGCCTGCGATTTCGAGATCGGGTAGTCCGGTCATGAGCGAGCATGAGAGGCAGAGTTTGAAAGAAGCGATGGAGGCGGACAAGGACCACAATACGTATAGTCCGGAAAGATATCAGAAGTATAAGAAAGATTTGAGGAATGCCCTGATGGAGTTTTATCGACAGTTGGAGCTGATCAAAAACTACCGGGTGAGTTGATTGTTTGATGTGCGGGATTCAGCTGATGTTCTTCAGATTTTGAATCTTACTGGGTTCCGTAAAGCCCTCAAGAAATTTGAAAAGACCACCAAAGTGAGTAACTGTATGATAAACCAGTGCTTTTGCTGACCGCCGTCTAGATCGAATCTCTCGAGCTTTACACGGACGAGCACATCTCCAGGTGTACATTCTCCAAGAGCGAAGCTATAGACAATATACTCAAGCAAGTCGAGGATCTCTACACAATCCACTTTGGTACACCATCCCCCTCTATATATGCCCCTTCGCTGACCTCGTGGCAGAGCATGGTGACTCGAAGAAGGCGCGAGAGAAACTTCGACGACAGCAGAAAGAAAAGACCCACTACCAAAGCGTTTTCCGATCTGGTATCATGATGGGCATAGCACTGCCTGCCTTTGTGGCAGCTCTTGTAGAATGTGAGTCGTCCGCCCCTCGTTTGACGAGTTCTAACATGCATGTAGCCAGTCGACAAGAGACACGGGATGCGATTCCCGCCTGGGAAGGTCTTCTCGTGTGCTATGGCGGTCTCTATCTACCGGTGGTCTTTGCTCTGCTCTTCGAAGTCAACTTGCTCGCTTACGTGAATGCGAGGATCAATTATGAGGTAGGCGTACATGGCCTAACGCGCGAGAAGCGAGCTTACAGGTATGGTAGTTTGTCATGGAACTGACAAGACCTACAATCGACTACCGGTCATATATCGAGGTGCGTAGTCTATCACACCCATCACGATAATACTCTAATCACCTTCCAGCTCCCCTCATTCCTCTTCCTGACTCTCAGCTACTGCTTCTACTTTTCTTTTGCGCGTATCGGCAGCTCCAATGTCGCTCCAACAACTTGGCCGGCAGCATGGCTCGTCTTTTTCGCGGTATTCTGGATCAACCCCTTTCCCATTTTCCGTCGCCAAACAAGATACTGGTTACTGAAGGTGCTGTTCCGAGTGATCACTCCCGGGTACAGCCGTGTAGAGGTAAGTCCGCCTTTTGTGCCTGCCCCTGCTCAGTGCTGACATCACCCAGTTCATTGCTTTCTTCCTCGCAGATGAGCTCAACAGTCTGACATACTCGATCCAAAACGTATATTTCCTCTCTTGTGCCTGTACGTCCTTTTACCCCCTTCTCATCTCCAAATTCACTGACGACAGACTGTAGATGCCAACCACTGGCCGGACGATGTCGTCAACGTCTGTCCCTCCGGCCGATCATGGCCATACGCCATCATTGTTTGCCTACCTGCGCTCTCTCGTCTGATACAGTGTTTGAAACGTTATAACGACTCGAAACTCTACATTCATCTCATCAACGTACGTTCCCTTCATTATCTTATCGTCGTGTGACAGCCACTGACGTGAGGGTGTAGGCGGGCAAGTATGCTAGTGTCATGACGCAGCTTTGCCTCTTTGTCTGGTGGAGGAATCAAGGGAGCCGGAACAATAATGCGTCGTTCATTGTTTGGGTGATCTTTGCGTTCTTTAGCGCTACCTATGCTTGCAGCTGGGTGAGTCGTCCTCGAGTCTTGTGGGGTGATTCATACTGACCTGCTCTAGGACTTTATCGTTGATTGGAGCGTCTTGCGACCGAAAGCAGGGTTTTTGCGAAAAGACCTGGGTTACAGTCGGCGTTTCGTGAGTGCATTTCCACAACTTTGATAGTCTCGTCTGACGATTTGGATAGGTCTACTATCTCGCTATGGTTATCAACGTCCTGCTTCGATTCATCTTCATCTGGTACATCCCTGCGTCTACTCGGCACGTACGGACCAGGAGTTTTGTGTTTGCTGCGGCAGAAGTGGGGAGGCGATGGCAGTGGAATTTCTGTACGTCGCTCTCATAACGTGAGAAGCCAAATACTGATGGGTGCTGTAGTCCGAGTGGAGACTGAACACCTCGGTAACGCCGATGCCTACCGCGTCACCCGCGAAATTCCCCTCCCCTACCGCCGAATCCAAGCCGACTCTGACGAAGACGACTCTGACTCGCCCAAACTCGAACGCACCAAATCGCTCGTCGGCGGGGTCGTCAATATCAATTTGGACCGCTTACGACGGGGAATCAGGGGAGATAGGGAGGGGAGGGGACCGGATGCGTTGGATATCGGTGCGAGGGGGCATGCGGAGCAGAGGGAGTATGAGTCGAGCAGGCCGGGGGATGTGGAGAATTCGCCGAGAGGGGCGGAGAGGGTGTAGGAGTGTTGTATCATTACCTAGATTTCGTAGGTCATCAGCATGGTTCGAATCATTCATTTAACAAGTTATAATAATATATCATTTACAAAAAATTGCGCATACGACATGGAAGACGATTATGAATCGAAGAGTAATATGACAGCGAGATCGCGACGTCCGTCTACCTACACATGAGGGGCTTCAGTGCACATAACGCGGTACAATTGCCAACATTCAGAAGCAATACCCGCCCCGAGGCCGAAGACGACGGGATGCAGAGAACCAAGTGTTGCTTTGTCATCCATCTCAATCATCGCGAGGCGGGAAGCGCCACATGGGTCACTTTCAGTTCAACCCCGGGATGTCCGAGCACGCTTGTTGGGATCGATGCTTACCGATCAACATATCTTGGAGCGAAAGCTGACTCAGCCAACATGCATCCATCCTACCATATATATCCCTCATGCCCTGGAATGTTCCCTTCAAGTACTCCCCACAAAAAGCGCAATGTCCCCAATCACAGTTGGTCTCCTAATAGGAGGATATAGATGATGTGGTCAGGGCTTGGCCGGAGAAGGCTCAGTTTGACACGCCATGGCTATGCCCCAAAACAAGATGATGTGTTGCGCATATGAAATAAAATGATCATAGAGCGTAGAAAAAAGTCAACCTATGGCTCGCCTCTTTCACGCATTCTTCTTATAACCTTGTCATTTTATGCCAACCTTGTCCACCACTGATGAATACACCCTACACTACTCGCAATGAATTAGAGTTCATCGTTATTGACCAAAGAGACGCCTGGAAGCCGGAACTGTTGTAAGGTGTCAGCACGGATTCATGCGGAAGGAGGCTGACCACTGACCAGAACCAAACCACGCATTCGCCCTTTCGGTCGCTGGCGCCGACACGTTTGATCTTTCGCCGCTAGTCGAGGGAGAGCCTAGGGTCCCGTCCTCGTTGGACTGGCCAGTCTTGACTTTGGAGAGTTTGCTCATTTCCTCTTTCCACCATTCCTCGTCGTCTTCATCTTCAGCCCAGTTGAATGCTGTCAAAAGGTTAGTGGAATTTATGTCTACCACAAGTCCTGGAGAACGCCTCTTACCTGACTTCCAAGGCCCAGAGGTTGCGGTCTGACCAGTCTCAAGACTTAGCTGCGCCGTCGGGCGATCCTGTTCGGGGGGCGCAAGGGACATCTCGTCAAGAAGCTCTTCGACCGGTTTCTCCTCTGTGTTTCTTGAGGCTTCCCAAGCCATATCGAGGAATTGCTTGGCGGCGATAACGTCGAGCTGTCTCTGTTGCTTCTGGCTTTTCGCATTACTACTATCGTTGCCGGTGGGGTAATGCTCTTTCAGAAAGCCTTCTGCTGCACAGAAATCTGCCCTGGCTCGATACGAGTCGACACGACTTTGACTGGTACCTTCCTCGTCGTGGATTCTGTCATACTCATCACGGCCTTCTTTGACTTTGTTATGTAGGCTGCGGACCAAGCTCTCGATCTTCTCATCATATTTCGTTTCAATCCTGCTTGCTTGGTCGTTCTCTATAACCAAACTTCTGGCGGCATCTCGATCGGAGGCCATCAATTGGCGAGTTGCGCGGTTAAAGTTGTCGAGCAGCTTTGTTCGTTCGGCGCCTTCTTCAAGTGCATCGCCACCACAAGAGTGATCCCTCAAGAAGTCGTCATAACGAGCATGGGCCTGATCTCGCAAGCCAACCAGACTACGCAAGTATGATTGGGCGATCGAGGGGCGAAACACAGTCGTCTCCGGTTCGTACTTGAAACCTTGCACAAGGGTGTCGAGCTTTTTTGATAGACGGTCAAAGCCGTTGTATTGAAGAATCAAATCGCCCGGGATCCCAAAGTTGGCAATGTCTGATTATTCTGCCAGTCAGCTTGTGATACTGTATGGAATAAAAGATGGCTGAGATGCTCACCCGAGTCTTCCATAGTATCATGCGGGTCTCCCAAGGCTAACGCGGAGAAATCTCCGGGATGACCAGTCACATGGGTCAATGCATCCTTCAAGCCATTAAGCGATTCGTGAAGGTGCTTTATCCTGTTTGTCAATAGCTCCCCCAGATCCCCGATTCGCGAGGCGTCATAAATCCCCAAATCGACACCGTCAGGGTGGTTGAAGATATGCTGATATTGCTGACGTTGGATCACCTTTTCGTGCTCTTCCGAGAGAATCGTGTGCAATTCGTCCACGGACGCCTCAAGTCTATGAAATGACTTCACATCCCCGGGCCACCTTTTGGAGGCACTGAGTCGTGCTCTCGCACCTTCGATATCTGAGAATGAACGATCCCATTTGATGGTATTCTTATTCTTCCTTGTGGATGGTGCAGCGCTCACCCTAGGAGGGTGTGCAACGGTAAGGTCATCGTTTATTCTGCTCACGAGAACTGGTAAAGCCTGCTCCGATATGATCTGGCTTCGTAGCGCATCGGAAAGATACCTCACTTGAGAAAACTCTCGCAATTCATCTGTACCTGGTGGTGTAGGACGATCTTTCAGTGTCTGGGTCATTCGGTTCAAGTGTGCCATCACCTCCTCATTCGCGTCCTCCTCAGTGTCATTTTGCGTTTTGTTGCCATAGTAAATATGGCCACGTGTCTCAAGATCATCGGCTTCCAGGTGAACATGATTTGCCCATCGACTGGCGTCTGCCGCATTCCATTCCCGATGACCATTGTGTAGCACTGCGTCTGGATCTTTGGAAATCAGGCTTCCGGCGGCGTTTGTGAGCGACTTTGCGGCAAGGTTGGTAAGAGTTCTGTAATCTCTGGTAGGATCCAAAAGTCCTTTTCGGGACAGTCTGTCCAGCGTCGCCACTGTGTGCTCCAGCTCCTTCTTGAGATGATCAAGATTTGCTAGTTGCAGGTAATGCGCCTCGATTTCGGGGAGCGCAAATGCGGGGTAGTTCTCCTTAGTCCAGTTGACGGTTCTAGGAATGCCGTCCCCCTGATCCAGATCTAACTGGAAACCTTCTGGCATTTCGGACGGATGATTACTATCGCTTAAATCAGTCATGTTGGCGTTTAATGAAGGTACGAGTTTGCTGCTCGTGGCGGTAAGTGAAGGTGAAGAGCCCGGTAAGAGTGAATTGTGGTCATGTTATGTACTGGCTCCCGGGCTGAGTATATATCAGTCAGAAGCCGCCCTTGAGAGTTCTCAGAAGAGTAAATCACACTCCCATGTAGACCACTGACCCCGAACAAAGGTCCGTTGAGGAGGAGATAATCCGTGGCGGGTGAGAAAAGCTGCGGAGGGCGAATACTGATATTCTTCTTGTGTTCAACGAGGCTGCTACAGCGTCTCCCTCTCACTGACCGGCGGATATCAAATTCGATGTGATTGCGCTTCCCATGATTCAACTTTTCTAGGCTCAGCTTCTATCGCTCGTGGCACTTCTCAGAACTTGAATGCGATAAGACGCTTTACCTCCTCGGAAGCCAAAACCTGCACCATGACGCAGTAGATACCCCAGCTTCAGACTGTGCAGGTCGAGCTCCACGCAGTGGTAACATGAATCCCAGGCAATGTCACTACTCACTTCAGTGACTCTGTGACCGGTAACCATTGTGAGGTCACTTGGTATGTACGTCCATGCCGTAGAAGGACGGAGCCCTTGACAAGTAGGTAACATGGGTTTCACCTTTGAAGATACAAGCCAATCGCTATCATGAGTCCTCCGCAGCGCTAGACAGAGCACTCTTCTTCATTGCTTGGCATGTGTTTAGCTGTGTTTATTGACCAAGCCACGGTGTGCAACTTCGGGGTACACCACGGCTACAGGTAGTACTGTAACACTGTCCCCGCATCTTCGTCCACAATACAAGTAGGTACTCCTCTTGGGCAGAGAGCTCCTCGGCCAGCCCCGAACAACATTCCTCCTCTGCATATACTTCCAAATAGAGCCCAGTATACGATTGTGCATAAATGGCCAAGTTTGAGAGGCCAAACTGCCATATCACTGAGAGCCTAGGGGTGTAAGCTGCCATGCTGTGTTGCACCACAGAAGGCGACAGTGATACTCGTGCGCTACTCTTGCGGTCACACTACATATATATGCATGTCTCCTTGGATGATGAGGACAGTCTGGATGATGAGGACAGTCTGGATGATGAGGACAGTCTGGATGATGAGGACAGTCTATGACTAGAGCAGAGTGCTTCCATCAAACAAGCCCATGAGCCACTATACTCGAGTACAGCATATCTTCTTGGCTGTCTTCTACACCCTCATCACATTGCGAGAGGTGTAATAACGACGACGTTCGTTGGTACTTATACATCGGTAGATCTCCGAACTCAGCCCCCAGAGGTTTATAGGCAGGTCCTCATCTGGACTGAAAGTACATGCGCTTATCAAACCCACGATTACATAGCATTCACCCGTGCGAGCTTCTTGCGATGCTGATAATTGGCGTTGAATCCTTCCAGTAATAGATTAACACTATCCAGGTATCAAGGACCTGATTAGAGAGCATCTCATGGATTATTATGGCCCTATGGACACATGTCGAAGGTCATACAATGATTTTTATTGGATTATAGCGAGTCTGAGATCGTTTCGAGAATGACTGGCCATTGTAACAGACATCCGGATCGTTGTAACAGCCGATATTCGGGTGCTTCAATTGAGCCTTAAAACTATATGCATGTCCCATATCATACTACAAGGTTCAGAACCAATGATATCGTCCACATTCCCGTCCAAATTTGAGAAATCTTGAATTTTTGTGGCGGCAGAAATCCAACTGTCGACTTGACCAGCAACAAGCACTCCTACGGTGGAAGATTGTCGTTTTTATCAAAATCTATCAAAATCGGACATATTTGTTTTTTTTCAAACTCCCTCAAAGATACAATCTCCTAGCCTTATTATCGATAGCATACAGCTCACATAGAACACTCCAGTTTTTACAGCCCGCATACTTTCGCATGAGACCCGGAAATCAGAGATGGACGTTCATACTTATCAATCAACACTCCGCCGTGAGATCATGTAACACTGACTGTATACTCTCCCTATAGTCTCCTTACTCTTGTGGCTGTATACAGTATATACACACAGCACTTGCATGCTTACTCAGAAGCATTTCCGCCAGCCTTACCCCCTCTGGACGGTTAGTCAGATAGGGCCCGATATTGAAGATGACCGGAATGCCCACCAAGTGGCACATGCACGTTCAAACCCCCCTCTGCATCCAATGTCCTGATCTTGTCGGCAGTATAGGTCACATGTACTATACTCCAGCTTTTACAGCCCTTAATCTCATGCATGAGGCGGGCAAAGTTGAAACCAACTTCTATTCTTTTCAGTCAACACTCCGCCATCTGATCAAGTACTTGTAAAACTAATAGTGTGGCTTTCTTACTCTTACTACTGCATACGGTATGCTACTGGGGCATGTGAGTATTTATTCAGGGCCGCTTCCATCAGTCTTTACCCCTCTGGAAGGCCGGTCAGATAGCTCTCGACCTGAACGCCCACCAAGTGACACATGTATTTATTTCCTCGGCGTTTCATACCTGGAGGGGCGCTGTCAATGCTTTGAAAAGTGGTAGGGTAGCTTGTATAAGCTGGGTATAAGCTCAACGAGAGGACGATCCAGTTCATTGTAGTGCATGTTACATGAGGTCCCAAAAGCTATCAGATGAGATCTTGACATGGGATTGCACACAGATGCAGCACATCATACAAGCCACTTGTCGTATGGGACTTGAGGCCTGATCAGCTCGGTGGCCCTGTATCATGGCTATCTACAGAATACCAAGCTCAGCGTAAGTCATCATGTCTCAAAGCAACACGTGCTGACCTTAGATAGATGCAAATACCACTATACACCAGGCATATAAAGCTTTCAAAAAAGAAAAGGTCAAGGAGATGCGGAATCTACTCGCCGACTCATATGGGGCAAGCCAAAGTATGAAACTCTCCGGAGGCCAAATGACCAATACCGCGGGCCAAAGGGCCAAAATTGTAGACCAGCTTACCATTTCCAATCGGGCTCTGGTAAGCGACTTGACCTTTCCAAAGATCTGAACTGTGGAGGTGTGAGCACAATCGAGAGAGTACGGGTCCAGCTTACCAGAGCCCGATTGGAAATGGTCAGCTGGTCTACAATCTTGGCCCTTTGGTCCGCGGTATTGGGCATTTGGCCTCCGGAGAGTTTCATACTTTGGCTTGCCCCATATGAGTCGGCGAGTAGATTCCGCATCTCCTTGACCTTTTCTTTTTTGAAAGCTTTATATGCCTGGTGTATAGTGGTATTTGCATCTATCTAAGGATATGCCTGGCTTTGCGTAGCGTTTTCATCTATCCAAAGTCTGTAAATGCTGCTTGGGGTATATATGATCACTTACGTATTCTTTGGTATAGGCTGGTATAGGCTTTCCCGATATCACAGGCCTGGAAGAGATCCCAGTTATTTGGAATTGTTTGGTGTCTCCATGCGTACCTGGACAGCTGAGGAACGAAGTCCCTTGAGCCTGCCGCGAAAGTCTGCCAGCATGTCCTCTATGTCTGCCTTGATTCTACCGTGAATTTCATGAACTGAGAGGCGACAAAGTCCCCAATCCTACTTTCACCATCGGCGCACTGACGCCCTGAATAGTATAGCCGTCCGGAGTACCCGGAGTAGCCCCCCTGGGCTCAATGTGGGCTCTTTCGTGACTGATGCCTTCCTCCAAGTCGTCGGTCTCGTCCGGATTGGGAAGGCTGAATGGAGCGTTGGCTAGTACGCCGGCGGGGATGTGGAGATCTTCAGAGTCGGACATCGAGGCGAGATGGGCGTCTGGAAGGTTGTAAGTAGGTATTGTAGTAAAGAGGAAGAGAAAGAGTGAGAAGCTGAGCGACCGGGCTTGGACCGTCGTGACCAACGAAGTCGTGACGGCGAATTCTGCGAAGTCCCCGGTTGCAATAGTTTAATAGGAAATTTCTTCTAATGCATTAGAATAAAAAGTGTTGCAAAAACGTCAGAATTATCAGTAAAAAGCGTGGTTCTAACTATGGAAAGGGCCCCCCCCCCCTAAGGTACTACGAGTACAGTATAAACGGTGCGGGTAATTAAGGGTAGACAGGGGTGCTTACTCATCATCGGGCGGTCGGTTGCCCGCGCCGAGCTGAGGGTAACGGTGGCGCAACGGTGGCGAGTCGGAGTCGCGATGAGGTGCTATTAGACCATCCCCCATATATATATATATACTACCACTCTTCCCATCATCACCACCATCCCCATCCCCATCACTCCCTACAATGTCCCCAGTCACAGTCGGTCTCCTCGCCCCCACCGGTACCGTCGGCGGTGCCCTCCTCAAGTCTCTCTACGAAGCCCACAAGAAGGGCGACGTCAAGCTCGTGGTCCTCCACCGCTCTAGCAGCGACACCTCCAAGGTTCCCTCTGACGTTGACAAGCGTGTCGTCGACCTTGAGGAGAGCAAGGTGGACGCCATCAAGGATGTCACTAAGGACCTCGAAGTCGTCATGTAAGCTCTATCCCGCTGCACTGTGGATCTGTACTGATGAAAGCAGCTCTGCCGTCGGTTCTGCGGGCCTCAAGTCTCAGCTTTACCTCGTCCAAGCTCTCGCGGGCTCGTCCTCCCTCAAGGCTTTCTTCCCCTCCGACTTTGGAGCAGTCTGGAACGAGAAAGAGCGCGCCATTCCAGCTCTTTCTTTCTTTGCCATCAAGGCGGAAGTTGTCGCGAAGGCTAAGGAGCTCAAGGTACCTGTGACTGAGGTCAAGGTTGGGCTCTTTGACTTGTACTTCTTTGCATACAAGTGAGTCTCCAACGCGAGCTCGTAGTGAAAGCAGCAGCTGATGAGACTCAGGGCATTGGGCAGCGACCTCAAGGCAAACAAGGTCCAATACTTCCGAAAGTCGCTCGACAACAAGATCCACATCACGTACGTCCCCTTTCCCCACCCTCCCGGCAATCCCCGTGCTGACTTCGATGCGCAGCTCCCTCGGGTACCTCGGCCACGCCGTCACCCAGCTCATCACCACCCCCTCTTCCCTCTCGAAGCTCGGTAACACCCAACCCCACCTCTACGACCTCACCCCTACCGGTAAAGAGATCGCCTCCGCCTTTGAGAAGGTGAACGGTTCTGCCCCAGAGAAGTATGAGTTCAAGGAGGAAGAGTACGAGGAGAAGTTGAAGGCTTTGCCTGGGGCGATTACTGCAGCGATCTTTAGGAAGTGGGGTGAGGATGATTGGGGAGATCTTCCCAAGACTGAAGTTGAGGGGTGGAAGGAGGAGAAGTTTGAAGATGTAGCGAAGGCTTGGGCCAAGAATGCTTGATCTGGCGCCATATTAGTTGTATATCATAGCAAGATAGTGATCAAAGAGCTGAAAGAAACAAGTATGAATTGTATTGTATGAGTACTCGCCATGAAACCAAGTGACCACGAAGTGGAGGTAATGCATGACCACCAATATAATGGCCGCTTTTGAATATGGCTCATGCAGCCATAATCCGATGTTGAAACGAAGCAACCACTTGCTCATCATTAGCAAATCAGAACGATGGTCATGTCAGAGGAGAGTGGAGGAGGCGGACATCTCCGCTGAAATCATACGCGCTCCCCGACGCGTAAATCAATCCCATCATCCGTCTTAATGTTCCCATCTTCTTCCACCACAACGCGTTTTCATTATCAGCCATGAGTGGTGAGCCCTAAGGCCGTGTATAGGATCAAGCTCACAACCTGTCAGACGACAACTCCCCCGTCAAAGTAAACACCATCAGGCGGAAGCGCCCTGTGGTCCTGTCTGACGACGAAGACGACGCGCCAGGTCCTTCTGTCTCTCCCAAGAAATCTGTCAAGGCTGAGGATGAGGGCAAAGGTGAGATAGCGTAAAGTATGATGTGGACGCGTGCTGAGTTCAGGTGTAGATGTGGAGCCGCCGAAGAAGGTCGCCAAAACTTCGCCGGCGGAGAAAACGGTTACGAAACCTGCTTCCAAGGAAAAGAAACCCGCTTCAAAGCCCGCCTCCAAAGAGAAGAAGGAGGGGCCCAAGAGGAAAGCCGATGTCAAGCTGAAAGGCAAGGATGCCAAACCCTTAGCCTCGATATTCAGCAAGCCCGCTCCCAAAGCGAAGAAGGAAGCTGAGTCGGAGGAGATAGGGAGCAAGGGCAAGGAGGGCGATGATGACTATGAGGAAGGAGAGGAAGAGCTGGATGATGAGGCTGAAGATAAGCAAGAAGGAGAAGCTGCTGTCAAACTGTGAGTCATATCTTCCTCTCGAGATGCATGTGGCTTACGCGCGCAGGGCGTCGATCTTCACCAAGAACAAGTCTGTCCCCGTATCGGACAAGGGATGGAAGGAAGGCGAAGCTGTGCCCTACATTGCGCTGGTGGAGACCTTTGAAAAGATCGAAGCGACCACGAAACGTCTCGAGATTCTCGAGATCCTCACCCAATTCTTGCTTGTCGTTGCCAAGCGCGACACGGCGACCGAGGCGAAGGACTCGATGCTTCTCAAAGTCCTCTATTTGTGTATTAATCGAGTGAGTCGGGTGTCTCTGCTGGGTGAATGGGGCTGACGGCATTGTAGCTGTGCCCTGATTACGTTGGAATCGAGCTTGGCATCGGAGAGTCTTTGTTGGTGAAGGCTATCGCGGAGAGTACGGGCCGAGCTATGCCCAAGATCAAGGCGGATCTGAAGAATGAAGGAGACTTGGGAAAGGTTGCCATGGTACGTCCACATACTCTGCCTCATTCTACGTTGCTCATCCATCTGCAGAACTCGAAAAACACACAAACGACAATGTTCAAACCCAAACCCCTCACCGTTCCCTACGTCTTCCAGTGTCTGACCGACATCGCCAAAGCCTCCGGTAACGCCTCTCAGACGAAAAAGGTCGGTATCATCAAGAAGCTTCTCGCTGCTTGTCAGGGGTCGGAGCCGAAATTTATCGTCCGTTCGTTGGAAGGCAAGCTGAGAATAGGGCTGGCGGACAAGACGCTTGTGGTTGCGTTAGCACATGCTATTGTTCTGAGAAGTATGGGTGAGTATTGGTACAGATGTCTCGATTTACAACGCTGACGCAAACACAGGTGACAAGAAGCCTCCTCCCGACCAGCTCGCTGCCAAACTCGAAGAAGGCGCCTCCATCGTCAAAGCAGTATACAGCGAACTTCCATCCTACGACCTCATCGTCCCCGCCCTCCTCCAAAGCGGCATCTCCGGCCTGCGCGAATCTTGCAAACTCACCCCCGGCGTTCCTCTCAAGCCCATGCTCGCAAAGCCGACCAAAGCCATTGGAGAAGTGCTGGACAGGTTTGAAGGGAAAGAGTTTACTTGTGAATACAAGTATGATGGGGAGAGGGCGCAGGTGCATTTGATGGAGGATGGTACGGTGGCGGTGTTTAGTAGGAATAGTGAGAATATGAGTGCGAAATACCCGGATTTGGTGGAGCAGGTGCCGAGGGTGAGTATCGTCTCCTATATTTGTGACAGAGCTGATAATTGTGCCCAGGCCATCAAACCGACGGTGAAGTCGTTTGTGATCGACGCTGAAGCTGTGGCGTTCGACCTTGAGACAAGAAAGATCCTGCCTTTCCAGGACCTGAGTCGCAGAAAGAGGAAGGATGTCAAGGCAGAGGACATCACTGTCCGAGTGCATCTCTTTGCTTTCGATTTGTTGTACCTCAATGGCGAAGTAAGAGATTTGACCTACACCGGAGCCCATGCTGATGTTTCACCCCGCAGAGTCTCATCACCCGAACCCTCAAGGAGCGCCGAGCCCTCATGTACGAACACTTCCAACCCGTCGAATCTGAATTCGCATTTGCTACATCATCTGACGGGCATACCTCCGAGGAAATTCAGACGTTCTTGGAGTTGAGTGTGAAGGATGGATGTGAAGGGTTGATGGTGAAGATGTTGGAAGGGGATGTGGCGACTTATGAGCCGAGTCGGAGGAGTATGAACTGGCTGAAGGTGAGTTCGTCAGGTGTGGTGGAGGCAAAGCTGACAAGTTGCTACAGTTGAAGAAAGATTACCTCGCCGGTGTCGGTGATTCTCTCGACCTCGTCGTGGTCGGCGCCTACCACGGGAAAGGCAAACGAACGGCCGTCTACGGCGCCTTCCTTCTCGCATGCTACGATCCCGACTCGGAGCACTACCAAACCATTTGCAAGATCGGCACCGGTTTCTCCGAAGAGATCCTCACGGAGTTCTACGAGATGCTCAAACCGCTTGAGCTGGGTGTGGTGAGAGGGGATATAGAGGTTGGCGGGGCAAAGCCGGATGTGTGGTTTGAGCCCAAGATGGTTTGGGAGGTGTTGACGGCGGATCTGAGTCTGAGTCCTGTTTACACTGCGGCGCATGGTCTTGTGAGTATTGCTCGGCCTGGCCTCTACACGCAGAGCCAAGCTGACAAATTCGAAGGTGGACTCTCGAGGTATCTCGCTTCGATTCCCACGATTCCTCAAGATTCGGGACGATAAGTCTGCGGACGAGGCCACTTCGGCGGAGCAGGTTGGCGAGTTCTATCAGCGGCAAGTGACGGCCGGAGGAGGGATGAAGGGCGGCAAGGCGGAGGCGGACGACTTTTGGTAGCACCATATCTTGCTTCCATGTCACATACCTTTCAGAGCATGCAAATGCGACATTTGATACCACGACCTAATGCTATGCAGAGTACTCTGAACAGGCCACATCTCAACTGGCGTCCCCGCCAATTTCACCGCCCGAATCTTCTTCAATCCAAGCATAGACTCCACCGAAAACGCTTCAGACGCCAACCTTCTGTCCCCTTTGAGGCCGTCCTCCACCAAACAGGAAGCGTCAAAGTCTATGATGGCGCAGCAGCCGTCCGTGCGTGGACGGATGTGTCGTGGTTCGACATCGCGATGGAGGACACGCACGGCATGGGGCTGGCGGTAGATATCTTGGATTGCCAGTCTGCCGGCGATTATCAGCGCTAGACTATCGTCTTATTAACCTACTATGTAGGCACTCACCGATCCTGAAGAGGCAGATCCCGCAACTTCTCCTCCTTGTGAAGTCGCTCCTCAACATCCTTCATCAGCTCGATGCGCACCTGATATGCACCCATGGACACCAAGCCCAAGGCACATCCGCCCGTCGAACGAGCCATAAACCGCCAGGACAACTCCTCCTTGAAGGCTTGCGAGCGGACCGCTATATAGCGTAGCTTCTCGACGATGCGCTCGTATCGCCCCCTCGGAATTTTCAAACAGCTCCTTTGACCTCTCTTCCCCATCGTCGTAGGTGTACGGACACATCACCTCGGCAATGACATCCTTCCTGACTAGTCCCTCACCAGTGAGAACGGAGTGGTACACATCCCACAGCCTCCCTGAACTTAAGTATATGGCAAGGGAGAGCTCCGCGTTCGTCGGTCGAACGGGAAGCGACATCGAGGCAGGGAGAACGCTGTCGGGAGGGGAGCCGGTGAAGCAGGAGAGAAGGCAACCGGTGATGTAGGAATCGTCCAGAGAACCTTGCAGGAAGAAGTGGCGAGCCTTGGGCGAGCGATGGTCTGGAAAGGAGACTCGCAAAGTGACGGCTACAGCATTCTTCTGACAAGATTGCTTGTCAACCACTAGGGACAATCAAGGTTAAGAGATGTGTACGTACAGGCATCAAGAGACTCGCATCAATGGTACCATCGCAAGCACCGCCAGCACCGTCAACTTCGTCGTGGTTACGCTTCGTGGTCTGACCTCTAGCATACCCTGGCCCCCCCGGCGCCGATGATATGTTCTTGCTCTTCATCCCCTCCATCTTCAAAATCTCCTCCAACAAAGCGAATGAGGGCCAAACAGGCAGAGGCGGGAGAGGATGATCCAAGGGTTCTGCAGGCTCTGTCGATCACGGCGGCCACCGCAAGCTGCATGGGTGACAACTGACCGGGCGGAGTTGGAACGTCTGGCTTTGTCCTGTAGATTGGTTCTCCCATGCGGAACAAATTCTTGACATGGACATCTCGTTCAAAAGGGATCCAGACGTTGTAGAGGGTGAGTGTGGTGAGGCCGCGATCATAGTATAGAAGCTGCACCCATAGCTAAGCAGAGTGGGCGAACAGCAAGTAAAGGTTCAGTAGTAGGGGTACCTGAGATATCATGGCTGCCCAGTGTGTCATCCCGGGGTCGACGCTCCCGTTTTGGTTGACGACTCGCAACGTCAATCTAGGTTTCCCTTTCTCCCCCTCTCGCTCCGCTAAAATGATTTTCAACCCATCCTCTTGCTTACATGCCGCCACCAACTTGTCCAGTCTCATCCTCGTATGCACCGAATCTACCTCACCCGGCTCTTCTCCGCCTACGTTGTCGCTTCCAATGGGCGTTGTGAGCACACTGAGCAGCTTGACCTTGGTGGAAGCGAGGGGGCGACCTTCGCTCATGAAGACCCAACTCGAGATCCCGCTCTTCGACCTTGGGCACATCTCGCACTGCCCGTGAAGGTGTGCGGGGAGCCCGATGTTGATCGCATCGGCGCATCGATCAAAGAAATTCATGGACAAGACAGTAAACAACCTGTCCTCGGGGTTAATAGCCGACCTCGTAGTCGAATTCCGCCCTGCCTTCAAGTCCATTTCCATCTCGAAAGCGACCACCTTTGCGTTCGGAGACAGCGAACTTTGCAGGGTAGACGAGAGCATGCGGTTGAGAGAGGAGTCATAGATGACTATGATTCCCTTCTCTTCCAGTTCGTTGGAGATAAAGGTGTGCTCCGTAGGTGTCTGCGTGTCTCGATCTCGGCGACGAATACGAGATCGTCGAGGGGAAACAAGGCTATCCAGCCAGCGATGGTGACGTAAAGGTGAGGAGGGGCGCCGACATCGTCTGACATGCTGGGATGGGAGTTCGGAAATGTAATGATTATCAAAATCGGGCTTTGTTCCAGTGGCAGATCGGAGGAAAGCCGGCGCTCAAGTCCGCCACAATAGAGACAATAACATGCTTGATTATGTGGAGACTACATAGACACGGCACAACCAACAAACATAATAAGCCAAAGAGAACATAAGAAGCCAAGCCAACGACAACATAACCTGCGAAAGAAGCTAAACCCCTTAGGATCTACGCCGCGGAGTGATGCGGAAAGGGGAGACTGGCACTATATCCGCCGTCAACGGGAATCGCCTGCCCGTTCACATATGATGCATCCTCTGTGTGACAATATGATTAGAAGGTGATTATTTCAGACTTTGGACGCGGTTGGCTCACCGGACACCAAGAACAACGCCATGTGGGCAATCTCAAAGCCGAACCCCTGTCGTTGAAGAGGGTTCAGCTTTTCCTGACCGCCGTAGCCTTTGTGATCGGCCTTGGCAGCATTCAATAACATGTTCGTCTACACATACATGGTCAATTGTCTTTTCCAACCCGGTGGCCGGATCGGAAGGGACAGACCTCGATGACGCCGGGACAAACAGCATTCACGCGGATATTCTTTCCCGCAAAAGCCCATGCGGATGTCTGTGCCATAGAGATTACGGCGGCTTTGGAGGCGGAGTATGGAATCGGCCCAGCGCTGTTCTTGAGACCAGCCACTGTCACGAATGTCAACAACGATCTATATGGGAGCCGAAGACTTACCAGAGGAGGTGATAACAATCGAACCGCCAGGGGTATATTTGCCTTTCTCGGGGCAAACCTTGCCCATGGCCGCAGATGCATATCTGATAGCGATGTAAGGTCTGTAGCACCATCAGCACCACGGTCTTCTGATCCGACATAGCCTCGTTACCCAAGAGAGTTGACCCTCACGACTTCCATAAACTCGTCCTCCCCTGGCAAATACGTGGCTGTCGTAGAAGCATGTCCATTCTGGGCAACCTTCGTGGGATCCACAGTCTGGAGAATGCCTGCATTCGCGAAGAAAAAGTCGAAGCGACCTTCTGCCTCCAAAGCAGAGTCGATGATGGAAGAAATGGCTTGGGGGTCGGCAGTGTCGGCTTTGAAGAAGCGGACTTTGGTGGAAGGGTAGGTGCGCTTGAGATAGTCGAGAAGAGGGTTAATCTCTTTGTCGATGTAGTCTACAAGATAGATATGGGCAGCTCCTATGGTTTGCGTCAGGCGTTGTCACTTTATATCGACATTGACGCCTCCTACTCACCTTCGCGGGCGAAGAGTTTGGCAGCAGCGGCCTACATTGCACCAGTATTCGCTCAAAGTCAAAGCAGCGAAATAATGTTATACTCACGCCCATGCCAATGTCAGAACCAACACCCGTGATTACCCCAACCTTTCCCTTGAGCTTCCCAGACCCCTCAAACGGGATATCGTTGACTCTAGCGCGGACAGAGTCGAGGTTGCTTTCCCCATTGACTGGAATGGCAGGTGAATCTGACTGGTGATGAATAAATCAGCACGTTCTTTGACTTCAATACCGGCTGTGAGAGAAGATGTGTTGGGTTGGGGGCTTTGGAATGGGTCGGTGGGATGAGGTGAAAATGCTTACCATCGCTTTGTTTGATGATGAATCAGCGAGGAGAGGCTTGCGTGTCGATAAAGAGTTGACCGTAAGTGCGAGTGCTATGGAGGTATGAGTCAAGACCGATGTAGTAGTATTCTTCTTCTCTTATATACCTCAAAGCAGCAGCAGCTTGTGTTCCAGTGCCGACCGAGCATGAAGACGACCTGTTGAGCACCGAGATCATTCGCCGTATGGTATAGCTGCGCTCAGTGTAAGTCTGTCCGTTGTTTGTTCTATGATCCTTTCTGTGTCTTCCACTGACTCAACATGCACCGGTAAGCGCAGAGTCTAGTCTGTAGGCAGGATCACGTCGCTACTCCATTGAAAGCAAGCGCCGGACGTGCTGTTGCAGATCAACATTGTCGAGAGGAATAATTGACAACCACAGTCAGCATGTTATCAGTGAGGCGTGGCCGCCACACAAACACATGCTCCGCCGGCTGATATCAGCTGCCCTGCAGCTGCCTGATGGTGTACCTATGTGATCATTATGATCCGTTCATTGTTCACTGGTAACACCGATAACATTCTTCGATCTACTGCAGGAGATGAGGCGACTTTCCAGGGACCTCTTCCACACTATTCCTGGAATGCTTTGGAGTGAGTCTAGCACCACACGATGCGCACGGCATAACATGTTCCGGAACTCGAAATGCTCGATGGCTTGAAGACCGTGCCTGACAATCTATGCCAGCCACACGTTCATGTTGACAGCCTTTGGCGCCAGAAGCGACTGGAAGAACAGAAGAGATCACACAATGGCAGTAGTGATGGAAGTAACACGAAGAGGCACCTCAAAAGCCGGCACTCCTATTTTAACGCAAGTCTTTTGCCGATACACAAAGCATCGTCTCATGTAGCGGGCAGGTGTATCTTGGTCCGGGTCGCTCTGCGACCTCCTCCTGTCCCTATCGATTTCTTATGACTTGGTAACGATCTATATTTCTGCTACGGAGGTATGTACCTGACGGCGGGAATAGAATATACGTATGAAGCCTATGTCGGCCGAGGAGGAGAGATTTCAACCTCATCTTACTCATCTCGGAGCGCCCACTCCTTCTTTAAAGCCCTTACCATCCTCTTCACCCCCTCCTCCATCTCCTCATCTTCCGGACACGAGAAGCTCAACCTCACAAAGATTTTCTCCGCCTCTTCCTCCCTCGTCCATACCTTGTCGGACGGCGCCTTGAAAAAGTGCGACGGCGCCATCAATACTTTCTCAGAAATAAATGATTGGAAGATCTGCTTTGAGATTTCCTCTGGGGCGAGGGAGGAAGAGGATGTGAATGCGGGGTGGTTCTCGATCTTGAGGCGGACCCAAAGGAACATACCGCCAGATGGGGCAGGGAGCTCGATCGTTCTATCTGGAGCATACTTTTCAAGGAGGGCGAGGAGGGTGAGGCATCGTTTGGAGTAGATTTCTTATTGCTATCAGATAGGGCATGCAGGAAGAGAGTACGGGCGACTTACGCGAAATGTGAGGCAGATACTCTCGCTCAAACCCTTCATGTCCGCCCCAAGCCCTCAAGATAGCCGAGATAGCAGCAACAGAGAATCCCGATGGACATTGCTACCAGATCCAATCAGATCTATTCTGTCCCATAAAAGGAAGCAGGACTTACAGTAGCGCTTTCACGGGAATTCATGATCTTCTCCAACAGCATCTTGTGGGCGGTGATAAACCCCAGCCTACTGCCCGGCGCGACAATCTTTGAGAAACTATCGATACGGATGACTCGGCCGTCAGTGTCGAGAGAGAGGAAACTGGGGACAATGGGGCTGTCGGCGCCGTTCGGTCGGATTTGAAGAAAGCAGTCTGCGGATCTTATCAGCAAACAGACGACAAGCAAAGATAGTATAGAGAAGCTTACAAGGATCATCTTCGCAGATGAGCAAGTCCCATTTTCGACACACGGCGTAGATTTCGCGCTTGCGGTGTACAGGAATGGTACTTCCACAGGGGTTGGAACAAGTTCTACCCATTCGAGTTAGCGCTAGCCCTTCAAGAGTGTAAAGGTCAAGGGGACGTACGGTACAAGGATGAGCATCTTGGGCCTCGGACCTCTGCTTTCGTCCCAAGTCGACATCATCTCGTCAAGAGCAGTGGCATTAACGCCTTCCCTGTCCAAAGGAACACCGAGCGTCTTGAGGCCGATAGTAGCAGCAGGGCTCAGAAGACCCGGGTAAGCTATTATCGCCGTAAGTAACAGGTTCATGATCCTCATCATATACCGACTGACCGAACTCCTCAACCAGCACATAATCACCCTTGTTGAAGATAGACCTCATAACAGCATCCGCTCCATCTGTGTTCCCCGCGGTACACAGATTGTCCCAATCAGCGTAAGGGGGCGCGTGGAGTCTCTCGATATGTCCCTTGATCCATTCGAGCAAGTGCTTAGGGCCATACGTAGAGCCGTATTGCAGCTCTCCGACGAGGTCGGGGCGGAGAGGCTCTGTTTTGAGAGGCTCGGTGTAGGGAGCAGCGGGGAGCATTCCCTCAGGAGAGCGAGCTATTTCGAGTCAGAATTTGTGAAATGATATCGAGTCAATTCACGCACTGTTGTAACCTGGGACAAAGACGGACTTGTTGGCGAACGGCACCGAGAGGGTCATACCGTTAACAGGCCACGTAGAAGGGTTAGGAATACCCCCACCAAACTGGTTTACCGATCAGCATTCTGATTTCCTTCGACAGCGGCGGTACTAACGCTAATCATGCCAGGTATCTCAAAGTACGGCCTGAGCTCCTTGAGCTGGGACCTCTGCCTGTTCTGAGACTCATGGCTGAAGTACTTGGTGTAGTCGATGGCGATGGGCTGCTGGTCGATGGATGGCATTATGACTTTTGGATATAGAAGAAAGAGAAGGAGATGCATCGTGCGCGTGATAGAGCGATTTGGTGACCGCGATTGACGTGACTCGTTATCTGCCGGCGCTAATCTCCTCGGACATTTCCGACTCGCTCGCGTGCCGTCGGCAGAGGCTACCCGAAGCTCGGTCAATTCCAAATTCCAATACAAAGTCCTTATCGGCATCTATGTTGCTCGTTATCTCTCATTCCAAGAGCCAATAGCCGTGTCTCCATTATCTGCTACGTAACCATACAACAACCGACGCTTGTCTACCCGGTCTTCTAGTGTCTCAGCTGTCATCTGATCTCTTATCAGCTTCTTTCTTGCCGTAACAGCCTCCAGGCCGGGATATATAAGTACCATCACACAACTCCACTTTCTGGCCCTTTTTCCACGACACCCGTACCTCGCCCATCATGAGCCAATCCGACGTGACTGCAAGAAGCGATGTCGACGAAAAGAAGGACGTCGACATTCACAAAGTCACGGTTGAAGCACTCCCTGCTACAGATGACGGAGAACTCGAAGACGGAATGGTCGATCATGCCTACCTCAACGCCAGCAAGTCTACAAAGTTCTACAGAGGCACCCTCTTTCAGATGTTTCTCTTTGGAGCGTGAGTCTCACCAAAAGGGCGTTTACGCAGCACTAAGCACCACTTAGCATTTCCTTCGTGGGTCCAGCAATGTCGGACGCCATATCAAACCTCGGTGGTGGTGGTCTCTCTAGGCCATACCTGTCAAACCTCTCCAACTCTGTCAACTACGCTGCTTCCTGTGTTGTCACTCTGGTCGGTGGCCCTCTGATCAACAAAATCGGAATCAAGTGGTCTTGCTTGATTGCTGCGATCATCTTTCCTCTGGACGGCTCGAGCTACTATGTCAGTGCCAAGTACGTCGGTAAAGACTGGTATCTTCTCTTTGCCAAAGTGAGCCTTGTTCCACATATACGTTATCCACTAGCTGACCACCGAGCAGATCCTGGGAGGCTTCACTTCCGGCTTCCTATACGTCGCCGAGACCACCGCCATGCTTTCCTACCCCCACGTCTACGAAAGGGGTCTCTACCTAGGTACGCAGTGCCCATCCGCCAAATCGCAGTATGCTTATAGGCTCTCAGGAATCTGGTCCGCCATGCGCAACTCGGGCAGTGTCATAGGCGGCGCTATCAACTTTGCTACCAACTACTCCTCTGATGCCGCAGGCGGCATCGCTTGGTCCACATACCTCATCTTCATTGGCTTTGGTGAGTACCTTGGCGGTTATCCGGTCTACCATCAAATGTCTCCTTTCGCTTACGAGATGCCGATCAGAGTGCACGGGTGTCATCTGGGCCCTCTTATTGTCTGCTACCAAAAAGGTCAGGCGTAGCGATGCCACACGCGTCCCTTACTCCCGGGACATGACTTGGAAAAACGAATTCAAGGCTTTGTACAAACACGTCTTGAACAAAAGGGTATGTGCCACTTCTTCGGCCGATAATGGAGACAACGTGTTGATGACGCTTGGGTAGACTTGGCTTGTGTTTATCCCTGCGTTCTATAGCTTCTTCTATGGAGGTGTGTATGGGACGTACTTGTCCCTGCATTTCTCTGTCCGATCTCGAGCTTTGTCAAGTTTGATCACCCGTAAGCATCCCCTTCTTCCGTCCAAGCGGTACTCAGCTAACGAACATCAAAGCTTCCGCCACTATCCTGATGGTCACCACCTACGGCAAATTCGTCCTCGACAACAAACGCTGGTCCCAACGCAGCCGAGGATGGATCGCTTTCCTCATGTGGGCTATCCCACAGATGGCCTGTATCATCTGGACCGGTATCGAATACGGTAAATTCGGCGGCCAAGAGCTTACCTTGGACTACGCCACGTAAGTCCCCTTCCCCGGCCCTTTCACCCTCCCAGCACTGACAAAAGTCTACCAGCAACGGCCGCCGCTGGGCCGAAGCCTACCTCCCCTACTTTATCATCTTCACCACCGGCTACTGGACCCAGCTCTCCCTCTACTGGATCCTCGGCACATTCACCACCAACGTCAAAGCCTCCTCCCGCACCGGCGGTCTTTTCCGTGCATTCGAAACTGCAGGTCAAGCCGTGTCGTACGCTATCAACTCGAATACAGGGGATAAGCGTATACCGTTGTATGTTTTGAGCGTGCTTTGGGTGCTGGCGGTACCGTGTATGGTGGGGTTGATTAGTTTGATACCGGAGAGGCCGGTGGAGAAGGATGATGTGGCGGATGATAAGATGGATGGGTCGGTGAGCCGGGATAGCGCGCTTGATGCCGAGGTCATGGCCGAGCAGGCGAGGTAGATACAGTTTTCGTTCTTGGTGCTTTAGCGGTTTCCTATTTTTGCGGTGTTCATATTTTGTAGTAGAGGGTTGTACAGTGATTTGACCAATAGACAGTTGTTAGAGGCGCAGAATGGGCTTTACAGAATGTATCGATTGTCTCCAAACATGGAAGTACACGATTATGATCACCATATCTCATCAACCCTCCAACGTCTACTACTTTGGCGTCTCACAAATCGTACACTTTTCGGTGGCACTCGCCGGATTCTCCAACATACAAGTGCTACACGTCCACTTTCCCTCCCCTCCCTCACTCTTCTTTGGCCCCGTCCCAGCTCCCCAGCCGGTGAAAGGCGTCGCCGCAACTGTGGGGACAGCGACAAGCGCGGGAGTAGGAACAGGAGCAGGTGTAGATGTCGACTTTGGTCGGGGTTCCTCGCAGATGGTGCACTTTTCAGTCGCACTATCCGGGTTTTGAAGCATACACATCCCACACGTCCAGCTTCCTCCAGCCGCCGCAGGCCCCGCAGGCTTACTCCCAAACCCTCCAAACCCTCCAAACCCTGTCGAAGCGGGAGTCGGCGCCGGGACGGCAGCTGCTTTGGGTCTGGGTTCTTCGCAAATGGTACACTTCTCTTTGGCACTGTCGGGGTTGTCCAGCATGCACATGGAACACTTCCACGGCCCTCCGCCGGTGCTCGTGGGCGCATCCTTTTTAGTACCAGAAACCTGTCCAAAGCCGGTAAAGCCACCAAAGCTTGGTTTAGCAGGAACAGCGGGAGCAGGGGCGGCAGCTTTCGGCCTAGGTTCCTCGCAAATCGTGCACTTTTCCTTCGCACTGTCGGGGTTCTCCAACATACACATCGAGCACTTCCACGGTCCTCCGCCTGTACTCTTGGGCTCATCCTTCTTGGCGCCAGAGACCTGTCCAAAGCCGGTGAAGCCACCAAAGCTTGGCGCAGTAGGCGCAGCGGAAGTGGTCTTGGGCTCGTCCGTCTTCTGGCCAGAGACCTGTCCAAAGCCCGTGAATCCGCCAAAGCTGGGTTTAGCAGCGGCGGCGGCGGGAACAGAAGGAGCCGAAACGTCTAGTGTAAAAGTAAACGCCTGAACATCCTTCCCCTTCGCCTCGCTCTTCGCCTTCTCCCATTTCTCCTCCGTCGTGTTCTTCGGCACCTCCCCACTCCCCCCAACACTCGGCGGCACAAAAGTAAAGAACGGCAACACCGCCTTATCCATCTTGAGCGCCGCCTCCTTCGGGGTGAGCGATGATTGCTCGGTAGAAGTCTTCTTGGGCGAAGCCGACCTGTGGATAGGTTTGAACGCAGGTTCCTCTTCCTGCGCAGGTTTGCCGGCGTTGAAAGAGGCGGGGGTGGAGAAGGAGAATGCCTTGGCCTGCTCTGCGGCCTTCTTTGGCGCTTCGATTATACTCTTTCTAAGCGGCGAATCATACACCTCAGTAGCCTTCTTTGGCTGCGGAACAGGGGCAGCCGTAGATGGGAAAGCGGGGAGAGAAAGGGCAGGGCTGGAGAAGGTGAAGGGGGCAGATTCAAACATGTTCTTGGGAGCCTCGGGAGCGGCGACTGCAGTAGGCTTGGGAATCTGCTTTTTGGAGGCAGCTTCTTCGACGATCTCGATATCGTCGTCATCTTCATCGCTCGAGATTTCAATAGCCTCCTCGACTGGCTTTGTCTGCTTGCTAGGTTCTTGTGGCTTCTGTAGACCCTTGGCTTCCCACTACGGTTCCATTAGCATCCATCTCAATCAGCGGTATATAATTCACTCACAGGCTTGACACCCTTAATCCTCTCAATCGTAGTCAACCCCTTACTCCCCACCATCCCCTCCCTAAACGCCTCCATCTTCGCCGCCGCACCCCTCAGCGGCGTCTTCTTCCTCGGTGTCGACCCCGCATGCGCCGTACTAGGCACACTATTAGGCACAGCAGGCGGGCCCGTAGACTTTGCCAACACCGACGTCGACCCAGGCGTCCCTGGCGTTGTCGACGTTGACTTGTTGAGCGCGCCTCGGTCATACGAGTTCCACCTGACCGGCTCGATATGGCTCTGCGGCGCTTCCTTCTCCGTCTGCTCGATCAGCGAGAGCATGATGGCAGCTGCATTCTGCCTGCCAGTCTCTTCGACTTCGCGCCTTTTGGCGGAAGCCTTGTCGGCGGGGCTTTCGGGCTTGCGTTTGGTGCCGGAGGCGGGGGAGAGAGTGTTGGCGGGGTAAGACTGGGCGGGGGTGGGGGAGGCTTTGTGTGAATGGCGGAGAGGGGAGGAGGTGGCAGAGTAGCGGAGGGCGGTGTTGATCAGGTGGCGGTTGGGGAAGGAAGGTGGGAGGCTGGCAGGTTCGAGTGCGGGGGCAGGAGCTGGCGAGGTGCTCTTGGACAAAACACGGCTGGAAGCGGGAGATGACGCTTCATACAGGATTAGCATAATGCGGTTCGAGGTAAGAGATCACTCACTCTGCGTCTTTCGAGGCGACATGCCCGGACCAAGATACTTTTGCTTATACTTTTGCTTATACGGCGTACCTCCCAATCCCGACGACGTCGACTGGTTCAAACCCCTATACGCCACATCATCAGAGCTCGAGTTCGGCAACCATCCCCTCCTCCTCTCACTACCTGCCGGGGAGGCAGCACCAGCGCCAGTGATCCGCTCAGTGAGCATCGCAATAATAGTCTTGTCTTGCGCTGTAAGCTCTTGCCCTTGATGTTCTTGCAGGAAGGTCGCTAGGGCGTTGGAGTATTGCGAGCTGGACTCGCCGTTGACAGATGGATGCGAGGGTGTGGTGAATGATGCGGGGAGAGGCAAGCGAGCAGGTAGAGTCGATGGGGTCTTGACAGAGGTGGCTTGGGGCGTAACAGTACTAGGGCCAGCGATGGCATTTGGCATAGCATGGCCGTTCAATTGACCCGTGACCTTCTCGCTCACAGTTGCCAGAGAAGGGGGGAGGGAAGGAGGAGCGGCGTCCTTGACAAAGTGACCAGGAAAGACGGGGGTTGTGGGGGTGATGATTTGGCCGTTTTGGTACGCCAACATGGGGCCGACCGATGATCCGACCTATACCTCCTTAGCACGACTCTCTCATATAGCTAGTAAGACTCACCTGAAGATCTCTTCGCGCAGCTTCCCGTCGCCCACCCGCGACCTCGCCTTTCGTCCTCCATTCCACCTGCCTCGCCTCAAACCCTTCTCCTCCTCTCCCTGCAGCCGCCGCCAGAGAAAACACATCCTGCCCCTTCATCTGAACAGGCTCATCGCCTTCCCAGTTGTCTTCCGACCCCGACTCTGAGCGTTGATATTGGTTGGTGGGGAAAGAGTCGTGGGTTGGAAGTGAGGGTGAACTGCGACTGAAAGGAGAGGAGATCAGGTTGCTGAAGACTGATTTGATCACGCCGAAGGTCTATCACCATTGTCAGTGAAGGGTTTCAGTTTGCTGTATGATAGACTTACACCACCGCCAGGCGTTGTCTTTGGCTTGGTAGGGGTAGGTCGAGCATAAGGCGTCCTATTGAGTCGCTCCGATCTCTTTCCGTGCTGAGACGAGCGGCCGTCCATGTTGAGATGTTTTTGTCGTGTCCAGGAGCTCTATGGCGCCGTAGCTGGAGGGGGGTATGGATATAGGGAGACAGAAACACTGGAATGGAAATGGATAACGCAAAACAAAAGTCATAGTGAGCGAAAGAGGCAATAGGAGCCGTTACGTAAGTTGTCCTCTCTTTTGTGCGCACCCACTTAGGCGCTTAAGGCGCTTGCCTCCGATGACCTCAGCCAGGAGTCAAGTGAGCCCCGGGTCACAACATTGCATGCACATGAAGAACCAGCTTGCCGGCTTTACCTCTTTCTCACAATGACCCCAACATGGTGCTGCCAATCACAAACCCCACCAGGTCATTCTGGATCGACGGTGCCGACTCGGCCTTGCGAAACCACCGTTCCACCCCAGGGCTGATATCGTGATCATCGGCAGCGGGTATTCTCGTACTTCTACAGCGTATTGGATCCACGAGTTATGTCCAGAATTTGACGCTGTGGGAGTGAGCCGATATCCTGTAGTTTTCCAAACCGAGTCATGTCCCCAGTATTGCCATCCTCGAAGCGCGCAACGTCTGTTGAGGAGCCACCGGCCGCAACGGTAAGTATATCATCTGGCAGTGTCCACCAGCTTACATGACATCAAGGCCGCCACCTAAGACCGCACATCTACACCTCCTACCCTGCCTGGTCTTCTCGTTTCGGCCCCGAAGGCGCCCTGTCTCTTATCGAGCACGAAGCCTTATAGAAGGACTTCTCAAACATACCGGCGCTCAGTACTGCGACAGCTACGTGAATGTATGTCTTCTCCCATATTTAATCTAACCACTTACTCACTCTTGTTCAGAACTACCGCCTCCAACTCCCCCCGCCGTACAACACTATCATCCTCGGCAGCGGCAAACCCGCTATAGCCGCCCATCCCGAGCCCAGTATCCTCAGCGACGAGGAAGACTAACAGGTTCCCGGGTATACCCGAATACTATGCCTCATGGCCTGCTGCAACCATTCCTGGATGGGAGGACGACGGTCCGGCAGAGTTTGAACAAGCGGTGAACGAAGGAGGCGTAACCCTACTCCTATATTGGATGACAAAAGCTAAATGACGAGGGAACAGTCGAAACTGAAAGTATAGATTCATTCCCCTTCATCGGCCCCGTCCCCTATCAACCCGGGCAATTCGTCGCCGCCGGCTTCGTAGGACACGCGCATCTGGTGCCCATCCTCCTCTCTTCTCTTGACATACCCTTCACCCAAAGGCATATGGCGGGTATATTCCCGGAATTGCCGGAACCGTTCAAGGCTACGGAGGGGAGGGTGGAGAGGTTGCAACATGTGGATGCGAAAGCACAGTTTGCGGAGGATATCGAGAGGGCGAGGGAAAGTGCGAGCAAACCTTGGGCCGTAAAGTCTTAGGCGACGTGCTATATCTGTATATGCTGGGTTTGTATTCTACGATTCGTGTCAGGGATGGGACGTGCGAGGATGGAAGTTTCGCATACGGCCCAAAAAGTAGATGCAATTGGAAGAACTACCATCCCGACAAAAAAGGACTGTTGCTATCCTAATTATTGCTGCTTTGACCGGGTCTCCGATCCTTTCCACTCGACCCAAGGGACCATGTACTTTATGCTGCATGGCACACAAGCCTGAGCACCGAGACAGTCGTGCAAGTTCGAGGATCGTTTCACTGTAGTGTCGTGAGCAGTGTTCCATCTCGCGATATGATCTGGTGTCCGCGAAATCGGCACCTGCAGTGCATCTGATTGGAAGTCCAAACCCCGCGCCCGGTGTCAGCGCTCGAACGTTATCTCACTTTTGGCGACGGCAAATCCACCAATGCATCCCGCTGCACCCGCTGGGAGCTCTGGGAGCTCTGCGGCTGCGTATCAGATAAGCCCTCGGTGTTCACGAAAGGAACCGAAATTGCCGATCCGCGCTTCGCGTCGCGTACCTATCAACATTCAACAGCCCCGATAGGCTCTCAGCTCAGGTTCGCATTCTCCCGACTTGTCTCCATCCTATATATCTCTCTCTTCCCTCTATACCTCCCACAGCAAACCCACAATAGCCTCAATATGGTCCTCCCAATCACCAACCCCACCAAATCATTCTGGATCGAAGGCGCCGACTCTGCCTTCCGAAACCACCGTTCCACCCCCGACCTCCCAGAGAAGGCCGATATCGTCATTGTCGGTAGTGGATATGCTGGCTCCTCCATGGCTTACTGGATCCAAAAGGTAAGTTTTCCCTCCTTATGAATGTGGTAGGGGGTAAAGCTGACTTTGGGGTAGTTTGCAGAGAAGGGTCAAGTACCGAGTATAGCGATTTTGGAGGCTCGTGATGTTTGTGGAGGAGCCACCGGGCGTAACGGTATGCCCCACACCTCAATCCTTCTTTGTGAAAACTCATTTTGTATGTAGGTGGTCAGCTCAGACCGCATATTTATTCCCGCTATCCCACCTGGTCCTCCCGCTTCGGCCCCGAAGGCGCTCTTGCGCTTATCAAACACGAATCCTCCCACTTGGCCGCTTTCGACGCGCTCTTTGAAGAGGAGGGTATCGCTGAGGAAGTGTGTTTCAAGCTTGGCGAGACGTTTGATGCTGCCATGTCTGATGAAGCTTGGGTCCGTCTGAAAGGGGCTTATGAGGCGTTTGAAAAGGATTTTCCAGAGGATGACTGTTTCAAGAGTTGTAGATTGATTGAGGATGCGGAGGAGGCGGAAGCTTTCACGCAGATGAAGGGGTGTATTGGGGCGGTGGTACATCCTACTGGTCAAGTGTGAGTCTACAGCCTTTCCTTTGCGGGTGGGAGGATGGTAGCTCATGGTGTGGATAGGTGGCCGTATAAGTTTGTCCATGCGATACTGCGAATCATCATGTCCAACGGCGAGGTCAACCTCCAATCCCACACGCCCGTACAAAAAGTCTCTGACCGAGGGTCCGACGGCCTTATCACCGTCAGTACCGATCGGGGAGATGTCAAAGCCAAGGCTGTCGTCCACGCCACCGTAAGCCTGCCTCTATATCGTGTTTCGGGAGAAGGCTGACAAGAGTTAGAACCGATGGGCATCCCATCTTCTACCGGAGTTTACCAATCTCATCTTCCCGGAACGTTGTACCATCTGTGCTATCAAAGCTCCAGCGGGACTCATCAAGCACACCGGTGCCCAACACTGGGATAGCAGCGTCAACGTACGTCTCTCCCCTCCTGCATCTGGCCTCTGACTTACCCATGTGCAGAACTACCACCTCCAAATTCCTCCGCCTTACAACACCATCATCGTCGGCGGTGCCAAATCTGCCCTCGTCGCGCATCCTGAACGGTACATCCTTAGTGATGAGGAGGACAAACAGCTTGAGGGTTCACCTGAATACTATGCGTTATGGCCTACCAAGAGCGTCGTGGGGTGGGAGGGCGAAGGTCCCGCAGAGTTTGAGAGGGCCGTGAACGAAGGAGGCGTATGGACTGGTGGTACGTTCTTCAAGTAATTGCAAGACGACAAAGCTGATAAAATCACAGTCGAATCATCGAGCATAGACTCTTTCCCTTTCATCGGACCCGTCCCCAACAAGCCCGGACAATTCGTCGCCGCCGGTTTTGCAGGGCACGGTATGCCTCGTATCCTGGGCTCCACCGCGCACCTCGTCCCCATCCTTCTCTCTTCCCTCAAAATCCCGTTCACCCAACCACCCGTCGCCGGTATCTTCCCCGAACTGCCAGAGCCTTTCATCGTGACAGAGGAGAGGGTGGAGAAGTTGCAGCATGTGGATGCGAAGGCAAAGTTTGAGCAGAGTATTGAGAGTACGAGGGAGAGTGCGAGCAAGCCGTGGGGCAAGTCTTGGGCGGTTAATGTCTAGGTGGTGGGCTTGAAATGTATGGTCCTAGTATATTCTGGGCAACAATAATGAATAGAGCATTGACATATACCCACCATCAGATATATGCAGGGATGGGACCAAACAACGAGGAGATGATGTTCCGGCCAGGGACGGTGTGTTCGTACACGGACAGCGATCACAACAACGCACCGCCATTTTCAACTTTCACGAGGCATCATACATCATAAAACGCCGCTTCTCTGCAAGATCACCAGCAAACGCAAAAGTGTACACCATGTCTCGTCCAGACGGCTTCATCCAGCCATACGCCCCAGTCGCACAGGACCCCTACACGCCCCCGCCGCCCTCTGCGCTCCACTCCCAGCACCATCACAGTCAGAGTGAGCAGCATCACCAGCAGTCGCCATACCAGGAGAATCAGAGAGACGACGCGTTCTTTCTGTATAAAGAGGCCAAGGGTGAGATCATCATGAACAACAATAATCTGGACGGGGGTGTCCCTCCGCTGTTTACCAAGTGGCAGAGGGTGTACATGATTATAGGTGAGTGCTTTATCTTGACTTCTTTAACATCATGATCCAGACTGACGGGCTTCGATAGCTACTGCCGAAGCTGTCATCATTTTTGGACTGTCTTCCACCATCTTCGGTCTCGTTGAGGCGAGTCGTTTGTCTTGGCGCCTAAAATCTACACTCAGCTGATCGTAATGTTTTTGTGACAGGTCAATGTGGAAGAAACGGATACCAGGACGCGGACTCTGCCAGTATACCTATCCATATTCCTGCTCGCTCAGTGTGTCCTCTCGTTCACCCTTGCGAAAGTTGGCTCACCTTCTGTCTGCAGAATATTCGCTCTCCTCTACGTCTTTGACGCCCTGAGAGCCCGTAACGTAGTCCAAGCGAGTCTTCTCTCCTACTTCTCGATGACGGCGTACTGACATGTACAGTACAGTTGATTCTCCACCTCTGTCTCAACTTTATGCTCTTCCTATACGCCATCCTGCAGATCCCACAAACCAGGATCGCCTTAAGAGACGCACACGAAGACAACGCTGAATGTGGGCACTTCGAAGTAAGGCCCAGTCTCATCATCTTTCTCGAATGGAGCACTAATTCCATATGCTAGAATTGCATCGGCCCACACTCCCTCTGGAACGTCGTCCTCCCCTTACTCATCATACCCGTCATCATCTTCACTTTCGCCATCATCGCTTTTGGCACGTTGGTCCGCCGATTGGCTGATGAGTTTGGATGGGATGTGTATCGATATACTGGAGCGTCCACCGAGATCAAGCGTGAGTATTAACAGGAAGGCTATGAAGATAACTGATCACTCGTGTAGACATGTTGAGGGCGTATCAGACATTGGTTTCGTTGCTGAAGCTCATGCTGTTCTTCGCCACGGCTTTCTGCATCGCAGTAAGTGCTGAGTCTCCGGCGATACCAATCTGCTGCTAACCAGATCTCAGTACCTCATCCTCATAACGGCTTGGGATTCCAAGAAAGCTGAGTTGTACGCTCAACCTCCCATCGTCTTCACTTCTCAAAGACTGATATCAGCCTCGTAGTATTGTGACAGTCATCGCCCTACCTCTCCTTTTCATCCTTGTATTGGCTTGTGGCTGGGCTCTGCGCGAAGAGAACAAGTTGTGAGTCGGGTCATCTCGAGATTGCCAGGACGACGCTGACAAGAATGAAGTGTAATGTCAGCGATCCTGGTGCTCATGGTCGCAGGCATGGCCTACTTCATGTTAGTTTTCTCCTCTGAGCCCCAGCCATACTCCCTAATCAAAAATGACAGCTACAAATTATCAACCCTCTGGCTCCCCCGCACCTCCTCCCTCTACATAAACACCCGCATCACCATGGCCATCCTCTCCATCTTCGCCATCCTCATCCTCTTTGTCACATTCATCTACGGCATCATCTGCATGAGTAACTTTGGGAAAGGCTTGAGGGGGGTGCATGATAATCCGAGGAATAAGATTAGTGTTTTGAGTTGCTTGCCTAGTGGGAAGGGGGGGTGGGATGGGGAGGGGGAGTTGAGGGAGGATGGGGAGGGGCAGGCTGGGTATGGGCATGGGTATGGGCAGGGAGGGAGGAGGTTTGAGATTGCGTGAGAGAGGGGTTGTATCTTTCAATATTACTACGCTACCACTATCACGAAATACGATACGATCATTGAAATATCTTCAAACAACTGGCAGGGCAAAGTTCGCATACTCTACTCTACGAACATCATGAGCTGCTTCTTATCTATGTATCTGCAAACATGCCTTGTCTTATACGTTCCATTATGAGATGAGCTTGGCAAGACAGTCGTTACTCGGTCATGCCGGAGATGCATTGGGTTGTCGTACGTTACAAGATGGGATTCTGATAGATAGAATAGATGCAGAGAAATGGTCGTAGAATATTCGAGGTTACACAAGTCGTCTAGTAGAAGTCGTAGATAGTTCGTAATTGTCGTGTCGTGAGAAAGGTCGTCATAGAAGCTAAGACTTTTTGGTCAGCCTCGCGTCAGAGCTTCAAAGATGGAGAGGACTTACACACAGACATCAGAGTAGGATCATCCCGTATCCCAATCTCCCTCCCTAACCATATCCCACCCTCCCTCTACACGCTTCACTTTCCTCAGCTTCGTCTTTCCCATCAACCCATTCTTGATACTCCCGCTCCCCAGAGACGGCGAACGAAATATCAACCGCCGCTTGCTCCTCCCTCCTTCAGAAGACGACATATGAGAACTGACTGTACCACTCGAGTCAGTCGCAGCAGACGTAGACGGTTCAGACTGCCGCCAGAAATGTGGGAACGAGGCAGCAGGGAAGGACGAGGGCGGAGGGGCACGATGCCCCACCGGGGTAGACGAGTTGCTCGAGTTTTGGGTGGTGGGTATGGATATGGAGGGCGGGGAGTCGAATGGGGAAGGCGAATGAAATACAGGCGACGAAGGTGCGGAGAGAGTATCGTCTGACATCTCATCGTTCGGGAGCCGATCCCATGGACGGTGCTTTTCTTGCCCCAAACCGATACCAAGCCCCAGCCCTGAAGAGATCCCCATAGAACTCAAGCTCCCCTTCTTCCCTCTAGATCCCTTCTCGCCGCTGTCCACCGCCAATCCTAGGCTTTCTTGCATACTCGCTCTCGAGCCTCCTCCAGTGTCGTCGTCGTCAGAGAAAGACACTGCGCGTAACCGCCTCGCCCGCGTCGTCCCCCTTGAAGGCGAGTGGAGGGATCGAATGGACTGGTAGGAGTACGCACGTTCGGGGGCGTGGACGACTTCTGCTATAGGCGTATATGGGCGCAAGTGGGGGCTGAAGCCCGGCGAAAGGGGGCGTGGGTGGCGCTTGGTGGATGCCTTTCCGCCGTTTGAGGGTACATTCTTCGTGACTCGGGGTACGGGCGAGCGAGGGGGAGGGTGAGGCTGGGCTGATAGGGGGTGGGGGTGGGAGATGGCCACCGGTCCGGGGGGTGGGGCAGGGCGGAAGAGGGATATGATGATGCCCATTCATGGCAGTTTTCGCTGGGAATTGTGTTGTAGGGGTTGTTGCTGGGGTACACAGTGGGTAGAAGAAAAAGCGACTGATGATATTATAATTTGTATGAGATGAGCGTGGGGAACACGAGATTCCACCGCGCCTGCTGTTTGGTCCTGACTCCTGCGTCCCCACGTGCCTTTGGTTCCGTGTCACTCAACGCTGCGGTAGGGTATGGACGACAGTGCTTCATAAGTACCTCAGTTCTTTTTCAAAGACGGTATCTCTCCCTCCAGCTCCTCCTTCCGCCTCCTCTCCTCTTCCTGCCTCTCCTTGAAATCATCAATCGCCCCCTGCGACATCTGTCCCGCTTCTGCATTTTCGATACTATGCCCCAAGTCATCAGCAGCTTGAGACGCATCACTATGTGCGGTATAGTGGTCTTCGGGGGTCGTCCAGGCGGCTCGGCTGGAAGATCCTCCGCCGGAAACTGAGGTCATCTCTGTTCCTTGAGTAGACTCGTCTTTGTTGGGTGACATTCTTCCTATCCGCTTTGCAACTGGATGGGGATTAACAATCTCCTCCCTGGTATATACCCCAATAACGACCATGTGGTCGTGAGCTGATCCTTCTTTTGGTATAAAGGACAGCGCAATCGCTCCCGGCGGACTTGACAACATTTGCTGAGGAATCGCAGCCGACACGCGCCCTTCCTATCTCCTCCGAGTATTACTCATCAACATATTGCAATCTCTGTGATAATTGACAGTACTTCCCTTTACAGATATTTCAAAGAGCGAGGGCGCGCCAAGACTATCCGATGCTGCGCCACCACTGCACGTCCGTCGACGGTCAGTCAACGCTGACGGAGTGACATCACAGCGTCCATAGAAATCTGGATACTCCCCTGCATCCTAATCACGTTATTCTTCCCTCTTCCCACTTGCTCGGCGCTTCGCCTCGCCTCCTCTTTCTGCTTGAGATCCATCAGGGCATTGATGGCCGACTGTGATATCCGTATCGTCTCCTCTGCTTTTCTGGCGCCATGCCTCCGATGGCTGGTAGTTTGAAGTGCGGCGTTATGGGTTGTACGGCTGTCTATGAGGGCTGTCGTTGGAGTCCGTCCTCTTGATGAGGAGGCTCCTTGACCATCTGAGATTGTAGCCGGAGCCTTATCTTTACCTTTAGATGACTCGTGTTTGGCGAGCGCATGTCTCGACCCGCGTCGTCAAAATCTCGTTTCATTCAAATGAGCACTTGCAATTACACTCATGTTATAAGAATGGACACCAGCATGCTGCGAGACGTTCTCATGCATGTTGGGGCACAAAGGATACCACTCCACTTACAATCTTGCAAAGCATGTTGTCATCGCGCCCTTTGTTGCATCTGAACCGAGCGAGAATTTTGGCAATGCAAGGCATACATCTGAAAAGGCTTCAGACGGTATATGGTAATTATCAAGCGAGAGTACAAAAGTCCAAAAATGATCATCGCTATATGTACAGGTCACTTCTTTCCATTCTTCTAATCTTCCAAACTCCCGGACTCAATCAAGCAAAGACAGGACCTGAAAGCTTGACCTTTTCCTCGATATCCGCCTCGTACTTGGCGAACGCCTTCTGGAACATCCCTCCAAGCTTCTCCACTTCCGAGTTGAACTCTTCCTTACTCGGCCAGACCTTCGCCGGGTTAAGGATATCGCTGGGGACACCTTCAACAGCCTTGGGGATGGCGAGGTTGAAGATGGGGAAGTTTTCGTACTCTGCCTGCGCGAGCTTGCCGTTGTGGATAGCATCCACGATGGCTCGGGTGTACTTGAGAGGACATCGCTTGCCGGTACCAAACTTGCCCCCAGTCCAGCCAGTGTTAATCAACCAGCAGTTGACCTTGTTCTTCTCCATGCGCTCGGCGAGCATCTTGGCGTAACGACCAGGGTGGAGGACGATGAACGGCTGGCCGTAACATGTGGAGAAGGTGGGAGAAGGCTCGACGATACCGTCTTCGGTACCTGGTGTCTTTGACGTGTACCCGGCGACAAAGTGGTACTGCGCCTGCTCGGCCGTCAGGCGGGATACAGGAGGCAAGACACCGAAAGCATCGCAAGTGAGCATGATGATGTTGCTCGGCTGTTGGTCGGCGATACAGGGGATTTTGGCGTTGGGGATGTATTCGATGGGGTAGGCGCAACGGGTGTTTTCGGTGATGGACACGTCGTCGTAGTCGGGTTTACGGTCGGCGGGGTTGTAGACGACGTTCTCGAGGATGGAGCCGAACTTGATGGCGTTGAAGATTTCGGGTTCCTATCAGAGCGTCAGTGGGAAGACAGAAGAAGAGGGAGGGGCTCACCTTCTCAGCAGAGAGGTTGATGCACTTGGCGTAACAACCACCTTCAATGTTGAACACACCAGTGTCACTCCACACATGCTCGTCATCACCAATCAACAACCTATTGGCATCGGCCGACAAGGTCGTCTTTCCTGTACCACTCAAGCCAAAGAACAGCGTTACATCACCCTTGTCACTGATAGCCTGGTTGGCCGAAGAATGCAAGGAGAGCTGACCAAACTTGACGGGCTGGAGGTAGTGCATGACGGAGAAGATACCCTTCTTCATCTCGCCGGCGTACTCGGTACCGAGGATGACCATCTCCATACGCTTGAAGTTGACTTCAACGGAAGTGGTGGAGGTCATGCCGGTAGTAAATCGGTTCGCGGGGAACTGGCCGGCGTTATAGATGATAAAGTCGGGCTCGCCAAAGTTTTCGAGTTCTTCGGGAGTGGGGCGGATGAGCATGTTGTGCTAGAGACAGGTCAGCAGTGAAGAGACGGGGGAAGGAAGGGGCGTACCATGAAAAGGGCGTGGTAAGCCCGGGAAGCGATAACTCGGACCTTAATCCTGTACTTGGGATCCCACCCGGCGAAGCCATCAAAGACGTAGACGTTATCTCTGGTGTTGAGGTAGTCGATGGCTCGTTCTCGGTTGATCTCGAAAGTGTGCTCGCTATGCAAAGTCAGCAGGTGCACCTAGAAGAAATATAGGGGACCCACTCCATCTTGATGTTCACGGGACCCCACCAAATGTCATCTTTACTCGTTTCTTCGTACACGATACGCTTGTCCTTGGGACTACGCCCGGTCTTCTTGCCGGAAAAGTTGATGAGAGCACCGCTGGAAGAGATAACGGCGCCTTCATTCATCATCGCATCTTCGTAGAGAGCGGCCACGGGGGCATTGCGCTACGTCCAAAGGTCAGGAGGTGGCACGTAAGAAATGACATAAGAGTACGCACCTTGATGTGAATTCGATCCAGGTCGAAACCAGCCTGGGAAAAGTACTTGATCTCTTTACCGAGGAACTGATTGCTCTCGAACTCGTCGTGGTGGTGCTTGGGGGCCATTGTGGTAGTGTTTCAGTTGGCAAGTTCTGAAGATCGTGGTCAGCGTTTTGGTCGTGTGATAAACAGCCACAGCGAAGGCCGGATAAGAGTCGGCCCGGTGAGGTTGTCCGCGGCATTGACCGCCCAAAGGGAGAAGACTTACAAAGTAATTGTAAGGAATGCAGGAATGAAGCAGGATGGTGGGGAGACATCTTGGGAATGCACTGGCTGTTATATATAGACGGGAGACCTTTCGCAATGACGGAAGAGGATGCCGCTCGAAATGATGCACTTTTCGAATTCCCGGTCCCAGCCGGCCTGGCCGTCCAGGGTGGAGGTCCTCCCGATCGTCTTTTGGTGCGGCACTGCCCACCACTTTTCGAATCCTCTTCGGCGCTTTCGGCTTAAAGTGGCTTTCGTCCAAATCCATCGAAATCATCGACGGCGCATCGGATTTAGATGCAATCATCTGGCGGGAGGGCCGCATTCGAAAAGGACGGCCCATCATTGGGTCTGGGGATGCATTCCGAGATTCTCCGAGGGTGGAGGTGGCTCTGGGTCTTGTGCCGATGAATACCGCTCTGGATGGCGGCGGGGGGTGCGCTGAGCGGGTGCAGGGGTGTCGTTGGTCGGGGGAAGCATCGAGACGGGCCACAGGAGCGGAACGGTGCAAGAAGAAGCAGGACAAAGGAGTAAGGACCGATGAATGCCGGCCTCGTTGCTTCTTATCTTATCTCGCGTGATTGCGCGTATCATCTGCGTATCATCATTGCGTATCATCTGCGTATCATCATTGGTCCGTGGCAGTAAAGGGCGTGGCAACAATCCTGGTCTTCGTCTTCCATCGTCGCTGCATAGTATTTCTCAGCTACATATCTCAAGCGCGGCACTCTCGCTGCACAGAGCTGTCAGCCAGAGCGTAGTAGGACTTGACCCATGACTCGGCAAAAGAAGCGCAAAAGATGTTTTCCTTGTATGAACCCCTTCTGACTTGTCCACGAGGTAGAAGTGTTCGTCCACGCCAAGTATACCAAGAACGCCGATCGAATGCTAAACGGAGCGTGGCTGAAGGTGCCGTAGAAGATCCAAAATCAAGCCAGGACGGACATGAAGGGTCTGTACCGACTAGTAATCAGCTACATCCCCAAGCCCCAACAGAAGGGAGAATCCACTCACCCCTCGTGTCTCGCTCTTCATCACCTCGCCCGCCCGACTTCCGCAACTACCCAATCCACCGCCTCCCTCGCAATCCCCTCCCACCCATCTACCATCCCCTCCCACCCTCCCTTCTTCCGATCCCTAAGAACATGATCCGCCCCCGGTACCCAAACCCCCTTGACAAACAAGCCCAAGGTTTTCATATCGTTAACTAGGGCGTAGCTTTCTTCGATGGGTACGAGAAGGTCTTGATCGCCGTGGAGGACGTAGGTGGGAGGTGTTTGGGGGGTGATGGGGAGGAGGAAGCGGCGTTTGTCGGGAGGTATGAGAGCGAGTCGTTCTCCGTATGGCACACTCTTCAAGGTTGCTGGAAGACCAGGGGAAGACAAGACATAGTCCAAGAACGTCCCCTCCTTCTGCCAATGTATCCACAGATTGAACCTCCCTCTCACGTCCGTCGCTTTCCCATCCACCAAGGTCCCTTCCGACTCGCTCACCACCTCCCCGCCCCCATTCTGTATCAGCTCCTCAGCTTTAGCCATATCGTGCAGGGTGTTTTCCAGCGGCATGGTCTTTTCGACGTCTATGCCTTGGAGCCAAAAGTCGAGGAGCCAATCCCCACCCATACCGAATAAATCGAGCCATGCTACAGGGCGGGGGACGATTTCGGGGAGTGTAGCAGCTGCTCTAGCTGGGTAATTACCCCCGGACACGCCTATGACGGCAATACGAGAGATGTCGATAGCAAACCCGTTTTGGCGAAGCGTCTTGTCCAATTCGGTGTTTGGCGCGGCGAGATAGGCAAACAGTGTGCGTACGTCGGCAATGATATCTTCCGCAGTGCTAGGGAAGAGTAGTCGATAGTTCGGAGAGACGAGCAACACACCCTTGCTCTGCAAATACCCTGTGGGACCATAAGCTCGGGCATCCGAAAAGAGATAAGCATGATCGTCAAGACTCACCAGGGAGAAAGGGCGGGTACACGTCGCTCTTACTGCCTATCACCATACCTCCTCGGTGGTAATGGACTACCACAGGAAGCTTGGTCTGGGAGGATGGTTGGGGGAAGGGGAGGTAGGCGTCGAGCTGGAGGTTGTGCGTGGTGTCGAAGGTAAGGGTTATGGGAGAGGGCGAGTCGGACATGGCGGAACCGACTGATTTCGTAGACAGTGTGGAGTGGATAGAGAAGCGGGAGTCTGGATATTAGGAAGAGCAGAAGTGAATGTGAGCTTGAATGGTGGACGATGCATTGGTTGCTTGCAGAGTGTCTGGAAAGCTGCTCGAAAGCGGTGACGTGTCTAAGTCCGTACAAATACCGCGTTACGTAATGGTTCACCAAGTAGCATCATGCACCGCCCGCCCTCACAACGCGAACGCCAAGTCATGAGCCTGCTCCAAGTTTGCAAGGTAAGTATCAGAAGCGTGCGCATTGCAGTAGCCGACAGTGGCACAGATCACGGATACATGCTCCATGGAAATACTGGGTCAAAGAGGTGATGGCGAGAGCTCAACTGCTCAAGACGTGAAGCACGTTCGTTCCTCGCCCAGCAAAAGTTCACAACCCAGACAAACGTTCACTCTTACGCTCACCATGATCCAGTGATAGCAAGCTCAGATCACCTCTCAGGGCGAGTGCCGGCCTCGGCCCCGGAAGCTATCGACAAGCAGGCGTATCGTCCACAGGCCACAGCGCACGCGCAACACCACTTCTCTCCACCATACCCAGTTGGGTCTTTGCCGAAGTGCATCTTGCTTCATTTCCGAAGGAAGAAGCATAGGGTCTGGAATCCGCTCCCTGAAGACGCAATCCCAGCCACTTTCTGCTCTCCAACGTGCATCGGTATATAAAGCTGCCTGGGCTTTTTACAGACCATTCGATATCATCTCTCTGCTTCGACTTCTATAATCTCTTCTTTCTCAAAAGTCGACCATGGTGTCTGCGTTCTCCATAGGCAAGCTCGGGCTGCTTTTACCTCCTCTGGCAGCCGCCTCCCCCATCCAACTTCCCGCCCAGGGTGTCGACGCCCGCCATGGCATCAACGACCGGGTGCTCGATGGACGAGGCAGCTTCGAGCACGTCGATGTGAGTCCTTCTTCCTTTTACAATGGTATCCACTGATAGCACATAGCTCCACTCCCGTACCACTCCGAAGGGGAATACACATGCTTCAGCAACCCTTTTTTCCCACTCCACCATCACTACCAACACTCCTATCCCCTCTAGCAAGCCTACCAACCCCACCACGATCCTCTCTAAGCGCGACTCAGCATACCAAACCAACGTCACCTTCGCTGGCAAGACGTACATTAACAAGGGCCCTGTCGGTTTTGGCGCTCTTGCCGGCGATGCTGTCGACTCGTTTGGGGAGACTATCGGTGGGATCGGGTCTGCCATTGCACTGCAGTCTTTTGAGAAGGGTGACGACGGGGCGTATACTGGCGTGATCATCGTCCAGCCTGATAGGGGCCACAACACCAATACCACTACCGACTTTATCAGTCGTCGACACTACCTCTCCTTCACGCTCAACCCCTACTACAATTCCACCCAGCTCTCCTACCAGAGCGCCAAATCTACCTTCGATCTCAAATACAACAGCACTGTGCGTTATTTCGAGTCGGACGGTACACCCACGACGGGGCTGGACGCTACTGGTATCCGAAACGGCTCCATCCCCGAGCCTATCTCCAATGCGACATACAACCACATCTCGTCCGACCCCGAGGGGCTTGTGCTCAACTCGGACGGCTCGTTCTGGGTCAGCGACGAGTACGGGCCCTACATCTGGAAGTACTCTGCCAACGGCACTCTTCTCGACACCATCGTCCCTCCCAAGGCCGTCTTGCCTTACAAAAACGGTTCCCTCTTCTTCTCCGCCGAGACAGAGAACCCCGATACCGGACGATCGCCCAACCAGGGCTTTGAGGGCCTCACCGCCTCTTCCGATGGCAAGACCCTCTACGCGCTCTTGCAGACTGGTACCGTCCAGGACCTCGACGCCAACGACTATGGTCGTTACACCCGGCTTTACGTCTACGACGTCTCCGGCACTCCTACCCTTACCAACGCCTATGTCCTTACGCTTCCCGTGACTAACGGGAAGGGCAAGCCACTCGCTCAGTCCGACTTTATCTGGATTGCGGATAGTACTTTCATCTTGCTTTCTCGGGACGGGAAGGGGAATGGGGATGATGATGCCAAGTCGAAGCATAAGGACTTTTTGTTGTTCAACCTCAATGGCGCTACGGATATTGCTGGGACGGAGTACACGGATGGGGTTGTGCCTATCGCGCCGGGGAGTGTGCTCGTTTCCAACATTACGATCATCGTGCCTACCCAGTTTATCGACATTATCGACGATACCCAGCTCGAGAGGTTCGGTCTGCACAACGATGGCGACTTTGACGTCAGTCTGATCAACAGCAAGTGGGAGTCTAGCGTGAGTCTCTATTCAACCCTAACTTCTCCTTTGCTGACAAGTCGCGATAGGCTCTCGCTTCGGTCAACGATCCTGCATATCCCGACGACTATTTCCTCTTCACCTTCTCCGACAACGACTTCATCACTACAAACGGGTCCGAGGCGGGAGAGGCGTATGTGGATGGGTATGGGTCTACGCTCGACAATCAGGCGTTGGTCTGGCGAGTGACATTGCCGAAATGAGAGGGGTGATAGGGCGTCGACATAAGTGCCGAAAGGGGAAGAGAACGACAAAAGACCAGGCAGCAGCAAGCGTATGCTGCATGGACGTATGAACGGTATAATCAAGTTTGTTTCCTCGATTCACTATGTATGAGTTGATTTTGTGTTTGGCCTGCTATATCATTGCAGTGGGTAATATGGAGTATCTTCTTTGCACCGCAAATTGCCTATGACATCGTTGACTCATTGTGCTTGCTGAGAACGATCGATGTTACACATTCGAGGAGTGCGCCACATCGAACATCTACTTTTTTTTTTCACAACCATCTTCACCACGCATTGGCTACTACAACGCCATGCCCCCTATTTACACAGTTATCGACACCACAAGCACCCTGACGAACGTCACTCACTTGCCCTTCCCCCCGGAAATCTCCCTTCTCATCTTGGGCCATCTCGAACGTGGTGCCCTTCACAACAAACCTCTTGCCGTTACCCTTCTGATTCTGGCTAGTGATTTTGGTGGCTCCCTTCTTATGAGTCGCAAAACAGGAAGAACATGGGATCGATGACAAGTAGAAAGGGATGAAATCAAAAAGAATGTACGCGCAACGCGAATACGCAATATGAACATATTCGGCCGTTGATCTTCCGTTCATTGCTTTGTGTAAGGGATTGGTACAGATGTTGTGACGTGTACTTTGGACGCAGGGTTCGGTGACTAGGGTTGCTGCTATGGTCTCAGGGATGCGTAGGCTGGATTGCGAGATGAGGTTCCCATATATACATCGTGCCGCGTCTCCGTATCCTTTTCCCTCATCGATGTATTCTCGTAAGAACCTCCTCACCTATATCCATCCTTCATCCCTCCAGTCTATTCAAGGTCGACATCTGGCGCCCCTAGTCAGATCCACCACGTAACCGCCCATAGGTTACGCGAACCTCCTCACCTATATCCATCCTTCATCCCTCCAGTCTATTCAAGGTCGACATCTGGCGCCCCTAGTCAGATCCACCACGTAACCGCCCTTAGGTTACGCCTCACCTATCCTACCCTTACAGAAGAATACATCGTTTTTCGACCTTCGATAGGCGAAACCCCACCCATCCGCCCATTCTTTTGCGACGACCCGCCCCATTTCATTCCATCCACCCGCCCAATCTCTCCCCACTCTCCTTCCGCAGGACTGGCATCGCTTTTCGACCTTTGATAGGCGGAAAACCCACCCATCCACCCATTCTCTCACGACCTGCCCCATTCTATCCCCCTTCGCCCGCCCATTCTCTCCCCACCTTTCCTCTCGCAGGACTGGGGTCTGCAGCCCCGCCGATAGTCTTGCTTGCTTTTCAGCGGACCACGAGTTTGGCCAACTCGCCCCGCCCTTATCCCTTCCCCAGGCGATCTCTTTTACAAGGGTCGTCGCCTCCATTTTCCACCGTGGTTGTCTCTTATCTGAGAGCCACATTCCACGTCTGCGAGCCAATCAGGCCGGGACATACCTTCACCACATTTTCCACGTCTGCGAGCCACCCAGGCTGCGACAACCCACCACCACCACTGTCCGCCAGCTACCCAAGCTGCGACTTTCCATGTCTGTGGGCCCTGAGGCCTAGTAGACAAATCCTTCACCACCTCTCCCGGGACTGCACCTCTAGCGATCGATCGTGTCTGCGAAATTACCGAGTTACGTGCTTTCCTGCGCGAGCAGATTGAGCAGGCGCAGGTCGCCCAAGCTCTCCTTTCTATGGGAGAATTGACTTTACGACAAGCTTCAGACATGCGAGTTGGATACTACGCAGGTTGCCTTCTTGAATTATGTAGTCTCTTCCCTTCCCACGGCGTTTTCATTCTTCAACGCCTTTTCTTCCTTCTCGATCCTTGTTACCTGGGCCCTTTGGTTGTTTCCGAGGTAATTATCCGTAACTTTGATCTGACCTTTACTTCGAATTGAAATGAACAACCCCCTTTCAACCCAAGATATCATAACCTGCCTGGTGTAGTACCCTTATTCGACATTTACCCTTGCTTACATTACCTTTTCTTTACAGCCGATTCTCAATGTTCACCTACAACTCCATGGGTCCGCCGCTTCCCCACCTACCTGCCAATCCTTGTCATGTCGCGATTCTCAATTTCCAATACCTATCTGTTACCACCCACATTCCACCCCACCCCATCTTTCCTCCATTGCCATTGCTACCCTTAAGCAATCGTTGCCCATTCTATCTGACCCCATCTTCGCGTGGACGCTCAGTTTTAGACCGGGGGGAGTGTAAGGGATTGGTACAGATGTTGTGACGTGTACTTTGGACGCAGGGTTCGGTGACTAGGGTTGCTGCTATGGTCTCAGGGATGCGTAGGCTGGATTGCGAGATGAGGTTCCCATATATACATCGTGCCGCGTCTCCGTATCCTTTTCCCTCATCGATGTATTCTCGTAAGAACCTCCTCACCTATATCCATCCTTCATCCCTCCAGTCTATTCAAGGTCGACATCTGGCGCCCCTAGTCAGATCCACCACGTAACCGCCCTTAGGTTACGCCTCACCTATCCTACCCTTACACTTTGACTGTTGGAACACATATGCTGCTCTATCAATTCTCAGTACAACGCTGACCGACGGAAGGTTCTCGCTATTGCCGTGGCACCGATATCGGTCTGCTATATAGTATCGTACTCTGAAGTCAGCCTGCAATGTGCGAGCTTTGATTTCGTGTGGCGTCGTCTGTCTCGTGGAGCCAGCGAGCATGTTCCGCATTACAAATGATTTATCAATCTATAGCTGACCGTCGAATAATCAGACACGGGCTCCACTGCAGTTGGAGAAAGACTGGTGCTGCCCTCTTTCCCTTTGTCAAGCCTTTCTCTCCGGTGACGGCGTTCACTGCATTGTTTGGTTCTACCGGAAATTTCCACGTCATCGCTTAACACAGACGGATTGATTCCGAGATATGATGGTCTGCTCTTCAACGTTGCTCTTCAAAGCACAGTGCTCTCCGACATCAAGGCTCTCGATATCACCATGTCCCAGCCTTTCGCGTCGCCACTCTCCACACTCGACCCTCTTCCACCAGAGATCATCCAAGTCATCTTCGGCCACCTCATCATTCTCTCTCAAGGCTCCAAGGCTCTTGCCTCTCGTCTTTCACGCACATCCAAGCACTTTCTATCCCTCATATCCCCCCAGCTATACCGCCGATTATCGCTCTGCGCGTCGAATGCGGCTCAATTCTTCTACGGTCTGGAGGGTCTCGAATCCGGAGAGCTGAGGCATTTTGACGGAAGCTTTGGACGAGATGGTTCGGGGCTGGAGGGGAAGAGCCTGGCAGAGAGGAGGCTGATATGGATAGGGCTGGTCAGGGAGGTGGCGATAGAGGACGCAGAGGCGCTGAAGGCGTGTTACAAGGCTGTCAAAGCGATCGTCGGTCCCAAGCCTCGGCGTTTTCACGGCCGGACCCTCTTCTTCTGGGGCCGCGCCAAAGGCGAAGAAGCCACCCTGACCTTGTCTTCGCACCTCTGCGAGACGTTCGGCTCTGCAAATCCCAACAACGCCCCTTACGTCTTTCCCATACTCTACGCCCTCGCGCAATCTTGCTCGCTCGTGATCGACCTCCCACATGAGCTCGAGCGTATGCTGGAAAGCTCAATACCGGCTTTCCATGCCATATGTCGGGGCCTTTCTCCCTGCGTCAAGAGCGTCACAATCAACAACTACCGGGCGACGCCATTCGAAACGAAGACCATCTACGCGAGCGGCTTCTTCTCCTTCTTCGACTCATCCCTCAGCGGGGGACGACTTTCCACAGTGCGTCTGGCGCTAGCTCCAGGAATCGAGCAGCTGCAGGAGATGCTGCATATAGCAAGGTGAGCTCTTACTACCATCGCAAAAGCCCTGCTTACTGTTCTCGTAGGCTCGCTGCCAACGCTGCTTTGCCTGAGGTCACCATCGCCTTCGACAACTACCACCTACAACCAGGAGAGACGAAGGTGCAGATACAACAAGCGGTCGAGGAAGCTCATGAGAGGGCTGAGGAAGAGAGCTGTATCGTCAGTCTGGGAGTGGCCTTTAGAATGTTGTAACGTGAGTGATTGGAGATTTAGGGGACTGGACGACTTCAGCTGACCTTCTCATCAGGAGGACACACACTTGATAGTATTGTTTGTCGGCTCTCACAGCGGTCGGCTTAGCTATCTCCTTGACAGCATTCCAAGCATGACTACTACGTCTGGCCTGTCGGTAGGTATGTCCCCGCCAAAGCCTCATCTCTCTCGCGCGACAAGAAGTCTCCTGATGATACATCTCATAGAACCCTCTTCACTTCATGACTCTCGACATGGTTAGGCACCGGAATGACGGAAAAGGCGCCAGCAACGGTGAGGGGCTAGGCGGGTCCGAGAGACTGGGATACTGGACAACGATCCAACTTTAGGGTTCTAGATCTACTGCGATCACGTATGCTCTCTCTTCCTACCGACGAAGTGGGGGCTTTGGCGTATTGCGGCATCAAAAAGCGTCGCTCAATGTATAGGGCACATTGATGCATGTGCATCTGACTGCTCTTTGAAACCCTATGACTTCTGACCACTATGTATCTATCGAGTGGTGAGCGTCGAGCGCCCATGTGGCTAGCCTTATCTTCTCTGTCGCACTGCAGCATCAGGTCGTAAGCCTCGTCTCAACCACGTTCACATAACGCAAGACCGCGATTGCCGTCCCTCGAAGTGGACCGTGACACTGAGAAATACACCCTGGAGACGCTGAGAGATAGTGCGCAGGCCCAGGGTGTGAAGATCTTATTGATCGGTCGAGAAGACATGGACGTGTTGCTGGTCTGCGCGGCTAATTGGAGATGGGCTTCGGCGGTTAGAGGCTTCTGGGATGGGCGCGGGAAAGTCCAGGGAGAAAGGTGTTGATACGACTGAGGAGAGGGGTTGAAAGTATAGAGAGGCTCGAGGGGGCGAGGGGGTCGGAATATGGATTTACGATGCTTTGTTGGCATGAATCGCTCTTTCGACGTGGCGTTATATGCGTTGATGGTCATACATGTTGACTTGTTGTATCTTACTTCTTCTGTACAGCGTCCGCTGCCTTCCTCAACCCATTCCTCGCCAGCTCCCCAACGACCCCACCGACCATACCCGCCACGCTCTTCAACACAAACGCTCCCTCAACAGCACTCGCAAGCCCATGCTGCCACCCTCCAGCACTCTTCATACTCTCCCCAGCCTCGCTCCTTCCAAACTCCCGCTCCTTCTCCGACCTGCCCCCTGTAGAGAACGGCCCCACACCAGATCCAGCACCACCCATGAGCAGTCGCTTGAGGGGGCCGATCTCGTTGATCACGTCGAGCCCGGTGCTTCGAGCCCAGTTGATCAGGGGATTTCTGGCGCGGAAGATGTAGTGGAGTTTGTCAGTGGTACTGAGCATGAGGTGGTTGAGGGGGTAACGCTCTTTGGGGTACCCCTTCATGCCCTCGAGACTACCCACGTCGCCGCCGACCTTCTTGCTTGCCTCGAGCGTCTCGGCTAACGAGCGGACGTCGGCCAAACCCATGTTCAGACCCTGTCCGGCGAGGGGATGGATAGTATGCGCCGCATCGCCTACCAGAGCAGTGCGAGCACCGAGGTATGACGTAGCGTGAGAAAGACGGAGAGGGAAGGAAGCGATAGACGGGGCGTGGAGGTGAGTGATAGTCGGCGGCAAGAGAGGCTGGTCGGCAGAGAGAGGTGGTGTGGGAAGAGTTGCTATCAGTGTGGAGATTCGCTCGGTGGTGAGAGGGATGCCGACTTCGTTCGCAGCCAGCACCTCCTCGACGAGGAGGCCGAGGGTCTCTTCGGGAAGAGCGTAGGCAGCGTTGATCATTGCCGTCAGACTTTCCGGCGAGAGTTTCTTCAGAGCCGCAGCATTTTCCGGTCTCGTCGACCAAACCAAGGTAGAAGTCGTTTCTGAAAGAGGGAGGAAAGCAATGGGGCCAGTAGGGAGGAAGCGCTGGAACCCAGTGTTGTTGGGATAAAAGGGCGAGGCTGTATGGTGCATGGTGGCTACCACAGCATGGGTGTTGTAGGCGTGCCCGTAAGAGTCGATACCGGAGAAGTGGCGCACTGGGGAGTTGGGCCCATCGGCCCCGACTACCAAAGACCCCTTGATCCATTCGTCTCCAATCCTCAATCCGACCCATCTGCCACCTTCGCCGAGGCGCATTTCTCCGACCCGAGAGTTTTCTCGGATGTCGACGATGCCCTCTCCGATTTCGTTGATCCGCTTCAGCAAAGCTTGCTGGAGATTGAGATTCTCTGTCATGCGCGCGAGGGGGCGGCCTATGAGAGGGAAATGTATTGTTGGGTTGGAGTCGGCGGAGGGGTTTGACCAGATCTAGAAGATGTCAGACGGAGATCTGTCGAAGACGTTATGAACTTACGACAATCTCGTACACGGGGCGCGATCGGTTCTCAACAATGTGCTTCCATACACCGATACCTGTATACCATGAGCATGCGGCAGACATACAATAGCAGGAGAACGCACTTTCAAGCCATTCCACGCTTTCATGCGTCAGACTGCTGACTCTGTTCTCCCATTCTTCTGATTGAGGCCAGGTGCGGGTCTTGTCCAGTGATGCACCTTCTAACAACAATACCCTTGTGGTGGTTGACAGTGTGGGGTGTGAGACTGGAGACTAAAGTCAGCGAAGAACAGCAAGACAGGCCGACCAAACGAACGCAGTGCACAAGCCAGAGCAAGACCAGCATTGGCGCCTCCAATAATGACAATGTCATAAGTGTCTTCTTTGGAGATCTCGGGTATAGGACCTTGCACTTCCTGCGCTTTGTGTCCATGGCTTCTTCGTTCCACTCGGAACGCTGGTTGCGCAACAGCCCGAGAAGTCAATCGCGGTGGTCGAACAAGGTGGAGGTGACGAGAAGCAGCCGGTAGAGCTGAGCGGCCCACAACGGGTGTCCTGAGGTTCTTGAGGCAAGCGGTCGCTGGTGGCCTCATCTTGCTGCCTTGATTTGCTATGTACGGGATAGAAAGTTGCGAATGCGAACCAAATTCAACATTTACGATCTCGTGGTCGGCGCTCGCGCGCCTTGCATTATCCCTCGCGGCGGCAGAAGGCGCGCGGCGATAAGTCATCCCTGCTGCAAGAAATTGCCAGCTCATTGTTTGTTTCATTTCCATCCTCCACTTTCACCGCCCGTCATGGATCTCGCCATCGATCCATCCCTGGGTGAGTCAATCTCTGCTGGGCGAATTATCCTCTGACACTCTCTAGAATCACAGGATGCTCCCCGCAGGACCAAGTCAGGCCGGCCATCCAAAGCTCGCGGCACCGTACCAGGCTCAGCAGCCGACTTTCGACGCCGGGAAGCCAATCGCCTCGCAGCAGACCGTTCCCGAAGCCGACAAGCAGAAAAACACAGTGCTCTCGATAATGCGGCAAGAGTATTGCAAGAAGAGAATACCAGACTGAAGGAGCAGATCCTGGCTCTGGAGAGTGCCGGGGCTGTCGCCGCGTCGGAAGAGTACTCGCATGTCGAACACGAATCAGAAGAACCCGTCGCTGGGCCATCGAGAACGGCCGAAATAGAGCACCACGACGATGAAGCTCAAGATGACCAAGAGGCGCATTCACATACCATCCTGGCTGCCCTCACCGACATCACGGGCGTCGACTTTTCAGAAGGCAATGAGGCCAACTGGATGCAGGGCATGGAGAGCTTTTTGAAAGATTCGACCGAGTCGGGCAGACTGGGCGAGCTGGCTGCTGTAGCCACTGGGGGCGAGGACAATGAGGCGCATCCGGTCAACGAGAAAACTGGGGTCTCCTATCCTCTCCCTGGGCAAGTTGCGCCAAACCCAGCCATCATCCTCGCGGCGGCTCTCAACACCGAGATCGAGTGTCTTGTCATGGAAGACCTGGCTTTCACCAAAGCTGCCATCGTCAGAATCGAGCACCAGATCTCCTCCCTCGCCGGCAACCATGGCCTGAGGCATGCGGATAACGCCCGGGACATCGTTGGCGATCTTTTGCCTGATGCTCTCTATGCGGACGACGCAGAGTTGATGGAGCAGACAAACGACAATCTTGTGCATACTATCGCAGATCTCGAAGCAGCGCTGCCAGGGGTCAGAGACGACTTTATCAAGGCGAGAGAAGAAAAGGCTGGCGAAGAGAGGCGGATCGCCGAGTTGGTGCAGGAGATCAAGAATTTGGGGACAGCGAATGCGGAAGATAAGGCAAAGGTGGATGTGGCGCTGCGATCGATTGGTGGATACGTCGTCAACATCCTTGATGAGCAGGTGAGTATATTTTCAGCCGTCACGGATGAAGCCCACATTGCCCTAGGAGAATCAACAACAAACAACCTACTCCCCTGCGCTCGCTCGCCGTCGACGAGGTCGCCCCCCCAAGTCGGATATCTCTCGCACCTTCTACCAATCATTCCTCATCCCTCCGCACTCCTCGTCCGGCTTAGATGAAAGAGGCAAAGCGCGCCTTCTCCGCGGACTCCGAAAATCAAGCTACCTCTCGCAGACCATTACGATTACCGAAAGGTCTTCCCAGCAATTTGAAGGGAGTAATGAAGAGCCGAGGACTTTGGATGCTGCTGAGCAAAGTGATAAAGCGCAGGAGGAAACCACAGCCGAAGCCGTCAACCGTGCCGAAGCATACATTCTCTCCCAGCTTGATTCCCAGCTCCCCCCACACTCTCCTCATGAACACCCCGAACACAGAGAGGGTGAGGATATGCGCCTAGAATCAGAGTCTTTCGTAGACTTTCTTCCTCCGCAGGATGAAGCCCCATCCAGCTCTGCTGGCAATACCGACAATGTCTACCCGCCTCCCATGTCTACGCCCATGGCACGACATGCTTCTCTCCAGGCATCTGCATCTCCACTCGCGCCGTCAGTTCTGTCCCGTTTAAGGCAGGGCCCGCCGGGAAGCTGTGATATCTGTACGAGGACGGAGACGACTGTTTGGAGGAAGTTGACGTTGGGTGGAGTGGACTACAAGGTCTGCAATGGTACGTTCATACCATATCTCTTCTGAAGGGTTAAGTACTGATAGGATATAGCATGCGGACTGTATCACTCCAAGTTCGGCGTCATCCGTCCACCGGAGCTTTGGGGCGATGGCAAATCACTCAAAAAGCGTCGAACGACAGTACGCGCCGAAGGAGAGGATTACAGCAGAAAGAGACCCAAAAGGCAAGACGGCCCTCACGAACACGATGCGCTTGATACGGAAGAAGGAAACGTTTATGAGTCCGACCTCAGAGATATGGGATCAGAGGTGAAGGTGGGGGTACAAGAGGAGAGGTTGGACGACCCGGCGATCAGCTATGGGGCCCAGGAAGGGTTGGAGCAGGGTATGGGTGTTATGGACGAGTTCTTGCCGTTGGGGGATCAGGTGGATGAGCTGGAAAGTGATGCAGGGGCCGGGGCTGAGCACCCTGGGGAGCTGGAAGATGGGATTGACGAGGCCTTCACGGCTGAGGGGATGTAGACTTGGATAGAATGGAGTGGTGCTTGTACGAGTATATGTAAAGCGTATCTCGTACACATTAGTTGGGCTACATAATCTGTCCAGGCGTCATAGTATGCCAGAGACTGAACTTTGACAAGCTTTGATCGTTGCGGGACCAAATATCCCAGTAACATCGTCATGCTTCTCCAGGAAAGCTTCTCGGCACAAGCGGCATCGGCATGTGTCATCAGGCACGCACGTGAGTGGTGGGCGGGGGTGGCCGCATTCGTGAAAAAGTTGAATTTGCGACAAGCGAGATGGCGGGGCGATTGCGTGCTCGTCGCTGGGTCTGCTGTTTACGCTCTTCCAGATTTCGGTGGCCACTGTCAGGATGCATGAAAAATACAACTAATCGCCCAATCGCATCTCCATCTTCCACTATCAACTCACAAAAATGGCCAACGCTCCCCACGGTGGTGTCCTCAAGGACCTTCTTGTCAGAGATGCTCCCCTCCAGTCCCAGCTCACAGAGGAGTCCCGATCCCTCAAGGACATCTTCCTTACAGAGGTCAGTCGTCGTCCACCCGACAGCGAGCTCGAGCTGACAATCGTACACAGCGTCAATTGTGTGACCTCGAGCTCATCATGAACGGTGGTTTCTCTCCCCTCGAGGGCTTCATGAACGAGGCCGACTACACCTCGTGAGTCTTGCCAAGCCCAGATCCCATCGCACGCATTTGCTGACGATCTACAGCGTCCGTGACACGCTTCGACTTGCCAAGGTCGCCGGCCAGCGACAGGGCCACCTTTTCTCCATGCCCATCACCCTCGACGTCTCTCAGGAGGACATTGAGCGACTTTCCTTGCAGGCTGGTGCCCGAGTTGCTCTCCGTGACCCCCGAGACGACTCTGCTCTTGCTATCCTCACTGGTAAGTCCGTCTTCTCATTCAAAAGACGCAGTGTCTGACTTTGAACAGTCTCCGACATCTACAAGCCCAACAAGGCTCTCGAGGCCGAGCAGGTTTGCGGTGCTGACGACATTGCCCACCCCGCCGTTGCCTACCTTCGAAACACCGTCAAGGAGTTCTACGTCGGTGGTGCCGTCCAGGCCATCAAGGCCCCTACCCACTTCGACTACGTTCCCCTCCGATACACCCCCACCGAGCTCCGAGCCCACTTCCACAAGCTCGCCTGGCGAAAGGTGGTCGCTTTCCAGACCCGAAACCCCATGCACCGAGCCCACCGAGAGCTCACCGTCCGAGCTGCCCGTCAACGCCGTGCCAACGTCCTCATCCACCCCGTTGTTGGCTTGACCAAGCCCGGAGATGTCGACCACTACACCCGAGTCAGGGCTTACCAAGCCCTTATGCCTTCTTACCCCGAGGGTATGGCCCACCTCGCGCTCTTGCCCCTCGCTATGCGAATGGCCGGTCCTCGAGAGGCTGTCTGGCACGCCATCATCCGAAAGAACTTTGGTGCCACCCACTTCATTGTTGGCCGTGACCACGCCGGTCCCGGTAAGAACTCTCAGGGCCAAGACTTCTACGGCCCCTACGATGCTCAGGAGCTCGTTACACAGTTCAAGGACGAGCTTTCCATCGAGATGGTTCCTTTCCAGGCTATGACCTACCTCCCCGGTTCCGACGAGTACCAGCCCGTCGACGAGGTCCCCAAGGGTACCCCCACCGCCGACATCTCTGGTACCGAGCTCCGAAAGCGTCTCCGTACCGGTGCTTCCATCCCCGACTGGTTCTCCTACAACGGCGTCGTCAAGGTCCTCCGAGACTCTTACCCTCCCCGTCCCCAGCAGGGTTTCACCATCCTCATCTCTGGCTTGCACAACTCTGGTAAAGACACCATCGCCCGTGCTCTCCAGGTGACCTTGCAACAACAAGGTTCTCGATCCGTCTCTTTGCTCTTGGGCGAAGAGCTCCGATCCGACCTGGACCCCCACATCTCCCGAGCCGTCACCCCCGAGCAGAAGCACATCAACCTCCAGCGTATCGGTTTCGTCGCCTCCGAGCTTTCCAAGGCCGGTGCCGCCGTCATCGCCGCCCCCGTCGCTCCTTACGAAAGGTCTCGACAGGCCATCCAGAAGACCGTCGTCGGCTCCGGCGGTGGCAACTTCTTCTTGGTGCACGTTGCTACGCCTTTGGAGTGGTGTGAGAAGGTTGACAGGAGGGGATTGTACAAGAGGGCTAGGGCGGGAGAGATCAAGAACTTGACTGGTGTTGATGATGTGTACGAGGACCCCGAGAACGCCGACTTGGTCTGCGACTTGAGGAACGACACTGTCCCCGAGATCGTCCACTGTGAGTATACTCTTACCATTCCGGCTCTTATCCAAACTGACTTCTTCCAGCCATCATCATGCTCCTCGAAGGCCAGAACCTCATCTAAAAAAGTCAACTCACGAAAAGAAGACTAGAAGATCGTCAGAAGGGTTTGAAGATGTGTGTCGTGTGCCGTGTCTAGGGGTCGTCTGAGAGGGGATCTTGGACGAAGGGTTGTGTAGAATGGGTTTCTTTCTCATATTTGTATCGCGTCACGGATCTGCATTTGTTTTGGCATGCACATATACATTGGTATACTTCAACGGGCTACTGGGGCCGGCGAGCATAAGCAAAGTCGACAGGCAGTCTGATAAGGGCAAATGTTGGGACGGGCAACGCACACAAAGGCCAGCGACGTACCTCGATCACTTTGAACGTCATGTCGAACTTCCTGATGCCGTCGCTATGGGTTCTTATGGGGCATGGTGGGCTGTGAATCGCGATGAGATGGAAAGTGTCCAAGATGCGACTGAGAACGAACTGGATCTGATGGGCGACACCGACTCAACCGCTTATTTGGTTCCGGCTCCGTCTCTCCCTCGACTCTCGAGTATGTAGTACAATGCTCGTGCGATAGTCCCGGAAGGTCTACTGAACAAACCGTCTCCATTGGAGTTCTTTCTCATACTTGCATTGCAGTGCCACGGATATGCATTCGTTTTGTTGCGTATATACTATGTCTTGTCCCCTAACAAAGGGAGAACGTTCGTTTCATCATAATGGATGTTGACAGTGGGTTGGCAGATGTCTTGGGCTGACCAAGCTTCAGACCCTAGCTGACCTTGAACGTGATACCCAGATCCCTAGCCGCCCCCTTCCAGCCCCGATGTTCATCAAAGTGCGTCATCATGCGCTCTTCAATACTACCACTAGTCTCGCCCTCCTTGAAAGTGTAATTCTCGATCAAAATAGCAAAATTGCGCTTCGTGCAAGATCGCGCAAGAGTACTTGAACGATGCATCAGCGAGGAAGGACTGTGGAGGAAAGAGTGGTCACTCACTAAGCAACACCCAACGCAATGCCCTCTGGATTTTGCTCCAATTTGTGCAAGGCCAGCCTGAAATATTTGCCAGCAATGGTCGCGGTAGTGTCTACTAGCCAATCGAGAAACCAGGCCTGCTCATAGGCAGTATAATTGAGCAGCACAAAAGAATTGCGATATCTGTCCGTTGGAAAAAGGAAATGACGAACAGATCCAGGATAGTGCTTGGGTGGGAGGTCGATGTAGAGAATATGTTGGTGTACGAGATGAGAGTGTGCCTGCCGGTCAAAATGACTTGTAGATTTCAATTGTTCGCACAAGCTCGATCCCAGGAGCAGTACTGCTTCTTCGTCTTTGTTGGCAGGGTGGCAATCTCCAAAAAAGAGAAAGCCCTCCCGATGAGATTTGAGTGCTTTTCTCCGGGATTCTTCGTCATGCTTGCAGATGATGGCCGAGGCATCGACGCACGCCTCCAGCCCTTTAAGATCTTGAATCTCCACTCTCCTGACCATTGACAGCCACATAGCTCTTCTTACCGCCGAGCTTTTTCCCTCCAAGTTCCCACTCCGCCATCTCCTATTCTCGCCCCTCTTCAATTTGCCATCCAAGCCGTAGAAGAATGTGGAAGCATTCCTTGCGTTCAGAGAAACGTGTCGATAGAGAGCTGGTGAGATAGTGTTGGCCAGATATTTACTGGTGCACATGAGCCGAAAGGCCAGAGACTTGTCGGTCTGGGAGAACAGAAGGACGTAGTCGAATATCATCTGGATGAGTTCGGCAGGGAGAGATGGCAAGCCGGCGAGAAGCCCATTCGACTCTCGGGTAATGGCGCGCGTTCGTGGCAGGGGCATGGAATGCTTTGATGTTGAGACTAGGGGAATATGTTGCAAAGTCAATATGCGGGATGGGGTTTATTTGGGAAATGCGGAAGGTTGAACAATTATAGATGCCGCCACATAAGAGCAGGCGGCTATGGCCGTGTCAAGGGGCTATGCCGACCGACGGTAAAGCTACTCTTTATGGGTGACGAAGTAAGATAAGGAAATGACTTGAGGGTTTATATAGAAGTAAAGATGATACCGGCTTCAGTCTTCCGTGGCCCGGGTAAACAGCCCAGTCAATATCAGGCGGCTAAGCTATTCAATTCAAGAGACAACACTATTGATTCATCGGTGGTTCTTCTTCTACAAGTCCCGCCCACCTTTTATACCTTTTTAGCCCATACATACAAGATTTCCAACGCTGCACTCTGTGCACATACCTCATGCACTATGTCACAGTGAAGGTGACCTCTGCATTCCCTTTGGCATCCGTACCTACTACTGCGACATAGCCCCCTCAACCTCTGTCGCAGTCTCGCCATCCTCAAAGACATAGTTGGCAACGACAACGGCGAGCTTGCCATGTACAATGACCGCGGCAACAGAGCTGTGACGACATATCATTAGAGAGAGGAGAGACGAGATCATAAGGGAAGCTCACCGCGCAATGCGTTGTACGGCGATCCGGTGCCAATCGTCATCGTTTTCATCTGATGTGTTCCCATTTGTGTCCAACACCAACGTGATAGACTCAAGCGGATTGGCCGTAAAGTCGCCCAGTAACTTCTCGACGATGCCGTCATAGGGATACGCGTGATAGCCTTAAACGACGATAGAGCTCCGATGCTCCTTGCTCAACTCGGCAAGGACATAGTTGAGGTCAGTAGAGCCGGGATAGTTGGGAGCAAGGTCCATGTGGAGACTGTGTCGTCGAGCAAGATGAGATAACGATTCCCTGCGAAAGAATGATGAGAGAAGGTGAGCGTTATGCTGGCCGAACGTGCCCTTGCCTAAGAGTAAGACGGCTTCTTCGTCTTGGCAAGAAGGATGGGGACTTCCAAAGAAGAGGAAGTCTGCTTCTGAGTTCTGACATTGTCTTCGCCCGACCCAAAGTCCTGCTGAGAGACAGCATTCGAAGTCCTCCGGCACATCGCCAGCGCATAAGGATCTTGAATTTCCAACCTCCTGACCATCGACAGCCACATAAGCCTTCTCGCCACCATGATCTTCCCCTCCAGTCCACCTTTTCGCCAGTTTTCATTCTCGCCACTCTTCATTTGGCCATCCAATCCGCGAAAGAAGTCGGAGGCGTGTAGAGAGCTGGGGAAACGCGGTAGGCAAAGTGTTTGCACGTGCGCATGAGTCAAAGAGCAAGGGATTTGTCGGTCTGGGAGAGTAGCAACAGGTGATCGAGGATGATTTCGTACACTCGGGTGGAAGAGATGGCAAGCTGCTTTGGCCGAGTAGTTGTGCAGAGGACGACTGGGAGTGCCGGGCAGTAGCGACGAGCGTTTGGGGGCGAGACATGGGGTGCTTGTGGGACAAAAAGAGATCGAAAAAGCTCGAGGATGTAGGGATGTAAACAGGGAAGCTCTGCACTTCTTGAGGCTGAAGCTGGCAGAATAGGGACAGCTCGGGGAGGGGCTCCGCAACACAGCGGCGATGGCCGTAGCTGGGCGCGCATTGAACTGATTGTTTGGTTCCAATCTTGTAGGTTTGCTCGGTTGGCCGATCAATAGCTGTGAGTCACTGGGATCGCCTGTAATTTGCCAATGAAAAGAGAGTTGAAGTATCATAACCGTGCACGCATTTATTTCATCTTCACTTTCAAACTGCCATTCTCACTTCTGATCTTCCAAATCATCTTCTCTGTCCTTCTTCTCTTGTACAATAAGTAACCCTCTTTCCTACTGCTGAATTACTTATGGAGCCAATGAGACTATACTAACAGAAAGTAGGCCGCCCAAGTCTCGTTGATGGCGCTTAGCAGAAAGTGATGGTAATCTGGAAGATCTGTCGTCAGTGACCAAAGGCAAGGCGAAGGAGATAGCACTCACGCCGGTGCTGTCGGCAACACATTGAGTGGGAGCGCCGCCAGTAGTAGCCTCCCCCAAGTAGGCACCAGGGCAAGCGTCAGCAGAGTCACCGGTACAAGTACCGGGGCTGCCGTTGTCGCAGCTAAGCGCAAAGTCCATATTGTAGGTGCTACACCCCATGATCAGTCACGGATCCTTACGGTAGTAATGATGAGATACTCACAACTGGTGGTTGCCGTTAGAACCCTTGAGAAGAGAGTAGTCGGCAGAGTTTTGGTACGAGTTGCCGTTCTCGTCCTTGTGGCTGCTGTCGATCAAGGTGAACTCGACGATACCACAGTTGACACCGGAGCTCTGGCAGTCGGCACCGGAGAAGCCGTCGACCCAGGCGACACCGCCCCTAAGGGGACCGGAGACGGTGGTAGAGCCCTGCTGGCCGGTGTTCTCGTAGAGGAAGACGGCGTTACCTGCCAATGTGTCAGCTTATGGTGCATCGTGAAGGTGGCACAGAGATCCTTACCAGAGCCACAGTTGTTGACGAGCTTGTAGAGGAGGAGAGTCAGTCGTGATCCAACCAAGGACAGACGGAAGAAGATAAGAGCTCACGTTGACAGAGTGAGACTCGTCGCGCTTGATAGCAGTAGCAGAAGCAGCAACAGAGGCAGCGAGAGCGAAGAGGACCTTGGGGAACATTGTTATTGGGTGTTGGTGTTGGTGTTGGTGTTGGTGTTGGTGTTGGTGTTGGTGTGGTTTGTAGAGCTGCAAAATCGAGTTGGGAAGTGGGTTGCTTTGGTTGGATGGAGAGACGAGATGAGACTCTGTGCGGCCTCCTTAAATATCTTTCAGAGAGATCCATCTCCAGCATACTCTGCCGAGGTTCGGCATGGAAGCATCCATCTACAATCAATGGTATTGCATAACGTTCGAGTGCCCGTACGATAATGTGGGCGGGCGCTAGACGACGTCGAGAGCGCTCACGTTGTTTCTAAACAAAGAAGAAGATTTCGGCCGCCTAGGCACTTGAGCATCAAGTGGGCGAGATGATGAGGAGACTATGGCCACCACGGCATGAGCATGTCCGTATCTCGAATTCAACCTGAGCTGATGGATGCAGGAACCAGTTCATCAGACTCAAGAGTGGCCGAAAGAGCAGATGATGATCTCAAAAGACGCCGCTCGGCAGACCGAGATCTGACACTAGGCTGGACTAGAGATGACGTTTAATCCAAACGACGGAGAAGTTATGTTTATTGCCTGATATATTGCTATGCAGTACATATGCAGTAACTGGTATGATTGGGTTGAGTCATCGGAAGCTACTCATTTCGTTATGGCAATAGGCGCCGAGTTGTTTGATGGTGGTTGGCCATGAGGAGACGTGACAGCTGCTGCACCCAAAGCAACGACGTCGTTGTTTGCCCGAGAGCAGATGCCGAGTGTAAGCCCATGAAGCATTCTTGGTGGAGTACACATCTGGTCCTTCACTGATGCATTCGGTAACAGCTATGAAGAACAGTCGCTCAGTAGCTCTTGTTCTACGCCGAGGGGTCAGAACACTCAACACATCGGACCATGGACATGGCTCGTCGCTCGGCCCGGATATCGGCTTCGAGGAGCAACGAGAGATCCGTATGCATGCTTCCATATAGCACTAGTAACGTGGACATTCCTTTACGATAATCAGCCATCTATGAACTCCAAGACAAGCGGCGTTTGCTAAAAGGTGATCTGAAGATACAGTTTGGGAATGCCGTGTTGGGGGTCACTTTAGCACGTCGGTCTTTCGACCACGTTCGCGGTCTATGAATCTTGTTCTACATGATCGGCACCTTTGAATCGTTGAGTACTTTTTGGTGATACCGCTCCAATAGGTCGGGAGTTGTCGAACCCAGGGTACTTGTTTCCTCTGCCAAGAGATCGTGGCGGATGTCCTCTTCACGACGCGTCCTCTCAGTAGAGTAGAGCAGCAGCTATCCAGGCGGAAAGTGTGAGATCCACCTCGTGTCTGATATCAAATAATGGAAAAGGCCGCCGGTGGATAAGATTGTGGGCCAGTGTGGGCGACTCCGGCGGAAACCCGGCAAGGGCCAAATAGCCACCATAGCGTGACATCGCCGTCTCTGCCCCGTGCTTGAGACGAGACGTTCAAATCTGAGGAGGCGGTGTACTATACCATGACCGGAATCTAGATCAGAGGAGATACCACCATACTAACTGTCTACGTGCTCTTCCGCCGGGTGCCTTTCCGTGCCGACAGCTGCAACCTTGACTCTTCCGGGATCCAGAAGCATTGCAGACCGCCACCACGACCTTAAGAGCCTTAATACTCATTGGTCTAGACGATCGGCCCCGGATGTGCAGTATTACTACTGACTGGTCGGGACTGGCACTCCATACATTTTCTGAGCGCATACATGCAGCAGTCAAGATGCAAACGGAGATCCCGCGACCCGAAATAGTTGCGCTGTTACGGCCCTTGCGCACCTTCGTCTTTCGGCGGGTTAGTAACCGATGCCACCTGTTTGTCACCGACGCGCTGCCTCTCTTGCCTGAACCACGCATCCTCTCCAGAGACGCATGGCCCTCGTTCCTACCTGTCTCTGCATACTCCCGAGCACTGCCCCGCCTCATCAAATTGAGGTTTTGGATCTTGACCCTTGAGTGGATACCGCGCGGGGACTACTGGCAAGCCCGCCTCCAGGAGGATCTCGAGCTTTCCTGCATCGACAATCGGAAGTTCGGAACATACCTTGACCTGTTCGGCACATGCAAGCACTCTCAACCGATGACCTCATGCACACCATTTCTCTGTCGTTGTGTTGGTTCGTACGGCAATGTGCGCCGGTAGGTAAGACCATGGTTCTAACGCCCCTACATCATTTTCATCAACGTTACACGCGGTCCTCGGCATCATCAATGTTGAACTCACAAGAACTTTCATAGACTCAGATACATAGTCCGAGGGCACACCGAATGGATACCGACCTGTCGACATGATTAAACTGCTCATCTCGACTTCCTCCGAACGTCCTATCCCTCATCTTGTTTAGGCAACGTAACGAAGCCTGTTCTTTGGGCCTCCCGTCGTCACTCGATCATAGATCGGGCACTACCTGAGAGACATCCTGCACGATTATGAGCTTGGTGTAGATGTCGTACAGGCCTCGAAAGTGAGAGATGTTGCTGATCATGTGGTGGATGGAGGGGTCGGGTGTAGCATGTTCGGTCGCATATTGGTAGCCATTGCCCGACGAGATGCGTAGGTATGCCTCTTGATGATAGGAGTCCAGCAGACGCACTATGGGCTGGCTTTTCTTCGGTCGCTTTTTCGAGCTGTAAGTGGTGAATCCAATAATAGATCAAATAGAGGCAGCTCGACAAGTGGACCGCTGTTGGACAGGGAACACGACGTCGTTAGAGACATAGAGCTCTCGAGGGTAGCTCAGCAAAGGCGGCAGGCTGAAAGCATACTTTTTTGAACAGATGTCAAGAATGAATACCAAGAGACAGAGACGAACACAGCAGAGTGGCCTCCCTACTACAAGCACGCAAGCCACACTTTGTCGTCACCATCATAGACCAGACTACATGAAGCGGCATATCAAAAACGGAGGCTGAGGAGAGGCTCAATGCGGCTTGGCAGGAACATCGTTCATCTTTCCAGAATGAAACATTCATCTATGTCGAAGGCGAGTGGTGCGTCTGTCGTTTCATGATTGGCCACTCTATGCCAATTGATTGCATACTCACCTGCCAGGTTCTGCGATGATGGCTCATCGCGTTCATTAAAAGCGATTGACGGCATCCACGGCCGTGCCAAATGAGCTTTACCGTGGGCCCGTGAACTCTATTCTCGCGTAGTCCAGAAGGAGAGATAGCCGAGTTAGAATACACGTAGCTATCTGATCATAGGAATTCAGACCTGGTGTACACACTCTCAGAACACTCGCGTGGAACATACAATCATTGATGCGAGAGGACATGCGCGCTCTTCCACGTCATCAGAAACGCATCTGCTTTCTGGTCACGGTGGCGATTTGCCGATCCTGATTCTCTCCCTCTTTTCCCACCCCATATCACCAAGATGTCCCTCCTCACCACCCTCCCCCGGGGCACCCCTCTTCGGTCACTCCGCTCTCTGTCCACCTCTGCTCCCCGGATCGCCGAAGCTGCCCCGGCCGCTCTACCGCGCTACGTCCGAAAAGCTGCCGCCCCCGCCAAAGGCGGCTACAAGAGCTCCTCCGCCTCTACTGCTGCCAAGGCAGTCCCGGCTTATCCCAAGTACACCAGGCCCACTGCTGCTGCCGCCAAACCAGCCGCTCCACCCGTGGCGGAGGCAGCACCAGAATCTTTTCCCGATATGCCCTTTGAAGAAACCCTGATCGAAGATTACGCCCACCTCGCACCTCCTAACGCTGCCCCCTCTCCACCTCTCACCGACTTGCCCGACCAGTCGTATCAGCCTCTTCCATCTGCGACCACCCCTGAGAATTTGGGCTTGGGTCAGGGGAACAAGATACCAGGGGAAGCTGCGGTAGGCCAGGATTGGAGTACGTCTTTTGCGGGGTTGTCGGAGAAGCCGTTCCCGAGGGAGACGGCGGAGGCTTTATTGAGAGAGCTGAAGCCTGATGATGTGGAGATCAAGCCTGGTACGTGTCGACAGCTCGAGTGAGAGTGATGGATCAGGAGCTGACTAGGCGATGTAGATGGACTGCTGTACCTCCCCGAGATCAAGTACCGACGGACGCTCAACCTCGCTTTCGGTCCTGGTGGATGGGGTCTGGCGCCCAGAGGCGAAACTCACGTTGGTCCTCGGATCGTCTCACGCGAATGGGGACTTGTCTGTCTTGGTCGGTGAGTCACTTTCCCATAGGATGAACAGGGACAGGGCTGATTATAAATCAAGTTTGGTGTCCGTGGCGAGAGGCGAGCAAGAGTACTTTGACCCTTCCGGTATTGCGACAGCTACGGAGGCTTGTAAAAGCAATGCTTTGATGAGGTGTTGTAAGGACCTGGGTATTGCTTCGGAGCTCTGGTATGTCCCGCTCCATATCTCCCACTTGTCTAAACCACAGTGACTGACAAACAGTGTAGGGATCCTTCATTTATCCGGAAGTTCAAGAAAGACCATTGTCTGGAAGTGTTTGCCGAGCACGCCACCAGGAAGGGATCCAAGAAGAAGCTTTGGAGGAAGAAGAATGCACCCAAGTTCGAGTATCCTTACAAGGAATAATCTGCTAGTCCCTTTGTCGTTGCGAGTCTGTGTATAATAACCTAGAGCAAAGCTGTATATATGGTTTAATAGAATATTCCATAACATGTACAACACTACTCAGTCCTATATGCCCGAGTATTACAAAGCCGTGGACTTGACCTCTTCCTTGGCCGCTACTAGCTCCTTTTCCAACGCAATCAGACGTTCTCTATCCAGGCATCAGTATCTTTCCATTTCGATTCTTTACGGGATGAACTCACCTCCATTGGTCCATCTGGTCCACAATCTTGATCCTCGCCTCCACCATCAAGTTGTTCTCTCCCTTTGCCATCTCTTGCGAAAACTCTAACGGTACATCCAGCGTGCTCATTTGATTGCCCACCACTCCGAGAATGTTGGGTATAGGCTGGCCCATGTCTGGTGCCGGTGTACCAAGAAATCCAGCCCCAGTTTCTGCCGTCCCCGCCCGGCTCCTCCCCGCAACACTCCCAGCAGCACTCGGAGGCGCACTCCTCCCAGCAAGCCCGCTATTCAACTTTTTCTTCTTCCCATCCGCCTCCTGCCTCTGCGTCAAAAACGCCCTTCTATTCTTGGGCGGCAGGGCCGTCGGTGGGTGTGCATTGAGAATATCGAGGAAGACCCTGGGAGGGTCGTGGAAGACGATTTCGTCGTATTGCCAGGAGTGGACTGGGGCGGCATATGGGGCGGGGAGGGAGGAAGCGGGTGTGGAGGGGGCGGTTTCGGGAGCGGGGGTGGATGTGGATGGGGGGGCCTGTTGAGAAGGGTCTGATGGGGCAGGAGTGCTTTCTGGGCCGGGTGCAGCAGCAGGGGCTGGAGCGGGGGCTGCAGTAGGAGCAGGTGTGTCGATAGGCGTCTCTGCCGGAGTATCGACTTCCATCTTGACACCTTCTTCCGCTTCTTCCTTCACTTCACCAGCCACACTGCCTTCTGCCCCAGCTTCCGAGGGCGCCGCAGTGACCACCGGCAGGTCGGCAGGCTGGTTCATATGGTGCAGCTTGATGTTGTGCGTAAAGTTTAAGGGTTTTTCGAGGGATTCGTTGATGAATTGGATCCGGATAGCGACGGTGAATTCACCCCATCCTGTTTCCGAGACTTTGAATGGGGGTTTGTCAATCACTATGGTTTATCATCAGCACATGATCTCGATGTTGTTGTTTGGACTTGCCTCGATTGGGAGTCGCATAGGTCTCGTGCAGTTTGAAAGTTACTTTCTTGATAAAGTAACTCATGTCATCCGCCCCGCCTGGCAGATAGTCGATGTCCTCGGCATCAGAAGGAGGTGGGGAGGCGGCAGAGTTGATGAAAACAGTCCAGCGGTGCGTATCTGTTTCTCGTCAGCAAAGCAAAGTAGAAGAGAGAGGAGGTGCGCGTACGGCCTGGCGGTGCGAGTTGACGCTCTGCCTCGGTGAGAAGCCTGGCGTGAGAGCCGTATATGACGGGGCGGTGGACGTGTATTCCCCTTATTCTTTCGTTGGACATGCTGCCAAAGGTTGTGCCAGTGGGTAATATTTGACGTGCAAGATGTCCTCAGTTGTCAACAATTCGCACCTGGAACTGAGCGGGACCATAATAGATAAGGAAGTAAGAAAGCCGGCACAGTAATTACAAATGACATAAGGGGGAGTTGCCCCTATCTCCTCTTGCATTCCCTCTTGATTCACTATCAGCCATGTCCAGCGCAGGCAAGTTGTTCCGCTTCGCAAAGGAGACAGTCACTGCCCTCGAAGAGGGCAAGCCGCACTCCTCCATCACAGACTGGATCGAAGTCCTCTCTTCCGATAGGTACTCGGACCTCAGTCTGGATGGTATTCCGGAGCTTGTAGATGCTGTCAACATCCAGAAGCTGCAGGGTACTACTGTAAGCTGGCTCGTGATGATACGATAGAAAACAGAGCTAATGGGAGCGGAATAGGAAGCAGCCCGTGCTATCAGAAAGAAGCTCAAGTATGGGAACGTCCACCGTCAGATCAGGGCCCTCATCATCTTGCGTGCTCTCACTGAGAACGCCAGCAAGGGGTTCCAGCTCAACTGGGCGAACGAGCAGCTGATGGAGAGACTCAAGCTCATGGCGACCGATGTAAGCACTCTCCTTCCTTATCACGTGTTTATGAGAAAGCGCTAATCTGTACGACAGCAACTGACAGACCCGAAAGTCAAGAAGACGCTCATACTCGTCTTCCACTCATGGGCCTTGCACTACAAGGTGAGTCGAGTTTAAAGACGGAATATGGGCAAACGCGCGGAGGCCTCGTGTTTCACACTAAACATTGTACTAGGACGAACCTCGAATGACTGAAGTAGCCGGCCTGTGGCGCAAGTACAGCTCGCAAGGCAATCATCCCTCTGTCAAGAAAGTATGTCCACACACGATCGCGAAAACACAATGAAGATTCGGAAATGGTGGACCAAGCTGACTCGCTCAAAGCCTACTTCGGGCGCAGCCCTCTCTGGCGCCCGGTCGACTACGGACCAAGATATCTTCTCGCACGACTGGAACCCTGCCCCCGGATCTCGTGGGGCTGACACCTACACCGACCTCGCCGCTGCCAAAGCCGATGCCTCTCAACGTAAACGAGAGCGTGAAGCTCAACTCGCGCTCGAACAGCGTGAAGCCGAGATTGAAAGGCGAGAGAGGGAGATGAAGAGGAAGAAGGATATGGAGGTGGTGGAGAACAGGAGAAGGAAAGAGAGGGAGGAAGAGGAGGAGAGAAGGAGAGCGGCAAAGGAGGCGGGGAAGAATAAGAAGGCTGCCCCAAAGAAGCCGCCATTCAACTTTGAGAAGGAGAAGCCGGCTATTATGGTGGCTGTGGCGGAGGCTATCAGGAGTGCGAGCAACCTGCTCAACGCGTGTAGAGTGAGTCACCCGTCGTCCTCTCTGCATGGAGCTGACTAGGTGATAGCTCGTCAATCGTGAACACGAAATTGTCACTGAAAGCCCCAGGGTGCAAGATTGCCTCGACAAAGCCAAGGTTGCCAGACGCGCCATCATTCGATACATCCAAGTCGTCAACGATGAGGAATACGTCGGCGCTTTGCTCGACGCTAACGAAAAGATCGTCGAGTCGATCCAACTCTACGATCGCGTAAGTGTCCTCTTACACTCCTGGATCCTACTAATATCTATAGCTTTCCAAACCCGCCGCCCTCGATTCCGACTCTGAAGACGAAGCCGACAACGTCGCCGCCCTCAACGCCCGTCTCGCCGCCCAGCGCCTCGAAGCAGACCGCACCGGCGAGCTCGACAAACTACAAGATACCCAGAAACGCGAGTCTGCCAAGAGACAAGCAAAGACGCTGCAGAGACAGGCAAGTTATGCCAATACGCCGCCAAAGGCTTCTGCACCTGGCGCTGCGTATGGGGATTTGCAAGATTTGGACTTTGGGAGTATTGCAAAGACGGAAGGGGCGGGTAGGCTGCCGAGGCCGTTGACGCCGGATTCGGGGGATGATCAGTCGTATGGCGGGTACGTCGCACTTCTCCTTCACGTGACATATCCTACCCCTTTGAAGCCATGCTGATGTCATACAGTTCTCTCTCTGACTTCTCCGACTACGACTCGTCAGACGCCGAATGGCAAGCCGCCCACGGCCCCTCCGCTCTCGCGCACAAACGCGCCTCCATCTCCCACGCTGCTGCCGCTGGAAAGGGGAAGGGAAAGGAGCGAGCGACGGATTATGCAGAGCTTGATGATGAATTTGGAAGGAGCGGGTTGTTGGATGACAAGGACGAGGAGGCGAATCCGTTCGGGGATCCTTTTGCGGATGAGGCTGATACGCCGGTGCAGGAGAAGCAGAGGATGCAGTGTGAGTCTATTCGTCTTGCGCCTGTAGAAAGTGCGAAAAGCTGACTATGTCTGCTAGGGGCTGAGATCTAGATTTGAGGGTGAAGAGTATGCCATTGATGGTTACGGTCGTGATCGTGTGATAGTGGATGTGACCGATGCCTGGTAGCCTGGGGTCCGCTGATATCGTATTGCTTGTGTTGAATGATATGAACTTCTCTAATGATTCACTCGATTACTCAAGCCCCGGTCATGGTATGCCACGCAGTCGTGGCATATCCTCCCTACATCTTGTACTGCGTATTCTGATTTCTGTTAAGCTGGGGGGTCCCTGCCATCCCTAAGCAGCTGCAGGCTATGCACACACGCGCACCCATTCCCCATCCTAGCCATGATCAAGTAGCTAGCTGTCCACCCGTGTTTCAAGAGCGCTATGAACCTTCGATCAGCATCACCGTATATAAGAGGCCTCCGCCCTCATGCGGACACTCACAATAGACCAGTCAACAGAGCATAAACTTGACATCAGGCTCCACTCTATCACTCGCTTCATGCAACGTTCTCGCCAGATTATCGATCTCCTCCTGGACAGTTTCGAGCGACTCGCCCGGAGAAGGTATGAAGCCTTCGATGCGGACGGTAAAGCGAGGGCGGGAGGAAAAGGGGTTATTCTGGATTGTGTCTCTGTTGCTCAGATATCAGCGACTGTTGTAGAGAGAGAGGAAGGGTGATGTGATGACTGACCGCATGAGTTTACCCACCGGCGCCAGTGTCGTCGGTGCGCTCGTGTCTTTCAACATCAGCGTGACCTCTTTCGCAAGAAGCCCCTTCAAGCAGAGACTATCTATGAAAGACTCTGCTCTACTATCTTCTCGAATGTCGTAATTACATAGCTTGAGCTGTCGGACAGGGAGAGAGCCGAAATAGGACCATAACGCCTCACGATAGCGACGAAGGTCCCCAAATGCCGGGAGAACGGTCTCAAGGTATGTCGGGTGGCCGAGATCACCAAGAGACTCGTCCATGTCGAGCTTCAAGCGTTCCAAGATACCCATGGTAGCGCCTTGAGACCACAGCATGGTACCGTGCGGACCGAAAGCGGGGTCCAAACCCCAGAACAGGTTAGGCAAGAAGGCTATACCATCGCTTCTTTTGCCATGTCCGCTGGCTAGTTTGTTGAAACTCATTCGTGCCACTGCCACCATACAGGCCGAATGCGCCTCCTCATCTTGTATCTCCACCCTTCGCACCAGGCCCAGATAGGCAAGCCGCCTCGCCGCCGTGCTCCTCCCTTCGAAGAGCCCATCGTTCCATCGCCGAGCCTCGCCTGGTCGTGTCGTTGTCTCCATCCCGAGGAAAAACTTGTAGGCATTGTGGGAGTGCAAAGAGACATTACGATATAGGTAGGGAGAAGCTTGTTTGAACGTCTGCTTGGAAGAGCGAATCAGGGCCAAGCCGAGGGGTTTGTCGTCGATGGCCAAGACGAGGAGATGGTCGAATATGACGTTGAGTATATCGTCCGGAAGAGGGTCGAGGGATTTGATAGGCTCCATTGCGGGTTGAGTCAGGACTGGATAGGGATACCCAACCAGCTTCAACGACGAGTAAAATACGAGTACAAGATGACACAGAGATGACAAGAGTCGTCCTAACGGGATCAAACGAACGCGTCGGTCAGACGCGATCCGGCGATCCGATCTTTCAATGTTCCCTATCTTTGTCGATATCCCTCTCCTGGGCCACGATAGAACAATCGACACAGAAATATCTGAGTTTGAGACTGTAGCGACACTGATCAGCCTCAAAATTCGTATATCCCAGTACTGAGGACATTGCTCTGATCTATGACATGAGCTCATCGTCATGAGGATACTTACCTGGAACGTAGTGAGTCACTCTAACAAGACATCATGATCATATTGCTGAACCAAATGGATTTCAGAATGTTCTGAGGACATGTCTAGATTATCACCCGTGAGTGGCTACGACACCCGAAGATCGCCACTGATCGTTCGTAGATTCAGCGGACTGCCCAAGAAGAATGTGGAGGGGCTGTTGGACCATCTGGATGCTGAGATTATGTGTTTTCAGGGTAAATATTCTGGCGGGTCTGAAAGTCACCTTGCTGACCCTCATCCAGAACACAAGACCCCTCGAGCTAAACTCGAAAAATCCATGGCCTGTCCCGGACCATACGACGGTTTTTGGACATTTCCTCGATCCAAGACTGGATATTCTGGTGTCTGTACATACGTCGACTCCCGATACTGCGTCCCCTTCAAAGCCGAGGAGGGTATCACGGGCATCTTGCTGGGCGATCGGTTGAGCACCATGAAGCCGCCATGGACTGAAGAAGAGAGGATAGGATCTTATCCCGATGTGGATAGTATGAGGTGGGATCCGGAAGCAGATGGGGGAGAATTTGATGTGAAGAAGCTGGATATGGAAGGCAGAGCGGTAGTCTGTGACTTTGGGTGAGTCTTAAGGCACTCTATCCGCATGGAACTGACATCAAGAAGGCTCTTCGTTCTTTTCAACCTCTACTGCCCAAACGAGACGAACGACACTCGCCGTCCCTACAAGATGAACTTTCACTACGCTCTCCATGAACGAGTCCGCCTCCTCCAAGCAGCCGGTCGCCAAGTCATCATCGTCGGTGATATCAACATCGTCCGCGCCCCCGCCGATTCTGGTGAAGGGCCTGTCCGCTCCAGCGCTGCTCAGCACTATGAGCATCCGGCGAGGAGGATGCTGGACGACTGGTGTGCGCCGAAAGGGGAGATGGTTGATGTGGTTAGAGAGAGCTGGCCAAGGAGAGATGACATGTTTACGTGCTGGAATACGAAACTCGATGCTCGGTGCGTAGCCGCCTTCTTGTTTCTACCATTGAACCGGACTGACTGCATGAAGATCATCAAACTATGGAAGCCGTATAGACTATATCCTCTGCACCCCCGGCCTGCGCCCTTGGATCAAAGGCGGTGATATACTCCCCAAGGTCTACGGCTCCGACCACTGCCCGGTATACATTGACCTACACGAATCCATCACCCTCCCCTCCGGCGAGACGCTCCACCTCCGCGACCAGCTCAACCCCCCAGACCGTCCGCCCAGTACCGCACCAGTCTACCCCAATGCGGTGCGGAGGGAAGCACCAGAGCCTCCTCGGTTTGCGACCAAGTTCTTGGACGAGTTTTCGGGCAAGCAGACGACTTTGAAGAGCTTTTTTGGAGGAGGAGGGGCGAAGAAGGTGGTGGAGAGAGGTCAGGGGAAGGAGAAGAGTAGTGCTTTGCCAAAGACGAGTGCGAGTCCTGCGCCGCCCCCTGCGCCGTCGCCCTTGGCGTCAGCGCCCGTGGGAGGCGATACGCCCGCCCCGCCAGTGCCAAAATCAGTGCCGGTGTTGACACCAGCTGGTGAAGAGCCTATGTCTGCTCCTCTCAGCCTGGCAAAATCAGCTTTCAGCTCCCTCGACAGTCCTACTCCAGTTCTGCCATCAGCCGAACCGGGCGATAAATCTGCTTCTCAAGCGGGTAAGGCATCTACGACCGCAACGACTGCTCCCGCTTCGTCCAAAGCGAAAGGCAAAGCAAAAGCAACAAGTGGCCCTATCGACATGACCTTTTCCGATTCGGATGAAGAGCCCGTCTCCACATCTGCTTCCAAGCCGAAAGCTACCACAAAGCCTGCCAAAGGCGGCTCAAATGCAAGAGGCGAAAGCGAGTCTTCTCAGGCAAAGCTTTCGTCGTTCTTCTCCCAGCCTAGTAACAATGCGAAGCGGAAGTCGCCTCCAATTTCCTCCTCCTCCTCAAAGTCTAAAGCCCGACGTCAATCCCTCTCGCAAACTCCTTCCAAAACCCCGGCCCCTTCCGTCTCTCAGAGCAGCACCACCCAATTAAAAGAATCGGGTCTATCAGAGGAAGAACAAAACCTCATCTCCCAAGCACTCGCTACATCAGAAGCGGAGCGCGAAGCCAAAATCGCCACTGCCGCACCGCGATGGGACCAATTGTTTGCAAAGAAGGTCGCTCCCTTGTGTTCGGTGCATCAAAAACCGTGCAAAGACTTCAGTCAGCCATTCTCCTTCTTCATACGTATGATACAGACTGACGAGAGGGGTGTAGTTGTGGGCAAGCCGGGTCCGAATAAAGGAAAGAGGTTTTGGCTTTGCTCTTTGTATGTCATCTACAGTCTTGTTCCCGATTAGATGTGGACTGACGCAAATGCACAGACCGGTGGGGGCGGGATATGATATGGGTCGGTCGAAAAGGGCAAGGGTGGATGTCAATCCCAAGTTTAGGTGTGATTTGTACGTCTCCATCTCTACTGGTGCCCTGGATCGAAGGGTTTGAGCTGACCCATGCGTCATAGTTTCCTTTGGGATTCCGAAAACTCGCAGAAAGAAATACCTCCGTCAAGATAGCTTGCTGGGACGAAAGAGGTGGTATGATATTACAGATCAATGTACTCGTGTAATAGTGTTCAACTTACTGAACCGTGTCGCGCATGACTCGTGACTGGGCCCGTCAGCGACGGCGAGATAGATTATCCGGCACCCGCAACGCGGGAAGTATCATTTAACGCTCCGCGGAAGGCTCAGGAAATGCCAAAGCTCATCTGGTCTTCGTCCCCTTGGAAATCATCAATCATCTGGAGCCACCTTACACGCCGAAAAAACAGGACACGGCATGGAATCAGAAAAGACGCCCGAGAAAGTGCATGCCGCTTGGAAAGAAGGATCTTGTCACCCGACCGAGCAAGAGGTTTGCCTCGTTAGCAGCGACGATGTGCGCTTTTACGTGCCCGACTTTCTCCTTCGAGCTCACAGGTACGTAAAGCAAGAAACAGGGCTCAGATGTGCTCAGCTAATGGCTATGAGTAGCCGGGTGCTGCGAGACATGTTTACCGTTCCGCAAGCTCCTTCCGCCAACTCAGGCAGCGCTGGTCCAGTGCCACCCAAAATTGAATTGACGGACAAGTTATGCGAGTCCTCGACCGCTCTCTCGCTCTTCTTGAGCTTGACCAAAGGGGATGAAGAACCCCATGCCATTCTAGAGTTTAAAGAATTCGAAGGCAAAATGGTCGAGACACTCCATGGAGCCATTCTTTTGGCGCAAAAGTGGGACTCTCCAATGATCTTGAAGGATCTCGCTCTGGTGTTGCGCTACTACTCTCGTTGCAACTACGATGCGCCCGAGATCAAACCTCTTGATGTGATCATCCTGGCAAGCAAGTTCTCTGATCTGACAACCTTCTCTTTCGAGACATTCTGCCAGGTGCTATGGGACTACAAACCGCCATCCCACTACGAGTGCTGGGAAGATGCTAAAGGCGCTAGCTGTCCTGTTACGAACCACTGGGGCTTGGTCAACTTTCCAAAAGTGAACCAGAAACACTTCAGCTCTATCTAGTCTTCTGAGCGCCACTGCCTGGAACCATATAGGGCCACGATTCACATTTGCATTGGCGGGGTGCCTGGACAAAGATGGAGAGCGAACGGAGAGAAAGGTACAGGTTAAGTATTTCATACAAAGTCTTCAAGCGTACGAAAAGTTCTCGGAAGCGAAGATCGACGAGAAACCTGAGAGCCGTGCAGGAAATACCAGTACCGTAAAGAAGAAGGACCGTTTTGGCAACATACGAGTAGAAATGGGGTGGCTGTGTATGTGACGGGCGCCATTTTGAGGGAGCATGCATACCCTTGTGAATGCCCCTTGACGTCTCTCTGCGATAGCCCAAACCCACTGCCACACCACCCGGCGCGATGTTGAACGACAGGGGCCCCCAGGCACGCACACCCGCATCACCCAATCCGGCCTTCCTCGCCATCCTGCCTCCGCGATATTGCATCTCATTTCTCTTTCTCCTTTCTTCCTTCTCATCGCCCAGCATGCTCCTCACCCCCGCCCTCCTCACCCTCCCCCTCCTCGCCGCCGCCATCCCCACAAACCGCGGCCAGCTCGCATTCAACCAGGCCCCCGCCCTCAGCGACCACGCGAGCGGCGACATCAAGCACGCCAACTATGAGGGTTTCTCGTTGGACCTCAATGAACTCAGGCTGGTCCAGTTCAGCGAGGATGAGCCCCCGGTGTAAGCTCGCTGCTTGTTCCAAGAAAGAAAGAGCTGACAACGGGTGAAGCTGGATGACCGAGCTGCAGAAGATCGAGACCAAGGCGAAGGGTGTCCGTTTCATGGACATGTAAGCCTCTGCCCTGCTCTTTCGGTGAATAGCTGATGATAGGACAGTACCGATACACCAAGCCTAGGGTTCTCGGGCTACCTCCTGCCCTCGGCCGCCAATGTCAAGTACTGTACGTCCCGCCACCCCGCTCACCGGCGCGGCCCGGGCTGACTTTGGATTGTCTTGTAGCGTACCCCACCCCAGGCAACCACACCAAGGAGATCAAGAAGATTATCAAGGGGCTTGATATCGGCTACATGAAGAAGTTCTTGACCAAGTTTACTTCGTGAGTCCTTTGTCGCGCGAGGCCGATGCGGTGCTGATAAGGCCTGGCAGCTTTCGCACGAGGTATTACAGGTCCGACACCGGCAAGGAGAGTCAGCAGTTCCTCTTGAAGACCCTCAAGGACGTGAGTTGTCAATGGCGTATACATAACCAGGACAGCGCTGACTAGGGACTAGATCGCGAAACCCCACTCGGGCATCACTATCAAAGAGTTCCCGCACCCCTGGGGCCAAAACTCCATCATCGTCCACTTCTCTCCCTCCTCCTCCTCCGCCAAAGAAGAGCCTGTGACCATCATTGGCGCCCACCAAGACTCTGCCAACTCTTGGCCCTTCCTCCCCGCCCCCGGCGCCGACGACGATGGGTCCGGTACAACCTCCTCATTGGAAGCTTTCCGCAATCTCGTCGCCGCCAACTACACCCCCTCCTCCCCTCTCGAGTTCCACTACTTCTCTGCTGAAGAAGGTGGACTCCTCGGTTCGCAGGCTGTGGCAAAGAGCTATGAGGAGGAAGGCAAGAAGGTGCGGGCGATGTTGCAGATGGATATGACTGCTTGGGTGAAGGAGGGGACGGAGGAGAGGGTGGGCGTTGTGCAGGACTTTGTGGACCCGGGACTTACCGATTTTGTTGAGGGGCTCATCTCAGAGTACTGTAAGTACTGCTCGCGTTCATGTGGACGAAAGGCTGATGCGTAGCCAAGTGTCTATTCCTTCCGTCAAGACCAAGTGCTCTTACGCTTGTTCCGATCACGCTTCTTTCGGTAAAGCTGGCTACCAATCTGCCTTTGCGTAAGTCCTCCCCACCTTCCTCACTGCACTATGCTGATCTAGTCGAAGCATCGAGGCCACCTTTGAAGACTCCAACACACGCAACATCCACTCCACCCAAGATACATTCGACCACCCCGAATTCTCTTGGACGCATATGCGAGAGTTCTCCAAGCTTGCTATCGCTTTTGCCCTCGAGCTTGCTGGTTCTTCCGAGTAGAACTCTTGAGAATGTGGGGATAGGAAAGAGAGAGAGGGGCGAGCATCTTGCAAATATTAGGAATATTGTACATGTCACATTTTGATAGAAACGACCAGACGAATGTATAGTATACAACAAGGTACACGCCCTCGCATAGATTCAACTTGCAGACTCCAGACAGGCAAGGATCATGTTTTGAAGACGATGATGAGGATCAACAAGATGAAGATGAGCACCACAATCGTGATCGTACTCCCTAGCAAGATCATCAGCACCCCGCCCCATGTCACACTAGCAATCCAGCGCACCATGCTGCTTAGCTTCGTCCGCAACCCTATCCATCCTTCTCCTCGCCCTCCCCAAACTCGCCGCCGTCCGATCCATCGCATGGTCCGTGTCCTCTATCAGCTCGTGATGCAGGTCCAGCTCGGAGCCAATCTGAGTAGACAGAGTCGATTGGCGGCCTATGGAAGAGGAAAGGAGGTTCAGTCGTTCATCTTGGTCTACCCGTAATGTCAGCATGTGAACGGGACAAACAAGAAGGGAGCGAGGGGGCAACTGACCGTCCATCATCATCTGCTGATTCGACAACATCTCATGCGGGCTCAACGTCCTATCCGGCTCTGGCTCTCCTTCATCGTCCGACGGATAATCTCTGAACGGTTTCTGGCCCATCGCGGGGGTTGGGGGTTCGATGCTGAAACTCGGGATGTCTTCTGATGCGGGCGATACGGGATCGTGGAATGGGGATTGGACCGGGCTTGGCGACGGAGAAGGCCTGCAAGGTATATTGGCCTGGATCATTAGAGGTAGAGGAGACATACGCTGAACGTGCGCGTTTGAGTGCTTTCGCCTTTTCCCGTCCCACATCGTCTCCTTCGAGCATCTCCACCAACCGATCATACCTCCCCCCCAATTCTTCCACCCCTTCTTCCCCCCCCTTCCCTCTCCCTTTACCCTTCCCACCCCCTCCCAGGCCAGGAGACCGAGCGTCAAGCCGTTCCAAGTCGGCTCTGATAGAGGTGAGGTTGCGCACGACTTGTTGTGTGGAGGAGGGGGAGGGCTTCATGCCGAGGTCGAGGATGCGGGAGCGTTCGAGGAGGAGAGAGGAGGTGGTTGCGAGGCGCTGGGAGATGGAGGCTGGGGAGGACATCGTGCTGGGGGGGGATGTTGTTGAGGATGGCGATGAAAGAGGAGGATGCGATGACGCGGGAGGTGCCGCATTTGGTCCCGCTCAATGGCTTACTATACTTTTGTGGCTTTCTTGCATCTCCTCATGGCTTTGTATGTTGTCTCTGGCCTGACGTGTACCAGCTTCTATGGAAGGTAGACGGTCGTATACACCGACCATTCATTCATTCCACGCCACTACCTGTGCTCCTTCAACATCTCTCGTCCACTCATTTGAGAGCGCCCCAATTTTCTCTTTTATATTCACACACTGTATACATTTGCTTTCACATGCACATGCTGAGATGTTATGATGGACCAGGACGAGCACTATTGTACAGTAGCAACGCCCTGATCCAACTTGAGCACCCTCCCTCGTCCTCTCTCCCATGGAACCTGTTTTCATCAGCATGATACCTCAATAGTAACGAAGAAGCAGCTCACCTCATCCTGATAATGAGAAACCACAACAACAGCCATCTCCCTCCCCCCCTCCGCTTTCCACTCTTCCTCCAACAACGCCTTACACCTCTCCCACAGATCTTCATCCATCCCCTGACTCGGCTCATCCAGAATAAGCAACTTTGGACGGGTGACGATGGCGCGGAGGAAGAGGAGGAGGGCTTGTTGGGGTGGGGTGAAGGTGATGAAGGGGCGTTTGAAGAGGTCGTGGACAGAGGTGGGGGCTGCGATACCGGCTCGAGGGAGGGGTTTGAGGAGGTCTTCAAAGTATCCCAACAAGTACTCTACCCTCTCCTTTTGCTTGGCATTCAACATCCTCCTCGAAAAGACGCCCTCAAAGCCACTCCCCACAACCTCCCCCGCACCCAATCCCATCCCTCTCGGGAAACTCGCATAGATCTCCGGACTCGTATGGCCCATCAACGTCCGCAGGATGGGTGTTGGGATGGTGCGACGTGGTTTGGAGAAGAGTTGGAGAGAGAGGGGAGGGAGAGAGTAGGAGATAGGGTGGTGCCCGAGGATGAGGGAGAGGAGGGTGGTTTTGCCGGAACCGTTGGCGCCTATGAGGTGCCATTTGGAGCCGGGCTGGATCGTCCAGGAGACTTCTTTGAGGACCTACACCTCGTAAGCTCAATTGTTTGTGAGGAGGATAGGCTTACAGGTCTAGTGCCTTCACCGTAAGACACAGAGACCTTGTCGAGTTTGACCACAGGCTCTCCAGCAATCTCGTCATTGATCTCGACCACCTCTGTCACCTTCTTCTTCTCATGTGCCTCTCTCCCTTCCCTTCGCACGTCATACTCTTTCCTAGAGCCTATCCAAACATCACCGCCCCTGACCTCGGCGACATTCGTGATCCAATCCGGCATCTCCTCTCCACCCTTACCTCGGAGCACGAGCGCAATCTTGATCCCCTGCTCCACATCCGCATTCAACTCTCCGAGCAACCTCGACACTTCCGCACGGCTTGGAATGTCCAAGCCCGCCATCGGGTCTTCAATCAAGAGCAGATGCGGCCTCGTCAACAATGCACTCGCAATCCTCCCTCGCCTCGTCTGGCCTGACGAGAAAGACACGCTCGGCAGGTCTAACAGATCCTCAATCCGCATCAGCCTCGCGACCCTCTCAATAGCCTCGTCACTTGGGGGAGGCTGGAGGTTCTTGAGCGTCTGTCGGAAAGAGAGCCGGTCTTCTTCGAGGAGCGTACCATAGCGCGCAGTAAAGTCGGTAAATTCGCCGGTGGAAGGTGGGCGGGCGAAGGCCAAGTGCCGGATGGCTTTAGCAGGTGGGAGAGGGCTGGTAGGGTCTGGTAGGGAGGAAGAGGGGGTGATGAGGGAGTTGATGTAGGGGAATGGGCCGGGAGGCGGAGGGAGAGGCTGGATTCGGTGTCGACTCAGTAACGTCTGCTTGAGCATCAGCTTCGGGCTCTGCACATACCAAGGCGGTTTACCTCGATGGCGAGTTTACGTCCTTCGGCGTCGCCGACGATGGCCCATCCTTCAGGCTTGACGACTTGGCGGTTGATGGTCCATCCGTCGTCGGAGAAGCGCAGGAGGGCCGAGGAACGGGGTGCGGAGGCAGGTGCGCCAAAGCGGTGGACGAGTGCTTGCGGGGGTACCCTTACGAGAGGCAGCTTGTTGGGCATCCTGGGGGTATAGATGTTATAGAGGAAAGAAACGAGTCGATGCAAATGCAAGAGGTGATGGGCGCGCCTCCACTTTCGCCGGGACGCCGAGAACTCCACGATGGTCCACTATACATCTCTATCTTCTCTATCTTCATCAATCACCACAAATCATCACCCTCATCACCCCCCGCCTCCAAGACCCTTCCGTCCTCCAAGACAAGACCATCTCCATCCCCGAGGACGTCCCTTACGAACCCGATATCGACTATCCCGAAGCGCATCTATCGTGAAGGGGAATAATGTCGATGATGATGATGCCTACTTGGCAAAGACGGCGGCGAAGAAACAGGGGCTGACCGCGGAGGAGACGATGACGAAGGATGGGGGGCTGCGTGAGATGTTCGGAGAGTACTAGATGATTGGGTAGGTGGCTTGAGGTGGGTCTCTTTTTGAGGTACAGCAAGGTCGATTAGGTGCTGATGGACCTCTTAAAAGGTATACGGAGATATTTATAATTGAGGGTCGGTCTCGAAGAGTGTCATCGAATGAGTAATGAACCGAACCATCTTGAAAGACTGGCAACGAAAATATGAAACGTCATTCTTGATCCATTCATCTAATCCTGTATCTAATCCCAACACGACTGATACCCAAGTGCCCAAAGCAAAAAGAACTAAAACAAGACAAGGCAGACTTAAGACCTGGTGACGGTAGCAGTGATGAGACCGCTGGGGTCGGGAGCGGGGTAGAATACGTCGGCACCGCCTTCCTTCGTCAAACCATTCTCGAGGCCGAAGGGAGACAGGTTGATAGGACTACTCCTCATCAGCCTTCCATCAACAGCTCAAGAAGGAAGAGGACTTACATGTAGTGCTTGTTGGGCAACTGCATCGACACCTCCTTAATCGCCGGGCAACTGGTCAAAATCCTCTGCAAAGTCGTATAAAGCGTCGCCTGCACCGACGCACTTTCATCCGTCGCAAACGTCTCCAACACATCCGTCGTAACCTTGGCCTTCAAGTCTTTGAAGTTGAGCTCTTTCTGGATCTCGGCGAGGTTGTCAATGGTGAGGGGGATGTTGGGGGGGAGGGTGATGAGGGATTGGAGGGCGACGGATGTAGAGAAGAGACGGTCGGCGACTTCGGGCAGGGTGGTGTTTTCGTCCCTGTAGAAGTCTTCAAAGGCGGAACCGCTCGTCTTCAAAACTACCCAGTGTCAGCCTTTGTGCCCCAGGAGTAGAGATAAGGGACATACCAAGCAGATCCTTGACGCCAACCTTCAAATCAGCCGTAGCGCTCTCCACACCCTTACTAGCATCCACCGCACACTCCACAATCGCCTTTTCATCGCCGTCCCTCACGAACGACCACTTGTGCGGCTTGCCGTCGACAGCGATACGCGACCACTTGAGGTCGATAATGTCGATAAAGGCCTTGTGGATGTGCGCGTACTTGGTCACAAAGTGCAGGGCGAGGTGGAGCGCAAAGATGGGGGCGTCGAGTACGTAGGGGGAGGTTTTGGCAAAGACTAAAAGATAAGAGTCAGCCCCTTGCCATTGCGGGAAGGAATAGAGTTTGGGGGAGGTGATACGGCATGAGGATCGAAAAGATAAGAGATAACGTACTGTGGCAGGTGTTTTTCACTATCCAATGAGGTCAGCCTCGAGTGTGATAAGGGGGAGAGTATGGGAAACGTACTGGTATCGGTAGCAACGACGCACTTGTTGTCGGCCTCGGTGTACGAGGTCTCGATTTCACCCTCGAGCAACACTGCGCGGAATCAGCTCTGCCCTTCTGCATGGGGGGGTAAATGTGCTTACCTCGGATGACATACTCGACGACGTGGTGTTGCTCGCCGTCTCGGACGACACGGGCAACTTTGACAAGGTCTTTACCTACAGCGGAGGTCAGCTATGAGGTCTCGGAATGGTGCAGTGGGACTAGTAGACTCACCGTAGCGGGCAGCAGAGAGGAATCCAGGCTGGGACATGGTTGGAGATGAATGGATGAATTGACGAGATGGGAAAAGACAGAATCGGTGTTTTATACATTTAATAGCGATGGAGAGAGGCCGATTCAATCGGGACCGTTATCTATCTTACGTAAAGAAGCGGGCTACCGAGCTCAATCTCTGTTCTCATCGAGGCCCGGAGACAACGGACTCCAGCGAGGAGGGCGGAGAGGATAGGGTGTAGAACGAAAGAGCGAAAGAATCCGATGCCAAGTACTCGGAAGACTCGGAAGCAGGGCTGCAGTCCATCGTCGTGGTGTCATGGAAACGGCGACTATCCTCATTGATCCAGAGTAGCATCCCATTCTGCAGGACAAGTGTATAGACTACGATGGATCCCAGTGCTCCGACTAGTCATATGCAGGTTGGCATCCAACAAGACGCTCTTCGTCGTCGCTCAACACTATTACCCAGCTGTGCTTATGTAACACCGGTCCCGTATAAGCGGTGGCTTCCCACTTGGCTATCCCTTCGTTCGCTGTCTCGCACTACGATTGTCTATTCGCCATGCTACCCCTCCTCCGCGCCACCACCATGTCCGCCCGCCCCGCCGCCGCCGCCGCCGCCGCCGCCGCCACCCGGCTCAGCACCCTCACCCGCCACCTCTCCACCTCTGCCCCCGTCCACCGCGAGATCCAAAAGCTCACCGTATTCGGCGCAGGCCTCATGGGCGCTGGTATAGCCCAAGTAGGTGCGCAGAGTGGGATGAAGGTCATTTTGGCGGACGTCACCCAGAAAGCACTCGAGTACGCCTCTTCTATCTTCTGGTGGGACGGGGCTGACTGTGGGCTAGCAACGGCCTGACAATCATCTCTAAATCGCTCTCCCGAGTCGCCAAGAAAAAGTCGCCCGACGATATCGAAGGTTTCACTTCTGAAATCCTCAAAAACATCTCCACGACGACTGATGCGGCTGAAGCGGTAGAAGATGCTGATTTGGTGGTGGAAGCGATTATTGAGAGTATCAAGGTGAAGCGCGATCTGTTTGGGTTCCTTGATGGCAAGGCCAAGTGCGTGCTTTGCAAATTTCCAGTACTTGGGTTGGACGCTGACGTTATGACAGGGCAGAGTGTATTTTCGCAACCAACACGTCGTCTCTATCGGTCACTGAGATCGCAGAAGCCTGCAGCCCCGAACGTCAGGCCAAGTACGCCCCCTCTCCCCTCTCTCCTTCATCTTGCAAACACTAACCCCTTATAGCTTTGCAGGCCTCCACTTTTTCAACCCCGTCCCAGCTATGAAGCTCGTCGAAATCATCAAAACCTCTTCCACCTCCCCCGTCACATTCGACGCTCTCCGCGAGGCTACCATCCGCATGGGTAAGAGCCCTGTGACTTGTACGGATACACCCGGGTTCATCGTCAACCGCTTGCTCGTGCCATACTTACGTACGCCCCCTTTTTTGCAACCTGGTGAGGAATGAGAGCTGATGGGAGAATAGTGGAAGCAGCGCGTATGGTCGAACGCGGAGACGCCACAGCAGAAGATATCGACACCGCCATGACCCTCGGCGCCGGTTATCCCATGGGCCCATTCAAGCTCCTCGACTTTGTAGGCCTGGACACGACATCGTATATCGCAGAGGGCTGGAGGGAGAAGGCCAAGGAGGCGGATATCCCGGAGGGGTTGGTGGCGCCTATTCCGGTCATTGAAAAGTTGGTCAAGGAGGGCAAGTTGGGGAGGAAGAGTGGCGAGGGGTTTTACAAGGTTAGTCTTGGTTTTCTTCTAAGGGTAGTAATGCTGATTGGGGGTAGTATGACCAAGAGAAGAAGTAAACATGTAGCGATTAGAAATGTAAATGTACAAGTACATGAATTGATTGATACAACTATGCTACAACCTCCATTCCTCTTCGACTACACTTGGATGTTACAGCACTAGAACCCCCACATGCTCGCCCCCTTTTGCGCCTCATTCCTCTCCTTGTTCTCCGCCAGCAACTTCGACAACCCGCTCTTCTTTGGTTTCTTCTTCTTCTTATCCGCTGCCCCTGTCACGGGCGGTGGGGACGCAGACGATGAGTGGGAGGGTGGCGGGGCAGGAGGTTTGGATGGTGGTGGAAGTGGATACGTGGGGAGGTTTGGCGAAGCAGTAGGGATGTGGGAAAAAGGTCTTTGAGTGAGAAGCGGTGGTGGCGGCCCTTCCTCCACATCCACATCCACATCCATCTCCTCCCCTTTCTCCTCCCTCTTCTCCTCCCCCTCCTTCTCCCTCTCCCTCTCCTTAACTTTCCTCCTAGTCCTCCTCGCACTCCCAAACTCTTCCACCGTCTTCTGACACGGCTTTGGCCGGACGTAAGGCGCGCCGCAGGTGGTGCATTCCGCAGGCTGCCGCCGGGCTTTGGTAGATGTCGAGGCAGAGGCTATTTGGAGGGACCGGGCGTATCGCTGGGCTTCTTGTTCTTCTTCCGTCAAGGGAGGCGAAGAAGACCTTGCCCGCTTTCGAACTCTTTCTCTTATTTCTTGCGCTTTACTCTTCCCCTCACCCTTCTCTTTTCCTTGCGGCTTCTCCTTCTTAGCCGCCCCGCCCTGCCCCTTCCTCAATCCCCCACACATATGACACCATCCCCCCACAACACCCCTCCCCACACCCATATTCTTAACTTCCACCGGCAACTGTAATTCCCCTGGATCAAAGGAAGAACCAGCGGGGATGGAGAGCAAGAGACGCAAGCGGGCGAGGTGGAGGGCTGCGTGTGGTGGGGAGAGGGGTTGGAGGGAGGGCGGGAGGGAGAGGAGGTGGGTTTGAGTTGGGGAGGGGGTGGAGAGGGACATTTTGTGGGTTGGTTGTGAGGAAAGAAGAGAGATGGGATTCAAGACTTTTGGGTGGCGGGCAAGTTTAAAATCGGGGCGTGGGAAAGTTCGGGGCCGCGAGGTCAAGGGTGCGTCTTTTGGAGGGCGTGTCTTGCCTGCAGTCTTGACTTGGAAGCGTCCCCTGATACGTATTGGCATGCAAAAGATCAATCATCAAATCATTCATCTCCATCTACTTCATCCACTTTTGCAAGAAAGGCTTCAACTTGCTTCGACAAGGTCCACGGTGAAGCTCGTCTATTGGGGGGAGGATGACGGTGCAGTTGGGGCGCTTGCATTGGGGGGGAGGCGGAGGCTGGGAGATGGAGGGTTCGGACATGGTGGGTGGGGAAGGCTGACATGACGATAGTAAGCATATATCAAGAAGAAGTCGCGAACGTTTTGCTCCCAAATCATCGGCGGCTATCTGATGTCCGCGGTCCTTGCCGGACCAAATATGAGATAGACGTGGTGCTGATTGTGATCTGTGGGGGCGTTATCGACTGGACAAGGAACAGTCAGTATACCGTGACAGGGCAGAGCGTCGATGGCCGATGGTGAATTGCAGATTTCAGCTCACACTTCCTCTCCAAGTCCTGCCCTGCCCCGGATGGCCGAAGTCAGACGCGTCCCCATGCAGTGTTTTTGTTCTGTGGTCCATACAAGAAGGCTGACGTTACCGTGTCCCCATACACCCATTGTACATCTGTTTCATCACATTGCAACAAAGTCAATATTTGTCCATACATACAGATGCCCAAGCCGCTCAAAGTCACCCTCAAACAGGCCAGGCTGAAGATCGAGGACAAACACAATCAAGATCAACTGTCAACAAGCGCCTTTCGTCGGCCTCTTTTGCCTCCGGTCTCTGATAAGTGATACTCCTGAGCTTGCCGAGACTCTTCTTCGCTCTCGCGCTTGACTCCAACGGGTCCATAGCAGTACCAAAGGCACAGCTCTCTTCCCCTTCAGCTTGTGATAGATCACTTCAGGCTCAAAGGAATGCGCTGTTGATTGTGTGGTACAATATCGCATCGATTGAAGGGCCTTGGCGATGGAAGGAATAGCATGGCCGCGATGAGATGCCCAGCGCGTATATATGCCTGCACTCATCCTTCCATTGCATCCCCATCAATCTTCACTTACCCCTCACTTCTTCTAACCCTAGTCTCTCTTTCACCACCAAAAAAGTAACGCAATGTCCAACACCACCCTCGACGACACTTCTCCTTTTATCACCTATGGCGGGGACACCTGGGGCACAAACCATACCAACGACGCCCTCCTTCCCAAGTACTTTGACGCCACATTCCACTCTACTACGGTCGCTGGCGCTTGGGCGAGGTTCTGCTGGAATGGGACAGACATTACACTTTTCGGAGCCAGGAGGAACAAGTGAGTTCCTTTGTCAGCTTCTGCTGAACCAAACTGATGAAGATAGCCACGCGTTGTACGCTGTCACAGTCGACAATGGGCCTGTGGTATGGTTCAACGGTTTCTCCGGCCCCGACCAGCTCCAAGCACCCCTTTTCGCCTCGGCCGGTCTTGAGCAAGAAAAACATCAGATCACAATCTTTAACGAAAACAATGTCAACGCGACCAAGGAGCTCATTTGGCTTGACGTCGATTATATCAACTTCATCGGGGATGCGTGAGTCTCTATGCTTCCTGCGGGTTTGGGGCGATGCTGATGTGGGGATAGGATTGATTGTGCGGAAGTGGAAAACAACACTGTCATTCCTTCTGGTACTATCGCGCCTCCTGCCGGGATGACTGAATCTGCCATCACCTCTGCCATCTCTTCCACCATTACCTCTTCCTCCTCGTACGACATCGCCTCTTCCAGCGACGTCGAGAGCTCTTCCTCCCTGTCCTCCTCCTCCGAGATCTCTTCGTCTTCCAGCTCCGAAGTCTCTTCTACGATCTCAAGCTCAATCGCTGCTCCCACCACCTTATCCATCTCTTCCTCCTCTACTTCAACGTCTGCACGAGCTAGGACGACTGTGATTATGGATCAACCGAACGTCTCTACCAATGCTGCTTCTTCCACAGCGTACGTCTTATCCCTCCATCGAAAGCTTCAGATGGGCTGACAAGCGAGTTAGGGAGATTGCTGGTGCTCAGGGGACGGCTTCGTCCAGCGGTGCGGCGCTTTCAGCGAGGATGGAATTGGGAATTGGGCAGGTGGCTTTGATTGGAGTTATGGGTTGGTACTTTGGGCGATTCGTTCGATAGTCACGTTTCCTTTCCCTCTGCGTACATCTTCTTTTCTTCTGACAGTCCTATCCCTAATTCGCGTTGGTTTTCTTGCTGGTGGTTCAATGTCTTTATCTTTGAATGCTATAAATGATCTTCTTCCTTCTCCTCTACACCGATGCTTCCATCGCGTGCCTCATGATTACTTTGATCGTCGCGAGGAAACGAACACACAGAAAGGGTGCAGGTTTTGCTGGATACTGGTCGTTGTCAATAATGGTGTTCCCAATCCCCCACAACCATGAGTTATCGTCTCAAAATGCCTTGCAATAACTCTGCCTGCAATCGTCCGGTAGTGGGCGCCTTGTAGAAGTGCCTTGATTGTCAGTCGGTTTGGTGTCAAGAGCACTACTCTACTGTACAGACCCTGGTCATGTCTGTTCTGTCTTCACAGTAAGCCTTCTCGGGACTATTGACGACTGAATCTGACACAAAACTTGCAGAAATTACCTGATGGAGAAGGATTCGACGTTCTGCTCGAAGGGTACGGCAAGCATGCACCTCGTCAGGAAGTAAGTTATTTCAGACAGATACCTGCGCCACGCCCCTTCCTTGCCCCTCCCATTGGTTTGATTCCGCTACCATATATGTTAATCATATATATGCAGTATGATTCCACATTGGCCATGATCGACGCAAGAACCGTACAACGGGAAGTCATATCTCTTTGACCTGGGCACACCTGCAGCCTCACCATCCCTCCATTCTCCTCAATCACAGACGATGAGTACCGCGGTACTTCCGAGTTCCAAGTCGGTTTTGACGACGGGGTCAAGTGGCTACTCCGTGTACCTCGACAGGACCACAGATCCCCCGCGTCTGATCTGGAGGCACTCGTGGTATCAAGCGAGGTGACTACTCTTGGCATCCTCAAGAAAGGTGGTATCAAGGTTCCGGACATCTGGGTGCCCCAGAAGATTGCACAGGGTGCTGCTCCAGGTGAGTGATGATCTTTACTTTCAGAAAGTTGCGTGCATCATACTGATGGATTGCCAGGCAACTACTTTTTCCAAGAGTTTGTCAACGGCTCCGAGATTCTCTTCGATGCTTTTGCTACCGGCCTCATCTCTACCAGCAACGCTCTCTACGAAGACGTCGTTCTTCACTATATCGGTCTCTCCAACATCAAGCGCAACGTGAAAGGCATCGGCTCTCTGTATCCCTCCGGTGACGCCGACTACGTACTGCCCATCTCCCGCCGGGGTTCATTCATGAGGCCCGAGGCACCGTACTTTTTCGGCCCTTTCCGTACCCTCCGTGACCAATATCTGGCTCATATACAGCAACTGATCGAGTACACTCTCGATATCGGGTATATAGCCGTACTGCGAAGTCCCATCCACTGCATCCTCTTGTTGCTCGAACTCAGAGACTTGGTCAAGGATTGTGAGCTGCTCGCCAAAGAAGAGGACGAGTTCTTGATCCATCATGGTGATCTCAACATCGGGCAGTGTCTGAAAAATGAGAAGGGTGGTATTGCTTCAGTGTTGGATTGGGATTGGTGAGTGTTGATTCTTGTCTTGAAGAAACAGCTGACCTTGGCCCAGGTCTTTCACACACAATTACCAAGGGCGAAGCCTTCGCATCACCTTTCTGCAGTATGCACCAATGCGAGGCATGGTACAGCGGCGACAACTCCCTTTCACTTTCCGAGCTTCATGTCATCCAGCTCTTTCAGCAGCATGGCCGTAGCGACCTTGCTGGCTGTATCCTACAAGGGCGTATCTATCTGCGTATCAACGAAGCTTTGTCCCTCGAAAGCCCATACCCTATGTTCTATCTGGAAGATCCTGGTCCGATCATCGGTATCAGGAGCGCATTCAGAGACTTAGGGCAAAAAGGCGTTGGGGGGCATGTCGAGTCGCTCGAAGAGTGGCAACGAGAAGGTCTTGGCAAGTATGAAAATGAGGTGGTTTTGGCCGAGATGAAGACACGCCACACCGAATGGGAGGAGTTGAATGAAAGAGGGGTGGACATGAGCGAGAGTGAGATGGAGGAGGTGTTTGAAAAAGAGCTTGCTTTGGTGGAAGCAGCGAGAAAAGAGGCGAAGGTTGACTGATTATCCGCGTTTGACAAGCTATGACCATGTATACAAATGCTGTATAACTCAAGGATCAAAGTGCTCCTGACCGATATGTACAAGGAGTCATAGATGAAGATGATGTCGTACCAGTCACCCTATTCCGCGTTTTCTTCCCAGACATATCTTTCGACCTCAAACCCGCCTACTTCAGCCTCAATCATACTCTCACCTGAAAGACACTTTCAAGTATTACACATGAGAGAGGAAGACTCTGAAGAGAAGGTGCTTCCGACGCTGAATGCGTTCTGCTCGTGAGCAGCGATAGCGTGCACTTTTATGTGCCCAAATATTACCTACAAGCTCACAGGTGAGCCTTCTACTGCGAAGCTTTTCGGTTTGCAGTACGCTGATGATAGAACCGGCAGCCAAATGTTTCGAGACATGTTCGACGTCGTCTCTTGGACTGCCCTTTCATCTGACGCGACTCCACTTCAGCCTCGCAACGTCCCCAAAATCGAATTCACCGATCATTTATGCGAGAGGTCCTACCCAATGGCGTTTCTGCTCTCACTGATGGTCGGCCAAGAAGCGCCTACCAAGGGTTTCGAGGACCCCGAAAGGGTTGGAGGAAAAGTCGACCTGTGTCGTGAAACAATCAAGCTGAGCCGAAAGTGGGATGTGTCGCCGTTGTTGATGAGATCAGTCTTGATAGAACTGGCAGGCCAGCCACCCCAAGGAAAGATACAGCCGTTGGATGTCTTGATCCTCGTCAGTTGCGCAGGCATGGACAACGTTGCCGCTCTGCTTCTGAGGAGCCTCCGACCTTCTTCCTTCGATAACACGACTGCTGATAGGTATCCGTATAGCCTTAGACTAGATAGGATACCTGCTGCAGCATGGGGGATGATTGGTATGCGCTTTATCTATGGGCTTTCAGGGGCTGCGGAAGGGTACCGTGGCCCTGTCGACCTCGGGCAAGAAGAGAAGTACGCGTTGGGTTTCATTAAACGAGTAGCACGGTATGACGAATCAATGGCTTCGTACGAGGAATGAGGTCAATACTGACTAGCGACTCGACAGCCATACATATCTGGCTACCTGATTGACCCACATCAGTATGCGAATTGGCTTTGAACACAATTACATATGTACAGTCATCCAACTTGATCCTCCTACTCCTATTAAGTCCATAGGCGGATGTAAACCGCTCAAACCGTCGGCAGCTCCTTCTTCCTCCTTCCCACTATATTTTTGATGTCTACCAAATTCGCGAGACAATCCGGAAATGCCTTCTGGACCTTGCCCCAGATCTGCCTCGTCGGCGTCCCCTGGTCAACCTCCATGTACACAAACTCTTTGATCTCGAGCGTGATCGTACGGTGTCGCGCCTTGGGGTTCTGGCTGGGGGTTATCGGAGGGTGGTTGTGTTCGTTGACAAGGTCCGTCAAACCAGAAAAGTTCCACCTTCCCTCAACCTCTTGCCCTTCCTGCGGCGGCCCATCTCTCAGCGTCACCCTCCACATACACCCCGTCTTGCCCGATCTCTTTCCTCTCTGCCTAACTTGCTCGTGTGCCGGACCTCGGGTGCACCTGTAGGTTCCGCCTTTGACACACCCCAGGGTGATGACGCGGCGATATACGTCAGAGTGCGTGACGTTGACATCGAAATTGTGGGTAAGGGCGTATTCGCGGACGGCGCCGTGAGCTTCGTCGCGAGTGGGCCAAGGCCCTGTGGGGGGAGGGTCGTGGACCAGATGACCTTCGGCATTGGTAGAGATACCGGCTGACGTTGCGGGAGGGGGAGGGGGCGCGTTCGATGATGAAACGGGCGCGTCTGTGGGTGCAGGGGCGGACGCAGGCAGAGAAGAGGGACCCGCTTGGGCATTGGCAGACGCGTAAGGGTCGAACGTAGAGTGATCGGAGTGTTCGTCACCGAATGTCACTTGCCCTTGAGGATCATCGTGCTGATGAGCCGTGAGAGAGGCTACTATGGCAGCCTGCAGCGTGGAGTGGCCATCGTCTTCCGCAACACCGTTGGCGAGGGCCGCAAAGACCGCAAAATCCTCGCTCGGATTTGTGAGAGCGGGATCGATCACGAGTTGATTGCTAGAGGAGGCGAATCCCTCGGATGAGGACATGTTGAGTGACGAGGGGCGTCTATGCAGGATGAGCGGGAGTGCAGGGAAGCAGACGGCTCCACTCACGATTGTTCAGCTCTGGGGGGCTGACTCGCGTTATTCTTGAGCTTGAGCACGATCGTGGGGGCGCTGGCGACGGATAGTGGGCGGTTTCCTGTACTTTTATCGGAAAAAGCGTTATCAGCGACGAGTTTGGGACACCGACGAAATGTAAACAGTCATGATCGGGACAGCGAGAACCTGCGGGAGAGGTGTTTCTTTCAGCCCCCCATTTAAGACGCGTCGATGAACGCGTCCAGAGATATTGATTTTTGTGTTCTTGCAAGTAATCGACGCGTTTCTCCCTACAGCAATCATGTCCAGCAGCATCGACCCAGTGGACATCCATCCTATGCCCCCGCTCAAAGATTCCTATGTCTTCCATTCGCCATTGCCAGACGATTTCACGCCAAATGGAGAGCAAGATGGATGGCTGATGGGTATTGATGAAGCTGGTCGTGGACGTGAGTCCCGAGAATTGTTTGGATGTCTGGAAGCTGCTGATGATATTATACAGCTGTGCTTGGTCCAATGGTATATGCGGCTGCATACTGCCCATTGTCCTTCAAACCCACTCTTGAAGAGATCGGCTTTGACGACTCGAAAGCCCTGAGCGCTGAAGTTCGCCAGAAGCTCTGGGACTCTTTCAAGGAGCATGCCCCTCTCTGCTACTCGGCTGCCAACCTCTCACCGCAAGGTATCTCTGCCAACATGCTTAGACGCGTACCTGTCAATCTCAACACCCAAGCAGAGGACGCAACCATTGGTCTGATCCGCGAAGCTCTCGACCGGGGAGTTAACGTGAAAGAGGTTGGTCATCCATCCTGCGCGTGCAATTTCCCCGCTAAATGTTTGTCAGTGCTTTGTAGATGCTCTTGGTCCCGCCCCCAAATGGCAAGCCAAGCTCTCTTCCATCTTTCCCACTATCGCCTTTACCGTTTGTCCTAAGGCCGACAGCTTGTTCAAGATTGTCGGCGCAGCTTCCATCATCGCCAAAGTCACGAGAGATACATATGTTCACAATTGGGAAGATCCTGAGGATTTTAAAGACGGGTGTGTTTGATTCGCGCTATAATGTGACATCTCTGACAATCCCTAGTGTCTTGGTTGCGAAAAAGGATGGGGAGGAAGTGGTCATACGCGGAAGTGGTTACCCGTCTGATCCCAAGACTCAGGCATTCTTGAGAAACAACTTGGACCCTGTCTTTGGATACAAGGGTATGATCCGGTTCTCTTGGGCGACTGTCAAGGTGTTGTTAGAGAAGCAAGGCGTCGAGTGCAAATGGCAAGTCTTCAAATATCTATTGGTGGTATCGCTTACATCTCTTAGGGTCGACGACACAACCCAGCCATCAGCTTCTTCTTGGTTCGGTGCCGATGCGGACAATGGCCGTCCAAAAGTCTGGAGGGACGTTGGCATTTCAGGTGTGGGAGAGCTCTAGATACCCGAATCCATTGTTTGTTGTACAAATATATATATATGGATGAATAGCCTACACCCACATCTACACCACCTTCCCGTCCCTCAACTTGCCCATCTCGATCCTCACCTCCCGATCCCAATGCTTACTTCCCAGCAATCCCGACTCCCACCAACTCGTCGTGAACGGGTTTGTCAATTGCGGATCATCAATCTCCGGCCTATAAGTACCGTCCGCCATCCTCTCCTCCGTATCCAGCAAACCCTCAATTTTGGGCTCCTTACTTATCAGCCCTCGCGCGAAAGCAATCACTTGCTTGGCGGTCTTTGGCGGGAAGTGCAGAGCACACTCGGTAAGGCGCTTGGCGAAAGCCGCAGATCGATAAGGCGGGGAGCGAGAGTGACGGGAGAAGAAAGATGCGTTCAGGCAGCGGATGAGGAGCGAGGCAGTGGAAAGGGTGTGGACGGCGTTGGAAGAAGATTTAGTCGTGGGAGGAAGCATGGGAGGGTCTTCGATGCCGGTGTCTAGGCAGAGAGGACGAAGGATGGAGAAGAGTTGGTTGATGAAATCAGAGAGATCAATGTTCAAAGCCTCGCCTTGACCTGAAAGAAGGTCGAAAGCGGTGGCAATGGCCAGCAGCCTGATCCTGATCCTCTGACTCGCGCCGACGGGGTCGATATGCGCAGCCTCGTCGTCACTGTCGTCCTCGTCCTTGACCACCTCGGTCACGGCCTGGTCAGCCATGACCTTTCGCAGCACCGCGAGCAAATCGCGGAAGAAGTCGACATTGATAAAGTGGGCGTAGGTTGAGATACCTTCGAGGGCGGCCGGTAACAGCGGCGTCCGCTTGGGGTTCTTCAAGACGGAAAAGTAGAGCACAAACAGATTCTTCAACGTTTCCGTCTGAACCTGCGCTCGCTCTTCCTGGTCCACTTCAGCCTCTGCTTCTTGCAATTCCTTCTGCACCTCCTTCATCTCCTTCTCCTTCTTCTTCTGTGCCTTGGTCGCCCACTTCTTTCGTTTGTCCGACTTGAACACCTTTCCCTTGATCTCGTCCACCTTCTTCTCCTTGTTCCCGCCCCTCGCATTCTTGCCCCTGCGCATCTGGTCGAGCTCGTCTCGCAATCTGAGGTGCAAAAGACAGAAGAGCACATTGGGATGAACTTGATAGTGTCGTTCTTTCGTCATTCGCGCAATCAGCCTGACCAATGTCTGGGCGTGGATACCAGAGACATCGGCTTTGAAGATGGTGATGAAAGATTGGAGGACGATGTCCGAGTCGGAATCCCAGGATTTACGGGCGAGGCGACCGACGAGGACACCCATGATGTTTTCGGAAAAGTTGAAGTGGGTGATGGAGACGGCGAGGTCGGAGAGACATCGCAGACAGATTGTGGCGAGGTTGGTTTTACCTATAGACGTTAGCATGGAGTGTAAGACAGATATGCAAACAGCTAACCCTTGACTTCTGCCTCGAGCTGCTTCAAGTACCCCTTATAGCTCCTCACCAGCATCTTTTCACCCTCTCTCAGCCTCTTGACCTCGTCTCGCACCTTTTCGGCCTCTTCGGCGGCTGTGAGTTCACGGATCCTGTAGCCAGGAACAAGATCCTTATAGACGGCGAGTTGAGAGAGGCAGACGAGACCTCGGATGGATGCGGGGACGGGGAGAGCTGGTTGACCTTCCTCTAGGGAAGGAACGGTGGGCAGACCAAAGGACGACAGTCTTGTCAGGAGAGGAGCCTAGAAACATGTTAGTCGGGTCAGGTCATTCTGCAACGGCACTCACAATATCCACAAGTTCTCCGCCTGCCAAAATCTCGGAACCCAACTGCGCCACCTGCTCCTTTGCAGCCTCCAACCTCTCTACATTCTTCCACCCCTTCTTTCCGACAATCTCTGCGATACCCATCCTCCCAAACTTGCCCTTGAGACCTGCCATTCTGTGCGCCTGCGCCTCATCGTCGCTGCCCTCATCTTCTTCCTCTTCCTCCTCCTCTTCTGTCTCGCTCTCAGGCTTGGGCTTGGGCTTCTTGGAAGGAGGTTTGGCGATACGGGTGGAACCCTGGACCATCTGGATTTCACCAGTGGGCAGCTTGATTGGGAGTCTGCCGACTTCGACATCATCTGCCTCGGCTTCCGCAGCCTGAGCAGCCCATCTCGCACGTCCCTGCGTTTCATAGTCTGCCTCTGTCTCCTTCTTCTTTCGATGACGCTCCTTCTTCTCCTCTTCTTCCTCGTCCGAGCTGGGGTCGTCGTACGCAGCATTCACATCGTCATCCTCAGAGATCTCTTCTCCGGAATCCCAGTCATCTTGGTCTAGGTCGGAGCCAAAGTCGACATCAGATCCACCCAGCGATTGCAAGTCGGAATCGAATTCGGGGTCCGAGTCAAAGACGTCGCTCTCGTCGGAAAGAACCTCGCGAACGGGAGTTTTGGACTTTTTCTTGGGAGCTTGAGGTAATGAGTCTTGCGCTTTGGAAAGTTCGTGAAGTCGCTTAGTCTCTTTGACAGTTCTATCATTCTGTCAGCTCCTGTCTAATCTTCAGGGGAACATCACTCACCGACTGAGCGCACCAGCATCCAAGCTCGCCAAAAATCCTGCACTTTCCACTCCCATCCCCTCCTCCTCTCCCAGATTCTCCAGCTCATCACTATCATCTCCATCCCTCGCATACGCACTCTCGGGAACAGGAATGACCTTCTTGTCGCGGAGCTTGACCTTCTTGGGCTGGTCGGCCGGGCGTTTAGGACGGCCGTTGGGCTGGGTCGTTTCTTCTCCATCTTTGGCTGGGGCGGAGGGCTTGGCCTTTTTGGGGGCGGGTTTCGAGTTGCTGGGGGGCGCCTTGCGCTTTCCGAGTCCCTTTCCTGGCTTGCCCATCCTTGTTTGATCTGTGGTGGTATGGATAGTGCACTTGCTGCAACATCTCTGAAAATGTGCTGCCTCCACCCGGTAATTTTGCTTCCGTCAAAACAACGTCGGTGGTGGCCGCCGGTGCAGAGGTGAATGGAATGATGCATGGACAAGCCATTCTGCATATAATTCGAAACCTCCTCTCCATACTCCGCAATGTCAGCCCCCAACAAGCCCCTCCAGCTCGATCCCTCCCAGATCTATCTCCAAATATCACATTCCGTCTCCCAGCCGCCGCCCAATCCGGTCACGAAGACGGGCCATCAGCTCAGATACGTGGGCCAGGTCGGCGAGCTGGAGGGAGAAGGTGTGTGGCAAGTGATCAGACCTGATGGGCAGGCTGTGAAGAGGGGAGAGGAGGATTGGACGGAGGGGGAGAAGAGTGTTGTGGAAGAGGTGAAGAAGCTCCAGGGGGTCAAGGGTGTAAAAGTGATGCCGGAGGTGAAGCAAAGGCCCAAACGGTCCGAATTCTAGCCCTCCTAGACTCGGGCCCTTTGTGGTCTGTGATCATGTATCATCTCGGGATATACATACAGATACTCTACATATTCCATGCCATCATGTGAGTTGATATCACCATGCAGGAATCACACTAAATTATAATTGGTTTCAGGTGTTGACTGCCTGAAGAGAGGTTTGGGTGTCGCGGGTGGTCAAGCTCTGTTGGACAAAGTACGGAAGGCCAATTCACGCTATGTGTAAAGCGGTTGGCGAACATGCGAGTGATATGAATAGGAGCCAAGTGATCAAGGAGGCATGTTCGTAATCTCTTCCTGCACCGTCTGAGCCCGTTGCGCCCGTTGAAGTTGGATCGGTGCAGACTGAGAGCAACAAGTCAGCTTTGTTCACTGCAATCAACCACTGAGATGTACCCTCGCAACCTCAGCCAAATTGGCAGCAGCAATCTCAAACGTCTCTCTGACTTCCTCATACCTCTCTGGCTTTGGAATCTCCTGGGCGTTGGACGCGTCTGCACGGACGGTCAGCTTCACTTGGGATCCTCTGACCGAAATACGTACCTGTCTCTTCCTCCTGCTCATCAGGCAGCCATTCAGCTTCTTCTCTCCTCCCTTCCAGATCTTCTTCCATCTGATTGATCGCATCCGGCATTCGCTTGCGTCTCTCGGCGATTCGCGTTTCATGTTCGACCCGTTCGGTATTGAGACCCCAAATCTTTCTGTCGAGTACTTCATCAAAGCCTTCGGTCGCTACAAAGAACTGTCAGCATAGGCTCACAGGTGAGGTATAGATCAAGTACACACCTTGCACGTAGTCTTCGTAGTTCTGGCCGTTCACTTGGATGTTGTACTTTGCCATATGCCACATCCTCTCTTGTATCTAATCTCTGTAAGCTCGGCGCCGATTGTTGAGAGCAGAAGTGATAAACTCACCTTTCCCAGTCTCTCTTCCAGCTCAATCCGCATCACCCTAGCAGCCTCTCCATCCTTCCCGCCAGGCATGGTTGCCAAACGCGCCTCCATGGAATCCGTTATAGCCTGCGCGACATTCTTCTGAACGCGAATCCAGTCGCTCTCGTGGTCCACAGCAATTCTTGAGAGAGGCTCCGACATTTTGCTTGATGGACTTGGGGGAAAAGAGAAGACGGTGATGTTCTCGCTGCGAGGGAGATTTCATTGTTGTTGTTGTTTGTTTTGACGCGAATATGCATTACGTAAGCAATTCCTTGCGGTTGAACACAGCTGGCAGCAGCAGGAGCGCGCATGACTTCTTTCTCTCTCTTCCATTCCATTTCCTATTACAATTACAACTACAAGAACCGCCCATGAGCCACTACAAGGTTCCCCCCAGCAGGGCTCTATCACGAAACACCAGTGCCCAGCAGTTCTGGCAGCAGAGCACCACCTCTCTCAAAGCCTCCCACTCTGCCTCTGCCGATCTTGCTTCTCTCCGGTCTCCTCCCACCAATGGCGCTCGCAAAGGCGCCCACCCTTACGATTCAGAGGAGGAAGTGAAGAGGCTGCAAAAGGAGATCGAGAACATCAAAAGGTCGCATGGAGAAGATCTGGAAAAGGAGCGGGAGACGAGTAGATGTCTGAGAGAGAGGGTTGGCAAGCTGGAAGGGAAGGTCAAGAGAAGAGACGAAGAGGTTGTGAAGTACCAAGAGAAATTGAAGGACAAGGAAAGGAGTACGAAGGCCGTTGAAGCAGAGCATGATGATGAGAGGAAGGCGTGGGCCAGGGATAAGAGTGATTTGAGAGAGTGGTTGGAGTTGGAAAGGGGCAGGGTGGCCAAGCTGAAGGACGAGAATGAGCTGCTCAGGGATGAGAACATAAGGCTGAAGTGGAATGGGGCAACGAGGTATGTTTCAGGACGCCAATATGGGCCATGCTGACAAAGAACATAGCCCACGCGCTTTGCAGCCATTACAGCCCAACATTCCATCCTCTTACAACTCCCTTGCCCCTTCCACCCCTCGTAAATCCCAATCCCAATCTCAGCCTCCTGCTTCTGCACCCCCAACACCCTTAAACCTCCGTAAAGCCCATCAGCATTTGGAGTCTCAGCACAAGGCGCTGAAAGCGGCTTACGACGAGGTCAGAGGCAAGCTGGACGAGAGCACGCGGCACTTTAGGGCATACGTGAAAACCCAGAAAGAGAGAGAGGAAAAGAGGAGGGCAAGGAAGGAGGAGAGGAAGATCAGGAGGAGTCAAGGAGAGGTGAAGCCAGTGTTGGACAGGGTGGAGATACCGCAGGTGGCAGAGAAGGCAGAGTCGCATTTGGCGGAGGAGGCAGCACTCGAGCCGCAGTCTGAGGCAAAGCAACAGATCTCTATAAGCCCTACCCTGGCAGAGAACACCGAGTATACGGCAAAGCAGATATCTCCAACGACTGTTCGCCTCTCTACCCAAGAACGCATAACCGCCCAACCCTTCAGCACCCACTCGAAATCGACAGCTCGACCCAGAACACCGCCTGAAGAGGCCTTCGACTCGGCTGCCGTATCTGATGAAGGCCGTAACCCGTTCTTCTCTGGTCTCAACGCGAACCGCTCGATAGACGAGACACCCTCTCGCCCACCAAAGACAGAGAAACCCACAACCCTCCACAAATCACTTGTTTCCAGGAATCTGAAGCAGACTCCGGCACCTGTCACACCTCAAGCTGCTGGCCCCAGCTCCGTCAAGAGCGAAGTCATGGGCTCGAAGCGGAAGCTCGCCGACATGGAAGGCTTGACGCCTGCTGAAAAGGCTGACGTTCGAAAGAGACTGGCAAAGCTGCCAGCGAGTGAGAGGAGAGATATCTACAAGGATTATAAGAAAGGAGGGAGGTATCTTGAACCTGATCAGCTGTAAGTTCGTTTTCATGGATTTGAACAACGACTTACATGGATTTAGGCTGGCACAAGCGTCAGACGAATACGAAATCAACCCGAGCGCGAATGAAGGTGCCAAGTTTGCGTTTCATGATGTCAAGAGAAAGAAGGAAGACAGAAAGCACATGCACGGTGGCGATTGCGAGTGCTGTAAAGGGGTAAGTACATGGTATATCGGTTATGGAATCGGTGCTGATGGCCTTACAGTACTACACATCTGTTGGGGCAATGCCAAAATTCAACCAAGGCCCGGTCTGGCAAGATTCCAATGAACCTGAAGATGGACAGCATGCTATGAGGGAGCATCTCAACAAGTCTTCGCGGCATAGGGATACTGTGAGTTTACATGTGTACACGTTCTTTATCAGGGGAAGCTGACAAGTGTGTCAGTGGGTTCGGGCTCCAACCCCTCCGGGTTATTGGGATATCGGATTCCCGGACACCCAGCGAGTGCAGGAACATAATCAGAAGGCGGACCAGATGACCAGGGAAAAGGAGGAGAGGATCAGGAGGGAAGCAATGTACGTCCTGAACCTGTTGAAGGGCTGTTTCAAAAGTTGACATATCGACGTGCAGGCAGAAGGAGAGCAAATGGAGGAAGAGGGCGTGAGGAAGTGCTATTTATATATTGTTGATTTGTTGTGTATAGCATGTTTGTTGGTTGTAATAATATGCATGCCAGGTCATGAGATGCACGAGACATACGTTCCAGTCGGCCCGCTCAAGGCTCGAGGCCTGCTCGAGGCCAAAATGACAACACAAATAATTATTCGGCGGCCGAGGTCGTCATCAACCGAGAGTATCTAGCGTTGCTGCCCTCCAACTGCCCTCAGCTTTTTGCTCATTCTCCACATTTCGTTGCTACTCCTCTTTATCTCTGTTTGACTTTGCATCCAAGTCACCAAGATGTCTCAACATCAGCAAAACACACCTCTGACTCTGGTACAGCTGTGGGATAGCTACGAGCGAAATCCCATACCACGCTGGATGGCCCGCTCCGCAGACCAGCGCCTGTCAGTAGATCCCCCTCTCCTGCATGCTCAAAAGCCATCCAGCTCACATTGCATAGATACGATGAGAGCCCTCCGTTTCACCCCCCAGAAAGATTCACCTACTACCCTCTTCCACCAACCCTTGCCGTTGAAAAGCACGCCTGCCGACTCTTCAAATTGGCCCTAAGACACCATTACGCGACAATCTTCTTGATGGACGAAGATTGCTCCCTCATCTGGCAGACGTGGAATCTCCAGAGACATCATGCTCAGCCTAGCGAAGAAGAATATGACGAGTGCCTTGACTCCCACACCATGACCTTCCTTCACACGGGGAATAAGTGAGCTCATCTGCCTTCACCGCGATCGATTACTGGCTGCTAACTTGTGACAGGATGTTCAGAAACCAGGCATATGGTCAGGCAGTATCCGCTTGGCTCCAAGCTTGGACCACTTTACTCCCTTACCACGTTGATGCTCTCCCCCATGGTGCTCTTCGTAACAAACTGGGCTTTCGGTATGCCCTTTTGTTCGCAACAATAGACAATGACTGATATGATACGTTCTCATAGAGAATCCACCATCATTGGGAATGTCTCAGCATGTCTGCTCAAGATGTGGAACATGGCAAAAGCAGCAGGACTGGGTGATGAGGACACCAGCTCGTTTGAGATCGCTGCCTTTCAATGTGCTTGGATCGTTATCGACTTGCGAGAATATGCTCGAGTGAGAACAGTGTACAGCGCTTGTAAGATCCTGTGATACATACTGGTGGCCACTTTCTGACGCCAATGTCGATAGGTCGTCGAGCTGAGGAGTGCCTCAAGGAATTGTTCGAAGACGGCAAGGTCTATGGCCGCGATTTCGGCCCAAACGCAGTCGGTGTTTCTGAAATGCGTGCCAGCGCAGCAAAATATGAAGCATACGCCAAGGCCCAAGGCGATGCTATACAGAACGCCGATAGAGAGTTACTATTCCGAGATCTCGACAAGAGCTTGGAGGTGCAGGTGGATAGAGAGACCACTCGTGCGGTAGGGCCGTTGATGTGGGACAGGCTGGGGGCAGGAGGGGATACATCTTCTGGTGAGTACATTGATACATTGGGTCAATCAATAGCTGAGACTTCGGCAGTGATTGAGCAAGCAAGGTTCTTGGACGAGCAGCCGCTCGATTACGGTGCCGAAGCCCAACAGGCTATGGCCGGGAATCGCAACTTGGTCGAACGCGAATGGTGGTACACTTTTGAGCCTATGGAACCTCACGAAGAAGCCGGAAAGGGCAGGTAAGACCTCAAATCCACCTCCCGACTACTAAGCTCTGGCCAAAGACAACTAATCATATATGGTCCTAGCTTTTGGTATCCACCGAGCGAACATCCCACCCCCCGCCTAACCTATTTGCCCTACCCGACCGGCCTCAGCTTCGTCTTCCACCTCCACGCTCTCACCAAATTATCCCTTTACGAGATATTCTTTCGGCAGTACCACGAAGACTATCTTGGAGAAGCATGGGAGAAGATGGTTCAAGAGAAGAAGAGAGAACCGTTACGGGAGGTGCCACCTCAGATGCGCCTCCATAGAGCGGAGAAGCTCAAGGATGAGGGAAACGCGTATGTCTTTTCGAGTACAAGAGCCAGGCTGTAACCCTGACACTATGACAGTAAATACAAAGCGGGAAACCACAAGGACGCTTTGAAGTCGTATTTCGAAGCATGGTGGACGACCGTCCCCTATCATTATTACGGATTCCCTAATGAGTTGGACGCCTTGAGGGATCAACTTGCTAAAATGTGAGATTCCCGCCTCCGTACTTCACTTCGATGACATGAAATGCTGATAATATGCGTAGTGATTCTGTGATTTTCGCCAACATTTCGGCCGTATATATCTCTTTGTTGAAAGCGGTGGCCACGCCTGCTGAATCGCGAGTGCCATTCCAGAAGATGGCATACCTCGCTAGTTGGGTCGCGGCCGAGCGCAAGTTCAACAATAGTATCAAAACTATGATCAACATCTGTACCGTTCTCCCTTCTTGTGTAAAGCGCGATCTGATGAAAATGATTCGCGTTCAAGACAACCGCCTTCTCTTCACCCTCCCGAGAGACCTTGCAGCGCATCAAACCGCCCCGCAAGATATCCTAGCACTCACCCACAGCTGGACCAGGATGCGCGATGCTTTGGGAAAAGCAAAGAACAAGGATGCCATCTACAAGGAGGCTTTCACGGGGGAACACAGCAAAGAAGATGGGTTGATGATGGTGATGTTGGCGGCTCTCGCGGGGCCAGAGGTGTTGAGGGATGATGTGGAGCAGATGAAGATGGCAAAGGGGTACTTTGCTTGATGGTGTAAGGTATCCGTTTTCGGCGACCGTATGAAGGCTTTGGCTAAAAGCCGGAGGAAGTGACAATGGTTTGACAAAAGACAACATGCTCGGCAGACCGACGACATTCGAACAGATCTTGGCTTGGCCGTAATTGAAGAGATATTTCGATTCTAACACAGTCATGGTCTGTGGACCTACCTAGCTCAGCATGCAGCATTGCGTTGATCTGTGACCGATGCTTTAATGGACGTCTTCATTAAGCCGTGTCCGGTTGAAGTGATGAGCTTATAGCCAGGTGATTATGCTTATAGTACATTATATGTACTCACTAAATCTATAGCACGTTTGACCGAGTGGTTAAGGTGTGTGACTCAAGCTTGCTTCCGCTTCCCTGATTCCAGGGTTTTCACATGGTCTCCGTACCGCGCAGGTTCGAATCCTGCAGCGTGCATTCTTTTTTTGCTTTTTTGATCTATCTTTGCGTCCCCTTTTTGGTGCGTGCATCTGTATATCCTGGTGTCCAGATCCGGTGTCCAGATCCTATGCTCATCGTAGGACATGCTATCTGACTTAGCCCGAGCATCTATGCGTGCCGAGAGAGAGTATATATACACCATGCAAACTCGAAGCAAGGACTGTATGTATATGAGCCAGATCATGGTGGCTGGATCCCAGTCCCATGACGAGCCATGAACAGCGTGTCGTTTCATATCGTTACATCCGTTACACATACTCCAGCATTGTCCATTAACCTCAAACGCTCTACTAGTCTACTAGATCTTCTTCCCCTTATCTCGCAGAATAGAGCTGGGTATCCTCGGTACCGGTGGTGGCGTCCCATTGAAAGTATGCACACTCGACGGCCTTGCTCCATTTGGCCTCCCCGCCATTGCCCCAGACCCCTTTTCCCCAGCAGCGGACCGCTTCTCTCCTCCCATCGAACTCGGCCTCCCGAGCCTCTTTGCTCGCTCGACCTTTTCAATACCCGTGGACGCTGCCGGTATCGCAGACAGAGACCCACGGGAGTGGTGATGGTGTAGACGCGAGGTTGTAGTAGGTGGGGGCCCACGGCCGATGGGATTGCGTTTGTTCAAACCCGAGCGGGAAGGGGGCCTTGCGACGATGTTGGGCGCGGAGCTAGAGTCAGAGCCTAGACGAGAAGACGAGGCCGAGGTGGATTGGCCGAGGGCTGAGAAGCCCAAGGCTGGGGACTCCGAGCGGTTCCACATCTCTGGTGAGAGTGGTCTGGAGGAAGCAGTCGGGATTAAAGAAGGTGACATGGGGCGAGAGTTCTGTCGGGCAGAGGCGATAGGGATGTGGGTTGGCGACATAGGACGCGCAGCCAGATCCCTCTTGGTCGTGCTCTGTGCCAATCTCGAGGGCGGTCTACCCGAGGGGAGTCTGCCGCTCGTAGTGCTCGATCTCGCTAGCCCACTGGCCAAAGGCGAAGGGATCCCTGGACGCATCGGCAATGACCTGTTTGAGCTGGTTGTGCTCGTGCTCCTAAAGTTAGGGTCCAGAGGAGACTGGGGCTCGTCGGTGGGAAGAGTCATGCTCCAAGGTCCTGTGGGGGTATCATCCCCTTCGCCGACAAGGACCCAGCCTGGCGACATGACGCTCCCCGTTCGAGGAAGAGCAGACGCTTGAGCGAGGGGGGTGGTTTGTGATCTGTTGAGAGTGGTAGCAGGGGCAATGTCGGTCTGCTTGGAACGGGCGGTAGCAGTCGACGAAGTCGACGTCACTCGTCTTCCTACTGCTCCTACCGCCCCGAACACTGTAGCCCCTGTTCCAGAAACATTCCTCCTGGGGACCTTTGCTCCGCCGAGCTTATCATCCGTCGCCTTCAACCTCGCCTGCAAATCATGCAAAAGCTTGAACCCTCGCGACTTTGTCTGCTGATGCGAAGCAATGACCGAGACCCTCGCCGGAGATGCTTGCGGGATCCCACTTCTACTCCTTGTAAGCCCAGCGGGCGAGTTGGGCAGGGGCGTACCAGCAGCCGCTGCGAGGTTGCGGGATGTCGTGGAGCGGCTGAGAGAGGTGGTGGAGGGGGATTGGGGGATGTGGCTGAAGCGCTTGGTGGAGGGGCTGGGGACGGGGATGGAAGATAGAGTGCCGCTGCGGGTCATGCGTGGTCGGGGGGATCCGTGGGTAGAATCTGTCTTGCTGGGGACGGGTGGTGGTAGAGGAGAGGAAGACGAGTCTTCAGACAGACTTGAGCGAGAGACCTTGCGGATCGGTTCGTGTGTGGGAGAGGCTGTGGAAACGGAGGATGGTGGAGTGGAGATCGCTCTAGCGAGCTGATCTTTGAGAATGCTGATCTCCTCGTTTGCATCTGAAGGATGTTAGTGGACTTTCGCAAAATATTGAAGGTGAACGTACCTCGAACCTCGTCTTTCAGCCGTTGTGCCTCAGCCTCCATCTCATCTTTGGTAGCGACGTCTTGCTCGAGCAATGTCTTTTCTTCTATCGCTCTGTTATACCTGCTCTCCATGTCGAGGAGCGATGACGCAGCGACTCTTAAGAACGGTCAGCTCCAGTTCGCACATGCAAATAGTTCACGCGCCTCTCATTCCTTTCCAGCTCATCGTTTCCCATCTCCAAATCTCGCAAGGCAACGAGCGTCTTGTCCCTCTCAGACCTCAGGTTGTCCATCTCCCTCTGCATTGCCGACGTTGTAGAACTGTGCATCTTTTGCAAGGCAATGTGTTTGTTCTTGACCCTTGCGTCAGCCTTGCCGACCACAGGAGGTATGGGGCCAGACTCACCTTCCATTCGTCCTTTTCTTGCTCCAGTCGCTTGATCTTTTCTCTCAAGTCGGCTTGTTGCTTGTCGTTGGCCGAGAGCTCTTGCTCCATTTCATCTTCGAGCTCCTTCGAGGATTGCTGGAATTCCTCTACACGACATGGTCAGCAGCCCCATAGCCCATATGTGCGGACAGCTCACCAAGCTCCGCCCTCGTATCGGAAAGCATTTCAATAGCCTGCCTGTACTTGTCTCTGTAATGAGCTATCTCATCTTCCGGAGAGTCGAATCTGGTTATGATAGTCAGTCCGTGTCGAGGAAAAGGGCGTTCGACGCACTGTGTATCTTCTTCGTCTTCTATACCAAATGAGGATGTGCTGGGCATTTTGTGGATATGCGCTGAAGGCAGATCCAGGACTGGATGACCGGCTGACATGTTGTTGTTGCTTTGTTTACGCGATTATTGGAGAGTGTATTGACCGCAAAGCTTGAAGTCTTTGACTAGTTCGATGTTTTCGGTTGATGGCTCGTGTCGCGTGTTTCCTCTAGCATATAAATCGTAGGTCGTTGTGGCAAAGTGACGCGAGAGCAGAAGAACGCGTGAAAGGCGAGCCAGTTGTCGAGTGTTTCGTGTGCGCGTCGATGTTGCGAACGCCTCGTGATGTCCTCAGACGTGTCCTTCCTCTCGTTCCCCGCGGTTGTGTAGAATATAATGTTATATGGCAGGGGCACACTGCAAATGTCAGAGGAGAATGGCGCAGCGGTGGTCGCCGCCCCGCACAAACAAAGATGCCACACCGCGCCCGCTCATAACGCCGACACGAAGCAGAGTCAGTCAGAATGGATGGTCAATTCTCAACTCTCCCTCGCATCCACGTCAGCACCCACGGAACATGAACGCAGACCTCAAGAGGGTCCGCGAGAACACCCTCGACGATAGCCCCGCCCCGTCCGCAAAAAGGAGGCTCAACAGCCATGCCCCCTCGCCCGTGCCCACGTCGGCAAGCGACGACGACGGTATGGCAGACTGGATGAAAATCGTCGAGGTAGGTCGCACCAGAATCGAAGCGTGTTCAGGTCTGCAAAAGATCTGTGCACACGGTTAGGTAATTCTCAGGCCGTGTGCTCGGCGCAGCTATGAAGAAGCGACGCAAGAACCTTGAATAATCACACTCTCAAATTTGTAAACTTGTCGCTGACTTACCCCTTTTCTCTCTGCTAGATCAAGCGCAAAGAGGCCATTTATCGCCAAATGCTTGAATATCGACGCTCGTCAGAACGCGAGGCTCAACGGGCAAATGACCTCGAAGCCCAAAGACGTGTGCTGGAAGCCAGTTTTCAAGCAGTCGAGGTGTGCTGGACACAGGTAGGCCATCCAGAGGTAATAATCAGACAGACGTTGATTTATGTACGCAGATTGTCACTGCCGTACGAGATTTGGCCGGCGCGCAAGAAGTCGAGTTGCAGGAGGAACAAGTGTTGGAGCGTAAGTATATTGCGTGCTCGCATTCTCATCCGCTCACAGCCTTTCCAGCATTACTAGATCCTTCATTGCCTCAACCAGAACTGGAAAAAGCGCTTCAAAGTCGATTACCGACCACTCGTCAACTGATAGCGCGATTCATCGATCTGATTGCTCGCAACGCCACCCGTCCTGCTTCAGAAGCCGACCTCCAAGCTCGTTGTCTCAAGCTGGAAGCAGAGGCTAGCACCCTTCGAGGCAACTTTACGCTCTTGCATTCTCAAATTTCAGACCTGACTGAGTCGCGCGATGGTGTCCAAAAAGACCTCGCACGCACCCGGAAAGCCCTTGATCGAGAACGTATGGAACATGAGAAGGCTCATGAAGAATGGAAGGAAGAGCGATCACAAGTCGGTCGAAGCACACCTGGTTTACGGACGAATGGCAGTGGTCACGCGACACCGAATGGTCATGTCGACATGGACGAAAAGGTCCTCAACGGTGCTGGACCTTCGGCTTCTGGGGCGTTGCAAGATACGTCAGAGCTGGAGCATCTGGCAGATTCACGGTTGAAACAGTTGGACCAGCTGCGAGCAGAGCAGACTGTGTTGCAGCAAGAAGTTGACCGGTTGAAAATCCTTGTGCGTCTCTTGAAAAACCCTTTGATATGTACTGATTCCCTTCAGGCTACCCATCCGTCAGAATCAGCCGTCCGCGAATCACCATTCTTTCAAGTTTACCTCAATCAACTCTCCACCCAACTCAGCAGAGCCAACGCTCTCCAAGAGCGATTTTCAGCAACTGAAGCCAAACTCGACCAGCTGCGTGATGCGAATGGCGACTTTCGAGAGGCCGTGCTCGCCGAAGCTCGAGCTGAAACGGAAGCCTTACGGTCACAGATGGCCAAAAAGGACGCTGATCTTGCCCGGCTGAGAGGCCAGCGAGACGAGATGAATGCCGAGATTATGGAGCGAAGGGCCAAAGAGGCTGAAAAATGCCGGTTCACTGAACAGATGGAGGGTCTGGCATCCACGCGCGAAGAACGAATTGGTTTCCTCACTTCCGAAGTCCGGCGACTCAAGGGCAAGCTTGCCGCTGAGCATGGGTCGGAGGGGTATCTATCTTTCCTGCGCGATAGCGGTGTTGATGGGGATTATATCCAAGATCTCGAATCCAAAGTCAGCACTTCGCAAGACCAGGTCAACGCCCTCACCTCCCAGCTTGAACGTGTTTCATCAGATCACGCTGCTGCCATCAGCGAGGTTCAAGTACGTGCAGAGCTCGAAGGCGCCAGGCGCGCCTTGGCGCGGTACGAGCGTATTCTTGGGCCGAATGTGGATGCTGTCGATGATGTGCAATATCTGGCTACAGAGCTCGAGAAGAAGGAGAAGGAGCGGGCAGGGTTGGAGATGAAACTTGCCGAAGCGGAGGCGGCTACGAATGCCCTGTATGAGGAAGTAGAGGGCCTCTCGAAGCTTTGGGAGAGCTTGGATCAGACAGTGAAGAGTAAGGTGTTGGAGCTGAGGGATGGGGAGCAGAAGATCACTCGGTTAGCCACGGAGGTTGGTTCATTTTTCAAATGGCTTTGGACGGAGCTGACTATGAAATTAGAAAGCTAAAGCGGACAACAAATACTTTGCTGCCATGCGTGCCAAGGAAGCTGTTGACGTCGAAGCCAAGACGGCACAGAGAAGTGTTGAAAAGCAACTGCGGTTGTTGGAGCGGGCCCAGGAAGTCGAGACGAGCTTGAGATTGCAGATTGTAAGCTTTCAACAGATCACAGTGCAGCAAGGTGCTAATCCAACAAAAGTCTATAAACGAAAAGGGCATGACGTCCCTGAAGAACAGCGCTCTTGACCTCCAAACTCAACTAGCGACCGCCGTTGCCGAACGCACCCAGCTTGAGCTCCGCCTTCAGCAATCTCAAAGTGCCTACACCGAAGCGCAACAGATCATGCAAGCCCGTGTGCAAGAGGCAGTGCAGGAGAAAGAAGCAAAGGCGCGATTGCAGGACGAAGTCGACGGCCAAGGTCGACAGATCAAAAAGCTGAAGGAGAGGCAGGAGTCTGTCGCTACGGCTGCCCAGACGGGAATGTCCAACAACGAATGGGCCATCACGCAAGAGCGAGACAAGCTACTGGTGCGTCATATCTATTAAGTTTTTGTTGCGTGTGCTGATGATTGGGATAGAAATTACTTAAGTGTTCTTGCTGCGAGCAAAATTTCAAGCAACAGGTCATCGTCAAGTGCATGCACAGTAAGTGTCCATGGTAGCATTCAAGAGCGGCGCTAACGTCCGTCATAGCTTTCTGCAAGCAATGTCTGGAGTCACGCATCGCCTCTCGACAACGCAAGTGCCCCGCTTGTGGTCTTGCCTTTGCCAAGGAAGACATTCAAACCCTCTATTGGCAGTAAGCCAGACACCGACGCGGGGTATGACCATTGCCTCCCTGCTAGGTCATCTCATCTCTGTCGACGAGATATCAGCATCCGCCACAACAGGCGAGGGAGACGCGAGACGGGATCCGCATTGGCCCGTGTGTATAGAGAAGAAGAAAGAAGTAAAAGAAAGAAGGCAAGAAGTGAACCAGTTTCCATACCTTAACGCACCACCATTCATGACCTTTTCTGCAATTGATGAGCTGGGTCACCATCGTTTCCGCAATGGATCTTTGTTTGTACCAAATACTTATACGATTTTCTTCGCTCTCGGGCTTCTTCTTTCTCGCCTTTCATAGTCAGTGGCGAGAATTCCCTTTGTAGCAGTAGGTGTGAAGAACAACATGCATTGATAGATGAGTGCCATGAGTCTGCACTCTGCTGGCACATCATCCAGATGAGGTGTAGATGATGTGTCCCGATCCAGGTCGCCAAGTTGTGAGAAGGAACTCGACGCGTCGCTGAGATCTTTTTGTTGTTGAGCACTTTTCTTGTCATCAATTCTTTCCCTACCTACTTTATTAAGCAGTATGTCTGACACTGGACGAAAATGGTATAGTGAGTGGTGCTGGCCTTGAGCTCGAGGGACTAGGCTGACTGCGCGGGCTCCTTTTCTCACCTCATTGCGTATCTCGCTGGAACTTCGACATCAACTGATATCACATCTTCATCTCGTCCTCCTTACTGGGCTGTAATTCAGACCTCGAATCGGCTACCGACGATGCTATCTTCGGCGGTGTAAGTCGCTTTGACACAAGCCGAGATCATAGCTGACCAATGGCGACGCGGTGCGACTCTCCACCTCGCAGCAAGAATCAGCATTCTCGGCTCTCGGATTGACAAGAAGCCAAAGAATCGGTGGTTTCGCTGCGTGTTCGTATGAGAGGGATTTGAGGACGAAGAACTGATGTGGTTGGGAATAGGTTTCGTAGGAGGTTTGGCTGTCAGTCTGTTGGGCGCTATCTTGTTGTTCTTGGGGGCCACCGGTGCTTTTGCTGGTACGTCTATTCTCTTCTCTCCACTCCCAGCTGAATTGCCCGAGCCGCCCACTGAGCTTTTCCCGCACAGTCCTCTTCGCTCTTGGCGGTGTCATCTCCCTAGTCGGCACAGGCTTCCTCGTCGGCTTCAAAACCCAGCTCGAAAAGATGTTCAAACCCGTCCGTGTCGTGGCGACTGTCCTGCTGTTTGCAGCCATCATCATGACGTTTGTCAGTGCGTTCGTGCTGCCGACGGTTTTGTGTATCATCTTTGTCATTGTGCAGTACTTGGCGTACCTCTGGTGAGTTGGCTCTTTGGACAGGAAGGCTGTGGTGCTGATCTTATGGGGTTAGGTATACACTGTCGTATATTCCCTACGCGCGAACTGTAAGCGCATTGCTGCCTTTGATGCCCCTTGCTAATATGACTGTAGGCGGTCAAGAGTGCTATTGGCTGGTAAAGCAGCACCGCAGTCCAGCATGTTTATTACGACAGAACGCATTGAACGATTTCCAGCATGTATATGGGTTTTCTCTTCATACTCAACAATGTACAAAGCAAGACCCTCAGGCATATGGGAACGAGAGCTATATCAACAAGGCCCAACTTCTACTTGCCAACATCCCAGGCCCTCGTACCGCCCTTCTTGACATACTCATAACCTCCCAAATCTCCTTCCTCATCCCCCTTCGCCTCCTTCTCCCGCACCATCTTCTCCTTCCTCCATGCCCTTTCCACCTCATCCTCACTCTCCGAATCGTCCCTTCTCCTGTCTTTCCGCTTCTTTCTCTCTGCCCTTCGTTCTCGGCGCTCGAGCTTGGCCAGGGCAGTGTCGGGAGAGCGAGCGCGTTTGCGTGGGAGGATACCGGGAGGAGGGGCGGATTCGTCGTCTGAGAGGGAGGGGGATTGGCGGCGCTTCTGTTTACGAATCAGTCTCAGGCCAAGTGATAAACAGCTGACTTGCCTTCTTTCCTCTTTCTTTGAGCACGGCCAACATGTTGTCCCATCCGACATCTTGCACGATCCCCTCACTTGCCACTGTCGTAGGAAAGTCCAGACGAGGATCATAAGACTCTTCAAAGTACCTGTCCATCTTTGACTTTGGTGGAGGCGGGGGAGATGGGGAAGGGGAGCGAGATGGGGAACGTGGTCTAGGGGGAGGTGCATCCTTGGGAGGAAGGGGTGTAGAAGATTGGTGATGGGCTGGCTTGGATGATTTGGATGGGAGCGAGGTCGAGCCAGAGTCATGATGCCGAGATCTTGGATGGGATCTATCTTCTGGGGAGTGGGAGCGACGAGATTTGCGAGGTCTGTCCTCGTCAGACGAGTCGTGTCGATGCCGATATTCCTCATTTCGTGACCGCCTACGATCCCTGTCTCTTTCTCGATCCCGCTCCTCTTCGTGATGACGACGGTGACGATGCTCCTCCCTATCACGCCTGTCTCGACGAGAGTGATATCGGTCTTCGTCCTCGTCCTGCCGCTGGCTGCGCCGGCGGTCTTCACGATGGTAGTCGTCAGACCGCGGGGACCGTTCGTCCCTCTCTCGCTCCTTCCCTTTGTTCCTATCGCTCCTCGCGCTTCTATCATTCCTCTCTTCTCTCTCTTCTCTACCATGGCCCCTCTCTTCTCTAGCTCTCCGACTTCCTTTGTCTTCCCTCTTTGGCTCATTCCGCGACATATCCCTCATCGCCCCTCCAAACAACCGCCCAGCCGGTCCCGCACCACCCCTCCTGCTCGAACCTTGTCCTCTTACTGGAGGAGGGTCTGGCATACGTTCTTGTCGAGCTTGCCGAGCGCCTTCGGCTTGAGAGCGGAGCAGGGCAGAGTTGTGTCCGTCGACTGTGCGGATGATGGAAGCTAGGAACCGTTTGTTGGGTTTGGGTAGCGATGGATCAGGCCTATTCATCATGTTAGCATATCATACACAGCTATCAATTGAACTCACTCGTCTCTCCCCGCCAGCATCGAGTTGCCCAGCAGGCCCGATAATCCGAGCTCACTCCATTTGGACTCCTTTGCCTTTGCCTCTTGTGCGAGGAGCTGAGCTACGTGTGCGTCGAGGTCTGCGTCCGAGATATCCTGGGAGATGCCTGATGCTGCCCTGACGAGCTTTGCCACGACCGAGTTGAGGGACATCTGGATATACTTTAGATGCTAAGAGATGGCAGAAACATGACGAGAGAAGTCGGCAAGCCGGGGCGGAGGGTGCCGCCGGGAGAAAAGCCAGAAACTGTCCCGGGGAAATGCGCGACGCGTACAATCGATGCTTCTCTGCGTTTCCAGCACTTGCACCATAAAAATAAATCACAAGAATGTCCAGCATAGAACTCATAAACCCCAAGGCTGAGTCTATTAGAAGGACACAGGCCCTCCAGGTCAACACTGTGCGTTCCAACCGAGAAAAATGGTCGAGAAATGGCCCGCTGACAGCCATCTGCAGGCGGGTGCGGTGGGCCTTGCGAATGTCGTCAAGTCCAACTTGGGTCCCCGAGGAACTATCAAGATGCTGGTGGACGGCTCAGGCCAGATCAAGATGACCAAGGACGGAAAGGTGCTCTTGTCTGAGATGCAGATCCAGAACCCCACAGCTGCCATGATTGCCCGAACTGCCGTAGCTCAGGACGAGCAATGCGGTGACGGTACCACCTCTGTGGTCCTTCTCGTTGGCGAGCTCTTGAAGCAGGCGGACAGGTATATCCAGGAAGGTGTGCACCCCCGAGTGGTTGGTGATGGTTTCGACATTGCCAAGAAGGAGGCCTTGTCTGTGAGTCGGATCCAACTTTTATGCGGACTGTCTAATACTTTTCTAGTTCCTCGACTCTTTCAGGCAAACCCCCAAACTCGACCGTGCCAACCTCATCTCCGTCGCCAACACCTCCCTCTCCACCAAGCTCCACACCCGACTCGCTACAAAACTCTCTGCCGACGTCGTCGACGCCGTCCTCGCCATCCAGCCCCCTGCCCCTTCCTCCGAGAACGAGTACCGCGAACCGATCGACCTGCATATGATTGAAATCATGAAGATGCAGCACAAGACGGATACGGATACCACTTTGGTCAGGGGTCTGGTGATGGACCACGGTGCGCGACACCCCGACATGCCCAAGCGCGTCGAGAATGCGTACATCCTGACGCTCAACGTCTCGCTCGAGTATGAAAAGACCGAGGTCAACTCTGGTTTCTTCTACAACTCTGCCGAGCAGCGTGAGAAGCTTGTCGAGTCGGAGCGACGATTCGTCGACTCCAAGCTCAAAAAGATTGTCGAGTTGAAGAATGCGGTGTGTGATGTGGCTATTGGGTCCAACGAGAAGCCCAAGAGCTTTGTGGTGATCAACCAGAAGGGTATCGACCCTATGAGCTTGGATGTCCTCGCGAAGAATGGTATTTTCGCCCTGAGGCGAGCCAAGAGGAGAAATATGGAGCGGTAGGTCAACACAGCTTCTTTCGGAACAAGGCTAATAATAGTTGGACAGTCTGCAATTCGCTTGCGGTGGTGTTGCCCAAAACTCTGTCGAAGACCTCACCCCCGACGTCCTCGGTTGGGCCGGTCTCGTCTACGAGCACACCCTCGGCGAGGAAAAGTACACCTTCGTCGAAGACGTCAAGGAACCCAAATCCGTCACCATGCTCATCAAAGGCCCCAACGCCCACACCATGACCCAAATCCAGGACGCCCTCCGAGACGGATTCAGATCCATCAAGAACGGTATCGAGGACAAGGCTCTTATCCCTGGTGCGGGCGCGTTCGAGCTCGCCTGTGCGGCCCATTTGGCCGATAATGCCAAGACGCTTGCGAAGGGTAGGGCCAAGTTGGGTGTGCAGGCGTTTGCGGAGGCAATGTTGGTCATTCCCAAGACTTTGGCGGCGAATGGAGGGTTCGATGTGCAGGATGCTATTGTGGGGCTGCAAGAGGAGCTGGCAGAGGCCGGTGAGGGCGGTAGTGTGGGGTTGGACTTGAAGAGTGGAGAGCCGATGGATCCTGTTGCTGAGGGTGTCTGGGATAACTACAGGGTGAAGAGGCAGATGTTGCACGGAGCGTGAGTCTTTGCTTTTTTCAGTCTAGAGTCATACTAATATCTGTATAGCGCGACTATTGCCGTCAACCTGTTGAACGTTGACGAGGTGTTGAGGGCGGGTAGATCATCGCTCAAGCAGGAAGGCCCCGGCCCTTAGAATCTTGGGTTGAAGTGTATAATGTAACGAGAGTAGGATCATGAAGTGATAGAAGTTTCGGTCCAGGCTGTGCTTTCTCTGTATATGCATCAATCTCATGGAAATGGCAATATTGAGCTCGAAGTTGGTTGGGTTGGTGCTCGATATGGCCGATTTGGACCAGGCTTTCCAGCAGAGGTGGATAGAGCGTACGACAAAAAATTGATTAGTACGTAGTAGAGCATGCGAGAGACAGAAGGTATCTGGTCTGAGTATTTTCTGCTTCAGTATAGTCGATTTGGGAGCGGATATCTGTCTCTGTGAACGCACAGCGCTCGGGACACTTCCCTGTTTCCGCAATCCTACGACCGACGCGTATCCAACGTGATGATGACGGCAGCGCCGCAGAAGTCAGTCAAGACCAAAAAGTTAAATCGCATCTCCACGGCGGTATTCGAGTTCAATCACAGATTTCGTCTGGCAAGGCCTGCGATATATGCATCCTGTCCAGTTCATCCTTTATGGATAAGTGTATATGGCGCGATCGATGCATGTAGAAGGAAAGCAAAAAGCAAAAAAGGAATGCACGCTGCAGGATTCGAACCTGCGCGGTACGGAGACCATGTGAAAACCCTGGAATCAGGGAAGCGGAAGCAAGCTTGAGTCACACACCTTAACCACTCGGTCAAACGTGCTGTAGATTTTTAGCGACAAACGCCGAATCACACCGGTGATGACATTCTTCAACGTCGTGTTTGAAACATTTCGCACCCAGTGGCCCTGTGATGGGTAAATGATTCTGCCGTTAGTAACGTTGCCAAAACCAAACAAGGGCCCGAGCTTCTGATGCTGGCTCTTTACACTCGTTGAGAGAACTAAAGCTTCCGGAACTCATACACTCAAGACCCGGCCGTCTACCGGACGAGGAAACTCCGAGAAGAAAGGCAGGCGGTTGACGTGTACGTCGTTGGATGAGTCAGTGACGATCTTCAACGCGAAAACTTTCGCGGAGGTTGCGCCGATTGAAAACACGTATAACAACAGACTGCAAGCGAATTGAAGTCGGGATAGAACCTCTGCTGCCATCCTCGCTCTTCGGACGAACGACCCGACATCTATTACTCGGCCACCCTACCTCTCTCGGGTATCTTGCCTTGAGGTACTCTTCTCACTTGTTTGATTTGAGTGCGAGCTGACCAGCAAAGGTAGCCCTCTCCTCTGTTGCCTCCATCCCAGGCTCTCTGATCTTTGATAATATCATCTCGTCATCCCCATCCTGACACCTCTTCTCACACCCTTAGATCCGATACCGGATTCAGTCATGATGAGCCCTTTATTCCTCCAGAGAAGAGACCCCATATACTTCATTCCCACACCTTTCCTGCCTATCAACGAGCTCGTCGAGACCGACCATCGTGATCCTCAGGCGTTGAAAGCCAAGAGGCATGTGGTGTCTCGAGAACCCGGGGCCGTTGATGGGAAGCAGAGAAAGAGAAATAAAAAGCTGAGGTGTGCTACGTCCAGCGAGATTCTGGCGCACGAAGAAAGAATGATCAGCAAGGTAGGCCGCATGATGATGTTGATGAAACTATCTCTTACTCCTTCATTCTACAGATTGTACGGGACGTACTGATGCTTTCTGGCAAAAGTCTCCAGGATGCTTCCCCTGGCGAACAGAAAGCATTGGGCCTTCAAGCCAGATGGATACTCGAGTCCGAAGCGCAACTTCGAGCTGCCGAGGAGTTGCTTGGGCAGTTTAAAGAGCAAGCAAGGGAGCTGCAGAAGCTGGTAGATAGACTGAGAGTGATATCTAAAGAATAGGGGCCGGGACCATATGGCTACATGCACGATATACTTTCTATGTTGCTGCTGCTGATGCGAACTCACAGTCCCCCCAAGAAACCTGCATCTTTCGACATTGCCCTATTCACCTCGAAATTTGGTTCCGCCGGTCTCGGAGCCCCGCGCTTTCGACGCGCTTTGCCAAATTTCGTCCGACCATCATAAGCATCTTGGTCCAAGTCGTTCTGGGTGATCTTGCGAGTACTACAGACATACCGCTCTTCTGAACCAGACACAGCACGAGTCACACGCTATTAAACCATACGAAACGCAGAAGACATCAAGAATGGCGGTCCACGGAAACCTCTCACACGCAATGCGCGATAATTACAACGAACACGGAGTGGACGAGGTGGGGGTCCAAGTGCTCAGAGGCAGGCTAACGTACTGACCACCCCTCTGTAGTACTATCGAAAAGTAGCAGCTTCGTACCGAAATCCGTTCTTCCCTGGCATCAAGAAGGCAAGCGCAACTCGCTTCAATTGACGACGGAGCTGACTTCAAGTCATAGGTGGTATGGACATTCATGAACAAGTGGTGGGAAGTGGAAGGAAGAGAACTCTTCGAGGAGCAACCAGCGGAAGCGAAGAAGGGCTTGAGAATACTGGATATGGCTGCTGGAAGGTACGTTCTCGCAATACCCCAGGGTCACTCAAGCTGATTTTGTCCCCGTAGCGGAGAAGCCACTATCTGCCTACTCGACTGGGCCAAATCCCCATCGCCTTCTCCGGCATCTCCAGTAATACCTCAAACACCCACAGATCCTCTCGTCTTCCTCCGCTCCAACCCTGCAGCCTCCTCCTCTAGTAGACCAGCATTCGTCCCGCCCTCGCGCAAGCCTGTCGAGCCCCCTCAGAGAGCTTCTGCGAGCTCGTCAGGTGCTAGAAGAAAGGTGTTTGGGAACGCGATACCTCCAAAACTACCTGAGGGTTTTGAGATTGGCATTGTGGCCACGGATCCTGTCTGTCTCTTCTGCTTTGTCGGACCTCTGGCTGATAGAGACACAGTACACCTCACCAGCTTACTCAGATCGCACATCTCGCCCTTGCCACCCCCTATCATTCACTGACCTTGCACAAGGCCAACTACCTCCCTCTGCCTCTGAAACAGTCGAGCCACACGGAAATGAACCGATATGGGACATCATCATCTGTTCTTTCGCCTTGCACCTTGTCACCGACCCTTCGGAGCTATTTGCACTTCTGTACGAGCTCAGTGGAAAAGCGAGGTGGCTGGTCATTGTAGCGCCGCATAAGAAGCCTGAGGTGAGCTGCCCGCTGGAGGTCCAAAGCTTATACTGATCGTGTTGCAGATCAAAGAGACGTGGGGATGGTCAAGATGGGATATCGCCTCCTGGAGTGCGGCCGGTAATGAAAAATTGTACGCGGGAAAGAAGACCAAAGTCGATGAAGATGATGAGGAAGAGACGGAGCTCGAGATTGTTCGTGACAAGTGAGTGCTTGTGTGATTGCGATCGGCTTGAATTGACTGTGTCGCAAGGACCAGGTTGAGGGTCTATCGTAGCAACGCCTTCTGATTTTCAAAAGGCAACCAGACCTGGACAGCGTATGCATCTGCCAGGCAATACGGTATTCACGACTCTCTGTGCAAGTCTTCCTTTGACCTTGCTGCTGCCCGCTCGCCCTCCATGGGCTCGGAATACCAGAATCAAGATAGCGAGCCTCACCTTCTGCAGCTATCTCAAGCCATGACAGCCATCACGAGGATGTTGAGACACGATGATACTGTATAGATGGGAAATTGTATTCATACATTACTGAAGTTTACTACAACTCTGAGGGTTCTCCGCTCAGTTCAAGCTCTTCAACTGCCATCTCCATCGAACCCGTTTGTTCTTCCAGCAGACGCTCCGTATCCAACCTGTCATCCAGGGGTATTGTGTTCTCATCTACTCCCCGCCCTTCTTCTAGGAACACTCTTCCAGCCTCTTCGTCGTCCGTCACCGCCGATTCCGCCGCCGAGGCAATCGGTATTTTCACTTGCTCCTCCTTCTCCTGTTTCACATCCCATCCCAGTTTCGCCCCCACGCCCCTCCCTACATCCCCCAGCTTCCTCAGCCCCTTCTGTTCCATCTCCAGTAAGGCCTCCGCCGAATCGCCGGCGCACATCACCGAGGATGCTATCAACACCAGCCCCACTAGCAGCATTGCTAGAGAGTACAGTGGCGAGCGTAGAGGGCGGCGACCGCTCTTTGCCGGTGGTAGGGAAAAGGGAGAGGGGGGATAGAGGTGCTTTGTGGAATACTCTGGGGCTGTGTACGACCGGTGTGCCTTGGGACGGTTGCGCTGGGTGCGCTTGGGATAGTTGGGATGGGAGGGGAGGAGGGCACTGCCATTGGCAGGAGGGGAGGAGGGGGTGATGATGACCCTCGGGAGGTCATAGAGGGGTTGGGCTGGTAGAGACATGGTCTCGAGCGTGTGCTGTACAAGTAGTTGGTGGGTGGAGGTAGATGGTACAGGGTGATACAGAGGCGCAGATGGTCGTAGGCGATAGAGTGGGGCAGTGATAGACGTCGCCGGCGATGGTGTAGGTGTTGATGCGACCAGCGCTGTATTATATACTCTGTAGAGGAAGCCCTGGTGATGAACGAGACGAGAGGACAAAGGAGATAAAGATGGACGGATGAGTGGTAAACACGAAAAACGAAAGGGGGGGTGACTGTAAATCCTTCTCGCTTTAGTTCCAGAACGCGCGCGGGAGGCCTCGATCACGGAATCACGGCCGCTACGGATCACACGGCACACTCCAACCTTAATTTGTCGGTAACCCTGTTTGTGTACGTAGCGTTCTGATCGCACCACAATTGCATCGGCAATCTCAGCCAATCTCATACGTCTCTGCCACGTCCAGATGCAGATCCAGCTCCGCGAGCCATGCTGCTGGGATGGGTATGCATTCAACATACCTTTCTTCTTCAAGGGCCCAACAGCTCTTCCGATCAAGGGCCCAACAGCTCTTCCGACAACTTTGTGGAGCATGTCGCGTTCAGCCACCGACATGTATGTCCCTGAAAACCCACTTTAAACGCAGAATCCCCGTACGCGACGCGTCAAACCAAGCTCCACTGGATCGCACTGGATCGCACTGGATCGCACTGGAATGACCTGGCCACTGGTCTCATGTGTCAGCAGTCAGCTGCCCTCGCCCCTCTTCCCTTGCGGCCTGGTCTTTTGTTGAAATGACAGCTGGCCACTGGCCGAAATGCACAATGCTAAAAGGTACAATTACAGGCGTATATACAGTAGCTACCTCTCACCCTTGCTTCTCACAGATAGGACACTGCTTCACCCTTACTCTCACAGCTGCCGCGTAGCCCAACGTCGACCCAAGAGCCCTAGTCTTCCACGCCTGACTACTGACTCCTCCACTCTTGTCGTTGCCCTGCAGGAGATATGTGACAGATGGGTTCTCCTGCCGTCGAGGCAATTCAACGTCCTCAGGCAAGACGCACGTGGCGTGGACGAGGTGGCGGCAGAGGTAGATGAGGGCGAGTTCGGGCTGTAGAGGATCGAAAGCTGCCTTAGAACATACGACGCAAGTACTCGTTGCTGCACTTGTAAGCACTCAGTCTCCGTTACACCTGCCAAACTCACAAGCAGCTTTCAAACTCCCCACTTGCGCCTTCTGCAGCTTCCCCATCAGTCCCGCACAATCCCCATTCAGTACCCTCTGACACCCCTCCAGCAACGACACTTGTAGATTCGATGCTTGTAGGATCTTTACCAGAGCGGGTTTCAGCCCAGGGATCTCCAGGCCGTCGCGGATACGCGAGATGAGGCGGATGGGATTGATCTCAGATCCGACGTGTTCCAACAGAGCGCGGATGAAGAGAGGTCGGGTTTCGGAGTATTTGAGGAGGTCTTCCCAGAGATCCTCGTCGGCTTGCTCTTTGGCAAACTCGATAGCCTAAGAGACGTCAGCCCGAGTCGTGTGTGTTTTCAAAGTCATCACTGACCCCTTGAACATCTCCCAGACGCTCGATCAACAGCATCAAAGCTTGCTTATTGTTGCCCATCCGGCCGAGTAAGAACACCATTTCAGACACATAGTCTCGCTCTTTGCAAACTTTGTAAGCCTTCTCCAGGTCATAAAAGTTGCTACCGCGCAAGAAGGGCATGAGCCTTTCGACATCATATGCCGCGTAGAGCTCGACCTATCGATCAAGTCAGCAAGCTTCCTCACAGAAGTCTAAAGAAAGGAACATACCATCCTGTCGCTATACGGTAGGCAGAACTGCGGGTCTTTGTCTAGTAAAGCGTCGAGATACATGTACAAAAAATTTGGCTCTACTCTCAATTGATGGACGACTCTGTCGATCTTGTTCACCACGTCAATGATTGCCACTTGATTAAATGTTCAGAAACTTACAGGTATTGAATGGACATGATCCACCAGCAACTTGATCGCTGCCCCGTGTTTACTTTTCTCGCCCGGGACAGCTTCTCCGTCATCCTTTTGTTCTTCAACTTTCTCCGCTTCACCCTTGTCAGCCTTCTCCTGCTCTTCCCTCTTCTTTGCCTCCTTTCTCTCCTCCTCAAACGTCACCAGCTGTATAGCCTGATCCTGCACTGCCCCAAACAGATTATGCTCCCTGATCAACTCAAAGACATAAGGCTTCCTCAGTCTCAAAAAGTATGGCAGCGCTTTGGCCGGGAGTCTGTTGATGAGATACAGCTCTCCAAGGGCGGAGAGAATAGTGGGGTCGTCGTTGGTGGCGTCGAGCTCGTTTTGGATGGATTCGATGAGGGTGGGGAGGTTGTAAATGTCGGTAGGCCAGGAGGTTATCGTCTTGACGAGAGCCTACAATATCGTCAGCTCGATTAGGTGCGTGTGTATGAGAGAAGGCGCTTACAGGCTTATCGTTGAGTAGCAAGTGGCTGAAGACTGTCTCATAGACAGGCTTACTGAGCCTGGGGTTCTTTGTGGGTATATGAGGTATGATGACCGGGAGTTGCTGATGTTGTACAAAGGTGTCTATCCACTTTTCCCAAGCAGAAACATCCTGCCCAAGGACCTTGTGCGCCAAAGCCGCAGCCTGATCGTAATGTTCTATAGCAGAGTCAGCGACTGGCCCGAACGATTTCGATAAAGCTCACCTTCATCGACCAAATGCTGCATATACTTGAGCCCAATGCCCGTCACATCCAGCACCCCTCCATGCTTCTTCCGCAGCTCCTCAGCAGCTTCCAACGCCTCTTCATACCGTTCCTTCTCCACCAACCATTCGACATGGTCGGCCTCGTCTCTCGGCCGTACTTCAATCACGTCCTGCGGACTGACCACCAGGAAAGCCTCGTCTCCAGACTTTTGGGATTTCACCAGGGTATAGTCATTACACCCGTACATGTGATAGTTTCCCAAGCTGAGAGCATCGGCGTTGATCTCCTCTCCCTTTTCGATGATCCGCAGTTCCGGCCTGTTGGCGGCTTTTCTCCGCTGCTCCATCCGGTCGTCCGTAGCTTCGTTCTCGTATCGATCCGGCGCAATGTACGCCAGAACGACATACGATCCACCGAACGGAGCAATGCCCGATATCATACAGTCCACCTGGTAGACAGCCGTCAACTCCACCGTCAGAGGGTGGAGGTTGCCCGATCCAGGCGCAGAGGGCCGGGAGCGGACACGGACAATCTTGATAAAGTCTGCCCAGCCGATGATAAGTGTGCGGTCGTCCTTCCATTGGAGGGTACACTTGAATAATTCGGCTCGAGGGGCGGAGAGGCCGCGGTCGATGAATCCTATGCGTTGGCCGGTGCTGGTGTCGTATATTTTGACGCCCTACTTGTTCATTAGCACACGCATAAGACGAGTGGGACTGACGTACGAGATCATTGGCCCATGCTATCAGATTCCCTCGCCATTCGATGGCCCAGATGGGTCCCTCGCCGGAATGCAGAACTTGCTCTTTGTAGCCCATCCAGCCTTTCTCTTGCAGTATGAGGTTGCCTGCCATGCCTCCGCAGACGAATGCTCTCGACTTCTTCTTCGCATAATCGGGCTCTAGCGCTATAGCTCGCATGGGCCGTTTATAGTCGAAGGCGTAGGATTCAGGCGTGGTCAAGGAATGTATGACGACCCGACCTAAGGTCGTTTGAGCAAGCGACTTGGGGCTGGAGACGGGACTCACCTTCGACACTTGAGGTCGCCACAAAGTCGTTACTCTCATCCATTCGCAAGCATGTCACACCGGCAGCGTGGGGCCGAAATGAGTTGACCTTGACGCCTTCGTAGCTCAGGACATGGACCATGCCGTTGTGCGTGCCCAGAGCCTGTGTGACCATCAGCACCATGGCATTGACTTCGGAATGGTCTTACGATGAATCTTGGCGATACAGATATAGTGGAAGCTGTGTCTTTGGCTAGTATCTCTGGTATACGACCTTTCAGCTTGCTGTACTTGAGCGCCCTACTCGGGTCAGCACTGCTTGCCCGTTGAGGTGACAAACTCACGGCTCTTCCTCTTCCTCATCGCTTTCCTCGTCACTGTCTTCCTCGTCCGACACTTCATCTGACGCATCTCCTGACTCGTCTTCTGATTCCTCGTCTTCATCCTCTCCGTGCCCCTCGTCTCCATTGATCGCGTCGTCACCGTGGCCGGCCCCATTTGCCTCTACTGACTCTTCTCCACTCTCTGACTCTGTGACGTCGTCTTCTTCATCCTCGCTCGAGCTTTCTTCCTCACTGTCCGCTTGATCTGAGGGTTCTTCCCTTTCCTTGCCCTTCGGAGATATAGGAGAAGAGGCTGCTGAGCGCGCAGAGGACCGTGATCGGAGCGACGGTGTCTTGGTGGAGGGCCCAGCTTCTGACTCCGCTATGTGATTCCGCTGCGGTATCACGGAGGAGGAGGAGCTGGCGACGCTGGCGGGGGCCATGGGGGGCTGTACGGGGTATAACTTGTTGAAAGCGTGTTCTTGTCGTTGTCGAAGGTCTCCATGACCCAATTCGGTCGCCCGCAACTGACGTCGGTGGTCGCCGAACGAGCGACCTTCTTGAATCTTGCTCGCTGCTGCATGCCTGTAGGACTCGAATCTCTTTTATCTTTCACCTTTCATTGTCATCATGTACCAGTTTCCACCCGGCCTATCCCTACACGATGCCTTCTTCTTCCTTCCCCCCGAGGTTCGCGCCATTGTCACCCACTGGTTCACCAATACTCCCTTCACCCAGTCCGACCTCGCTCGTATGGTCCGCATAAACAAGCACCACTACGCCCACTTCATTCCTGAGCTTTACAACGCCATCTCACTAGACCGGCAAAACTGCGAGACGTTCTTCTACCCCTTGATCAACGATACTCATGATCCTCGAGAAGCCCTAGATCGCCACAGATATAGTCTGACGGAGGAGTGGTCGAAGGTGAATCACGGTGTGACTTTCATCCCCAACGCCGCTGTTCGAAAACTCGCCTGCCTCAGCTGCGTCCAGAGGGTGGTGCTCGCCCATACCGACGCCGTTATGCGGTGCAAGGAGGCTGCTGAAATCGCATGGTACTTTAACGAGAGTGACGAAAGCTCTGACTCGCGAGGAATGGCCTACAGCAACAGCAAGCTATTCCCGGCCGCCCAGTGGCTCGCCTTTGGTGACCAAATCACTCAAAAACTGAATACCTACTTCAATGTATGGATGGGCCCCGTCATCGACCTTTGTGGGAGTGAGATGCTCCCTCCAGTAATTCGTGCTGGCATCTCAGTGTGCTTCCATACAAAGTCTTCTCACAAGCTGGGATGGGAGGATGACGTTCTGAGGAAGTTCAGCATCCTTTCGGACGTCAAAGACGCATCGCTCCACAACATGTACCCCACCTTTGTCCCCTGCAACTTGGAGCAATTTGAGCGTCTTCGTGTCTACCTACCTCAGGAGAAGCCGGAAGGGGATGCAAGTGTAATAATCGAGGAATGGATCAAAGCACTTCGCGACGTTGTGACTAGTGCTATGTGAGTCAAGGTCAGCCAGCCACTGATAAGAAGCTGACCAGGTTTCTCATGTCAGTCTCTGGATGGCACGCCGTGGCTTTCGAATTGACATCTACAATACTGACATTACGGACATACGGGCGATACTAGCCAATCTCGAGGAGACGCCTGAGCGAGTGGAGCTTTGGAAGGAGATTCTGCATCTTCATGACTCGTCTTCGGTGGAGTCTTGTCCGGGGTGTGGAGGTATATAGAGGAGGGAAGGTTATGTCAGTACAAGAATCAGTAAGTAAGACGTGCTGTCTGATCAGGTAACGATGCTCATCTGAACAGTAGATTTTTCGAACTACCCTATCACGCCTACCCCTCGCAATTGCTCGCTCGACCCAAGACATCTGTTGACTCTCGACATGTGCCAGGCCTCCAACACACACATCGACCCCGGCGGAGAAGTTTTGGGAGACTGAAGAACGGCGCGGAGAAAGTGTTTAGAGACACCGCGCCGGGTTCCACAAGACCGATGGCTGTGGTCATTTGGCCGCTCTTGTTGTATGGGGTGAACATGGTAGCTGCATAGCTGTTATGCATATGGCACATGCTGTCTACCTAGCAAAATCCTACGTCTCTGTAGTCGATGATGGAAAGGCCTGGGCTTCGGCTCTATGTCGGCGATGGACGGGCAGGGAGTATGACAAATTTACCGGATGGTGACACAGGCGTTGGAGAAGACGGGGAGAATGAGGACGGAAAATCGATGTGAGAGATAAGACGAAAGCAAGGCGTAAAGATGTCACCCCTCAGCGAGAGATTTGATCCTCGAAATGCCATTCTCCGGTACTGCCACGCTGTTATGGCGAGGGCCCAGATACCCGGGGGCAAGCTAGCCGAGGACCTCAGGCTACAGGCGGGCCTTTCCGCTCTCAAGTATCACAAGGACGGCTTGAAGAAGGAGTGCGGAGCGGGAGACTCCCGGGCACCCAGTGCAGTTCATTGCCAACCCCTCAGTTGCGCCCAAAGGGTGGTACTCGCTCACTCCGATTCTATTACACGGTGCAAGGAGGCTGCTGAGGTGGCAGAGTACTTGTACGACCATTGTCCCAAATCTGCCTTCTTATCAAGCAAGTCTGGCAGCTCCAAGCTGTTTCCAACCGCACAATGGCTCGTGATTGGCGAGCAGAATACTCAGAAGCTGGACAACTACAGCGAGGCATGGTCATCACTTGTCGCCTAGATGATCAGCCTGGAGTGTTCCCCGTCGGCATATCAATGAGCTGGCGGGTGAAGCCTTCTCAGAAGTCGGCATGGGTCAACGATACTCTCCACCAGATGGGTCAGATTCACAGAGACATGTCGATACGTACACGGTAGAGACCCAGACTTCCCGCTCGAGCTGCACCTGGCTAAACACCTTCGCTACTACCTACCCCGGGCGGAGCGGCAGGCAGAGGAAGACAGGCCGATCATCGAAAACTGGATTGGGGGACTCAACGACGATGAGAGTAAAGTGGAGTCAGATCCACCGCGTCACTTATCAATCAACACGGCTAACCATCATGTTTCTTATCTTTACTATCTCAGTGAAGAGGCAGCACGCCCCGACTTGCGCCTCGATCTATACAATACCTGCACTACCGACACCAAAGCGATACTGGCAGAATTTCTCGAGCCTGACAAGGTGAATCTCTGGGAGAAGGTTTGCACCTGCATGACTCGTTCTCTGTGGAGCGGTGTCCTGGGTGCGGTGGCACGTAGAGGCAGTAGGGGTACGCTGGTGCTCTCGGACCCCGTAGGAAGTGAGACCGCTGCTGTCGGTGGACCGACTCAAGCTTATACAAACAGTGTCCCCTTCAATCTGTCAAAGCCGCCAACGCCTAGCGATCTAGTCGTACATCCAAGGGTGACCTCCTTTTTCGCCTCTTCTCTTGCCAAAGACCGTGTCCAAATCTTCCAGCTTTCTGGTTATCTGCCGTTGACTGATTGATATTCTTCTTCGTGTTGCTTTTTGGCTGGAAATGTAAGGTAAACATAATCATATAGCCTCTCCCGCGACACAGACGACTCTGCTGGCGCCCTCCTGTTTGATTGTACTCGTACTGATGAATGTTGTCCTATCCTACCTGCTGCCTTGTTTCTACATGCTCTTGACCTATACCCCTTGCATATTTTTCACGCCAAATATATGCCAATACAATATATGCGTATGTTTGTATAGCTGATAGAAGTCCGAGTTCGGTCCGATGTTCCTTCGCGAAGTCAAAGTGAAGTTTGATTTCCCGCGCATCTCCTCTTTCTTTCGCAATTTACTTCTCTCGTTGTAAATTTCTCGGGACAAGGGGCATCCCAGGCATCACCATGTCAGCTACGCCCCCCGGAAACATCAAGCTTCCGTCCAGGCCCACCCCAAACGACATTCTCGGGGGGTCGGCCCTGGCAGTCGAAACCCCATCCCCCGCCCACGTCCACGGCTCCAACCTCGATACCGCCTCCCCCAACGACGCGGGGTTCTCGAGAGGGACCGTTCCCCGCCCCAAGGGCCACTCCAGAGCATCAAGGCCAAGTTTTGGAAGTTACGGAAGAGGGCATCGACTGGCTAGCAGCCGCGGCACCCCGGGTGGAATCGTGGACGAGCTGCTCGATGAGGTGGAGGCAGCTCCCAAGCTGCCCAGTCTCGTCCCCGGTATCAGGCCTGCCTATTCTACGCCTCTCCCGGTGCTCCCTATTGCGGTGCTATGTATCGTAGGTGCGATAAGCCTCTACTTTGACCTAGTTGTTGACGCGTTTGTGCGCAGGCGATGTCGTCGGAAATGCTAGCGGCGAATCTGTGCACCCCCTTCATCCTCAAGCAAGTAGAAGGTATGTTTGACATGAGACTGTATCCAGACCTTCGCTGACTAGAACGTAGGCTTCTTCTACAGTGCCGGTCACGAAAAGAGCAGCGACACCGAGGCGGCCGTTGGTCTCTGGACCGGCAATCTGGTCTCCGTATTCTTCATCACCCAATTCCTCACTTCCTTACTGTGGAGTAGTATCGCGGACCGACACGGTCGACGTGCTGTGCTTGTCGCGAGCTTGCTGGGAAGCTGCATCGCGTTGGTTGTATTTGGCACTTCTGAATCTGTCGGTCCAATAGCCCCCAGTAAATATCCTGCTAACACCCTCTTAGCTTCCAGAAGCTATCTGTGTCCGACTTGTGCAGGGAATCTTCGGAGGAGCCGTTGGAGTGGTGAGTACACGTATAGTGAGGTGGGATCGAACCGGCTAACTTTGACCAGTTTCGAGGCTCTATTCGAGACTTGACAGACGAGACCAATGCGTCCAGGGCATACGCCATGTTGGGCTTCGCTTGGAGTTTGGGTGGCGTTCTTGGTCCCCTGTTCGGAGGCGTACTGGAGAGTCCTGAGTATAACTACCCGGGCACATTCTTGGCTCGTGTTGGTGAGTCTCTTCCATTGAACCACGAATTTGACTTACCCGTACCTAGTACTCTTCCAAGAGTTCCCTTATCTGCTCCCAACCCTTGTAGGGGCCACCATCCTCTTCACTGGCGCCGTACTCTCTTGCTTCCTCTCTTGGGATGGTGGTGTTCGAGGCGGTCGACGAATCGAACTCCAAGTCGAGAAAGACGAACCTCTCGTAGCCCCTTCATCGCCTGATGTCGTACAACACTCCTCCCCTGCCCCCTCCAGCCGCACCGCCGTCCGCATTCCATCTACCAATTTCAGACGAGGCGTCACCTCGCCCGGAGAAGAAGAGATGGCGGTGTCTCATGGCGGTGGCTACCCTGAGCTTGGAAAAAGTGCGGGTACGCGAAGGGACAGCCGTGCGAGTGTGGGAACGGCCTATGGCTATGGTGGTATCCGATCCAAACGTCCTACTCTTGCAGCTAGGGCTGCCCTCGAAGCGGCAAGGCGGGTGTCTACTGCTGTCCACCGGGACGACAGCGATGATGAAGAGGACGTCAAGGGCAACAAGGCTTTGCGAGTCGCTCAAAAGCTCCTCCTCGCCAACGAAGAAAACACTTTCAATATCAACGACCTCTGGGTTTCTGCAGCTGTTGCTCAAGACACCGCTGTCTTTGACGACGAGGAAGAGGAGACTGAAGAGGAGCACGAGGAGGATGACGAGCTGCTCAATGATACTTCAGCTGCTGCTTCACCTTCCGTCGGCGGTGCTTCGCCTTCGGTCTCGGAAGACCATCGTGGTAGCTTGGGGTTTGGCCTTACGCACCGCACTGGTCGAGTCACTAGCATGGGAAACATGTCGCTCCACCGAAACCTCCCTGGCCACCGACTGTCTATGTCTGGCAGACGTTTCAGTACAACTTCGGGTCACATGCCTGCCATTTTCTCCAACACTGGCGTACGAACCCCACCTGCCGTTACCGCTGCTTACAACGCCGAGTCGCCAAGGACCGAGGTGGACCCCTTCTTCCAAGGCTCACCTGCTCCAGAGCATCGTGCGCAGGGCGGCCTCGCTGCCATCGCTGAGGCTGGAAGTAACGCCGTGGACACTGCTGTAACGCAAGTGTCTGAGAAGATGCCTTCGTCCTTTGCTCTCTTGCCCGTCCAGATGATTGTCCAGTACGGTCTTCTCGCCTTGCACAACACCATCCACGACCAAGTCTTCTTGTCTTTCCTCGTCACGTGAGTGACCTTTGAGCGTTCTTTGATAAAAGCTGATGTCGTGCAGTCCCTACAAGTCTGGCGGTCTTGGTCTCAACCCTGCGCACTTCTCGCTCATTATCTCTCTTATGTGCTTGTGTCAGCTCGTCTACCAATTCTACCTGTATCCCCGTCTCGGTCCTCCCCTTGGTCGATTCACCCACCTGCAGATGTTCAGGATCGGCTGTGCGCTCTACGTGCCTTCTTACTTGTTGTTGCCGCTCTTGCACAAGGTGGCCTCGGCAGAGTCTGAGGGTGGGTTCTTGTTGATGGTCGGCTTGGTGATGGTGACCGCTTTGAGGTACTGTGCTGGTACTTTCGCCTACACTTCCGTCATGGTCCTCATCGTGAGTTTTGTTGCCCCGTCTCGCACCCATGCTAATATAGCATTTATAGAACGCCATGTCTCCGCCTCAAGTTGTCGGCCTATCCAACGGTCTTGCTCAGAGTACCGTTTCGTTCTCCCGATTCTTCGGTCCCGTCATCGGTGGCGCCGTGAGTTCTTAGCTCTCTTCATGGTATCTGTACTGACTATGTTGTCAGGTCTGGAGTGCCAGTATCAACGGCAACCCCAACGGTTACGCCTTCGGCTTTTACTTTGTCACCATCGGCTGTGCCATCCAATGCGCGCTGTCTTTGTTGATCCGTTAATCTGGTGGGCGTATCAAGGAGAGCGAGGAGCGATAGAGGCATTCGGAAGGGGAAAAAAGGAGATCGAATCACCCGTCCAGGACGGCGCATCACATTGTACGATTTTAACGACAACATCCATTGATCACGCTAGACGACTTTCTCTTTCTTGCTAGACGTGCTACATCCTTGTGTCGAGTTCTTTCATGTAGCACAATGAGCTTTTAGTTTGCATTTCCCAACTTGACATAGTCGATGCACGCTTGTATGTCAGACCATGGCCCCTCGTATGAGAGGCTATCAAGTCACTCATATAGACTGGACACTGTGCACCATGCATAATGATGCATATACTACAGAAAAGTTGTATCGCTGCCCGAAAGACTTACACCACCTCAATCTTCGCCCGCGCCTGCAACACGTCCGGCGTAAGGTTGTACAGCTCATCGATGAGAGCCGCACGGAAAGTCCCAGGACCCTTCACGTCAGACCTGACTCCGGCAACCTCAGCCGCTATAGTATACACCAATACGCTGCCACCCCTCCATCAGCCCAAGTGTAGATACTAGATACTGGTTTGAAGACGACTTACCCGGCCACAGCAGCGCCCAGCATATCACCCTGCACCAACTGACTCTCCTTCTCCCACTCTTCCCCGTGCTTGGTGATGTGCGCCGTCCTAGCAGCACCCGCAAAGCAGGCAATAATGGATCCGAGCTGACAGCCGGACCCGGTGATGCACTGGAGATAGTGATGACCATTGCTCAACTTGAGGTTCGTCACGCCGTCAGAGATGTAGTCGTGCACACCAGTGAGAACGACAATGGCAGCTTGTACATCGTAAGCACACATGGACTGACACGGTCACCGTAAATCAGACATACCTCTGGTTCGAGCGAGAGCTTTGACGATAGCTGCAGGGTCAGAGAAGCCGGGCCCAGCGGCATCCACACCTTTACTCGTGACTTCAGAAGACTTTGCCATGTAGCCGATTTCACCGGCGTTCCCCTTGATGATTGTCGGTTGCCAATGGGATAAGAGCTCTGCTTCGAGTCAGCTGAGGTGCTCATGGACATGCAGGGGACAAGGAGAGGCCTACCGAGTGATGTCTTCTGGCGATAGGCTGTTGCTCCTATAGCGACAGGATCGAAGACTATGGGTTTGCGGTTGACATTCGCTTGTCTGCCGGCTACCAGCATACCCTCTTTGTCCGTAATGGTCCTATGGTGGTGGGTGAGCACTCTCACGGCTGAGATACGAGCTTGCAAGCCTACCCAAAGTTGATCAAAAGGGCGTTGATAGCAGGGCTCAGATCGTGGACGTCTCGAGGCTGGGTGGCCATGATTGGGGAAGCACCGACAGCGAGGGTCACATTGGCGGAGTCGTTTATGACAACATTGTTGGTCATCTATCCATTGAGTAAGCATTGGATCCATGGCGATTTGGCAGGACGTACCTGGTTTACCAACGGGTTTGTGTCCTTGACCACGCCCATGAGCTCCACCGCTCGCTCTACAAAGTTTCCCACGCTCCTCCCGGGCTTGTAGAGAGTCGAGCCGAAAGCAGACTCGAGACTGGCATACTGCTTACGAGCTCGCTTGAACGAGTCGGTCACCGCTCTCAAGCTTTGAGCGGCCTCGCGAGGAGTCTTGGACGCGACGATATCAGAGATGATGGCGACACCATCAAGCGCGTTGCGGGAGTCGGGAGAGATAGATGCGTGCAAGAGCTGCGCGAGGTTGGGGAGGTGGATACCGCCTTTACGTGTCAGACGATAATTCCCAAGCGGGCCGAGAGAACACTCACCGATAGCGACACTCTGGATCCCGGTAGGAGCAAGTAGATCCAAGATTTCACCCACGCCATCGGGTCCCAGCATCTTCTTCTTCGAGACATCCTTGCTACCAGTGGGCCAGACGGCTCCGATACCCACATAGTCGACGCCTTGCTGGATGGCTCGCTGAGCTTCGGCGACATTGCCGACAGAGAGACCGATGATGGCATCGGGGCCTACCAGGCTGCGCGCAAGGCCAATGGGGCAATCGCTCTGGCCGACGTGGATACCAGCAGTGCCTGCAAGGCGATCAGAACTTTTGGACACAAGGACCAAGACCGTTTGTGAACGTACCGACAGCAAGATGAACGTCAATGCGGTCATTGATGAGGACAGGGACGTTGTACTGGTAGACGGTCATTAAAATTTCTTCGTTAGTTGGATACCTCGCACCTTGTCGCATATAGCCTTGGTCTTTCTGGCGACATCGATAAACTACTGGACATTAGGAACCTTGCAACATATCTGGGGAATACATACGCACCTCCCCGGTATCGGAATTCTTCTCTCGAACTTGGACGAGAGTGACACCGCCTTGGAGAGACTATGCCTCTTGGTAAGTGGAGCTAATTAAGATGTAGCTATATACGCACTTCTTCGAGGCTTTCGTAGTAATCCTGTGAAGCAAAGTATCAGCATGTAGCTCAATGTCAGCCTCTTTAGAAGACGTACCTTGCCAGGGGGGAGCAATTCCCTGCCGGTGACAAGGTAGAGCGAGTAGTCGAGGGTGGCTTTGGGCATATCAATGAGTTGTAATAGTTGCAAGTAGAAGCAGCAAAAAGATGTACCACGGCGGCTGCATCTCGGGTCTCCGCCGGCACACCGAAATCACATAGTGCTGACGTAAAAGAGAGAACCAAACAAGGCGGCGCTTCCCGCCTCCGCGCACCGCCTCAGCCGAAATAAATAAATCCATCCATCGCAACATTTCATGCGAATCCAATTATTCGCCCCCTGAGAATTCCCTACAAACAGCGCGTACCCCCTGCGCTGATCCCGCAAACCGGCGTCACTTTTCCTTCAGGTGGACTAACTATGGACCTAGACCGGGGCTATTGGCTGCGGTGCGACTTTGGCACGCAAATTACTCACTTGGTCGATGGTTCATGGCTTGGCTTGGCTTGTTATGATGTATGGTATCGATTTCTTCTTCATCCTTATTCTCTCACACCTCTTTTGTCCCACCACCCGTCCACCTCTCCCTGCTTTTCGCCCAGCGGGCCACCACTCTCCCTTCTAATCTCCAGCAGTTGACCTGCTTCGCATCCTCACACTTGTCCCAAGAGCCGGCTCTTAACATCCTCCCCAAACAAGCTCTGGCAGCTTTTCAGTCCGTGCCCAACGCACACCACTGTACACGTTCCATCCACCCATACTCTTCCCACCATGGTCTCCTCTCCCGCCGTCTTTGTCCTCTCCCTTCTCCTCGCCTCCCAATCCGCCTTCGCCGCCAAAGCTACCGCCCCTCCGGGGCGTCATCGACACCCTCGAGGCTTCCGGCAGGCCCTTGAAGAGCGAGAACTTGATGAGAGGCTGTTGCCTATCACGGCGACGACGACTATCGTGGTTCCCATGACGGCTACTCATACTGTTTGGGTAAACCCGACCGGTGGCCAGGTTGTTTTTGGCGATGGCGGTGATGATGAGGTATCGAGCTCGGGCAGTGTTGTTTCGTCGGCGAGCGAGAGCTCTGTTTCCTCTTCCTACACCGAGTCAAGCACGGAGCCGACTGCCTCGGCATCCTCTGCCTCCCTGTCATCATCCGAATCCCTTTCCTCCGCCTCTGAAACCCTTTCGGCCTCATCCTCTCTTTCCGAATCTTCTACTGCTTCCGCCTTTGTTGGCGCAGCCACAAATTATTCCTCCATCGCCGAGCCCACCGCATCCAGCTCTTCTTCTCTCTCTCCTTCGGCATCCGCCACAGAGACTATCACCTCATCCTCCATTGAACCCTCCTCTACACAGGCGTCGACAAATTCGAGCTCTTCTTATCAAGAACCGAGCTCTTCGTCGGCTAGTGCGCCCAACAGCACCGTCCTGTCTGAGGCTGAGAGTTCTGCGACCGAGACTGCTAGTTCCAGTGCGTTTGTGACGGCCAGTGAAAGCGAGAGCACGGGTGCACCCTCTGCGAACGAGACCAGCTCTAGCTCTAGCAGTACGATTTCCGAGGAGCAGTCGGCTACCCTCACCGACTCCTCTTCTTCCTCCGCGCTGCCTACCGAGTCTGCTTCTCAATCCGCCAACTCGTCCAGCGGGGCTGTCTTGGCTGGCGCTCCCAACTCTTCTACCGCTTTCGAGCCCTCGGCTACCCTCTCTGAGGTCTTGAACAGCTCTGCGTCCGCTAGCGAGACTGCCTCTGCCTCCAACTCGAGTCTTGAGACTACCGCTTCTGCTACTGAAAGCGCCACGTCTTCTTCTTCTGGCTGGTGGTGGTGGCCTACGGCTTCATCCTCTGCTTCCGCCTCCGAGACCAACTCTACTTCGGCGAGCGCTTCTCAGACTGAGTCTGCGTCCGAGTCTTTGAGTACTTCTGAGATCAACTCTACCTCAGCGACTGTTTCCCAGACCCAGTCTTCTTCCGAGTCTTTGTCTAGCAATGTGTCGTCTACGGCTACAGAGTCGGCTACCGACTCTTGGTCCGAGTCTATCTCTTCCACTCCTACCGCCTCTGCGACTCAGTCCAGCTCCTCTACTGCCAACGCCTCCTCTACAGCGTCCTCCTCTTCTTCCGCTTCCTCCTCCACCTCTACCCTCGGTACCAACCTCATGCTCGGATACTACCCCGACTGGGCGACCAACATCACCCCCGAAGACGTCGATTGGGACAGATTCGACATGCTCGACTTTGCTTTCGCCGTGCCCGACTCGGCTGGTGGCTTGACTTGGGACGATGACAGTGCTACCGACACTCTCACCAGGCTTGTCACCTCTGCGCATAGCGCCGGCAAGAAGGTCAAGCTGTCTGTTGGTGGATGGACCGGATCAGCCTACTTTTCCACCCTCACCGCGAGTGACTCTTTGCGAGCCACCTTTGTCTCCAACATCTTGGACTTGTACGACGAGTACGACCTTGATGGTATCGATATCGACTGGGAGTACCCCGGTACGGGTGGTGCAGACGGTAACGCCGTGTCCTCCGACGACTCTGCCAACTTCCTTACGTTCCTCAGGGACTTGAGGGCAGCTTTGCCGAGCGGGGCGATCATCACTACTGCTACGCAGGTGTGGCCTTTCGCCGATACCGACGGAAACCCCATGACGGATGTGACCGCGTTTGCCGAGGTGATTGATTGGATTTTGATCGTAAGCCCTCTCTTGTTTATGGAATTTGAACATCGCTGACGTCTTTCAGATGAACTACGACGTTTGGGGTTCTTGTGAGCTTGGTCGTGTACCGAGATAAGTAAAGATTGAAGCTGATCTGATGTAGCCACCACTCCCGGTCCCAACGCTCCTCTCTCCGACGGGTGCAGCAACTCTACTCAGCCGCTGGCGAATGCCTACGCTGCCGTGTCTTCTTGGACCTCCGCCGGTATGCCCGCCGACCAGATCACTCTTGGTGTCCCCGCGTATGTCTACTCTTCCATCACAACATCGTCCGGACTGACATCTATTGCCAGATACGGTTACCTCCAAGACTCAACCGCCTCTTCTCTTATTCAACGTCGATCCGTCGACACCACCCAATCTCTTCCTCACAGGCGTCACGCCATGAGCCTCAAGAACAAACACCGAAAGCGACCCAGCGATGTCACCGTCACGAACGAGGATGGCGGTATCAGTGACGGGCAGGTCATGTGGTACAGTCTTCTCTCGCAAGGGGCGCTCACGTTGGTGGATGGATCGTATGTTGGTGACGGAGGGTTCACTAGGCACTGGGATAGCTGCTCTAGCACTGTATGTTCTCTTCTTGGACTTTGACGGATGTGGACGCTGATAGACATTAGCCCTGGCTCAAGTCGAGCTCCTCCGGGCAGATCATCACATACGACGATCCCGAGTCCATGAACCTCAAGGCTCAGTTCGCTGTCCAAGCAGGTCTCAGGGGTTGCAACGTTTTCTCTATCGATGGTGACTACACAGGCTCCGCCTGGCCTTTGACCGATAGTGTTCGAAGTGGTATGGGGTTGTAGAGACGATCCTACCATTAGGATTGAGAAGAGAAAGAACCGACGAGTCATTGATCTGTTTCATCTTGTCTATAATTTAGTAGGGATATTTGAGAGACCTTGATGGTCTGGGGGACATTGTTATACTACACTTAATGAATACCATATACCATACACATATACATACACAATGCATAGCTTGAACACTGGAAGCAAGACTGCCACGTTCAAGGAATGCGGGCTGTTTGACTGATTTTGGACCCGTGCCTAGGAGATAAGTGCAATCAGTTCATCCCGCGTTTTTCTTTTCCTTCTGTTTTCCTTCTCGTTCACATTCAACAAACCTCGCGTCAGTAACAATGTCCAAGCAATTGATCGTCTTTGACTTCGACTGGTCTTTCGTGGACCAGGACACCGACCGATGGGTCTTTGAGGTGCTCTCTACCGAGCTCAGACGGCTGTTGCAGACTCGAAAGTCTGGGGGTTCGCAATGTACGCCCGATGTTGTGTGAGTCTTCTGTTTCGCACGTGTACCATGTAAAGTCTGGCTGCTAGGGTCCCGTGAGAATGTTGAGCCCACATTATAGTGCAAGAGGAGATATGTATACCGGCATGAAAACCATGGCTAATTATTCGAGTATAGCAATGACACCATGAAGGACCTTTACGAACGTGGTTTCAAGAAGGAGCAAGTCCTTGAGGCTCTCCGAATCCTCCCCTTCGTACGATTCTCCATTGCCATGTCCTGGAAGATCAATGCTGATCACGAACATAGCACCCTGCCATGAAGCGTGCGGTTCTCGCCTACAAGGGACGTGACGCCAACAACTCTCTCTTGTGTTTGTCCAACTCCAACGAGGTGTACATCTCTACCATCCTCGAGGTGAGGATTCATGCCCCAAGAAGGCACTCTGTAGCTTACAGTGATTAGAAACACGGCCTCACCGACCTCTTTGCCGACGTGATCACCAACCCTGCCCACTGGTCCGAGTCTGCCCCTGACCACCTCATCATCGGCCGTCGCCTTCCTGCCACCGAGCCTCCTCACGGCTGTACTGTCGGATGCCTCGCCAACATGTGCAAGGGTGACGAGCTCTCAACCTACCTCGCGGCCCACGGTGGTATCGACAGCTTCAAGAAGATCGTCTATGTCGGAGACGGAGGCAACGACTTCTGTCCGTTGTTGAGGATGAGGAAGGGTGACTGGGCTTGTGTCAGGAAGGGTATGGAGTTGGACGGTAGGGTCAAGGAAGAGGGTGCCAAGAGTGGGTTGGTGGCAGAGGTCAAGTACTGGGACCAGGCTTGGCAACTCGATGAGTGAGTTGAAGTACCGTTCTGCTGCTGCTATACTGACGTTGGGACAGATACTTCTCCGAGCTCTAAAATATTCGCGGGGATTCCTTTCGTATTCGGTTTCAAGGGGTTTTGGGGTAGAGTAGCATAGACTGATCATCACGAGCACATGCAACATGTCCACATCTTGCACTCCTCTTCCTCTCCTTCTCGAGTTTTCGTCCCGTCCTTCTCATAATCCCTCTGGGTGACCAAAATGCATACATACAAAATTCAGTATCTCCGAATGAATCCATCTATATTTGGTAGCCCTTTCCGTCCCGAGCCTGGTCATGCAAAGCACTCCAGATACCCCTCGCAGACTCTGTAGCCGGCGCCGCTTCCAAGGTTGTGTTTTTGAGGTGCTTGACCTTGGCACCAGATGAATTCAGAAGGATATCAACCTGTGAGATGAATTATAAGTACGCATGCTCTCGGTATCGGCAGGAATCTACCTACCTTCTTGTTCACTTGGTTGACGTCTAGTCTGTTCACGCAGATGACTTTGTCTCGTCCGTTCACTAGCCCATTAATGTCAGTATCTGTCCGCTGTACGTATCTGCCCCGTTGCAAATGCAAAGAGCTGCTGAGCAAGGTACTGCAACGCACCATAATGACCCCGTAAGACCGCACTCTTTCCCCTCTTCACTCTCCTCACGACGACTTCAACATCCGGATTTTGCCTTGCCAGTTCTATCAATGGCTTTGTAATCCACGACCTGCTCGTCAAATCAGCTTTATCCCTTCTCTTCACTGCAAGAAACCTTACCTGACACCGTCTTGAGAGGGCGCCTCGGCGTCATAGTCCACCACCAATTTTCTGAGCGGGGTGAGGAAATGTTTGTAGCCCTGGACCGGGGCTGTTCTGGGGATGGTGTTGAGGACAGGGGTGCAGCGGAGCATCGTTGTGGACTTGGGCGTGGAAATGTATAGAGCGAGAGTCAAATGTCGAAATGTCGAAGAGAATGCGTAAATGGGGGGTGGAAGTGGAATGCGCTTCTCTCCTCTATCTTTTGCCGCTCATTCTTCAATTCTTCGTTGTTTTCATTACAACTCTCCTATATCGCCTGCATGATGGCGCTCCCGCAAGAGATTCTCCCCCAACACCCCTCCGACCCGCTCCTCCTTCTCCCAGTTCCCAACCCTCTACCGCCTACACCAACTCCGTCCTTACCATCCCTCCTCGCAGCCCTCGCTCCTCACCTCACCCCTACTGAAGTCGAAGAACTGGAGAAAGTCCCCATTCCGGTGTTGACCTCTACTATTCGCCAATTCACTCGGCATTCACAGACATTACTGAATGCTGCCCGGGCGGGCGTGACGGAAGCGAGAGAAGAGTTGGACGAGGTGGATGTGAGATTGAGGGAGGTAGAGTATGAGAGGGAGAGAGTGAGGGAGGAAACGGAAAGATGTGAGGAATACGCGTAAGTCTGAGCTTGGTCAGATAGATGAGATCAGCCGGCTGACGTAGAAACAGACAGACACATGGAGATGTAGAGCTGCCGGATGTCGAAACCTTCTTGAGTAGTGTGGACCAAAGTGTACTGGATGGTCTGCGTGAGTCCAAGTACCCTTTGCTAATGTCCCAGCTCATTCGAATTCAGCGCCGAAAGAAAGCGAGTCGTACGAACAGACCCTGGGGATTCTACGCCTAGAACACGAACTTGGAGAGATCCTAAAGTAGGTCACTCGTATTTTATCAAAGTAGACTCAGACTAACGGGTGTCACAGGCGAGAGGCGCAAGTTGCTCAGATCACAAAAGAACGAGATGCGTACATTAAAGCCAAGAAGGAGATCAAAGTCAAGTCAGACGCAGTGGATGTTCATCTTGCTCAATTTGCCCGGGTACGTCCCATCTCTTACTCTCTCCATCAGGTCAATACTGATGAGGAATAGACGACGAACGCTGTAGGCAGCAAAGTACGGGACGTTGCCGAGGTCCAGGCGCCGAACACATCCTCCCTCTAGAAGAGTTGTATAATATCACCCCGCATCGTGTATCACCAGCATATCCCAAGAGATCTACACGGATCACAATGCATTGTTGTGCAAAAATGGTTTCACAGAAATTCAATCTCTATAAAGACAAACTATCAACAAGGGGATGAAAACTAAGAGATACAACTACGCTAATCATTCTTCTCTCTTGCTTTCCCATATCTATTCCCCGATCTAGACTTCCTTCCAGGGAAACTCTGGCCCCCACCCAACGCCCCCATCCCCAAGCCCAATCCCACCCCTTCTCTGACTCGGGTCACAAGCTCCATCTCCTCCCTCCGCCCCTTTGCCTGCTCTGCCGACGAACCTCGACGCGAATCATTCAACGGTGCCGCTGTTCGCCCCGAGGCCGAAGAGTCTACTGAACTCCTCCCTCCACCACCTCGTGCCGATACGCCCGATCCAGGTAGAGGCGTGATAGGGGACACCCCACCTCCCGGGCTTGACAAAGGCGCCATATGTGGTGGCGGGGGCGCAATGGTGAATAACGAGCTCAGGCGATTCGCCAGCGTCGAAGAGGTCTGCAGGGGGGTGGTAGCTTGTGGCGGACGAAGACGGACCATTGTCTTGCTCTTGTGCTTCCCCGGATCTGCTGACGATGCCCTCAGTGGAGGCGGCAGCGTCGAAAGATCGGGGATGATCGATGGCCCCTGCTCTCTTCCTAGCGTCAGACTCGCCCGTCTTATGATACCCTCTGTAGAATCATCTCTTTCGCTTTGTATGACCCGATCGAGGTCTTGAGACGAGCGTGAAGGAGGATCAGGGGGGCGCCGACGGGGGAAGGGTCGGAGCTGGGAGGAGGGCATGCGAACAATGTCGAGCACTCTGGGAGTCTTTTGCGGGTCGTGCCCCGACTCGTCTGCTTCTTCGACTTCTCCATTAGGGTAAACATGTGAATTGTTGGGCTCCTCTTTGCCTTTTCCCTTGTTTCTCTTTGGATGAAGCGTCACTTGCCCTTCCCCCGGGCCTCTTGCCAGTGTCTCGCTCGCCTTGTTCCATCGACAGGCATCGAGGGGGACGTAGAGGTGACTCCGGACGTGGATAGGATCGGTAGCCCAGAGTTTGTTGGCTTTGCGTAATGTAGTGAGCTGTTTGGGTTGTGAGTGCTATACACAACAATGTAAGGAGGGGACCCACGTCGATGCCATATAGAAGCGCTATGCCTGCTAGTGACTCGTGAGGCTTGACACCGTGTATCAGAACTTCAACCTCTCCTCCCCCGCCTTCAGGCTCTTCCATCGTCATTCGGAGCACATCCAGACTCCCCCTCCCACTACCCCAATCACTCCATTCACTTCCTCCATTACTGCTTTCGGCGACTTGTCGTTCGGTCTTGGACGTGGCGCGCTGCAGCGCCGGTCTTGTATCAATCAAGGTCGACGGCAGGTTCGGCGTGGCATGAGATAAGGGGTGCGGCAAAGGCGAGGAGGAGGCATTCCGGGAGGGCGAGGGAGAAGCAGAAGGGGGGGAGGAAAGGAGTGGTGGGGTGGAGAGGAGAGATGTCTTGGACGCTGACCGCGAGGACGCGGCCGTCGACGAGCTGGGGAGTGTCGAGCTCGAGGCCATACCAGGCGTCCGACGTCTCACCACGCCATTTGTCTGCTCATTGCCCCCTACAGATGAGGAACCGCTGCCCAATACCGCCTCCCAGGCAGCGGTATCCGAGGACTGCCCAAGCTCGGGGAAGTACGCCGCCGCCGTTGAACCTGAGGATGCGCTGCTCGATGGGTGGGTGGGCAGGAGAGAGGGTGTGGCGGGCATGGGGGGAGCATCGAGCTGAGGATGGGGGAAAGCGAAGTCGTTGGAGATGCAAGAGATGATGAGCGCACCATCGTCGCGGGCAACTCCGTGCACAAAGTCGCGTCGGCGGCGACCAAGTCATTTAAAGTGTTCATCTCCACCTGCAAGCATCATCCAACATGGTATGTCCATAGCCACGAGTAGTGAGGGCAAGCTGACTGGACATGCATAGCCGCCCAAGAAATCCAATCTCACGCATGTGACATTCCACTTCTACAGGTCCGCCGTCTTTCTGTCGGTCCCCTCAGACACGTACGTCCCTCTTTCTCTTTGAAGTGTTTAGAGTAACTGATATGAGACTCAGCAAAATATCAACTCTCAAAGAGTCTTTGGTATCGGCACTTCAACCATTCTCCTCCGCCCTTCCTGTCGCAGCGCCCTCTTCCCCAAAAGATATCCAGCTCTGGGAAATTCTCGAGCCTCAAGAGGAAGGAGGAAAGAAGGAGGTTGGCAATCTGGAAGAAGGAGGCGATGAAGGGTTTGGAAGTAGAAGTCTCTCAGCGTTAGGATGGGGCGGGTGGAAATCGTTGGTGCTGGGGTGAGTGCGCTGACGGCATAGACATCCAAGTGGGGCTAATGGCAGAGTAGATTCAAGGGTGAAGATGGGACATTTGGGACACCCATATATACGCTCCCAGATCCGGATGATGGCGATGTGGAAGCAGCGCCCGAAGAAGCCTGAATATATGTAACATCCTGGCATTCTAGTTTACAACTCTTCTTCCTCCATGCACTCGCCCTCATCAATTGTCCTACCACCTTCTCCATCTTCTTCGTCCTCCTCATCCTCGTCAGCATCTAGGTCCAGAACTTCAACGGCCTTGCCCTCTTCTGCATCCACCAACAAGCACCCGAGCCTTCTGCCGGCACGGCCATTGAGGGCGATGGAGATGGGTGGGTAGGTTGCGGTGGGGTCAAGGGTAACTAGGGGGACACGGAATTCTATAGGGCGGGAACGCGCTATTGGCAATGGAGGTAACGTCTATAGACTATCAGTATACAGACAAAAAAGAGCCAACAAGTACTTACGCCCATCTCTCGCTGACCTATCTGGACCAGTCTGCTTACATCCCAATCTTCCAACCCGGCGGGTATAAAGTTCATCCCATCGAGATCGCTATACCGCACAGTCACCAAATGTTTCTGATCTTCCGACTGATCGTCAAGCAGCAGGACAAGCTCTTCATCGTCGAAGAATTGCAAGGCGAGGCATGAGACGGGCGAAGAGGAAGGTGCGAGGTTGAATGCTCCTATTCGAGCTTCGAGCGGGTCCGCCGAGTCGTATATGATCCATACTATGTCCCATTAGCTTTCTGGCGATCTCCAAGAGGTGAGCTTACGTTGATCCATCGATGGTGGTACCAAGGCCAGCCAGTTTCCCTGTGCAACTGCCCTCTGGTCCTTCAACCCTTCCCACCTACTCATCCCTCTATCCTTCACCTCCCCACTCGCCGCTCCCACAGCAGCTGTCACCAACGCCCGACACTCCTGCACCACGCTATTCGACCATACCCACACTTCCTTCTCCATCGTCCTTACCACCTCCTGTATCGCATACGGATCTTCTTGTTGTTTGGTATGGTCCGCGATGGTAGAGTGTGAAGAGGACGATGCGAAAGAGATATCTTGGTCTTGGGAGATGTCGAGGGAAGGGGGGTCGTCGATAGCCATGGAGATGGACATTGACTGGGCGATAGACGAATCTGCGTGAGAATCTTGCCGTGAGGCAGGCTGACCTCTAGGTCGAGTGAGGACGCTCATCGTCTCATCCATCACCTCGTTCAACCCTCTCCTGCCCTTTTTCCTCGCCAGCCCCTGGACAAAAGCTTCGTCCAAAAGGTCTTTCGGGGGCCGTTCGAGCAGATCGGGGAAATGGGTTCGAAGAGGCGATTGAGTGAAACCGTTTTGGAGGAACGACCAGACGAGTTTGAGGTCGTGGGTCGCGTATGGAGGCTCTTCAGTCGATCGGTCTTGGTTTGACCGCGTGCTCTCTGATTCAGGTCAGTCGTTTTTCTTCAATAGACGCAGGAGGACGTGGACGTACCATATCGAAGCCACTTCATGAAGTCCGCCGCCGCAAGCTGCTCATGCTTTGCACTAAACCGAATCCCGTCCACGAGCTTGGCCAGTCCCGAGACGAGGTGCATGCTCCTCTCAATAGCTGATGTATCCCCGAGATCGAGGTGCTCTTGGTAGCGCGGGCTAATTACTTGTCAGCTTCTCCTCACTGGCCATGATGATGGACTCACGTGAGTGACCAGCCTTGGATCTCCTCCAAGAGCAATAATATACGCTCCAGAGACGGGAAGACGCTTTCGGATACGAGTTTCTGAATTGTCTGGAAAGAAGTGTCCATGGTCGTGTCCCATTTGGTTATTGTCTTTCGGAGTGTCAGCTCTATTGCCATTATGCGTAGCGGATCTCTCACTCTAGGCGTCATACGGCTTCCCAACCACTCGCTCACGGCGACCCCTGCCCGACCAGTCAATAGAAACCTAAAGAGATCCGCATGTACATCCAATATTGAAGCTGCCCCAGATCAGTTTGGCTCTTACTACAGCACCCGATAAAGATCGCTCACTCCCTTGCTGCTTGGCACAAGTCTCCAGCTCTTCCCGATGAATCATGGTGAGCTTTTCTCCCTCTCTAAACGCCAGTTCCATCCCCTCAACGCCTCGTAGGACAGTATCCAGTAGACCAACGATTCTATCTGATACTTGTGCAATCTCTAGGACTTCGCGCGAGGGCGGAGACGGGGGGAGAGGGAAAGTACCGGTGAGGAAGGTGAGTGAGATTGAGGGTGAGTGGATGTTGAGGATAGAGGAGGTTGCTGGTGGGATGGAAGGTAGTAGGGCTGGAAAGGTGGACAGATGAGGGTGGAGGGCTTGTTTGGTTGGAGCAGTCTCTTTTTGGCGCATGAATGGTAGAACACTGTTCACGAAAAGTCAGCAAAGCATCACTGTGAGGGTTGACAGACATACTTGACGGGTTTTGGAGTCTCTACCGGCGTGACTCGGGGTAATGAATCAATTATCATCACTGCAGACCCATTCTGCCGGAAAGTCAGTCACGTCCGTATCAAGATCAGTCCATACGCACGTATGGCTTCTCCCACTCTAGGCCACTATCAGTATACTCCAGTTCAATCCACTGTCCATCTTCGAGCACTGGCAAGTCGAGCTCTATAGGAACCGAGCGAGCTACTTGACCGGTATGGACCGACAGAGTGTCGATTGTCTTGCCTCCTGAGGATACAAGCAGCAGCGACAAGAACCTTCCTGTTATCTTATAAGCATGGGAATCAGATGAAAGAAACATAGCTCACCATCCTCCATCCATGCCATACCCCCTACTCGCCCGCCCACATGCACCTCCCAGACCTTGTCGCCTCCAGTCCTCCAAAGACCGACTCTAGTCTTTCCCTCGTCTTTGTCCTTTCCTTTACCCCCAGCTGCTCCACCCCGCATAGCCCAGTGGGCCATAGAATGGGGTGTCTGACCTGGAAGCGGCGGGGCGGGGTAGGGAGAGAGAAGGACGAGGAGGTCCATAGTAGGATTACATGCTTGCGGGTGGAGGAAGAGCGGGGCAGGTAGGGAGAACTTGGAGAGGGGGGTGAATGAGCCGGATGATGGGAAGGACATGGCTCCTGTAACAGCGAAATCTGCGAAAAGCAAGCGAAAAGTCAGAGGGAGGAGGTTAAACACGAAACGCGTCGACGTGACATGCACGTGACTTGGTGCTGCCGTTCAACATCATCTGATATTGTGGAAGGCTATGCAGTAGCTCTTCATGGGATTGCACAAGGATTGCATGCGATCAATATAGGGCAGCATCCCTCACACGCCAAAAAGTAAACCTTGGCCGGGGCAAAAGGATTGGCGCCACCCGGGATCGAACCAGGGACCGCACGAATAGAATCCAGAAGATGAACTTCAGTCGTGCGCTCTCCCAACTGAGCTATGTCGCCACACTCTCTGGACTTTCCTGGCGCCAGTCCCCGGGTCACTTCCCAAAGTTGATGGATAGTGAATGCCATCTCCATGCAGGTCGGGGGTAATAATTGCTTGACAGCTGTCATTGGTATTCGTGCATATACACTCGCAAGGCTCATACTACGTGTGCATATCGTATCGGAGTCGGCGATATCCGACGCTCACTGCTATCAGCTGATAAGCGTTCCTGCAGCTCTGAGCGAGACTCTTTCTACTCTGACCTCCACATCGCTCACCATTCGTCTGCCATTGAGCGTCTGCCCATGCCGCACCTCACTGAAGAACAGAGACAGCGCTGGAGAGAGGACGGCTACCTCCTCTTACCACATTTCTTCGATGCCGAAGAGACGAAAGAGATGCTCGATGAAGCAAAGAAGCTATGTGACGAGTTTGATATCGAAGGGCATCCTATGGTGAGATCTACAAACTGGCAAACAAACATAGCTGACAGGTACCCAGACCACCTTCAAGACAGCGGCAGATGATGCTCACGTAGGAGACGAGTACTTTTTGAACTCTGGCGACAAGGTACGTAGCTCGAATGCAGAGCTTTACTGGATCTGATACTGGCCTCAGATTCGCTACTTTCTTGAACCGAGCTCCGTCTCTCAAGCAACAGCTACTACACCTGCCAAACTCCTCGTCCCTCCCGCCCAAAGTGTCAACAAGATCGGCCACGCCCTCGCCGTCCTCAATCCCGTCTTTCGCAAATACACATTGGAGACCTCCAAAGTCTCTTCCCTTGCCAAGGAACTCGGAGAGCAGGAAAGTCCGAGGGTGTTGCAAAGCATGATTATCTGCAAACAGCCGAGGATTGGAGGAGTGGTCCCATGTCATAACGACTCGACTTTCTTGTATACCGACCCCCCGAGCGCTATTGGGGCTTGGATCGCTTTGGAAGAGTGCACGCCGGAGAATGGGTGTCTCGTGAGTCTCTATCATCACCATTGATCTTTGAAGTATGCACTGACGACAATCTGGAGTCATTCTTGCCCGGTTCCCACCGGAAGTCGCGTACCGCAAACCGATTTGTACGAGCCGAAGGAGGCGGTACCACCTTTGAAGATGTACCTGGGGTAGAGCCTAATACAGAGAACTGGGATGAGATGGAAGGCTGGAAAGAGGGAGCATGCCCGCCTGGCACTTTGGTCCTTATCCACGGTACGTCCTTCTTCTCTACTTTGACGCGCATACTGATTCAGGATCAGGGAGCGTGATGCACAAGTCCCCACCAAATCCTTCAGACAAGACTAGGATAATATACACTTTCCACATGATCGAAGGGGGCAAGGGCGTCAAGTACGATGAGAAGAACTGGTTGCAGCCGACCGCCGAGATGCCTTTCAAGGCGCTGTTTTGAACCCGGTGGCCCCAGACAATCATTGTAGCTGGTCTGTATGTATCCAGATACGGGCGTACTCTGACCATCTCGAGAGATTCCTGACTGCATCCATCTACCCAAGGAAAGCCCGTCAAAGTCGCCACAATGCTATATACAATTCAGTGACAGCAGCATACAAAGCACAACACGTCAACATGCGAAGAGGCCCATATCTCATAATCAGTGGTACGTCCATCACCTACTTAATCTTTACATGGGCCGAGGCATGAATGGATTGCCGGCAGTCCAGCCTCCATCGATGTTGATCGCCTGTCCATTGATATACGAGGCTTTGGCTACAAAGTGTCAGCCTAGGTTGCTTGCTTATCAAGCAAGGTAGATGGGGCCTACAAGAAGACAAGAAGACGGCTACTTCTGCCACCTCTGCGAAGAACACACAAGGTTAGCGCCAGTTGAAACATGGCTTTAGTGGCAAGCTCACCATGCGCAAGACCATGTCGGAGGGAAGGGTTCATCATCCCCTCCGCTGGGGTGCCACTATCCCCATGCAGGTTGGGTACCAAGAACGGTGCAGTCATTTCTGTCTACCATCCCATCAGCCCCATTACATACATGACTCAGAAAGTCCACCCATCATTCAACTCACCTGAATGAGCCCCGGACAGATCGCATTGACCCTCACATTTCTCCCCGCAAACTCGTAGCTCCCTGTCTGTGCGAATGACACAATAGACGCGTTGGACGCCGAGTAGGCGAGAGGCCCGGCACGGGCTTTGACGCCGGCGGTAGAGGAGGTGAGGAGGATAGAGCCGCCGGGCAGGGTCTTGCCCCGTTCGGGACAGGTGAGGGACATTGCTTTGGAGGCGTATTTCAGGGCTATGAATTTGCTGCATAGAAGGTGAGTCAGTATGAGATACACCTGTAGGGGGAAAGATGATGCTCGCCTCGCAGCATTGATCCGCATATACGCCAGAAAGTCTTTTTCAGAGGTCCCAAACACGTCAGCCCACAGTTCCGGCAAAAACTTGCCGGGGTCATCATCTATCCTCTCTTCCTTCTCTTTTTCGGGAAGCTCCATAACTCCCGAGTTGGCAAAGAAAAAATCGAGATGACCTTCATCGTTGATGACCCTGTCAATGACGGATTTCACGAATGGGGCATCCGCTGCGTCGCCTTCAATGAACGTCAACTGTGCATGTCCCTTGTCAGTATCCGCACTCGCTGACCCGTCATTTTACCGCACTGACGGTGGTGTTGGGGAATCGAGCCTTGATAGTCTCAATGATAGCCAGGATATGTTTCTTCTGCCAATCAACCAAGTAGATATGTCGGGCGCCTATCACCAGCGTCAGCCCCTCATTTAAGATCACTACTCTTCATGCTCACCTTCTCGAGCAAATGTAGCCAGCGAAGCCGCCTGGAACCCTCATCAGCCCCACCATCCACGGGTCATCTGATTCGGGCATCACTCACTCCTATGCCAATATCCGAGCTACACCAGTGATCACTCCAACATTATCAGCCAGGAGTCCAGCACCTACGTTGCTAGAAGAGGATTTCTGGATATCATTCAAGACGCTGTCACGGAGACTGAGTATGCTGGCTACTCTTTCAGCTGCAAGCGCTTCGGCATTGACCTGAAAGTGATGGTCAGCCATATGTGAGGAATGTAAATCTGAAGGGGCTGACTGGTTGTGCGCCCATAGCGTTCGATACAAGAGACTGTGGGATGAGAAATAGAATGAACACGACACAGGAGCAATGGGGAAAGCGTGAGGGCGCCTAAATGACGGACTGACGAGATTATCAATCCCTACGACCCGACGGATTTGACCTTCTCTATATGTACTGCGCGCAAAATGTAGACAGACACTCGGACTGCCGACCCACACAATCCTGGCTAGCTTCCGTCCCTTTCCCCGTTTCCTTTCCACCCAGACGCGCCAGACGCCAGGGAATTGTTTGTGTGCTGTGTCGTGGGTGGCTGCGTATGTACCCTGTGTCCTGCCATTGTTCTCTTCCAACATCGATTCCGTCATTTACGGTCGCCCGCTATGACCTGTGAGTGATGTCTCGACCCAAACTATTCCGCTGTTGAGCTTGAGCATTATATATGAAACATCTTCATATACTCTACCCCTCATTCTAACGGTACAACAACGCCACCAGATCCCGAAAAGCTACTCTGCCGCTTGCATCTTTGCCTCCCTCCGCAGCCGCTCCTCCTCAAACCTCTTCCTCTCAGCATCTTTCTGCCTCTGAGATTCTTCGTACCTCTGCCTCCATAATTTTTCTTCCTCCGACAGACCTTCGTCCACCGCAGGCTTGGTGACTGTTGGTACGACTGTTGGTTCCGTCGGGAGTGAAGGGGCAGTTGCAGGGACGGTCGGAAGATCAGGTTTCTCCAATGCAGCTCTGGTCGCCTCTTCCTCCTCTCTCTTCTCCGACACCTTCTTCTCTTCTGCCTGCTTTTCCTCCTCCACGAGCGCCGCCAGCTCATCAGCAAGATCATCCTCGTCCACTTCCACCCGCCTGCTTCCCATCGCAACTTCCCCGCCAGCCCTGACAGCATCATCAATCTCGCTTTGGTCGGCCATGGCGTCTGCGAGCGCATCGGTAGTCTGGGCGATATAGTCGGGAGAGAGGGAGGGGTGGGCGAGAACTTGAGTAAGGGTGGATGAAGAAGTTTCGTACGCGGACATGATCTGGATAATATCAGCCTCCCTGCTCCACGATGGGCGGTCAAGAAAGGGGCTCACTTCAACATCACCCTTGGCTTGATCAATACTTCGAATGACCGATCTAAGCTGTTCGGACGAAGCAACTCGTTTGCTTAAGAGGTCTTCCAGCTGCTTTTTGGATCTCAAGTAGGACAATGCAATATTCTTCTGCCCCGATGCCAGGTGCTTTTTAGCTTTTTGCTGCGACCTGCCTTCATATCAGCACTGTAATCAGATTATTCTAGCATCATAACTTACTCTGTGATCTGTTGTTCTATGCTGGTGATCTGTAATTCCACTTTGCGCAGAGCGTTCATCACCGAGACGGCTCCTCGGTCGGCCTCAGAGATCGGATGATCCGCCGCGACCTGATCAGTATCCAGCACCTTGATAACCTATCTCGCCATAAGCTTGGGTTTCAAACATACAAGTGTGCTCACGGATCCATCAGTGACGGTCAAAAGACAATCCCTCGAAAGCCACTTGACCAGGACCTCCACATCGCGCCGACTCAGACGATGATCGCCTTTCGGAAGCTTCTTCGCCGTCGGACCCATAGGGAAGCACGTTCGTCCATACTCTTCTAGGAAAGAGTCCGCATCGAATAGGGAGGAGGTGTAGGAGAGAATGGGGTTCTTGAGCATGTGGGCTGTGAAAGCTGCTGCTGATTGCTGATAGATCATGTCAGCTTTACGTTCAGCACTTGCTCAGAAGGACATACCTCGAGCAAAGGCATATGGGCATATTCTTTACCCTTGCCGTAGCGATTCCATAACGTTTCTTCTTTCTCGACTTTATCGCTCCCTCCACCGAAAGGGTTCAGCTGCCCAAAAGCCCACCATAAAGGACGTCCGATGAACCGAGAAGTCATAGAAGGTGGTAGGTTCAATGGCACCTGGGATGAGAGAAAGTGTGGGAGCGGGTGAAGCGTGGGTGGCGTAGTCGTAGCAAGCGATTCCTGTATTACATCAGTCCCTTCCCTATCTGTGAGAAGAAAGGAGAAGAAAGAACATACAACGACCCCACCAAGGCCCGCCGGTCTCGAGCCCTTCTCATCCTCCAATCTCCCCGATAGCGCCTCATCAACCTTCACAACCAGCCGGTCTCCTCCCTCCCCATTGATCCACCCGGATCTGAGCGTTTCTTCGAGGACAGCAGCCCACCATTGTGCGTTGGCAGCGTAGCCGGTGGGGTTGGAGCTGCGCTGGGTGGACGAGGCGGCGTAGAGGGCTTGGAGCCTGGCGCGGGAGGGGGGCGGGGTGGGAGGGGGGTCAGTGGCGAGGAAGGGCGGGAGATGGTCTGGCATTGTGAGGACGAGTAGAATATAGAATAGTTATGGAAAAGGAAAAAGTCAGTCGTGATGTTTGGGATGGTGGCGACTCGCCGGGGGCCGAGAGAGACGGAGGCGTGGAAAGAGCCGCCGGTTGCAGGGGGCTTTCTTCTATATATCTCATGCTATCACCAGGAAGTTATTCCCAGTCTCATCTTATACATGTAATAACATATAGTACACTTTCGTGGCTGCCTTGCCGGCTCTTCCCACCTCTGACTACCAACAGCTAGCTTCTGCGAGGCCTGACCCATGGAGAATTCCTTCCTCTGCCTATGCTGGGCCCGTTTCACCGTCCCCGTATGCCTGGATGTATCTAGCGAATTCGACCCGAAGGTGAGCCCGGCATGTATGTCATGGCCCAAGCCGAATACCCGCTCGTTGCTTCTCACCTCTCCTCCCCGACCGCCGGGGCCGCCGGCCTCCTGCACCCTGCCGTGTCTCTCATCTCGACGTCTGATCTCTGAAACCTTCCCATCCCCCGATCCTAGAACGGAACCCCTGCGGGGGCTACGGCCTACGGCATACCGAACGGAAAGAAGAGTGGATCTTGACGATCTTGGGTCGGGTCGCGGCAGAACGTGGTCTCAGATCTGTCACTTTCTTGTCTCACTTCAGACGGGCCATGCTTCTGTGCGGCCCATGTGAGGCAGGTACGGCATGTGCAGTAGCGATTGCGTTCTTCTATCCCAGTCGGTAGAAGTCAACTCGAACGTGAAATGAAAGCGAATGTAGGAGGGATCCGCAAGGGTTGCGCAAGGGCCGCAAGGGTAGATGTACTGTATGTAGATCTTGCAGATCAACGGATGCTGCCGTCAAGGGTCGCTACTGTACTGTAAAGCAGAGCCATACCGTATCCATCATATATTCCAGGCTCTGTATGCAACCAAGAAAACGGCCAGATGTGCAGTGTATGTAACATCCACACTGTACAGCGTCTCTTTCTCGATTGCTCTCTGCCGTGCTGTCTGCTGCCGTGCAGAGCTCTGCCGAAGCTGCCAGGTCCCCTGGGCCTGGCCTCCCATGGCTGCCATATGTGGGCCATAGCGCATAGCCCTGTACACCATGCAGCATGGTAATAATCACAAACTGGATAACAACCTCTTCTTTACATTTTAAGCTTTCAAGGTACATTAACAAATATCCCTAAATCCCTATCAGGAGCCCAAAGATCTCCGCGCACTCCGCGCGAGGTGGCCGGGGCGGATTGTCGGTCGTCGGCCTCGTCGGGTGTCGGGTGGTGACTAAATATCATGGAGAGAACAGTCCATCGTCCCAAGAAGTCGTCTTTGAGGAGCTCGTAGTAGTGTTGTACCCTATTCCTTCGTCGAGCTCCTCTATTTGTGCTGTCGTCGGCAATGGAAGCAGCTGACAGTAGACCGCGGCGGTAGTTCAAATACTGCATGTTCGAGCTCCTTGGAAAGCTTCTTCTACACCATTGGACACAGAGCGAGGTTGAAGGATTGCTTCTTGCTGGACAGAATCGTCAAGATGCTACTGACCGTCACCCAGTCCTTGAGCCTTGAGTGGACGTACTCATACCCAAAGGCATATGTAATATTCCGGCTGGATCGACCGGATCTTTGGAGCTTCAGCAGTCTGGTCCAGTCGGAATATTGTCACGATTGATCACGATCGCGACTCTGAAAACGACTACATGACTGACCTGCTGATCATCAGGAAGTAGTAACGAGCCCTACGACGTCACTCAACAGCGCCACGACACAGCGAATTTTGCAAAGCGAAAGCGGCGCGGTAACGAGCGGTGATCGCTTCACAGTTCGCGCCACAAGGAGTTCAATCCTGTACGTACAGCTTGTACACCAGGCGTCACTGTACGAGACAAGAACAAAGCTCGAGGCATGGAGATTTTGAGGCCTGGAATGGACAAGCCACTTATGGTCCTATAGTACATGAGCGTCATGCCAACGACGGGCTGTCGGGATGCGACGATGCCGGCGCGCTTGCAAGACGACGGGATTGTGGCTACATGCTACATCTGTAGGCTGTTGTCACGCTTGTCGCTGAACGCTACATCTAGCCAAGAAGACGCTCTTTATCATTATGTGCGATTGTGTGACTGAGCGAGGTGCGAGTGGGCAAAAAATGGGTCGAGCACTCCTCTGGACTTCCAATTCGAGGCGGTCATCTAAACCATGCATAGCCACGATGCCATCGCAGAAGCCATAAGAAAGCTCTCAGACCAAGGGAAAGACGCCCACTGCCCTGTGGATGCCATGGCACGGAGGGAGCTGATGCCGATACAGAGCCTCATCTCGTGGTGTTCTTCCGCGTTTGTTGTACTCCTATCTTCAAGGTTGTAGATGTCATGCATTCATCGGAAATACAAGCTTTCTGGTGCGGGGAATCGGGCATTCATATTCTTCACGGCCAAAGGCTCATATGAGGATCAGAAGATGTGAGGTGTGGTATTCTCGGGTTGCGGGCTGATTGGTGGTTGAATCAGCAACCGAAGAAGAACGCGGGCTGCTGATGAGTGTGGCTGATCGTACAATGTGCCTATATAGTACCTATGTCCATCTTTGTTGGTACCGGTGGCTGTGGCAGTTGACACCTGGCACACGGTGGAAAGTGTTCAGCAGCTTGCCCTGTACGACGCTCCGACAACTGTGTTTCGATCACAACAATTTGGCCCTCTCGCGCTGAAGCAATCCCAAGGGGCCCAAGGCCCTCAAGGAGACAGACAAGGAAGAAGGCGAGAGGCACGAGAGCTGACAGGAGAGGCAAGATGCAAGAGGCTGAAAAGAACAAGGGAAGACAACCGTGCAGGGACTTGCGATGACTTTTGTGGCGCACATAACAATACTTCTCCGAGAGTCGATATTGATGATGCAGAGGCCGCAGACCGCAGACTCGCTTGAGCAATAACGGTTGTACTCTCAAAGCTGGAGGAGATATCAGCCCCGGCTCTTGGATGACTCTAGCTGCTACACGTCGATAACTATACGTGCATCCGTTACAACTCCAGAGCACAACAGGGGAGCAGAAAAGGCACGCGGGGAATTCTCGTCGAAAATTAAGGGCCGAGCAGCATGGGGAAAATTACGTGGGTCCCCGAACTAAGCATCCCCGGAAAAGCCGAACTGGCGGACTTCCGACTGCCCGAATCACACCGCGCGGGTCTCGCGAATCTCGACAAAAAGGGGACACGTTGAGTGATATGCTGGGCAGGTTTCCAGAGCGCGGCAGCGAGGAAAGAGGCTTGGGGAGGCGACTGTATGTTCAAGCAAGAGGCGACCGCCAGCGCCCAAGCATCATCAGGAATCAGGCGCCGTTTAGCTGGTACATCGGGCCGTTGCGGGAGCAGCAGAAGCCAGCCAACCAGTCGTGATGGACGTTGGTTGAAAGTTTACATTCGACAGCGGCGTCTAATAAAAGAGCAAAATGCCTTTATTGCTGTGGAACTGGAGACAATCTGCCAGTCTTGCGAGGATGGTTGAGAGCTTTAGGCTGGCGGTACAAAGGGTATTGCGCCGACAGCCGGCCCCGCTGCTCGTTGATCTACAGTCCACGGCACATGATCTTCTCGACTCTGTTATACGCGCACCCCACTCAAAGAAGAGAGAGACGGACAGCAATGAGGGAAGAGCTTTGGCCCCAAAAATCTTTTTGAGCTTGTACATTGCGGCTGCTGTGAAGATGTCCAGGCTAGACAAGGTGGGGTAAGAGTTATAAGACTCCGGAGGCCGTAGGCATCCATCCGTCTTCTTTTCCAAACACGTCTTTCAATGATGCCGAGAGATGCGCATGCGGCATGCAGGATCGCTGACATACTACATTAGCATATGTAAAGTAGAGTAACCCTAAATCAAAGGGCCGTTCTCAGCTCCTATTGTTCTGTTTTCACAACCTCTTTAACAGCGCAGACGAAGCGAAAACGCTGTCCCGATCATCTCATCTTCACATGTCAATACGCGAGATCCCTCCGTAGCAATCTCAAGTGCCACAACAGCCCATAGCATGCCATAAAAAATATAGTCACTCTTCATGACTACCCAACCTCCTCGGCCTCTGCCCCCCTAGGTCGATCCTGAGCTATACTCGATCATATATGTTATACGCCATCTTGATTCATCATCATGTCACTACCAACATTTGCCCGTCACCGCAACTTGGTGTGTGCGCTTCTTCATGTAAATCTTTGACGTGGAGGATACGGGAGGCATTGGGACCTTGTGCTTAGCGTAAACTGTCGTTCATTCCCCGGCACCGCCGATCCCAGCAAATCCCAGTCTCTCGAGACAAAAAGAGGCACCGTTCAACGCTACGCTATCGATTTAGCTTATCTTGATCTACTTTTTTGGTCTCCGGGATCTTGGGATCTTCTCTCTCTGATTTTTGGCCTTCCTTGCTTTGTGCTCGTGATTGTATAGCGGCGTAGCCTCTCGGCAGGCGGAAGTCGGAAAGCTCGGCGGGAGATGGCTTGCATAAGCGGGTTATTTGTTCGCTTCCTCAAGACAAAAAGACTAAGGAGAGGCGGGCAGTACTCGTACATTTGGCGGCGGGCTCTTAGCTGACACGACTTTAGCTGCGGGTATTACTCTAGACCCCTCTTTTGTCTTTTATAATGACTTCTTCATGGCTCGTGCATGCAAAGATGTACGGATCAACAAAGCCAAGTCAGGTCAACAGGTCAAGGCACTTTGGGATTGTATAACGGAAGTTATAACAACCAGGCCCGGCCGCCTCGGGAGAGCGCAACTGGAAGGCCGAAGAGGGGAGCGCAGGGGGAGAGGGATGGGGTGGAGAATTGGAGCTTTTGGAAAGGGGATAATTGTTTCAAAAATCCTAAGACCCGATCGACCCGACCTACCGGCCCTACATACCGAATCCTCTTGCCCCACCCTCCTCCCAAGGCCCAAGGCCAACCCTTAATCTCCCTGATAGCTTATGGCTGGATATATCTCCACGATCACATATGCACGTACTTTGCATATGCGAATAGTCTTGATGAA